ATATGCTTTGGCTTATTGCACAGCTAGTGTGTGAAGGCTGTAGCGCTAAATCATACAGTGCAGACGTGAGTCTTTGTCGGGTGTTAAATTTCCACTTATTTCTCAGCCTGACTCGACAATAATTCAGTTTCAGCTGATGGTTGTGGCTCATTTTGATCCCACAGTAAATTGTGTTGAATTTGATTGAATGCAAACTGTACTCAATAACATCGCCAGACCGCTCTCTTTAATTTGATTTGTTCAGTATTATATTCCAGTTTTGGTGGAAGGTCTGGTTATTGTCCGTGAATATTAAAAATTAAGATAATATCCTTTTGTCTGCAGCCAATCAGGTCACAGAAAAGCAGATTTCCTCTGTGGAGTGTTATTCCTCTGTTTCCTGTTGAATAAATGTTGGACACAGATGAATGATAAATACAGAGACAGTTAGCAAAAAAGAACAGGGATTGTCTGAAGTTGACTGAGGGCCACTTTGGAAGCACTGCTGCTCACCTGTGAGATATTTGCGTTTTTGCAGTGGTTTTGAAAGCTCTCTGTGGACATTAATGTGAGCCTTGTTCTCATGGGAAACTGTTAAGGGCTTTGTTACAGCTGAATCTGTTCAATACAGACAGCTGCAGCCCGCCTACGAGCCACTCACAATGTGGTGTAGTAACTGATATTAAAAAATGTGAGCTGTGATTACTCAGCTCAAAAAAGGCCTCTCCAATCCGAGCGGATCCTGCCTCCTTTTTACTCGCTCTGAGTTATAGAGGACATAAAAGCAGCTCCCCAGACTCTGCTGTTAAAGGCTGTGGTCAGTAGCAGCTCCCCCCTCCTGTAACTGAGGCGCGCCGGAGCGTTTGAGCGCTATAGTAGTAACCTAAAAGAGAGATCAGCTGTGATGTCATCACCACTAATGAGGTGGCTGGAACGAGTGTGACCACCTGACTCACTCACCAGCTCACCTCTCTCGCTCTCTCTCTCTTTCTTTATTTTTAACTTTCTCCAAAACTCTCCCAAACACACACTTTCTCCCTCTTTCGTCCTCCCTCCATCAGTCATCGTCTCTGCCTACCTCTCATGTTGTTTTTCTGGTTCATGTGAGTCCTCTAAACGGTTTATTGTGGTTACCCAAACTGCCCTGCTCTGCTGGATGGTTACTTAATAGTGAGCCACACCCGAGTGAATAATGAATGAATGAATATATATAATAAATGTCCTATCAGGGTTTAAAACTTCTGAAACAATCAATAATGATAATCGGGTCATTCGATTACAAATATGATCTCAAAGTTAGCGGTGAGAGACAACATTTTGTACTTCTCCATCATAGCTGACAGTGACAGAAAGTTACATCTGTGTAAAAGTAAATCACAAACAAAAAGATAACACAAAAACAGTTTTCTGACTATAACATTTTAAACCCCATACAACTACAGAGAGAAAAAATTAAACATGAGCCTTTAGAGGGGCTGTCCTCTTCCTCAGACTCATGCCCCACATGGTTAGCGGTGGAACGGCTGCTCTGCAGAAAGACCTTCCTTGCTGCTCCACTCAACAGCACTGTTATTGTTAATAAGTCATATAGTCGAAATAGCCTTAGTGTTGGCAGCACAATAAAAATCTTGAAGCAGATAAATCTACATATGAACGCACAAAAGTCTATCCCTGTTTGCAAAAAGGCTTTCATTTGTTCCTGACCTTGATGATACTGTGTTCTCTGCTTGGCATCAAAAAGCATCTTTGCACCTGTGTGAATGTCTAAAGAGTGCTCTCTCAACTTAAGACACAACTTCATACAGCCTAAAACAATACATAGACTCCTCTACTCCAAGGAAAAAAATTTAGTTTTTTTTTTTTGCTTGCTTCTCTAGTTATACCAACTTCAGCAACAAACGCATGATAGCAATACACAGCGGTCTATGTCTCCACGCACAAACGCCAACCAAAAAGCCACTCTATATCCACAAATAATGCTCAGAACAGCACCTAACTTCATCAACAGTACATATAGGGTCCCAGCCATAGTACTAGTCACCAAACATCTTTCTAGTGTCACAATATGTTCTGTTTATTGAGGTTTTTCCCTATGAATTGAGTGTTTCTGTGCCCTATTGTTCCTGTTCCACGGTAGTCTTGTCAGTTTGTGTCTGACCCTGTTTCCCTCATGTTCTCAGTGTTTACTCTCTGTTATCAGAATTCAGTGTTTCCTGTTTTATTTTGTAGTAGTATATTCCCTGTGTTTCTAGTCTTGTCTTACTTCCTAAGTTTTCCCTCCATAGTAATTGTCTCACCTGCCTCTCGTTGCTCGTTTCCCTGTGTGTCTATATAGTCCTTGTCTTCATGTTTTTTTCTTGGTTGGTCCATTGTATGTCCATGACTCTGTGTGACTCCAGTGTCTCCCCATGGTTTTCTTTTTGTTCCTTGGATTTGGCTCCTTGTGTTTTTGACTTTGGGATTTCTTTTGGTTGGACTATTTTGAAAGAGAGTTTTTGTTGATCTTATTTAGTTCCTTTTGAATAAATCATTTTTGGTTCTGCACATGGTTCCTTCCTCTTTTTGTTTCGCCCCGGAAATGTGACATTTAGCTTTGCCTGGTTTCTTTAGCAAAGAGACCAAACACAACTCACCTACTCTCCTCCAGCAGCCACTTGTTTGTGGAGAGCCCTGACATGTCGATCACTGAGTGCAGTGGAAAATTTATGATTATTACCTTATGGAAATGCAATCAGACCGAGACGTTAAGGCAGGAGAACTACCTGCAGTGTAAAATGATTATAATGATGATTATTACTCCAAGGAAATGATCTGCTGCACTCGGTGATCGACTCATCAGGGCTCCCCCCACAAACAAGCGGTTGCTGGAGGAGAGTGGGTTAGTTGTGTTTAGTCTCTTTGCTAAAGAAACCAGGCAAAGCTAAAAAAAAATGTTTGATGGCTAGTTCTATGGTTGGGACCCTATATGTACTGTTGATGAAGTTAGGTGCTGTTCTGAGCATTATTTGTGGCTATAGAGTGGCTTTTTGGTTGAGGTGTATGTTTTTTCTATGCTCAGTCTTGTTTTTCTTAGGGATTGGATGTCTGGGATGTTCTCTTCTGTGCTTTTTGTGATTTCTTTTTTGTTCCGTTTGTCTTTATCCCCCAAAAATCTATCAGTATGTATGTGCCATTTTAAATAGGGGCTTTCAGACACTTGCAGTTACATCTGATCACCACAGGGGTCCCTAAAGAAATCAAAACTGAAAGCATGAAGATCACTATTTTAGGTTAGGTTCCCTTGATAAATGTAATAAGTTACTGCAGTTTCACCACTGATGATAGGTAACAATAAATAAATCACTTCACACTGTAGTTTTCCAAACTCGTGAGGCTCCTTTTGGCCCTGTTTCGTTCCATGCTGTAATAACTGGCTGCTTTGAATGCCAGGGAGCTCACATCACTTCAGAGAGGGAAAGAGAGAAAAAACAAAAAGAGGGGGCAGAGTGTGACAGAAAGAAGAGGCCAATGAAGTGGTGAAGAGCACCCACTGGCAGCCAACAAGTGCATTCCCATTACAAGAAGCAAATCCTTCTTTCCGTAGAAGAACAACATGCAAGTGCCAAAAACAAAGTAGTTTATTGTTGAAGGGAGAAAGAGATTAGGCAGTGGAGTTACTAGCAGACAGTACAGCCAAGAGCATGGTCATAGTGTGGTGGTGAGCAAGCCCAGCTATCTGTGTGCAAAACTACAAGTGGAAAACAAAAGTGTGATATTGGGGGTGTGGCTCTGTTTTGGTAACAACAAAGAAGAAGAGATCTAATGAGAGTGCAAGAGGTAGTGATTTACTGTTATAATGTGTGACTAGTTATCAGGGAGTCGAGCAGCCTGAGAGCAGAAAGAAAAGTGTTATTGGTAGCTGTTGTTGAAAAGTACAAGTGTGTATTTTGGGCTGTGTGTGACTGAAATAAAGATCGTAACCTCCCCACTCACCCTGACTGACTTGCTGAAGAGTTGAGGTGAAATACTTTGGACTTGTGTGACCTGTAGGAGGAGGCACGGCTAGGTTGGAACCAAAACAGCCCTCAAGACCAACAGAGGCCAGTTAAATGGAAGGGAAAACAGTAATGTGGTGGCTTTCTTGTCTGGTATATGGTTCCTGGCATCCCAGTACTTCGCCCTCCCCAATAAAAGATTCAGCAGCTTTAGATGTTATTGCTTTTGATTTTTCTGTTTTACATCATATTTTTTTATGTGTAATGCCTTTCTTTCCCTGTAATTGTTGTGGACCAATTCCTATAGTTTTAAATTTGCACCATATATTTGCTTGTTTCATTAAAAGGAAATGGTTTTGACCTTTGCAGAGTGTTTACACAAGAGTTTATGGTTGACTTTTTATTGTGTTGGGCAATTTGGCTGGTTACATTCATGAATTTTGGCCATACAGAGCAACTTTGGGCTCTGAACAGGCACTTATGCTCAATGGCTATTACCAGTAATAAAACACAGACCCACTAACCCTGTTATTCAACAAATCCAACGAAAACTTCTAAAGTGTTTAATTTGTTTGTAAGTAATGCACTAAGAGAGGGGGCATCAGTGCCAACTTGCTGCAGCAAGAGGTTTGCATGATTGGAGCCCGGGTCTGTTATGGGCGGTGTAGTCATATAAAAAGGTTCTGGTTGTGGATATGATGGATAGTTGGAACTGTCGTAGGAAGGGTGGCCAAAGCTACCTGTTAAGCCCCTCTGAAATCTAATGAGACACCAGTGGAGCGGGGTTCCCACTTAATAACTCAACACACACACAGGCCAAAAATACACACGACCCTAACCCCAAATTTTCACAGCACGTGGAACAGCACCATTGGGGAATGGCGGCAGTTTCTGTTGTCTGCCAATTCCTACCAGATGCATTTGTGAGGCGAATGCTGTGGCGAATTTTGGACAGTAGGAATCACGAGGACTCAAAGGAACCTTTAAGACAGCCACACAACTCCACAACAGGCTAATCTGTGCTGAATTTATTCAGCATGCCGCAGCTTCCGGAAAAAGCAGAACACTTGCGATCGGCTACAAAGACTGCTGAGCAGCAGGGGGCGTGGAAATTGACACATTAACTTGAATGGAAACGATCAGCGGGGATTGGCGCTGATGGTCTTTTCGCCGCCATTCAGCATGCGGTGTAAATTAGGGGTAAGACATGAAATAATAGAGGAATGTCAGGCAGAAGAGAGGACAAGCACTGAGAGCAGCCAGGCTGATGTTTTGCTGAAAGGAACTTCAACAGATCCAAGGAAGTGAAATGGCACCAACCTCAATACCAGACTTGGCCTCTGGCAGGACTTGACCCTCTAGTTTGTAAGCCAAGTCGCTGTAGCCTGAAAGAGCTTGCTGTACCTTATGCAAAGTAAGGTGATGTATTGAGGCCCCAGAGTGGCAGCTATGGGTTAAATAATTTTACTGCATGTACTTGGTGGGCATTAGTGGCATTATTTAATGTCCAAATAATTACACTCAACTTCAGGTGCCAGGATATGTCTCTTAGTCATCACTGACAGATTTCCAGTGCGCTGGTTTTCAGACAACTTTTCGAATGCCCATTTTTTCCCTCTGAAGTTGGACTTTGGAAAAGCTCAAGTGGAGGTGTAATATAAATAAATATTAAAATGTAAAAGCAGTTTTATTGCCAGGTCAAAGCCAAACCTTTCATACTGTATTTTATGACTTTACTACTGTGGTGCAGCAGTGAGGCGACTTTCCCAGACATAAGCTTGATGAGTGAAAAATAATCCCTCTTTAAAAGTATCGCTCGAGTTATTTGGCAGCGGGGGATGAAAAAAACACTTTCTGCTTGTCCTGCTCCAAAAGGTCAAAGGTCAGGTTACACTTGTTGAGCTTAAGGGTTTTTCTTGCTCCGTTAGTCATATCCCTCACAGCACAAACATGCATTATAAAGAAAAAGCAGACATCCAATTAACAGTTGAAGCGCTCTGTGTACACTTTTACTGCATTTGAAGAATGGAGAGTAAATACAGGGGTGCGAGCGCAGATTTGCAGTGTGTCAGCAATGGAAGAAGTGAGCAGAGGAGTTCATTTGATGAACTTGTTAAGGGATGCTAAGGGTTGAAGGGAAAGACGTGTGAAGTCGGACCTTTGTGTTAAGTGTGTGCGTATGTGTGTGTGTTTGATGTTACAGTCTTGTAAAGCAGCAGCTGGAGAGGGCCGTCCCCAGAGAACCACCACAGCCGGCTAGTAAACCACACACACACACATACACACACACACACACACACACACACAGATGCAGTCTTTAATAAAGCGATTGCTCGGGAAACAGACCAGACCGAGCCGATCTGAGACTCTTTTAAGGCGAGAATGACTCGGTCACGCTCTCATATGTATACACTCACATCCTCTCAGTCTGAAGACATGACAGAAGAACCTCATTACTCTGACTTCAACTCCTACAAACCAGCAGAGGCCTACTCAGACAATAAAAAGTATGACTGATAAGGAGCTGATGTATAAAAGCAAAGGCCTTTTTGGACTTCCTTCTACTGATGTTATCAATTATGAGTATATGTATATATATATATATATTTGGTCTACATATGGTTCCACTGTAAAACTGTAAATGTAGTGTAAAACTGCAGAGGCCAGATGTGCAGTTAGTAATACAAGCCACAGCAGGCGGGGACACCTATTGTGAGTGAAGTCAGTAGCTCAGTCAAACTCATTAGAAAAGTGGAACACCTGGAAGAGCCTGAGAAATATCAGAAAGAGGGACACATTTTTCATGTGTAGGGTGTATTTTTTTGCATTTAGGGCTCCATCTATGCGTAAACATCGAAAAAACAGCAGGTGCAAGTCCAAAAACTCATAATTTATCCGTCTATACATTAAAATGAGAGCTTTTACCATTTTAGTTGTTCCACTTGCAAAAATAAGAGTCAGCAGGTGCAAGAGCTCAGGCAACAAGTTTCTGTGTTTATAGTCTGTGCGTAGACAAACATTAGCTGCAGACGGAGCCCCAAATTAGTCTGCACCACAAGAATCTCCATATTTAAGGAAACCGCTGTTCTTTGCACATTCACATGTCATCAAATATCTGTTTTTTTCCTTGATTGTAGGAAATATATTGGATGACATCATACTGCAGCTGACTGGAAGCAAACAGTCCTATTTTAGTGTCATGGATCGTTTCCAAAGAGATGATATAACGCAGTCCAGATGAGCCCCTCCAAGAATTGTCTCATTATCACACACGCCGCAGCTGCACGACCACTGTGTGTACGAGTGACCGGGTTTATGTGTATGTGTGTGTGCGTATGTATGAGTGTGTGTTTCTGTGACCATTTAAACTCTACTCACAGTCAATTACCAGAAAATGACTTGTGTGTGTGGACTATTTTCCCTCTGAAAAAACTAATGATAGGGTTGGGGTTAAGGTTAGAATTGGGCTGCAGGAAAGTCCAGGACCAGGCTGGATCCATGTGGACGACGTGAAACCAGAGGCGTAGCCAGAGAACAGCCAGGGTGGGACTGGACTCCATCCAAATCTGATTGCTCCTCCTTTTACCACCCCAAAGCTTTTAGTGTGTCATTAAACATTTTAGGGGCTCCCAGTTTTGAGCCACTAAGCTAGACACCCCGACAGTATGAGCTTGTTTTCCCAATGGAGAAAAATTTACATTTTCAACAACAACTTTTAAAGGAGACCTGTTATACTCAGTTTCACCTTTCATTCTGTCAGTCTCTGTCTCTGAGTTGTTTGTAAGTCCTGTTTTGACTTTGTTTTGACCTCTCTGAAAAAGGATCACAAATCTGCATGACAGGAAGTCACTATAACGACAGAAACCAGGTTTGAGAAAAACTTATTTGACATGCGTTTTAATTTTACAGTTTGACCCATGTTCCATCTGTTTACATAAAAGGGGCAGGGTTTATGAACTATACTGCGACCGGTCATACTTTGGCCTTAATCCTTATGACCCCTATTGTAATGAACAGTTTATGATCCATCCCCTTCTACAGTATCTTCTTCTATGGTTTGGGGTGTAGGGAACATTGAAGGTGGTCAATCATGTGTCTTTTCACTGTCATGACTCATCGATGTACCTGATTCTTTTAAATCAGGTAACTGCAGTAAGTAGTACGATAAAAACATTGTTGAGTTCAACGTATGTTTTAAACATTTGTTTGGTAATACATGGTGCCTTAAAAATAATATGTAACTCACTATCTTCATGATAAATTGTGCAGCCTAGATACCTTGTATAATCTTCAGATGCAAAGAGAGAAAACGAGAAACAGGAGGAGGAGGAGGAAGTTATTTAAACAGGGTTCCCAACAGTAGCTCACACCTGAGGCTCCCTTATATCCGACTTCATTCAGTCAAAAACATGGACTGCACATGGTAAACCCATCACAGGCGCAAAAACTCACACACACATACACACACATACACACACTCTCACACACGTTTGCTCTCAGCTTCATCCAGGAAATAACTTTTATTCATGAAATCACAAGAAGTACAGGGACAGAAAGACCAATAAAGGCATTCAACCAAAGGTCTGTGCCTCTGAAGACTGAGATTAAGAGTACCAGAAGAGAAAATCTGGACAGTTGTAGTGTTTCTTGGTCCCTCACCTCGTATGACTAGCTGCTTTTTGGATGATTGTTTAGATAATTGTTCGGTTTTAATTATCTAATGAAACACCTGCTATGTAAAACCATGTTTAAATAGCCACTCAGTAAACAAACAGTTAAAGGTGGGGTAGGCAGGAATCCCTTTAAGAAGCATCTTTTTTGTGGTGTATGTACAAAAAAATATCGCTGTGCTTTTTTTACGTCTGTGTAGTCAACATTTTAAAATTTCAGAGTGCTCCGTTCTTTCTGACTGTAAACAAAGCCATTCCCCGCCTCCCCCATCCTGATTGGTTGTGAGGCGGACGCTGCTCCCTCATGTTGTGGGGCAGACGCTGCTCACCCGTGTCGTTCAGGAGCCCAAACAAAGTTAGCCTGCTATGATATCAGACAGTAGAAAACAGCCAGAAAGACATTCATCTCAACTGGGTGTTACGGTGTCTTTGACCATAACTTAAATTTACTCCAGAATATCCCTTTAACGTATGAAATACCGTGAGTGAAAGAAGGGAAAAAATACGGATTATGTGCCAGACTTTTACAAGCAGGGCACCTCACACCACAGAGTGACGTCAAGGGTTTCCCTTTCATTGTATTTCAGCCAGTCAGATAAGAAACAACACAGTGTTTCCTTTAACAACATGGGCATGGGAGGAGGACTGACCCAAAAGCAAGAGCACAATTTTGAGTATTTGTTTTTTTTTTTCTTTTTTTTATCACTGGTACACTGTATAACATACATTTAGGCCTCTGGAGCACAAGGTAAAGATGTTTTGCAAACATCCTCTAATTCCTCCTCAAACCCTCACTTTTCTCCCCTGTATATAACATTCATTGGCACTTAAATTGACAGTGTACGTAAACTGCAGACTGTTCTTCAGAGGATACATTTTGCGGGGCCATGGTTAACAGTATGTTTTCTTTTAAATCAAAAACAGCTTCCTCAAACCTTTGACCCTCAAACACCTCCATCATTATTGTTTTAAGGTTTGAACTTTTCAAAAGCAGATCCGACATCTCTTTATTTCCAGATCTAAAGAAACACTTCCTCCTTTTATGCTGACCTCAATTGAAAATAGGACATAAAGTAAACTTAGCTGAAGTCTTACACCACAAACCAAAAATGTTTCCCTAACTCATCCAGCCTGGTTAACTGAGAACCTGATCCTATAGTCGGCTCAGCTGGAAGGAGCTCAAAAAAGATGTAATTTTGTCAGCTGCCACTAGACGGGGTGAGAGCTGGGGGGAGCCAAACCCCTGCCCATAATAACCACCAGACATGACTCATTCAGCGTGGAATACCACAGCAGCCACAGACAGGTCTCTGGCAGACGAGGAGCAGAAACCCGACCCTGCAGCCCAGTTTGTGAATGGAACTGAAATGAGCAAAAGCAGAGAAAATTTAATGGAGCTCCTATAGGACTTAAAGATTTAAGAGTTAAAAAAAATCACAAGTGTTTGGTTTGGCATATTTATGAAAGTGAAGTGTCTGAGAGGCTTAATCTGGTGTTTTTATATTGATAAGCGCAGTGAAACAAAGGAAAAGTCTCTCTGTTTTTACAGTTTCTTTTAACTCACCGTCTTAATTCCCTGTCGGTTCATTGATTCTTTTGGCCGAATCCACCCTCATCCTGCAGAGCTCCTAAAAGACAGCACAGGAACAACACATCACCTTGTCAGATATGATTGTAGCTCTGATCATCGTCAGTCTTTTGCCCAGACTTCCCCCTGCGGAGAGCACCACTCAATCTGAAGACTAACACATGTTGGACAGTCAAATCCTTATTTGCTTACGTGGAGTCAGTCCAAAGCTGGAGGGCCTGCCGAGCCAGGAGTCTAATCTGTGGGCACAAGGAGGAACATAGGAATAACATATTGTACAACTTAAAGTATGGCAGGGGAGCAAACTGTGAGCGCTCACGTTACATGAAAACAGCAGGCAGGAAGTGTTTTGCAACAGCGGAAAATCTTCAGGTCCAGTCCGACCACCAGACGGTCACACTTCATCGGGCCTGGAGGCTGCGGTCAGTGGACGGATACCTTCCCTGCTGTAAGGGTCGGATACGCTGTCATGCATTTGTCTAAAGCTCCCTCTCACACTTTTTTTTTCTGTTTCTATTCCTCTGCCTCTCTGCTCAGAAAAATCTAACACCTATCTTTTCTAAACTACTGCACTTCCTTCTCCAATTCCTCTCATCTCTCAGTTTCTCCTTTCCTGTCTCCTCGTGCCCCCCTCCTTCATAGCAGCCTTACCTCATTGTGTTTTCTCCTCCCACCTCCCCCCCTCAAACTTTCTCATTCCCCCATCTCTCACCCTCTTTCTCTCTCTGTTTGTGGTCAGTCACACTTAATCTACCACCATCCATCTGTTTCTCTTCATTCCTTTAGTCTGGTCTGTTTCCCATTAAGATTACATCAGGCTTTGACCTATTAGTGGGCCGTGATCCTTTTGAAGTCATTTTGTGGTTGCAGGTTAAGCTCAAAGCCCACCACTCTTCTTACTCTGTGTATTACAGACTGTATTTGGTCTGTGGGGGAGGGTTTTTAAAACTTCTCAGCCCACGACCAAAATCATTTTTTTTTCTTCTCTGAGATCCAGGCTCATTAAATCATATGAGCGAGCTTGTCATGTGGAGACCAGCTAGTGGAGGGCCTGCGACCCATTTTGGGTCCCAACTCATAATCCAACGTAGCAATCTGTGAACTGGACTATATTGTTCATTTAACCTCATATCCTGAGGATTTTGATTATTTTTTCAAGGTAACTTTCCCAACCAGAGAGTCTCTGTTCCTTATTAGGGTAACTGTTTAAAGTCGGGTTTAAATTCCCGACTTAACAAAGTGCAGACCTCTAGAATAAAAGTGTGTTTTTGTAAAGGGTTTCCTGATAGCCTAATGGTTGGGAAGCCAGGCCCAAAGTTGTATGTCTACATTCAAGACCTCTGCTCTGTCCCAAAGAGTTAAGGTGAAATGCCCCCAAATAATCTTAAAATATTCTATCTTCCAGGGAGAACAGGAAGAACATTAAATCTTATTACCCTCATACTTAAATTGAAAAAAAAGTCCAACCCCAAAATGTAGGCAAACGGATCTTAAAATGTAGCAGAATATAGATCCAATGTGCATCCATTATTGCTGACCAGGCCCACATATTTCCTGTCATCTTTGATCATTTGGTCAATAATTAAACCCCCAGTGTTCACTTCCAGATGTAGATCACGATATCATCAATGAACTCCCAGAGTTTAACCCCTCACCTCTCTCCTGTCTTGGATGCCTGTGAAAAGAGATTGACTCAAATGTTAAACTGTACATCATCATTACTCCTGGGTCAGAGCGCGGGTAAAGAGCCAATTGGCCGAGTCATGACGTTAAACTGACATCTATTGGCCGATCCGAGGCAGGGTGGGATGTTAAAGTCATTTAGACTCATCAGGCTAAGTGGACACAGTTGACTGAGAGGTCTCGAACCTCCCTACGTCTGCTTGTGGCTACTTCTTCTGCGCCAAAAATTGTCAATTAGAGCGGTGGATGAGAGGACATCTGGGCTGCCGAGTGTGTGTCTGCTTGACTAATGTGTATCAACGCATGCCAGCAGGGCTAAATTCACTCTGCAAATGAACCGTACGCTACTGTCTTTTTAACGATCACTCATTCATAATTGAAGATATTTTCACAGTGGCAGTGTGGAGTGACAGCTGACTGTCTTCACAGCACAGTAAGTTTGATCCCCGTGTTAAACTGGACAAAGAATTGAAACTGATATAAACTGAGATGACCACAAACAGATTTATAAGCAGTCTCCTCACAGTTTTCCTTAACTCTGTGGAGCAGTGTCGTCTCTATCAGCAGGTTGTTTCAGATTAAAGATCTGCAACCTCAGAGTTTCGATCCCCTCTCAAAGCTCTCTTCAAAGAGGTTTCCAGTCACAGCAAGTAAAAGTGAGAGCGATCAAAACCACGACTCAAATTCCAATTAGTTTTCAAATTTGACAACTCAGCGCAGTGTCTTTGTACCAATGCTGCCTTACTTGGGGTTGCTGCGGCCAAAAGGGATGGGTGGGGTCAAGTGTCCTAGAGTGAGACCATAGACTGTATATACTATGGACGACTTGACTCCGCCTCCCATCATAATGCGAATTTGAAGCCGAAAAGCTCTCGGTATTTCCAGGATTTTCTCCACTTCCTGGAACCACCACTTGCGCAGCAGCATTGTACGCACTCTCTCTATTTGATTGCTTATAACTCTGCACTGACACAAGATATGAAAATGACATGAATACGAAATATATACCTGGTCTTTTGTGCGGTACACTTTTTGTTTATATTGTTTATATATGATGTATTGATTCCAAGAAATATATAAGAGTGTAAAAGGTGTGACAACAAGCCCCGGTCTCCCCTATTTCATGTATTCATTGTTTCTCCTTTTTTTCTTTCGTGTTTATTTCTTTTGCACCAGAACATATTTTCTTGTAAAAGTCACAACTTTACCTTTCTCCCACCAAGGGGTCCACTATGCCCATTAACCACTAATGTTTCTTCACATACATATTCACACCAACTTCATTACGCTCCAGTGTCTACAGGTCAGTGACTTTAATTTGGATCACAAGAGACATCACATGTTCACAGTGACCCCAGTGATTTCACCATTGACCTTTAAAACTATTTCAGAAGAAGAAGAAGAAGTGGAAAAAAAAGTGAAAATAGGGACAGTTTAAGGTTAAAGACTGGACAATTGGAGGGTAAAGACTGTACTTCCTCTTCCTCCTCCTTCTGCCCCTTTTACTCCTCCTCCCTCCTCCTAACACCTGATTCTGATCACCATTCACCTCCCATCATCGCGACAAAAATCACCTTCATCACTGCGTCCCTGAACTCTGTCTGCCTGACTGAGCCGAATGAGGATACCTTAAGGAGTAAGTACCTCTCAATATATCAGTTGTTGACTTAAGTTATTCAGATTGAAATGTTTGTTTATCTTTGTGTGTCTGTACACTTTTATCCCTCCCCGGTGTCGTTTCAGGGCTCGTGTCAGCGGAGATGTTGGCAGGTGCGTTAGTTCTAGGCACCATCCTTGCAACTTTACCAGGTAAGAGAGAAAAACAAATAAAAATCTCAAACTTGATCTTAGTGTAAAATCTGAGCAGAACAGGTTAAGTTGAGTACATTTTTCTTTTTTAAAGGGGTGTCAAATGACCTGTTAGGGGGCACAATTGTCAGATTTTTGATTTGTATTCTGGGTGTATCATAGGATTACCACTATGCTGGAAAATGAAGTAAAATCTGTTTAAAAGTAATAGGCTCATTGTATCCACTATGCATATAAGGTCCTGTAGCCAGGTGCCCTTGCCTTTACACTCAGGTTATTTATAAGTATTGATTGCCTTTTGTGCAAGGTAGTCAGCCAGGCAGGCAGTTAGCAGTGCAGGACGACACCCCGGCTGCACATCGAGGCTCATTGTCACTGCTCCAGTTTTATGTGTCACTCTGAGCGAGGCTGTGGTTTGACATGTTTGACTCCTGAGATCCACAGTAAAGAAAATCTACAAATGTTTTTTTTTTTTTTTTCTGGTCTTAAACCCTCTAAACTGGTTTGACTTTATTAACTTCTATTTAATAAGTCTAATTGTTATTTGTGTATTTTTTATTTCATGGTTGAGAGTGTCTGGACAAACTAGATCAGCTCTTTATATTTTTCTTATTACATCTTTGCACATACAGTATATGTACAGTATATGAACTATTGTAGTTTTAGTTGTTACTGTGTAAGCATCTGTATCAATAGATATGGTTTCACATCAGATTTTATCTCTGGCATGAAACAGTATTTTATCACATTGTCTAGTATTACTTCATATCATACAATTTTACATCATATCATACTATACTGATACCTCATCATTTTGTAGCATATCCCATTGAATAGTATCATAGAGAGTTGTATTGTAAGATATTGTTTGGATGTATACTAGTATACTGTTATATTTGTGTGCACACCTATGTTATTGTCCTGCAGGTATCCAGAGCAGGTGGTCAGTTACATTCTCTCGTAAGGAGATCTGTGTGTGGGCAGGAACGACCGTCACTCTGCCCTGCCGTTATGACTACCCATCAGGTATCGAATAAATAAATAGGCCCTCTTCAGAGTTAGATATAAGGTTTTCATGCAGTGTTTTACAAGGTCATAAAAGCACTAGATGAAACAAGTCTAAGGCTGTGTCCAAAATGAATCACTCAGTCCCTAACCCCTAACCCCAATATGGGGTTTTACTAAATACTTGACTATGTAGTGAACTCAGTCACCGGAGGTTTCGGACACTACATGGCAAGCCGCAATGCATGACGGGATGCCCACCACCAGTGAGTGACCATTGGATGGTCACTACATTTTGCAACGCTCTATGGGAAATTTTGAGTCGCCTATATGGGGCACTGGAACTGATTATTTAGGTTTCGGACACCCCTCAAAATGGCACTGACCCCCATATAGTCACCTAGAAAAGGGTTAGGGATCCATTTCGGACACAGCCTTCATCTTTCTTTTTAATTTGTGTTGTTAGTCATATGTGCTGACCATCATTTTGAAGGTTTGGTTCTTGTGTTTCGCTCTGTAGGTCACACTGTGAAGCGAGTCATGTGGTTCCGGGTCTCTTCAGATGGTCGTAGGGAGTTCACTTACCACACAGACCCAAACCAGATCAGCCTGTCATACCGAGGGCGTGCACGGTAGGAGAAACATGCAAGTTTGAAAGCTCCTGTAGCACAAACAGACAATGTGAAATAAAACATGGCAAATAAATGGCAAATAAATGTTGGATTCCAGCTATATTGGGGGCAGCTACTCCAGCTGCTCGGTCCAGATCCGGGCTGTGAGGCTCAGTGATGCGGGCCAGTACCACTTCAGATTTGAGACCGACCAGCCACTGGGGAGGTGGACCTCCCCCAACACCATCACTCTGGCTGTGACAGGTCCGACTCAAAAAACTATCATAACAGTACTGCTATGGATAGAAACAGCCAGTCTGTTTGTGTTAATGTCCACTTATGTATTTCAGACCTTCAGGTTCAGGTCCATCCAGCAAGGCCTGCTAACATGTTTGGCTTTGGTGAGACTGTGTTTGTGGGCTGCCAGGCTTCAGGTTGTGCTGCTCCAGGAAGAAGCCTTGCTCTGTACAGGTGTGTTATTATACATGTGGGGTAACAACACTCACCTGGACAGATGCCTGGAGTATACTGGTATATATCTGAATATCTGTCCTGCACACAGAAACGGACTGAACCTGGGATCATACGAGAAATGGATGATTATAAACCGCTTTGACCAGCAGCATGTAGGAGCATACAGCTGCCGACCGATCCCACCACAGAACGTCCAGTCACCATCCCTCTCCATTAACTTAGGACGTGAGTAATCGCTATCAAACCAGTCAAAATAGATCGCCTTTTGTCTGAAAAAAAAGCTCTCAAAGTTTGTGTTGTCATAATGTTTAATGTTGAGAAACACGAGTTGTCTATTCTTCCCATTTTCCATCATCCCCCCTGTAGATGCCCCTCGCTCCACCTTCATAGTCGTCTTTCCATTGGGGGAACTGTTAGAAGGAGGATCAGCTACTCTGACCTGCAGTAGTGATGCAGCTCCACCTGTAGAGAGCTTTGCATGGTTCAAAGGTACGTGTTGATGTTGTGAGACAAATGTACTGCATGTAACGACACTTAATCTCTTCAAATATTTTGATGTAGTCTTTCTAATTTTAGAAATGTCTTCCTTCTTTTGCTCTCCAGACATGGAGAGCGGCAGCATCCCAGACAGTTTCAGTCCTCAGCTCCACCTGTCTCACCTCAAATACACAGACAGAGGAGATTACTTCTGTGTGGCTCGAAACTCACTGGGAACTGACCGTTCGAAGCCACTCCTACTCAATGTGACCTGTAAGTTGATCCGGACAAACGTCAGAACCAAAACTGAGCTCAGGATTTAGTTTAGGAGCAAACAGGCTTTTTTTTTAACTCATAACAGACCTGATGAAATTGTCTGCTTTGTGTTCTGTTGTGAAATCTGTCTGGGGTTAGTCTGGGTCACAGTGATGAGGCAACGGCTCTATTTTAACCACATAATCATAACAGCAATCATCTATCATGTGGAGGAAGTGAGACAAAGTGAAACTGCTGACTGTTCTTGCTACAGCTCTTACTTCTTTATTTATCGTCCACATCCTTTACTCTCACTGGTACTATTAGTCGTTTAGCATGAGTGCACAAGAGCTGCTGCCATGTCCCTCCACATTTTTCTGTCCAAAAGCTGTAAGTCTCTCTGATCAGGGACGGCATTTCCTTCCTGAAATGAAAATAAACATATCAGTGAAGATGTTGTTTTGTGCTCTGTGTCCACCTGCCTTATTAGACTCTCCAAAAAACACACGCGTGCTGGTGAGTCCTCCAGGGGACATCAAAGAGGGCTCGTATGTAAACCTGAGCTGTGTAAGCCAAGCTCACCCTCCTGCTAACAGGTATGAATGATACTTCTGCTGTCTTTTTTCTTTTTTCGGTGTTAATTAAAATTATGGTCAAACACCCAGTTAGACACCCCCTCGAGAGATGAATGTTGCCGACTGCTTGCTTCTCTGGTTATTCCAACTTCAGCAACGACCACACGATAGCAATACACAGCGGTCTACGTCTCCACGTGCAAACCTCAACCAAAAAGCCACTCTATAGCCACAAATAATGCTCAGAACAGCACCTAACTTCATCAACATATAGTGTCCCAGCCATAGTACTAGCCATCAAACATCTTTTTAGCTTTGACGGATTTCTTTAGCAAAGAGACTAAACAGAACTCACATATTCTCCTCCGGCAGCCACTTGTTTGTGGGGGAGCCCTGACGAGTCGATCAACGAGTGCAGCGGAAAATTTATGATTATTACTTCATGGAAATACAATCAGACCAAGACGCTAAAGCAGAAGAACTGCTGCATCTGCAGGACACATACAAGATACACAAGAACCCTGATCGCATTTCCATGAAGTAATGATCATAAATTTTCTTCCTTGAGCTGCAAAACTCTGCTGCCCCTTGGTGATCGACTCGTCAGGGCTCCCCTACAAACAAGCAGCTGCTGGAGGAAAGTGGGTGAGTTGTGTTTGGTCTCTTTGCTAGAAAGAAAACAGGCAAAGCTAAAAAGATGTTTGATGGCTAGTACTAGTCCTATCGCTGGGACCATATATGTACTGTTGATGAAGTTAGTGGCTGTTCTGAGCGTTATTTGTGGCTATAGATTGGCTTTTTGGTTGAGGTTTGCACGTGGATATGTAGACTGCTGTGTATTGCTATTGTGCGGTCATTGCTGAAGTTGGTATAACTAGAGAAGCAAGCAGTCGCATCATTCATCTCTCGAGGTGCTGTCTAACTCAGTGTTACTGTGTGTTTGACCATAACTTAAATTTATGCGGGAATATCCCTTTAAGTTCTGCTTAGTATTTCAGCTGATTTGTCAACATAATCTTCATTCTTGCGTTTCTTCTTTCGTATCATTTCAACCCACATCCACTGAATCCATACTGGATCCTGCAGGTATGCTTGGTATCATATTGTGGGCGACCAGGTGTTGAATAAAGGAAACTTCCAGAACCTGACGTTCCCCTCAGTGCGAGTTCGTCATGCTGGTCAGTACTACTGCACAGCGTGGAACCGGTTAGGATACCAAAGCTCTCCTTTGGCGACACTCACTGTCCTGTGTAAGTGGAGTGTGTGTGTTATTTATCGTGTGTGACATGTTTGCAGCCAAAGTTCTCTCTGATACTGAAATGTACCCAAAGAAAAAGTCTTTCTTATTCTCCTCTGTATGCAGATCCTCCAAAGAACACTTCTGTTCTGGCTCGCCCCTCCACGGTAGTAGACGCTGGCCGACCTTTGACCCTGACCTGCAGCAGCCAGGCCAACCCAGCGGTGGACAACTTCACATGGCACCGCCTAACTCTGGATGGGGGCTCTGTACAATGTTAGCATCGTAAAAATGTGGTTCCACTCAAGGTTAACATTACAACATCATCAACTCTATAAGCTGTGGTGGATATTTGCAGTCAGTGAGGTGTCATGCTCTCTGTGTGTTTCTGGACTGTCTGTTGGTTTGGATCCTCCATCACTGTCAAAGTAGATTTTCTCTCTTTCTGTGGCCCCTGCAGCATGGGGTACAAAGTCCGGACCTGTCTTCACCTTCTCGGAGGTCGGCCCTGGAGAGAGCGGTCAGTACTACTGCGAGGCCAGGAACCGGATCGGGGCCCACAGCTCTCCTGTCCTCACTGTGCGAGTTAGAGGTAAGAAATGATTTATACATGGAAACACTGGAACAGATAGAAATGCTGGCGTTTACCGATGTCGTATCAAGTTTTCGACTAACATTTGTGTTCTCCTGAGGATGAATCCAACTGACTTTGGTAGCTCCACCACAGGGTCAGGTTGCAGTTTAGACAGAAATATGTGTTAGTGATGGAAAGTACAACTTCCCGCAGAGAGTGGGGTCAGTGGTTCTTTTCCACTCTACTTGATATTTTGCTGGTGCCTCTACTTTTTAATCTTGAATCTTAAAGATTTGTTTTGTTTTTTTCTATGTAGCACTTTGTTCAGGTGCGGTGTGTACCCATCCCTACTTTAAGAGTTAAATGCTAATCAGCACCTCCTACAGTTCTACATTGTTACAGGTTTTAATCATCAACATCACATCCCTCCTGCTCTTGCGTTCCTCCACTGGCTCCCGTGCATTTAAGAATTGGTTTTAAACTTTTACTGATCACTTTTAAAGCTCATCTAGGTCTTGCCTCAAGTTTCACATGTAGAGATGTTGACACCATAAAAGCCATTTCTCAGCATTAGATGTTGAGGCAACCTTCTGGTCGATCCAAAGTCGAGCCTTCAATTGGAAAGGGATTGCTTTTTGTTTTTGTCGTTGTTTGTTTTTGTTTTGTTTTTTTTCATCAGAAAAAGCACCATCTGAAACAGCTTTACTGAGGAGATACGTTGTGCAGAATCAGTGATATCTTTTAATTCCCCTCTTAAAACTCACCTCTGACCACTTCTTAATTTCACTGAATTAAAGCTCCTGTGAGCAACTTTCAGGTTGTGTCAACTTTGGCGCCCCCTGTTGACAAATAAATATTTGCTACCTTTTCCCTTGTTGTTCCTGCCTAACTCGAGAGTACACAGCATAGAGAGAGCCATAGCTGTCAACAGAGCCGTCATTTATGGCATTATACATCTTTTCATTACATCAAATAACTTTTCTAAACCAACTTAACTTCTCAGAAACTCAGCAGTATGAGGATTAATTTTAATGAGATAACTTGTGTTGGAGTAAAATAGTCTTTGACTTCTTTGGTTTTTAAAGCCAGGCCCACGTTACATCTGTTCAGATGGAGGAGAACAGTTTGGTGAACTACAGTATCCTGCAGCAGTCAGCAGGGGGAGGTTTTGGCCTTACTTTTGACACTTTTTTAAAGAGCTGTGACGTTGCCCATCTTTTTAATGAGTCATTACCATAAATATTAAATTTGATAGTAAATGCTGGTATTAATATGTAGTGTAAGCACCCATATTCAGACATGATGTGTCTGAATATGTGCCAAAAACATCTAGGTGAGGTTTGAATAGAGTATGAATATCAATCTTTGGCATCTACACTTGGTCGACCAGCAAAAGCAGAAAACATTATCAAATTGGTTTAAATGCCGACTGGAAGGAGCAGTTAGAAAAAACTGACAAGGAAACTTTTACGAAGAAGAAAAGATGACTGCACGGCGACTCTCTAACATGTCAAATAAAACAAATGTGACCCTGAAATTCCGAGCGTGTTGATTTTCATCAGTTGTGAATGATGCCGCTACATTCACACTCTCTCTAATGTGGTTCAGTGGTCGATCTCTCTAGACTTACTGTCTTCGGTTACTCTTCTTTGTACATGTGATTGTCATCTCCAGAAGTGTCATGGACGGGGATGATGTGTTGCTGATAAGCTCAGTGAAACTCTCCGGCCTTCCTGCGTGCATCTATGTTTCTGGTTAGCTCAGACAATGAGCTGAAGATGAAGCATGTTTTCTGTTATGGCACACAGGACGCTGGGATGGTTTTTATTTTTCTTTAACTTGACGAGTGATGAGACCTCCCTTGTCTCTATCACAGCGTGAGCCTCACTCCGTGCTGTGTATGGTGTCATGGTTTCTGGCTGTTTTTCTATGAGTCATTGTGAGTCATGTTAATTCATCTCTCTACGAGGAGAGAGGAAGGAGGTGATGAGGTGTTGTGGAAAACTACTATTTGAGTCTAGACGGATGAAGTTGTGGAGGTTTTTTGGAAATCAGAAATGGAAACACAAGTCTAGACGCTTGAAAGATGATGCACAACTCTTTCCTCTTTCTTCACTTTCTCTCTTTCTATTTTTATATCTTCTGCTATTTTTATGGCTCGCTGTGCTTCTATTTTTATGCATCATATTCTAACTTTTTCTCTTTTTCCTAAACTAAGTTGTAAACTGACTGTCTTTTTTTCACTGGCAGGTCGTCTGAAGGCGATCGCCCTGGCGTCAGCTGTAGGTGTGTCTGCTGGACTCATCACCCTCACTGTGGCCATCATGATCAGGTGACCAAAATATCAGAAATGAATTCTTTCAGAGCAGTTTTGTCTTGTTTCATGGAAAAACACACAATTCTTTAGTTTGCATCCACTTTATTCACACAAGGCTATTTTTCCTCTTGAGTGGCAGCTGTGTGTGACAGACAGCTGAAAGTCAGAACAAACTGAAAGTTGTACCGTGCCCACCATCAAAATCTGAGCCTTGGGTGCCTTTACAGTTAGGATGAGGCTGGCTCAGGTTTAAACTCAGTATCAGACCTCAGACCTCAGTATCTTGAGAACAGAAAGATAAACTTGTTAAACTTCTAAAATGTCTGTGAACACAGTTTATCTCTGTATTTATCATAGCAGTTTCCAGGCAAATAGAAAAACATTTCTTATATATAAAAATGATCGATGATCAAAAACTGACAACTTTTTTGGGTCAGAGTCCACATCAACACAGAACACTGTATCCAGGTTTAAGAGCAACAAAGAGAGAGAGAGACCTCAAATATTTCAGTTAAACCAGGTTCTGCACCTGCGTGGCTCTAAGACAGTCTGGGTCATAGACTGTATATAGAATGGACGCCGTCTGCCTCCTCGCTGGGTGACACCACCATGAGAACAGCACCCTCTGGTGACAGGCTGCAGTATAGGCCATAAATCCCACCTCCTCCAGCAATCCCTATGGAGCTGTAGACAAACTTTAGAAATTTATTCCACAGAATATACATTTTTCTCCTCCCTGGTTGCGATGTTGACATGTAGTTATTGTAAGACTGTTTTGTGCTCAAGTCCTCTTTTTCCTGTCCAGCTCCATCTTTAAAAGTAATTAGGGGGTTCATGTTTTCTATGATTGACACTTGGGTGTACAAAGATTGGGTAGCTCACCAGGGGATACGCTGTTTGAGCCGAGTGCCATCAAAGCGACTCTCGGGGACTCTCCCACCAAATGCGTAAAATGCTACTGCGCAAGTGGTGATTTCTGGAAAATCACGGAAATACAGCGAGCAATTCTACTTTAAATTCCTAGAATGACGGAAGGCGGAGCCAAGTTGTCCATTGTATATACAGTCTATGGTCTGGGTACTAAACTGGTCCTCCTGCATTTACAACCTTTACTTATTGAAATTATTATGCTTAAGATGAAACAAAAAAAAACCCACAAAGTATTGTATAATCACATTTTTTTGAATGAAACCGATTATTTGTCTGCAGTGATGATACTTTCAGTCAGAATGGCCAACAACTTGCCACACAATGGTAACACACAGTATTTAAATTTTGTATCCTGAACAATATGCCTGACTGTTTTTCAGAGTCCTGCATATTTAATGGATATTTTATGGAGTTTGATCTTCACTGTTTTATTTTACATCACATTTGTGGCAGGGATCAGCACATGGTAACAGTTTGACACTTTTGTCCTCTTGTTGTCACAGTAAGAACATGCACAGAGTTGACATGGAGTCAGGAGAAATACCAAACAAGGTAAAATATACAAATTCTTTGGTTTGATCATTTCACTCATCAGCTTCTCCTTTTGGTAGAGTTTATAGCCTACTACTAAAACCCTGACGTGTCAATATCCTGCTTAGAAACCCTCAGTTTTACTTATCCTTTGTCTACTGTTTGTGATTATGTGTGTGTTTGTGTGTGTGTGACCCCAGCGTCCATCAGTGACAGCTGACACGGTGTTCTATGAGTCAGCCCAGCAGACCTTTCCAGTGAGGAAGGGTATGATGTCCGACATACCGGTACACAGTCCAACAGCACACACTCTTGGATTCCTACATCTCTCTGCAAACGCATGACAAAATGCTTCATAGATACATGTGTGCGTATGTGTATTTGTGTGTGTATATGTGTGCAGGAGGAACCAGAAGACTTGAGTGACAGCTGCCACCCAGCCATCGTCCCCCTGAAAGATGCTCCACCAATCACAGAAGTTGAAAGTCGCAGCCCCGCCCCTAATTACATCACTGTCCACTACTCCAAGCTGTCCAAGTAAACATCTAAACCTTCTCAGTCTCTCACTCCTCTTTCTGTCTGTTTCACTCTCCTTCTTCCTCTTTTACTTTTCTCTCTCTCTCTCTCTAAGATTCTGGCATTTTCTATCTTACCATCTGTCTCCCTGCAGACCGTCGACCGCAGAAGTAATGTACAGCTCTGTGTCTTGTATGTCACAGATTTTATTTTACAGCTACACTGACCTTCTTCCTTTCTTCTTTATCTTCCTGTCATCACTTTCTCTGCATTTTCCACCCCTTGTCTTTTCCTCTATCTCTCCTCTCTTACTTCTGTGATATCCAGCACCTTCTTCAGTTTACGAGAGGACGATAAATTTCTTCATCCTGGTTTTGAATGTTTAAAACATTTTAATGGTTTTGGAGCAAAATCAAGACTTTTTTTTTCTATGATGTGATTTGAGTCACATGTGAAGATGAACTCATGTGGCTGCTTTTTGTTGTCATGGGTTTCAGTACAGAGCAGGTGCAGGTCCACAATCTACCACAAGGGGGAGATAGAAAGCTGAAAGATTCCTCCAAAGTTGTTTACACGTTGCTGCAGCAGCCTCGGCGTTAACCAGAAGAGACAAGCAAAATCAGGTCTGAGTGTATTATTATTCTCATGATGTTATAAACAAATATTATATATTTATATTTAATTTTAAACTCACTTTTTCTCTTACCTACCTTCCATGTTACTCACCTACAAATCAACTAGTTAACTTTTTCTCACATCCCTACTTTTGACTTACTGTCCCACCTACTTTCTTCCTAATTTAAGTACTTATCTAACCACTAACCTCTCCACTGACCTTTCACAGCATACTTCCTAACCTGAACAAATCCTCTAACTTATTCTCACCTAGAGAGGAGCGTTGGACATGAAGTGGATCCCTGTGGATGCTGCTGATGCCTCCTCTGGCTGTCCTGGACTGGACGTGTAGATGTGGATGCTCCAAAGTTCACCACACCATCAGGGTCTTTGAATTGACTTGAATTCCAGCTCCACAACTACGCTCTATGTCTCTCCTGGTGTTTTCTATGCATTTTATCACTGTATGCTGCCTTAAAAGAAGAAATGCTTTACAAATGTAGCTTGCTCTCACATCCACAGCACATGCTGAATATAAACTGTTGCTGCTTTGTTGCTAAAAATTTACTCTGACTTTTCAAGAATATGTTAATGACACAAAGTGACTGGTTGCTGCTTGCATCCTAACAACTGAAAAGTGATGATTGTTTGGAATAAAACTTTATTCCTCTAAAGAAATGGACTGTGTTTAAAATCAGGCGTACTGTTTCTTACATCTAGAGTTGGATGTAGGGGAGCATTGCAAGCACATAACAAAAACAAACATTATGTACACCAACTCTGCATAATGATGCCATCATTGTCACACACTTCAATGGCATGAAATTCAGTCACAACAAGCATCACTATGAGCGTATTTTCATGAAATAAAGAAAAAGAGCATTTTTAATAATGCAGCATTTTAAACCTTAGATTTTGTGCTGTATTTGCCTCATAATTACAGACAAAAACTGACATTAGTCCAAGTTTTTTTTCCCCTTATATTTGCCCCCAGAAAACGGTCACCCAAACTTTTTATTGTTTCATGCAACTCTTATTATCCCTTTATTTAGCGAAAGACTTCTCATTAATGTCTGACAAAGAGATCATTTTTCTTGTGTTTCTGCTGTTTGTCCCAACACAGCAATGCATGATGGGATATATATTATCTAATCACTGATCATTGCAATTCTACTCCTTTTACGATACGATTATGAGAGATTACGAGTCTATTTTACAAGATATAGTTCCCACTCATAACTCAGGCAGTGATACGAAATGGCATGAAGTTGTATGAATAGTTCAAAGCAGCCGTAGATTAGAGGGAAGAAAACAGGAAATGAAGAAGAAGGGAAATTCAATACATTTTAAATTATATATATAATTATAAAAAATATCTACAAATATGTGACTCTATTAAATGTAAGCATTTAAGTCAGATAATTATGCATTTATTTGTCATTTATTCCTGATCCTGCAAGGTTTGTTCTATACAGCTTGCATTATGAAACTATTTGAAGAAACTGAAAACATACACAAAAATGTTGTTCCTATTTTCTGGATGTTGTTTACATCATAAACCCTGATAGTTTGCCACGTTTGCTAGTTTTGCAAACACTAATAAAACATTTACATAAAGACTTCTCATTAAAAAAACGTACAAGATTTTGTTTTTTAATAAGACTATATTTTTTCCCCAATATGAAACTAATGGTTGGATATGGAATTTGAAAAAGTACCCCCTCTCCCCTTTGTTCATGGTTCTCTACGTTCTTTATTTCACTGTTCAAAGTGCATAATAAGTTTGACAAGAATATTGTAGGGGGAAGAAAATTCCCTTATCTCTGTTTGCTCTACTTACTTCTGTTATCTGTTGAGGTTATAAATGTGCAGCAGCAGAAAATAAACAATTAAAAAGTCCCTAATTTACCCTAATTTGTGAAAGAACACATTTCTACTTTTTCATTGTGTTGCAATTACAGTATATCACTCCACATGCAGGATCTTCCAATATGTGGAAACCCCTTCAGTGCAGAAAACCCCATTCAGGAAGAAAATATAAATGTCTTCACTTCTCTTATTTCACTGCTCAGAAGAACTTTTTGGTGTGATAAAACTTGTCCTTTTTGTAACGCTTCCTTTATGTAAGGCTTGAGTCTCCATCATGAGTGTTGTAATGTACTTGAATTTATAACTATGATAACAAAGTTCATCATCATCTTTGTTGATGCTACAAAAGGACTTCCAACCATCTTGCTCTTCTTCTCTCTCCTTTAATATAAACCATTTTACACAAGAATTAGAGGTATATGCCCTTCTGCTGCTAAAAGTATAAACAGACTCTGAAAGGTAAGGCATTTGCTATATTCCAGAAATGTGAATTATGGTATGAAATTCAACTTTTATGCCCATGAAATCAGGTACTTTGGATGCTGTGAGAGTCACCTGCCTGGTCAGGTTTGGGCACGAAGCCTTTTCACAGTGTTTAAGGACAAAATAGATGCAGATTTATACACACAAGAGATGCATGTAGGTTATCAGCTTTAATAGTTAACTCATGCAAACTGCAAAGTCATTAGAACTGGCTAATGAAGGAAGATGGAGGAACAAATGTGAAAAAGGCTTTAGCTAACATTTACATCTATTCTATTGTAAACGAGGCCCTGCTCTGTTATTGTAACCCCACCACTATTTTACTCTCATGGCTGTGCAGTCCAGTTACACCACCCTGTGGACAAGAATGGATCATGATGCTGCTAAAAAGTGAGGTCCGCTCAAATGAAGTGACAGCCTCTCCACTGAAATCTCTCTAAACTGACGCTCTTTTTCTGCCTCCAGAGCCGAAGTCTGTGGGCAGACCTGGACCTGGTGTGCCTCATGGATTCAGTCAGAGAATCAGACCTCTTCTTTTCCACACACTTCCACTTGGATTTTGACTTTCTTTTCTTTGTTTTACAGCTATTTAGCAACCATCCACACTCTTTCTGACGAACACAAGCTCAACATCACGGCCGGTGGTTTTGAGTTTGATAACCACATAATCCTCCCGTTCGTTATCTGCACCACTTATCCTGTTCAGGGTGAGACTTTGAGACTATCCCACAATCAGGACTGACATATGGACAGACATCCAAACACACTTACACAGAAAATAAGAAATATGGCCTTACATGCATGGGGAGAAGGTGGCTCAGGAAACCAGAAACTGTTCTTGCTCTGAGGCAACGGCTCTAGCCATTGCACCACCATGGATGGCTTTAGTTCACAGCCAGGTGGTGACACCAATGTATTAAAGTTTTTTGTAAAGTCATTCAAAGGATGATCCAACTGTCTTTTTCTCACCGCTCCCTATCGCAGTCTCAGGCTTCTGTCCTTCAGTCTTATTCCCATCTGTGTTGTCATTTGTTGTGTTTTACCCACTTAAACTCTAAGGGCCCAAAACCTTTTGGGGCATGACTAAAACAGTACTTGATTCACACTGTGTAAGCCCAATCGATTTATTTATTTAGATCACTGCCTTTCTTTCAAAACCTGGTTCAGGGGTCATGACTAAAACAGGAAGGACACTAAAACAAACTACAAATTGTGAACGCTTGATTTTGATCTAATTTCATCGAATAATTTTCATCTAATTTTCGAGGGGATATACAGTACTGTGTTGTAATTTCACATTCAGTCAGTGTCTCTTTTTTTCTTTTGGCAGTTTGAACAGTTTTTTTTATTTTTTTGAGTAGATCTAGATGATTATGCTGTTACTCATGTGGGTTTCTCTGCTGTAGCTGACATGATCTGCTGTGAAGAGACTTGGACGTTCATTATGACACAGTGCTCCGTCCCCAGTGTGTGAGGAACACAGACTTCTACTTCTGCTTTTCACTCAACAAAATCTTCTCAGAGAAAAACAGAGAGCCATAAGTTCTCTGGATTTAGAAAGTGAGTACTTTCACGGTTCCCTAACGTGTTAAATCGTGGGATTTTTTTGTTCAGAGCTGTACCTTATATCATGTGTCATGCTGTTTCAGGCTGGTTTAAAAAAATGGAGAGCAAGATTTTGATCTTTCTGGTAACTTTGCAAGGTAGGAAACGCATTCATTTTTTTTAACCTTTGGTGAAACGGATATCCAATGTTAGCTTAGAAAAACCAAAACGCGTGAACTTTTGAACTAGATCTGAAAATGAAACTTCATACTTTTACATAATTTATAAAAATAAAGAAATAAATAAAAGACAATAACACAGCATTTTTTCTGCCAGTAGTTCACACTGTAGCATGATAATAAATCAAGAAATTTTAAATAGAATGTAACCCATATAAAAGTTAAAATAAAATGCGCGGAAAAATTAACATCATGCTTTAAAAAACTTGAAATTAGATTCCTTTTAAGCATTTAAACTAAACAAGTTTTTTTATTATTATTATATATATATATATTTTGTGTTATCTGTGAGCTGCGGCAACAAAATGAGTCATCTCACCTTAATAAAACTGACTGCAACCAATGCAACAATAATGATGTGAAAACTATCCAATTTTTGTAAATGCGTCACATTTCCACTTGATAAAGCTCATGTTTACTGAATAGCAAGATGAGATTCAAAAAAGTACAAAACTGTAGTAAGGTGGAATCCAATTAGGAGCTTTTAAGTGGAATACCTGTTTCATTGTTGTGCGCACATCCATGTCAGAGATATAAATGTCCAGAAATAATGTTTCAACATTCATGTTTTCATGAACTTTTTGGGATGAATATCGTGTCATCTGAATTTTTCTTCAAGAATAACAGGATTGGTCACCTGTTCATGCTTGGGGTACTTAATGGGTCTACTTTCCGTCCACCACTTTGATGATGAAGTTTTATTTTTTCACCACAACAGGTTGCGTTTGTTCACAAAGGGAAAATAGTGATTTGAGAGTTTGATTGTTGTTGTTAATCAGACTCAGTGAGATAAAAAGCAACAATTGGTCCATAAATTATGTTTCTTCCTTGTTTTGCCCGTAGGTGTGTGGAGCTGGAATGTGGTCGCCAAGGATCGGTGTGCTTTAAAAGGAGCATCAGTGGTGATAGAGTGCCAGTATGACTATAATCTCTTTTATATTGTCACTTCAGTGCAGTGGAGTAAAAGACTGCACATGTCTGGGAACCCCAAACTGGTCCCCCTTTCTCAGATCTCGTCAGTCCAAGGTCGCTTTAAATATGTGGGTGACAAGAGTTCTAACTGCGGTCTGCAGATCAACGATGTACAAGATTCTGACAAAGGACTGTACGTTTTTGAATTTTGGACAACCCTAGGAGGACCTTACACCAGTGAAAAACCAGCTCAATTAACTGTGTCAGGTAATAGAAGGATAAAAACGTCTAACATCTCTCTGGTCTGTTTGGTTTTAGTTGAAAGGTTTCTGTTAAAATGTTTTTTGTTTGTGTTTCTGAATCAGACTTGGTCGCCGTTGTTCATCCCAGCACTGTGACTGAGGGAGACAAAGTCAGTCTGACCTGCAAGTCAGACTGTCTCACACCTGTAAAACCGGTCTGGTTCAGAGATGGAAAATTTGTGTCTAGAGATGTCTTCTTGGCCAGAGGAGAGGACGGTGGGAGGTATTACTGTGCAGTATCTGGACAAGCGAGAGTCAGATCGGCCTCTGTGGTTCTTAATGTTCGATGTAAGCACTCAAACAGAGATATGCACGGTTTATTCAAAGTAGACCTACCTGCAGTGTCATGTGTTTCACTTACACCTAAAAGAAATCTTTGGTTTCCTCACTCAGATGCTCCCAGGAGAGTCTTACTGTCAGTGAACCAATCACCAGAGGTCATTAAAGGTGAAGCAGTGACTTTCACCTGTAGCAGTGATGCAAACCCATCTGTGACGCAGGGCGGTTACAGCCTGTACAAAGATGGACGTCCCGTAAGCACAGGGTGGACTTACACAATCTCTCACGTCCAGCCGAGTCACAGCGGACTGTACCACTGTCAGGCCTGGAATAACATCAGCAGGTCGGGAACAGACCTGTTTAACTCCACCGAGGTTCATCTCGATGTCCAGTGTAAGTGTGCTGTCTTATACACAGAATTGTTTTCTTTTTCTTTCTTTTTTTCTGGTTTGATTCGTCCAAGATACTGTAATGCTGCTGCTCACACAAAGAAACCACTCAGGTAGCAAGTTGTTGTGCTTGTGCAAGAGAAAAAAAAGTACAGTGATGTAACAGTCATTGCAGTAACACTCAAATCAGGAAACAATTCACAATTTAAAACTTCCCCTGTTCGATTACAGTTCCTTTCTGCCTTGACAGTATGTCTGTAAATAAGTTTCTCCTGGTAAAAACTTCCTTTTTTTGAAAGTACTTGTGAAAGTGCGATAACAACTTTTGACTTGGGTTGCCAAACCGAGGGGTGTCTGCGGTCTATTCATCCACAAACACACAAATTAACAGCATTTATCATCTTATTTTTTGCTATTATTTTCAACAAATATCCTAAAGTTGCTATATTCTTGTGTTTATATTTTATTTTATTGAACAGAAATACAAAGAGGCTACACTAAGACACATTCAACTTAAATCTTTAAAGGCTAGGAAAAAAAGACATTTTTCCAAGTCAACATTTGAGGCTCCAACCAAAGAAAAAGTCCAGAATTTAAAAACAAAGACAGACACGAACATCCTGATACAACACAGCAGCTCATCACAAGACACACGAAGGCCGCTCTTTGGAAAATTTCCACCTCACAAAGCCACAGTCCCTACAAACCTTCATTCAAAGCTTTTAAAAAGGAAACTGCAGTATGGCAGGGGGTTTTTCTCTACACTACATTGTCTACTTGCAGGATTTTTGAGGTCCTTAAAGTCCCACTCCATTGTTTTTTGTTTTTTTTTTTTACTACTTCAAGTGTTCTCAGTGGTCTTTAAGTTGTGAATTAGCGATTCACCTCTGAGTCGTGGGCGGAGACAGCACTGCTCTGCACACTTCTCTTTATGCTAGTTTGCAGCCGAACATTGCCGGTGTAGTAGAAATGGCAGGTAGCATAGGAGTTATTCAGCTCTGGGACACTAATGTCTTTGAGGGCATCATGAAAGCTAATATCACAATCAACTTTCTTACAAGCGTTGCAATCCGCTAACGCACACGCTTGTTCAGCTATCGTCCTCGCTACTTCTCACAGTCTGGCCTACAGAGCCTGGCTCTGGGGGCGGAGCTTGGATTTGTGACATAGGAAATCTCACTGTGTCTGAGCCTGCTGTTTGGGTCTGCCAGAGGGTCACTGTGATTTGAATGCAGAAATACTCAGAAATGCTATTTTGCACTTATTTTTCTCATTATGTGTCCTGTAGCATCAGAAAAATGCAACATGAACATGTGGACAACAAGAAAAACATGTTTTTCATTGAAGTGGGTTTTGAAGAGATGAGTGTACGTTGTGAGGAAAGAATAAAAAGGCAGCTCTGTCTTGTAAATTATGTCTTCAGGAGAGTGCTGTCAGTGCCTTTGTTAACATAGATTTTTTTTGTTTCTTTGTTTTTTCCTTTTTTAGACCCTCCAGAAAATATTTCCGTTTCAATGACCTCTCCTCATGTGACTGAGGGCAGCGGTATGAATCTGACCTGCAGCAGCTCTGCTAACCCTGCAGCTGTAAACTACACCTGGTTCAGGAGGATATCTTCTCCCAACTCCAGCTCTCTGCTCCAGGTGGGGTCAGGACAGGTGTTGTCTCTGCCGTCTGTGGAGGCGTCCCATACTGGACTCTACCTCTGCCAGGCCAGGAATACACTGGGGGAGAACAACTCCACAGAGGTGCTGCTAACAATGGCGGCGGAAAACTCTGGTTTGTCCAATAACAGACACAAATAATCTTTTTGAAAGATTGACTTTCAAATGTTTAGAAACTCTGATATTTTAACGTTATTCATTCATTTAACATTTACACTAATCTAACCTCATTTTATGTGTCTCCAAAGGCATTCAGTCTGTCCTAGTCTTAGCTGGAGTTGGAGTCTTTCTCCTTCTGTTGCTGCTGTTCGCTCTTCTGTTTTTCTGGTGAGTCAAAGTGTGACCTGATGACTCGTCATTTTCACCCTATATATGGGCATATTTGATTTTTCATGATGAGTAATATTTCTCATGTTTACCCAATTTTACCACCACTGCCTGTGTAATGGTGTGTGGTTTATGTGTCATCTGGGTGAGTTCAATTCTGTAGCGACCTTTAACCCAGTTGTTCTTCTCATCTGTGTCTTAGAGTCAGTGATGGGATTTCACTATAAAAGCTTTTGATATTTTAACATTCTGATTCAGTGATTATGATATAAGCAAATGATACTTTTATTTATTAAAATGTATCACAGACTAGTATAATAATATAGATGCTGATAAATGATATATACTCTGCCCTGACTCTATGTTTAAAGCTGATAAATTTGAAGTTATGGATGAAGAACTAGGCTTCCTCACTCAGGAACTCTGGGTAGGTTCACCGATGAACCTTTGACCCACACTGAAAACATTTCAAATTTACATACAATATGTGTGTCATACATTTCCACACAGCAAGGACATTGCCAGTCAGTATCTGTGTAGTAAGCAACAGTTGTAGAGGTGTCAAACGCTTGTGTTTCCCAACTTCCCGTTCCTGTTGAGTGATGCAAAAGATTATACAAACGTGTTTTTTCTTGTTTTGTTTGGTAATATATTAGTTTTATTTTTTTTTATCTTGCTAGGAGGAAAAAGATGACCTATGGAAAAAAAAGAGTGAGTACATCTGATCAGATTTGTCATTAAAGAGGTAGCATAGATTGAAAAAGGACCTTGAAATAGGATATCAGTCATTCAAACTGCCTACCTAAACTTCTGAGGCTAATTACTGCTAACGACAATGTCAGAGATGCTGAAAACGTTTCTTAATCTGTTGAACAAGATGCCGTAAATGCTGGTGTTGTTCTCTCATATTTAATGTGAACATCTTGTGACTACATTCTTAGATAACATCATACACAACACCTCCAGCAGGGAAGTTTGAGCACTTCAGTGACTGAAGATCCATTGGACAACATTTACATGAACACCAGCGCGCTATCATCCTCTCCTCGATCAAAGACGGGGTCCCGCAGCAAACGAGATGCCAACATGGTGCACAAACATGTATTTTCAACACATCTCCACTCCCATCAATCAAATACCTGTGTGTCGAGTGAATTGACGCTTTTCTTTCTCTTTAGGCTCAAACATCTCAGGGGGATGACGTTACATACACAGAAGTGACCATCAAACCTCAGGGGGATGATGTTACATACACAGAAGTGACCATCAAACCTAGAAACCCTCATCCTCAACTTCTCAAGAACAACAACAACAGGGCAGTGAGGGACTCTGGGTAAGTTCACTGGCACTAAGAATAATAAAACATGGCATAGTTAAGTTTTAAGTATTTACATTAATGGGATGTTTATTATTATTATTATTATTATTATTATTATTATTATTATTATTATTATTATTATTATTATTTTAAATCAATTTATTTAAGTTTCTTAAATACATATAAAATAAAGAGCTGCATAAATCTGTTATTCTGAAAATAATTTAGTTTATGTCATTGAGATATGATGAGCTGTGGATCAATCAAGTTTCATTTCGTTAGAATTCATGAGATAGAAACAAATTGGAGTTATTAATGATGAATATATAAGTCTTCATTATTTATTCTAAACATATTGAGTTTATTGGTATTATTACATAAATCCAATTCATAATTGTTTCATTTATATTTGAAAGACAAATATGCAACACATATCTAAGTAATTCAAATGGATGGAAATGTTGTATTCAATGAGGCCAAAATATTTCTGAGTGTGGCAACCTTTGACCTACACTGAAAAACATGACAAATTTACATACAATATGTGTGTCATACATTCCCACATACCCCCCGCCTATGATATCATTCAGGATTAGGATAATTTCATTTTTTCAAGTAATAAATACATTAAATACTGTTTAATATTCACTCTAAATTAGCATCACACAGTTTTTTAATGTGTAATCACTCCACTCTGGATCAGATCAAATGTACTCATCCTAAAGTTTGGAAACACCATCAACTCAAAAAGGGAAATCAAGGCCAAGACATCGATGAGTCATGAGGCATCACTGCAGCTGTGAATAACAGCTCATGTGTTTATCGTAAGAGAGGCTAAAAAATAACAGGAAACATCATTTCCTTCTCAGGTCCAGAACAGGAGAGAACGAGGACTCAGTGATCTACTCCACAGTGACTCGATCCCGCTGAGGATGACCGTCACCCGTCACTCCTTTGACTTGAGTTAATTTATCAGGAAAATAATAAGTTCATGTGAAGCTGTCTCTCATAAAGGTTCAAAATTCTACGTTTTGGACTCTTACAGGGTCTAAAAGCATGTGAAATGCTTCTTAAACTGTAAAGCTTTAATGACTGCTTCATTTTTTTCTCTAAAACTTCTGACAATGAAAATTACATTGTCTTTCTGTTGTTTACATACACTAGTTTGTTCAGTGTCTTTCATAATATATTTATAGATATTTAACTTAGGCCTAGGTATTTTTGATAAGCTCATGTAGTAAATTTTATTTAAGTTTGCTGTGTATGTGGATTCAGTTTTGTTACAATATTAAAGATACTGGTATCTAAAAATAAAGACATCTTTTTCTCAGTGTGAAACTGCATGTTTTTATTTCAGTACAGCACTCAATGCAACACATCACATATCACAATACTGCTTTTTTATGTCTTACTTAGTATAAATGTACACACACTGGTCAGTGGCTTTATTTCAAAGGGGGAAATGCAGTGGCTGTGGCATCAGCAGATCACCTATGTGCAGTCAACATTATTCACGACAACGTTTGTCATTTTCCAGGCGACCAGGCTGTTTTTGTAACAGTTTTGACGGCTACAATCCACAGGACAGATTATCTCATTTAAACTCTTTTTTTTTTTATGTCTGAGGTCTTAAAGTGAGAAGATGTTCAGCGGTGCAGAATCCAGGTTTTGCACCAACACCACTAGGATATGGACTCTGAAAACAGCAACAATGCAGTCCAAAATGAGACCTTTTTCTGAGCCTTGTTTTCGTGTTTTATATCTCAAATGACAGTTTGGAGTTTTTTTTTTTTATATTACACTCAGTACAAAGTAGAGCATCCACACTCATGGCAGCTGTGGATATAAGACATTATTATTTGATGTGAGTAATCGGTAGATATTTTCAAATATTTGTGATTGCTATCAAACCTCTGACTCAAAAATCTTTGGATCATGAAGACTCATAAAACATGTCTCAATAAAAATCTACACATTAACAAATATTTACAAGACAACAACAAAATGTGGATTTCAATATTACTGAAATCAAGTATCTTCACCTTTTACAACATGGACAGATTGTGTCTGAAAAAATTGTTTTCATTTAACAAATCACTGCATACAAGGAGACACTTCAGGTGATAGTTTTGATCAGTGTGGTAATTTCACAAAATAATGTTAATTTTGTCCGAGTTGAAACTACTCATTCATGACCAAAATTGTCGATCTTTAGCTGTGCGTGTATTTTCATGTTTTACACTGTAAAAGTACTAAATGCGTACAGATAAAAAGAGCTTGGCTCATGAGAAAACTTTGCTGATCATTATACTTTCCAAAGCTGCAGTGAGCATTCATTGTGGCTTAATGGAGCCCGATACGTAACAATGACCGAAATTATAATAATAATAAAAATTTAAAAAAGTAATAAAGCCAGAAATGTAATGATTAGTCAATAATGTAAGAAAAGAGTTGAGCCAAATGTAACTAAAGCTATGTAATAAAACCCTTAATGTAATAACTGACCCAAAATGTAAAAAGTTTTTACATTTTGAGGTTTTATTACATTTATTTTTATAACATTTTGGGTCATTCTTACGTATTGGGCTCTAACATGGCTCACAGCGTTACAAGAGGCACTGAGGTTATTATATATATATATATATATATATTTGCAATGACATCTTGTGCTAAATAAAGCAAAATTTTACATAGCCTAACGGGTGTTTTACTCACAAGTGAAAGAGATTACTTTGAACTTGATTTCTGGAAACCTTAAAGCAGCTGAGACAGGAAGGGTTCATGGAAGTTCAGTAAATTAATTTAAACATTTTCTTCCTTTTATCAAAGTTAAACTTAACTTAATAACAAAGTCAGTCATCTTTGGACATCCATAAGCAGCTATAGTTTGGGTAGACATTTCATTAAGTGAGATTCAGAAAGTGGTCAAATCCTCACTACAAAGGTTGAAGGTAAGAAAATCCATGATACGACGTGGACACCACAGTATTTCAATCCTCTGTCAAACAGTCATGGTCTTGGTCTTCCAATGTAGCCATCCAAGAGTAAAAATAAAAACAGCAGAGCAGAAATCTCATGTCCGGGCCATTTTGTGGAGTCCAGCTGAATTGTTGTAGTTCTAGAGAGGAGACAAGAGTGTGGTTTAATATAAAAATATTTAACAGCTTTGTGGTTCAAACTTCATACTCTTTAAAAAGTATGCAACCATATTCTTGTAGTTTTGACATAACAAATGTGTGAAAACATATCATATTTCCTTGATTCGACAAACTCGTACTCTATAGATCTCAACAAAACACACATGTCCTCTGCCAGCTATTCTTTTTAAGCTTTAACATGGTGCTGAATGAAATACTTCAACTTCCATTTAAAAGAAAACGCAGAGGACATCAGAAGTGAACAATCTCTCACCCTCATGGCTGTAGATATCCAGGGCAGAAATCGGGACACTCTGGTATAGACGCCAGGTTTTTTGGCCATGGCACAGCCTGTCCCCCAGCTCACCACCCCGAGCAGACGATATCGATTTGTCTTTGACAGACAGTCATCTGCTACGAACGGGCCACCGCTGTCTCCCTGAAACCACAGATGTTCAAAAAAATAAAACACACAAAAAACAAATCAATGACACATTTCCCTTATCAGAAACCCAGAAACCCAACCAGTAACAGAGCAAACACAATCAAACCCTGACCTGGCAGGAATCGATTCCTCCTTTCTCATAACCTGCACAGAACATGCTGGTAGTAATCTGGTTGTCGTAATAATCAGGACCGTTACAAACATTATCACTGATGATGGGGATGTGAGCTTCCTGAAGAACATCTGCTTGATGACCTGAGAGTGAGAAATTTAAGGAAACCATTTTTAAACACCAATTATCACCAGATATATTATCTTCTATCTTAATCCTGTCCTTTAAAAATGCTGTGATAGCAACTTCTGAACTGTGCCAATGAAATGCAAAGCAAGCAATTGTCATGCAACGTCTCCTTTTCTGCTGTGTGTTAACGCTGAGCTGGAAAACAAACTCACCGTAGTATCCCACATTTCCCCAGCCTGTCACTGTTCCCATCTGTCCGTCTACCAGTCTCTGACCGTATGCTGGCAGGCAAACAGGCTGGATGTATTCTACACAGAAACAAAAGTATGGGTGAACACAGCATGAAAAGTAATAGTACTTCACATAACATCGACAAATATCATTATCCCATAGTGGTCATTATAAATCAAATACCAATGTGACATGTAAAGACAGAGACAGTGGAGGTGCTTACATGTCAAAATCTTTGTTTTATCTAGAGACATCAGGACAGCAGATCTCTGTTTATATATTAGCGTTCAGTCACTATAGATGGGTTAATACAGACAAACAGCTTTTGAATCAAATCCTTTTTTTTTGTTCAGAGTACAGCAGAAATTATTGGATGTTACACATTGATTTTCATTTTTAGCTGAACATTTTTAAAAATTTATAATATTCACCCACTGCTATCTTAGTCCAAGGTAAATCACTGAATGAAAGAATAAAGCTTTACCAAATTTTTATTTGGCTGAATTTGTGTGATTATGGTTAACTGTGCCTCAAGAGTGTTATTGTTAATAAGAGTTGTAGTGATGCTGAGTTGTCCTGGTCTTCAAATTTCCTCTAGAGGTAAATATATATATATATATATATATATATATATATATATATATATATATATATATATATATATATATATATATATATATATATATATATATAGATAGATAGATAGATAGATAGATAGATAGATAGATAGATAGATAGATAGATACGGTGGAAAGTCCAAAATCATACCACAAATGCAGCATCTTGCAACAGCACTGAAACTGTGCAATCAATAGGAACCCCTCTATTACAGACAGTCTTTAATATCTCTAATTTGTACTCCAGTGGACTCGTGCCATTAGTGCTTGTATTGTACTTATGGAATACAAACACTAGAGGTCAGACTTGAACAGTTTCTTTCTTTGCTCTACATCATAACATTGTGTTGTTTTCCAAGGGACTAAATGGTTCCTGTGGCTGAGTCTTATCTGTGTTTCCACCAGGACCTAAAGTTACTTTCACAGCTCTTTATTCAAGGCTCTGCTGAAGCTGTCACAAGTTATGTTGGCAGCAGATCAACTGCTTTGATTATCAAATCACATCTGTAAATATTAGTTCTTGTACTATTAAATTTTGGTGTTTGTACTTTTCTCTGCTCAGCTGGGGTCTCAGTGTAAATGTTATACTACCTTATTACAGTTACCTGGTTGTCTCCTATCAAGACTAACCCCTTTACAGTAACCGTACAACAAAGAAGACAAACAACCCCAGTAATATCTGCAATAATCTAATCATATGACAGAGTGGATTTTTTGCAATCCACTCCTCAGGTGTGTGTGTGTGTGTGTGTGTGTGTGTGTGTGTGTGTGTGTGTGTGTGTGTGTGTGTGTGTGTGTGTGTGTGTGTGTGTTGTTCAGAGTGTTTCTGGGTTTATAACTACGCATGTATGTGCTTGTGCACCTCACCATTGAAGACGAGTGGCTGTGCGAGGGCCAGGACAGCGATGTCCCTGCTGTTGTCATCAACATTTGGGTCTACAAAGGGCAGGTAGCTGCTGTGGTAGACGATGGTCTTCACCTCCACTAAGTTACCGTTGCCTGGTTTATTGTAGATGGAGCCCAGCAGCACACGCCACCGATTAATGAAGCGATTACGCCTGACACGGAGAGTAACACAAGAGGAGTCATACAGTCTTCTAATGTCATACAGATCTAAAAAATACATCTGGGTTAGGGTTTCAGTAGGGCTCCAAAAAATCTGTGTGCCCAGGACAGTTTTTTTAGGAACATTTAGACGTTCATTTGCAGTTCAAGTATAATTTTTTACAAGTTTTCAGCAGACCATGAAAAAAATACTTGTGGACATCAAAAGGTGTTAAAGGCAAGAATCTGCAGTCCATTAGTCACAATGTAGCTCTAACAAAATCTTAAACAGATTTTTTTATTCAAGAGTTGTTGGGTGTCATTTCTTAAACTAAATCTTACAAAGTTGCTCGAAGGACTGTAAGTAATTACAAACTATGCAAAAAGACGTCCTAAGCAGAAGCCTTTCACTGCTAGAGCTGCTTACTAACCTACTTACCCATGTCATAGTCAAACTGTGACAAAAACAATACAAATATTTATAAATACTATCACCCATTTGTCTTAATCCATCCTTGTCGATCCTGCTTGTCTCAAAAACAAACTGGTACATGCAGATTTACGGTATCTTGAGCGCTTACTCTGGGAAGCAGTGAGCTGCAGAGACGATCCAGCGGTCTGAAATGATGGATCCTCCACACTGATGAACTCCGTCATACTGCAAGCTCACCTGCCACGGCCAGCTGCCCTGTCTGGCATCTACGCCGTTAACAATACGATCTGCTGCAAAACTACGTCTGCCGCAGTCTGCAGAGGAGAGAGAGGAGGGAGGTTTACCGTCAGCAGGTAAGTTAAGGTAAGCAACAGCAGACAAACCAAATTTAGTGGGTGGACAGAGACCAGACATGGGAGTGGGGTATCAAGGAAGTGTGTTGGTGTGTCAGATAGAGTGAGAGATGATCTGAGCTCATGTTTTACCTTGGCACAGCAGTGTAAGAACCTCCCTGCTCTCACAGTCGCTGAAAGAGAGACACTTAGAGTTAGAAACATCCAAACCAAGTGAATCTTCAGCTTTTTCTTTGTTATGCAACTAGGAGAGTGAAGAAAAGGCAGAAAGAGCAACAACAGAGGGGACAGTGAGACTGCTGTGAGAAAGGTGAAGACTCAAACGGTCAAGTGTCTGTTACCATGGGAACAATGAGTCCTTGATTTTCTTGCCGTAGCTGAGCTCTTTTTCTTTGACGCAGAAGAAGTCTCCACAGTCTCCGCTGGCCTCTGGCACCAATGTGACCGAGTAATTCACCACACTGAAAACAAACACAAGTTAGTCCTGCTTCCAACTGTGCTGCGTGAAAACACAAAATACAGTTGAAATATCTCACCTGACAAATCCCACTTCTTCACAGCTGATGCTCGCTAGCAGCTCATTGGCTGAGGAGGAACACACCTGACGCCATCTCCTCTGAGCGGGGTCAAACACCCTGAGACGTTGGTCTGCAGAATTTACCTGGACTGCAGGGGATGGAAAAACTATTATCAAAGCGAGAAAAAAAAGTCATTTACATTCAGATAGATAAAACATCTTTAAATGGAGCAGACTTCTGAGATGGCTGCTATTCATGAGTGGAAACAGCCAATATAGTAGATTTCTGAACAAGAACAGACAACAACAAAGCATTTCCATCAGAAGTTCACACAATTTCACTCCAAGTTACCCAGAAAAGAGACCTCAGATGGGGGTCTCTAGGATTTGTCTGCTTTAAAGGTGTCCAGTTAAGATTGGCACATATTAACTAAAAACATGCTCGCACTTTTGCTAAATAGTTTATTCAAGTATCTTTGGATACAACAGTGTAAAGAAATTCCATACGACCTTTGCTAACTTTAAAAAAAATAGTATATTTTTGACAGTAATGCATCCATTTTTCTGTGAGAGTTTCAGCTTTTCTCAAATATAAGCAGGAGAGCTTCAAGGAAAAATGGTTGGGAACCACAGAGCTGAATAATAATTTCAATTTATTCTCGACAATGAAATTTGTTTTTGCTCTTTATGTTCTGTAAACAAGTTTTTTTCAACTTGATACCTCTCTGAGACAAAGATCTCTCTTACAGGCCCGCATTGGCCAATAATGTTTGCAAACAAATATCCATGTATAAACCATAGACTGTATATAGAATGGACGCCGTCTGCCTCCTCGCTGGGTGAAGTCACCCCGAGAACAGCACCCTCTAGTGATGGGCTGCAGTATAAGCCATAAATCCCGCCTCCTCCAGCGATCCCTATGGAGTTGTGGACAAACTTTAGAAATTAATTACACAAAATATAATTTTTTCTCCCCCCTGCTTCTGATGTTGACAAGTAGTTAGTGTAAGACTGGTTTGTGCTCAAGTCCTCTTTTTTCTGTACAGCTCCATTTTAAAAGTTATTAGGGGTTCATCTTTTCTATGATTGACTCTTGATACAGCCTATTGGTGTATGAAGATTGCGTAGCTCAACCAGGGGATGGGCTGTTTCAGCCGAGCGTCATCACAGCGACACTCCTGCCGAATGTGTACAACGCTACTGCGCAAGTGGTCGTTCCAGGAAGTGGAGAAAATCGCAGAAATAAGCGAGAGCAATTCTGCTTCAAATTCATATAATGACAAAAGGCGGAGCCAAGTTGTCCATAGTATATACAGTCTATGGTATAGACATTAAGACTGCAGTGATTCCCACTAGAATCTCATGTTTATTGCTTCAATGCATACAACTATCTGTCAATTCAAAACCATCTTTGTCTTTACTCACCATCGTACAGTCCTGTGTCTTCCTCCATCGTGCAATATGTAACTACAGAAAGACAAAAAGAAGCAGCACACATCTGTAAAGGTCTAAAAGTGTCACAAATTAACAGTTATTACGTTTGTGTAATTGTGAGAGTATGTGGACTGACCTATGGCCCAGACGCCCGCTCCGATGGCTCCCAGGGTCATCAGCACCACACACACCCCTATGACCCGGCAGGGGGTTAAGACACAGGTCAGAGAGATTCCTCTGCTCCCTGCGGACACACAAACACACTAATGGATAACTGTGCATACACATGTTAGAGCAGCACACCATCCTTTTGCATTACATAACATACCATCTAACAGGTTGGTGCAGAGAAGGCCAAACAGTAAATATGACTCTAAATCACTCGCACATTTATATGTTCTAACATTACAAATAAAAACCAAGTACAGATGATCATCGTGCTTTTGGTCTTCCGGCTTTTTTCTCTGAGATCTTTCACCACCCTACAACAAACACCAATGAACTGGCCACTTTGAGCTCTCTGTCCTGATGTGGAGGGGCATGCAGAGCTTTCCTGGCACAAACTGAAAAGTACAAATGACACTGATCAGATCAATAGTCTAAAGTCTAGCATTTCTCCACAAAGCAAGAACAAACTTTTAAACTAAGATACGACGCCATGTCCCTGCAGTGTGCATGTATAGTATGAGTGCATGTGCACCTGCACGCGACTGTTGTTCTCAGTGTGTGTGTTTCTCTTTCAACCCACAGCTCAGGAGTTATAGATGTCTTTTTAAATTCCAGAAAATGTGATTATAAGTAGGACAGTGTAATCGTTAATGTTTATCAGTCTATCAACGTGTACCAGATTCAGGATCTGGAGCTGTGCACACTGACACGCAGTTATGAGGACACTTACGTGATCATTTTTTTTCTTCTTCTCTAGGAATGACAGAATCACATTTCAGTATGATAAGTAGAGTACAATACCATACTATGTGACACAAAATATGAAATGAATTGATACAGCACCATACAATTTGATCCATACTATTCCTGTATCATTAACAAATTTAGAATTAATTCACTGCCTACCATCATCCAAGCCATCTCTGTCAACAACATCTACATAAAATTAAAGAAACAACACAAACATGAGAACGAGGCTGAGTTAGACCTCTTCACAAAGAGAAAAAGACTGTGTTGGCCTTAATGTTGTTTTCCTTTCTTTGGCCTACAACAAACTGACTGCAGCTGCAAACATCAATAATACACAGATAAAAAAGTCCACTCCAGCTCTGCTTGACTGTCACACACCCAGGCACTGTACACCCACACTGGTATTTGTCAGTTATTTTCTAAGGTCAATTAAAGCAGCTGGAAGGAGTTTTCATTTTCTGTAGATCTTTGTGGCCACTTTGGACAAAAGTTTTTTAGCGCTAACGACACTTTTCTGGCTCACATGTCAGGGCTCCAGAAACTAACTTTTTGTGAGCAGTTTGATGTAACTAACTTTGTAAATGTTTTTAAAATAGGGAACGAGTCTGGGTCAGTCCGCTGTGGAGTGAGCAGGACTACTGAGGTTAGTGACACAAAGCTGCTCTGTCTGCCTCCAGTGTGGAGGAGCTTCTCACTCTGTGGCTGCAGCTGTAGCATGGCACGGTGTCTGCAGGAGTCTCCTGCTGAAAGACATTGTCTCCATTTGTGTAGTGACAGTAATATGCGTGTTGTCAGTGCAAAATAAAGAAAAAAAGCATGCATGTTGTCTCTGATCTGAGCGCCATAAATCATTTCGTCCGTGGTCCCGACCCGACCACTGGTGCTGTTTTCCCCGTTTTCACAGTTTAGAAGTATCCTATCTTCACACAGACGGGCTCATTTGCTGTTGCAGGTGAGATTTTTCTAATGTAGTTAAAATTTCCTCACAGGATGTTTAAGTTATGCTGAGATTTTCACAAAATTAATAAACCAGTACGATCCGGGTGTAAGTTCTCCCAGCTAACTAGGTGCAACAAAAACTGATGGGGACTTAAATCTTTCACAGCAGAACTGTTGACTTGTTTTAGCCAGAAAAAAATATGATTATTTCTGCAGGATCAAAATAATAATAAATATGGATGATAATACTGTTGAAGAAGGAAAACAGTGAAAGCCCAGCAAATCAAGCAAAGCAGATAAATATCAGCTGTTCAGGGCCTGTCACTAACAATAAGTGGGAACATTTGGTTTTATAAAGATTCTCTGGTCTTTAGGTCGTATAATAAGGTCAGGGCTGGGGTAGTCATGCCTTCCAGTAATATGCCAGAAGGTAACTGTAGACGCTGTCAGTTTTTGAGCTTCCTATCGAATCTGAGAAAACATTCAGCACTCCTCGTTTCCTTCCTGCTACGGTCTCTATCGCTCATTTTTCCCGCTCTCTTGCAATTCCAGTCTTTCTCATTTTCTGTGAAAACACTTGAGGAAGAACAATGTTTGCATAAATCTTGACAATAGGTCTACCAAATGCAACCGTCCAAACCAGGAGGCACTCCCTTTTTATGTGATCATGAAAAAGCCCATCTTCTCTCCCCTCCTGAATATTTTTGTTCGTATTTTCCTTTTCCCCCCTTTTGCTCACACCTCTCTCCTTCTCTGTTTGCTTTTTGTCTGGCTGTTTAACCACTGAGACTGTTGTATTATCAAAGGGACACACAGGCTCAGTCTTCCAGATTGTGTTTTCAAGGAAATACTCCAGTGTTTCTTCTACAGCCTTTGAATCCAGCACAAACACCACGACACCAGCGCTGACCACCCCCATCATTCACAAATCTCGTTTCTTTTTCTCCTGCCCTGCTCACGGTTCAGGACAGAACAAGCACTCTTTTGTGTCCACTTTTACCTGAGACCACCTGCCGCTGTGTGTCTGCCTGTGTGTGTTGTATGAGTCAGATTCCTCTGAAATTACCATGGCATTACACTCTCATGTTCTGGTTCAGAAGATGGAAAAGATGTCATATGTAGTGCTGGTGCAGTTGATGCGAACGCTGAGAGTTCAAATGAAACAACAGGTTCATCAGGCTACAGCTGAAACATCTATGATCTATAAATACAACTTAAATCAGCCTGGGTGATCATATTAGAAACACTACCAGAGTAAATAAGCTTCAGTCTTTTTCGTGTGATAAAAATATGTGTTTCAAACTCATCAGATCAGTAAGCAGTATAAAGTATCTGCATTTTTTCCATGGTTTATTACCACTGCTTCAAATAAGGCTGGCATGAGAGGTAAGAATGACTCATCTCTTACTGTTAGTAACCAGCCAACTCAGACATATCGTACGCACATTCGTCTTATTTTGGATTATGTCTACCCTCATCCTTGAGTCACATGACCAGACAGAAGCAGTTTGGTGGAAAAGGTTTACTGCGACATGACTCATCCCTTAGGAAACCCTTGGCTGTACATAGCAGGCATGAAGTTTCACCATTTTAACCCCTGACTTTTGGATGAAAAAGCAGCTGTGGACCAGATGAGACGTGAGGCTGTCCACACCCACACCAAGCCTAATGATGAGAGAAAATACTTATGATAAAACAACACAGTTCGAGTTCAGAAAAATTTTCATTTTTGTCATCCAGACCACTACTACACTCCACTGAGTTAGTAAATAAACATGAGTAAAACTGAACACATTATTTCTGCTCTTCTTGACATGGGTCTTGATGGGTTTCATCTGGAGTACTTAATTACATAGAGTTCTCAAAGAAAGCAACTTTTTGTGTCTGAAAGAAACTTAAACAGAAACAGATTTCTTTTCTGTAGACGTTGTTTCTAAAAGCATCGGCAGAAGTTTGTTTTGTTGCGGTAAACCCTCTGGATTTCGTTATTGTGTTCCCATATTTATTTCTGTCAAACCATCAGAGCCCCAGGCTGGTTCACAAGTTTTCTGAGCCATTCAGCCGCATAGGCAGTGGTCATTAGCAGATGTACTTTGGTTGATTGATAAAAGGGTCTGACATGCAAGCTTGGCAGCTGTTTTTATTTTTATCAACAATGTTTGAAATACTTAGTCATAGTTTGATTGATGAAATTGTATCTACTTCCCAGTCGCTCAAAATAAACCCAACTCTTTCCTTTAACATGATGTTTGTTTGACGCATGTGAGTTAGATGATATATTGAATGCTTTGTCACCAGCTATGTAAGAGATAGTGTGTAGTCAGCTGTAGGGGTGGGAGAAAAAATTGATACAGCATAGTATCCCGATATTTTGTCTGGTGATATATCTTATCGTCTCATTGACCAAAATCCTTTCATACTTTCTGTCCCTGCCATCACTGTAACTATCCAGAATTAATGACAGTTGTCGGGAGGTTTTGACCAATCAGAATCGAGCATTTAAGACAGCTGTGTGATTAGTTAGAGAGCTGGATAATAATAATGAGTAATGTGTGCCTTTTAAAGAGCTGTGAAACTCCGCTGCACTCGGTGATCGACTCGTCAGGGCTCCCCCACAAACAAGTGGCTGCTGGAGGAGAGTGGGTGAGTTGTGTTTGGTCTCTTTGCTAAAGAAATCAGGCAAAGCTAAAAAGATGTTTGGTGGCTAGTACTATGGCTGGGACCCTCTATGTACCGTTGATGAAATTAGGTGCTGTTCTGAGCATTAGCTGTGGCTACACTCTAAAAACTCTTGGGTTATTTCTTCAACCCTATTCCCATTTCTTGAGTCATATGGATTCTATTGTAACCCAATTTGAGGGTTTTTTGAATGGGTTAATAATTATGGCTTATTTTTCTGAGAGTAACCCAATAATTGGGTCAGAACGTTAGCGCTATGGTGTACCTCATAAACATGAGTGCGTTACAATTGAAATCCAAATCAGCTCTGACCTCACCCAGGCTAACAAGGTCTGCGTCACATGCTGAGGAACCAGGGCATTGTGATAAGGAATGGGCTACTAGAACAACAAAGAGAAGGCAATGGACACGAGATGAGAACAAGGCGCTGTTGGGATGCTACTACTCCAGTAACCCCAACCAGCGGGGTTACATGAACAGGCTGAGGGATATATGGATGCTGCAATACCCAGAGTCAATACACCAAAACAGCTAGTAGCTCAGAGTTCCAACATCCACAAACGGCAGCTGCTATCACGACTAGAAATTGAGGAGATACAACGCAAAAATGCTAAGGCAAGGGGGAGCCAGGACGCCAGGTCAGATGAGGGAGTTAACATTAATACAGTTTTAGGTTTTAACTGTATTTTGTAACTACTCTTTGAAAATATAGAACCCACCACTTTGATTTATTTGTCAAAAGTTCCTTGGTAGGTCCTTTTTTTATAGATTTGACACAGTTTTCACATTAAAACAGTTAAAAGGGACTTTCATTTTCTTTTACAACCTGTACCCTATTTTTTTGTACTTTTATCTAACTGATTCCCAATCAGTTAGAAAAGAAAAGTTTGAACTGCAGGAAACAGCCTATAAAACCCCAGTCAGTACAAGAAGATCAGATTTTAATGGCGCTTGTCTGTCAAACACTTAAGAGGACTTATCTAAACATATATTCACTCCAAACTAAACAGGGAAAAGGACTTTTATATGAGAACTGAGGTTTATCCTGAGCAGACTTAAGTGAACCTGGGTGTGGTAAATAGGATGAAGCAAGATAACAGTGAAGTGGTAAGAGCAGACCTCAAATAAACACATGAAGACGCAGCAGAAGCTATGACTCATACTGGTTGTGGTTGTCAAGGCAAAGGAGTGAAAATAAACAATCACAGTGTGCAGTAAATATTAGCCTGATGAACGAATGCTCCGCTCTTACCATGGGTACCTGTATATTTATGTTTCTATCCTTGTTCTCACGTGTGTAAAGGCATGTCAGGATTATGGTAACCAAAGTTTATGTCTGAAAATAGATAATGTCTCACCTCATCTACACACACCCTAAGTCAGACCATGTGTGCCACTCCTCTGGTAGACTGAGTTTCTCCTGTAATTATGCACACCAAATACACAGTCTGATTCACTGCATATGGGTGGACTCCTTTCAGTCTGGCTGCAGAAACTGTGAAGTCAAACATCTGGCCTCAAACACTGACAGTAAGTATCTTCACAACAAGGACTAAACTACCGAGAGGATGTGTTGAAGAGAGAAGGAGAGGATTTGAAGATCTGATGCAGACTTTTGCTCATTTGCAGACCACTGTTTTCTTTGTGCCGGCACTCAGAGTGTAAGGTAAGTGTTTGATCTGTTCTTTGGGTTCTGTAAATTGTATATATAACTAAAAAGGTGTGAATGAATTGTGTTTGCAAATTATTGAAATTTGATTTACTTCACCTGAAAAAAAAAAGTATAAAAGGTGTCCACTAGCTTTCATATCATAACACAGTTCCCTGATGCACTTTGACTGTAGTTCTTTCTAGCAACAGCAAACACAGCATGTACTCTTATCTCAGCCTCTATAAAGCAGTGCTATATAATATGCAGTAAACTCATTATGAGCCATAAAGCTAAATAAAATTTGCCAACACTTCAATACTACTTTGCTGCTTTTAATCACCTGCCAAGTGAGAAGCAGATGTGGATTTTCAGGTTGATCGTACATGGTCATGGGAGAGTGTTTGATTAAGTACAGTAGGGTGGGTACTGAAAGCAAAGCATGTTGTCAGACCTGCTCTTTTTTGTCTTGGGATAACGACTGTTGTGATTTGGCGCAATATACATAAAATTTGATTGATTGATTGTAATATACTAAATAACAAAACAACTGTGTTGAAGTCTGGGTAATGGTAAGCAGTCATATCTGGACCCAGTTATCACATTTCTAGTTGTCACTGGACTTGATCCAGTTGGACAAAGATAATTACAACCAAACTGGTTATTTCTTTTCAAGCAGAAAAATAAATCCAGTGAATCAAGAAAGAGAGAGCAAGCTTTAAACAAACCAGTTAATTTTTAACTTGTGCAGCAGACTGATGTCTGGTCCCAAATACAGAAAAACAGGCCGCATGAGCTGCAGCATGACCGCTCAGCATTAAATCTATGTGTGTGTGTGTGTGTGTGTGTGTGTGTGTGTGTGTGTGTGTGTGTGTGTGTGTGTGTGTGTGTGTGTGTGTGTGTGTGTTTGAGTAGGGGCGTGGAAAAAAGGAAGCAAGGACAGCAGTGTATGTAACATGTTAACTCACCCATCTTCCCCTCTGTCACGACTTTCTCAGCATACATCTGTACTCAGGAGGAGGAAAATGGCAAACAAGATGATATGTCCTTCCGTCCTAGTGTCCTTCTCGCCTCCCCTCCTCACGGCAGGTGGTCTTGACCCTTGGCAACCACGTTTGCCTGGAAATATAACACTTATGCTCTTCAGTGACAAACTCCATATATTAGAGAACATCTCAACATTTTTCCCGAGAAATGAATCAGCAGAAGTAGCCAGGAGTACAACTATTTTTAACATTTGTGAACAAGCCCTTTATAGTACACTAAATTCAGCACTTTAACATGTACACTGCAGACTATTGGGAAAAGTTGACAGTAGTTGAAGCATTCACTGTCCAGCTGTCAAGAAGTCATATGAGACCACAGGGAGCACACAAACAACGTTCACTTCAGGCTTCTCATCAGTAATACCACAGGGTTTTATCTGACAATGCATCCTCTTATAATGCAGCTAAAATGCACAACTTTTCAAAAAGGCTGTAAAATCCATTCACTTCTATGATACATAGGGCTCTATGTCTAACTGGGACGGCGAAGGTCTTTGGACAGACATGGTAAAACAGGTCAACAGACCAAAGTGCATACTAAGCTTTGGCACAATAAATTGTAATTTTGAAGTGAAAAAAAAAACTAAAAAGAACTAAATAAACCATAATGACTTTAATAGTCTACTTATCCAAGCCAAAGGAAGGTTGTGACAAACCTATTTACTAACACAATATTTATGCTTTTGGCAAGAAGTTTTCAGAGTAAGGGGAAACTATGGGGCTTAAGTAATCCTGAAGTGGTCTTCTATGCGAAAGAGACTCACCTGTCTTTCCTTGCAGCAGGTGGATCCTGGACTTTTTTTCTCTCGTTATAAATACTGTCTTTTTTTTAAGTCCTTCAATTCAAACTGAGAAAACCTTTGAAGCCTGTACAGGCGACGATGCTGTTATAACGCCACCACTGTTAATTTCCAGTTTTCGGTTAATCCTTTTTCTGCTCTCTTCACAGGTTACTGACCCCGCAGGGAAAAAAAAGAGGAAAAAACGTGAGGAAAAAAGTTTTTTACCGACCCTTAACATCAACCGAAACCCCCGGAGCCGACATTTGATGAAGCAGGGAGAAACATTTGGCAGTTTGACTGATTTTCAGACAAAGTTATCGAGAGTTGAAGCGGAGTTTGTGTCGCTCTGTGTGGTCGTCCGGCGAGCGGTCAGCTAAGCACACGAGAGGGACACCAGTGACGTCATGTTCCGTCTCTGAGTGGACAAACGGCGCACGAGAGCCCTCACGGAGCCTGCAGACTTGCAGCAGGTGAAACACTGTCCCATTAAGCCTCTAATACAATAAATACAAGCAAGATGATGATGATCAATTAAAAGAAACTGATTTAAAGATTTGAGAGTTATGTTTGGTTGGTTTTGTTTCAGTAGGGGAGAGTGGGGTAAGATGAGCCATTTCTCATATTTCAGATCACTACATCAAGGCAATTATAGTTTTGTCTCTAAATAGTGTATCTGCACAAAATTCAAGATGAAGATTCAAAACTGTCTAGATAATATAGCATACTAGGAAAAGTGGTCTCCTATGGTCAACTTACCCCATACACGGGGTAAGTTGACACTAGGAACAAACCACCGACTGCCTTAAAAAAATTAAAATTAACTCTACTACCCTCCAACTCTCCAGCCCAGCCCTTCCTCACCTTCTCTCTCCCTAAATAACAGTCACTTCTTCACATTCATGTGTATTTTTTATCTATTTTTATCTATTATACGCTGTTCAACTGGTACAATGATTCATTTTATTATTATTATTGCATATAACTGCTAAAAAGCTGTTTTGTAAAAAATCTTTTTAACACAAGAATGTCTTTAAGTGATTCAGAACATTCACAGTTGTATTTTTAAAAAGAAAAAGTAAAACATTTCAACAATCTGAACTGAAACTCTGATCCTCTCATCAGACTTCTTTACTTTCTCAGTTGAGCTACTGGTTCAACTTACCCCAGAATTACGATTATGACTTTATTAGTCCTCTAAGCTAAAATGGTATTCTAGGTTTTTGACCTCATAGATACCACAATTGATGTATAAAACAAATCTAAAATGATCTTTTTTTGGTTTGAACACAATTCTAACAAAACTTATGACAGACTAAATTCAATTTTAAGAGTAAAAAATGGGTTTTTATTGGAAATAAATGTCTAACCACTTCACCCATGTGCTTCTAACCTTCACAGACTCCATGAATTGATGCCCATCTCCAAAATATTTGGTCACATGATCAATTTCTTTTACCATTTCCAAGCAACAGGGGGCTCAACTTACCCTTTGGCTCAACTCGCCCTACTCTCCCCTATTTGTTGTTCTTTATTTGTTGACCAAGTTGTTTTTGTTGACATGAAACCACACTCATCACTCTACTTCCTTGTAGTCAGAGGAAACAAAGGGGAAGTTGGACAAGCCGACCTCTAAGCTTCTGTTCCTTATGAGAAAAAGCGTTCATGTGACTGACTCATATAGCTAGAAACCTAAAGACAACCGGAGAGGAGGACAGAAGAATAAGACCACGGAGTCCCAGAGAGGACTGAGAGGACAGGTGAAGAAGAGGAGGTGACAGAGGAAGGGAGGTCAAGAGATCAGGACAGATCGAATCAAAGCCCTAGCAGTAGGGGAAGATGGGTGGAGGAGCAGGACAAAGCTGCTGGCTGCTGATCACACTGTGGCTGAAAGGTAAGTGGGCACCAGCATTATATCTGATGTTTTCGACATATAGCTGAGTGATGGTCCAAAAATGTTTTATCTGTTTGTAAAACTAACTCTGATACAACAGAAAGAATAAAAAGTGCTGAGATAAGCTCTTTGATGAGACCAGTTATGTGTGGTAATTTTTGCAGACTCACAAAAGCAGCTGCCAGAAAATGTTTTCAAGCCTTTTAGCAACAACTGTCTACTCCCAGGCTTTCTTTTAAAAAAAAATTCCATATATTGTTTTGATGACTGACACCTTTTGATATTTCTTCTTGTGGCTTTTTTTATTTTCTTTGTCTGAGGTCTCCACTATTTACCAGCTAAAACATTCTGTGAGTTTAGACAGCCAGCATTTCCTCTTAAGGCCTTTTTTCTATTTTAATTCCTGACATTTTTTAGAGTTATTCATGCAGGGATGAGGCACAAGGACTAGAGAAAAAAACAAAGAAGACACTGTTTCAAATGTTACCTCTTACTTTGCTTTCATTTTTTGCCTGTGATTAATGCTACGTAGAGTCAACATTGAGTTCTTGAACCAATCCAGTTCCTCTAATCCAATTAGAGTAACTTTATTTAAAAAGTGCTTATTTTCATCATTTTTTTCACAAATGAATCACTTTATGAATTATGAACACTTTTTTTTGCTTTTGAGTTTACTTTGGGCATTTTTCAAACATACTTTGAATAAATTCATTGGTTTTATTTTTAGTCACTTGCATCTTTATAACACATATTCTGGTGTCCAGGTGTTCTTGCGGGTGATTGGTCGGTCCATCTCCCCTCCGGTCCTATCTGCGCTGTAATTGGCTCCTCTGTGGCTCTCCCTTGTTCCTATGACTACCCCCAAAGTTCCAATGAAACCAAGCTCTCTGCTCAGGTAATTCAACAAAGGAGGCTTTGTTGGTTGTGGCAGGAAATCCTGTGCTGTATCTAAAACCATGTGCCCTCTCTGCCTGGGGTAAGAGAAAAATTAGTCAGAATGAATAAAGTGTAACGCTGTTTGGTTAAAGGAAAGTATCAAAACAATCCTACGCCTGCAGTTACTTCTTTTTTTTGTGGTGAACTAAACCTCTAGAGTCTGCCTACTTATAGAAATTTTTCTCATCTCAAAGTCAGAATCATGTCTGATTGTAGCAACTTTATTATTCTGCTCCAGGGTGGAGAAGTTCTGTCTGAGATGTGGTGTCGTGAGAACAGCCGCTGCATCACACCAAGGTATTGTTCAAGACACAAACTGAGCACCCAGAAAACAATCTGGTCAAACTGAATATCTAAACCTCTGTCTGTCTGTCTGTCTGTCTGTCTGTCTGTCTGTCTGTCTGTCTGTCTGTCTCAGGTATGTCTTCCACAGCGATGGCATCTTCCCTGATCCGTCCTACCAGAACAGGGTGGAATACCTCGGACGTCCCGGAACGAGGAACTGCTCTCTGAGGATTTCTGATCTGAGGCAGTCAGACAGTGGGGCGTACGTGTTTTACGTGGTCACAAGTCACCTGACTCAGAAGATGCCAGAGCAGAGAGGAATACAGCTGTTGGTTGCAGGTGGGAATACTGTTTCATGGATAACTGACGACTCATCATGAACAAGCTCCTCTCTGAGCAAAGGGTGTTCATCACAATAATTAACTCAGACTTTAGAGAGGTGCAAGAACTCGTAACACACAAACATAAGTCTTGATGGACTTAATGATGTTTATTTATATCCACCAAGTGGTGTCTAAGCAAATTTAGAGCCTTGAAAAAAAATAAGAAGCTTTTTTTTTAACCCTAACTTGATTTAAACACGTTATTTTTCATGGAACTTACTATATGCTTCATAACCACATTAGATGATCCATAACAGGTCTTTACATGTCTTCCCTCTGTGTTTTGGCTGATTCAAGTAAAGATAACCTACAACCTACAACAATGCTTGTACTTAAGTAACTTGCATCAGCATAAATTTTGGATAGTTAGTGTCTGAGTATGAGCCCAGCAGCACAGTGTGTCAGACATGTCCTGTGGTTCACACTCCAGCACTTTTTAGAGAAGTGGAAGTGAAACTAACCACCGACTGCCTTAAAAAAACTGTGTACACATCATCTGAGACAGTGTATAAAATAGATGTCTTCTAGTAAATCCGGCATTGATTTTGATAGAAAAATTACTGTCAAATGTTTAAAGACAAAATTCAAACTTGTCTTTGTTGAACAAGTATTAAATGTGGATTTGTAGATCAACTTAAAGTTGTGTCAAAAGTTGTGTATTGTGGGGAAGTAGTGTTGTATCATTTTACCACTAAAACCTCCCATGTAGCTACAGTATTAAGGAACGTCTGGGTGAAGTCAGACCTACGTTGTTTCCCGCATTTGTCTGTTGACATGTGGCATCATCCTAAATCTGATGGGCTTTTGTGTGAGTCATGTCAAACGCTTGCATCCTTGATTAACTAAACAACTAAAGCCAATACAGTGGCTACACCCAGTGTCCTACATTTCTTTATATTCTTGAAATCATGATGCTCTAAAGTGCAACTGTCTTTTTCGAAGACTTTAAACCACACAAAAATGTGGTTTTATAGGTTGACATCATTATCTAATGATCCGATAATCTTAAATCTGATTGTTCCCATCCCAATAAACACACCAAGAATAATAACACCTCATGAGCCATAAAAGTTGTGCTGTTTTGAGGATACTCTCAGAAGTTAGTCCGCTTTTATCCAGAGAAAATCTTTAGGCTGTCATTCATGCTTTTATCTCCTCCTATTTGGACTACTGCAACTCTTAGTACATGTACAGAGTTTGTACAAGTTACAGCTCGTCCAAAATGCAGCAGTCTGGCTTATTACCAGAACTTAAAAGAGAAAACACTCTTGTTTCAGCTTCACTTCATTAGCTCCTAATCAGTTTTAGAATTAATTTTGAGATTTTATCATTATTATTGTTATTGTTATTATCATTATCATTATTATTGTTGTGGTTCCTGTTTGCTGAAAACCCTGGAACTTCTGGAAGACCACTATAAGAAAGAAGTCAATGCGAGTACACAGCATACGCTTACAGTACTAAACAGAGGTTGGCTTAACCATCCTCTATCCCAATCCTTGTTTTCTGCAGACTCCTCCAGTGCAGTCGCAGTGTCAGCAAGTCCATCCAGTGACATCACAGAGGGCGGAGCAATACGTCTGGTGTGCTGCAGTCCTGCCGTCACGTCACAGACCAGTTTCAGGTGGTTCAAGAGTTCAAGCAGCACCCCGACACACAAGGGACAGGTGTGGGACATCAGTGACATTGCATCTGACCACTCAGGGAGCTACTACTGTCAGATACAGACCAGAGAGGGAGCGAAGAACTCAACAATGCTGCATATTGATGTCAAGTGTGAGTGGAGTTTTGTCAAGGTCAAAATCATCCGTCAACATCCTGTCCAGTTAAACGTTTCCCCACAGATTTCCAGCCTGAATACAGTCAAAAACACACTGACTATTTCATTTCTATACAGGTTTTTTGTAGAAAAACACAATGTGAAAATGTTTCTCGAGCAAGTATTCTTACGGGATTTACATGATTATAGCTGGGATAGAATTTCTCTCTTTAATCATGTTGAGTTGTCCTGCAGTAATTACCATAAATCCTTTACTGACATAGTGAACAAACATTGTAAATCCAGAGTTAAAGTTAAATTATTTGAATTATTACATGAGCAAAACTCAGCTTAGGCCAAGGTATACAAGTCAGGACATGAGTCTGACTGACTTGAATTGAGACATTAAGAAACAAGTTTACTTTTCTGCTTTGCAAGAGAAAACCTGAATTGTATCTATCGTTAATATCAGGAAATCTAAAAAATCTAAAGAAATTATAGTATACAACCAAGTCAACATCTAATACATGCATATCTGTCAGTCTTCCAACAAGTATGCTCACAACTTCACAAGATAACTAGTATGTACTGAACTCTTTCTACTGTCTCTGTAAATCTCAGAAACTCCCTCTGATGTCTCCATTCATTGAAAATTCCTGTTGCTAAACTTAAACACCTTCGACTCCATCAGCGGTTTTGTGACCTTAAAAAGGCGAAATCTTTGAAAACCTGCTGGACCACAAAACTTAGAGCATCTCTTTTCAAAGTTCATTTCAGACTTTTAACATTGAGCGACTCTTTCATGCTTTAACTTAACCCTGGTTGGTACAATCCCAGTAGACTGGAAAACTGCCTCCCCCCAAAGCCCTTGATATTAAGCAGCGTTGCCTGTCTTGACTTTTCCAAGGCTCTTTGATCCTGTTTACCACAGCATCTTATTTGAACATCTTAGTGACACTGAGTTTCCTGAGCACAGGGTTGGGTGGTTTGCCAGCTGTCTCCAGGGTGTACCACACGGCTCAGTTCTTGGCCTGCTACTTTCCACTGTTTGCATACATTACCTTGGACAGAATGTTCCAAATGCTTCATTTCACTTCTACGCTGATGACACTGTCACTTATTGCTGTGCCCATCATCAAAGTCATCAGCATGCATTTGATTCAGTGCCAGATCAGCTTCGTTAACTGTTACCTGTTTTACATGCAGACAATATTAAACCCATGTCTCAAACTCAGTCTCATCAGGGGTAATTATAACCAAACACAGGTGTGGAATTGAGTTGGTATATATTTTTAAAGCCTGTCTTTTATGAGGCATATTCCATATATCATGAAAAGCTTAAATTGTTAAAATTTTGTTTGACATGTATATCAATGCTTAAACTGATCGTAATACAACACGAATGTGACTGACCTTTGACCTCTGTCTCTTCTAGACCCTCCTCGAAACACAGCTGTCTCAGTCTCTCCTGCTGAAGATGTACAGGGTGAATTTCCCATGACTTTGACCTGCAGCAGCGACGCCAACCCACCTGTCCACACCTACACCTGGTACACGGGTGCAGCATGTTTCCCTACAGCCGACAAAAGTTTTCACCAATCAAGACGAACCTTGGCTACACCCACAGGCAGAGGCTTGACGCTCAGCAGCTCTAACATCACCACTGAGGAACCAGGACTGCACTGTTGTGTGGCACGAAACAGACATGGGTCACAGATGTACAGTGTGACTGTAACAAGATCCAGAGGTGGGTGAATCAAGTGAGAGAATATGGGTTGGATTAAGACTGGGGATTTTTCAGTGTTGTTGCGTAATATTTCTGCAAAAATGGTCTATACTTGATCAAACTCAAACCAAGAGCCAGGTTGTTCTTAATGTCAGGTTTGTATTACAGTGCATGTCTTATTAATAAGACAGTTTGACAAACAATAATGCTTTTTTTATCCATGACAGCTCTCACCCCGTCAGAGTCTTCAGGAGGCAGATGGATCCTTATTGGAGTAACCATCGGTGTTCTGCTGGCCATCTTAGCCTTGGTGGCCTTCTTCATGACCAGGTGAGCTTCTTGCTTTCCTTAAAGCTCTGTTAACTTTTAGAATTACTTTTTATTCCTTTCAGTATTTCAGCATCAAAGGTCCTCAAATGTAGTATATTTGGATTATATAACCATTGAAGTATGATAATGTCACTTCTACAAAGTTATGGTTTCAGAAACCTACACTTAATAAGAATCACAAGGGGATAATGTGCTCAAAATCAGGGGCAACTCCAATCATAAACTGCATCATTTTAATTAAAAAACTATGATTTATAGATATGTTTATATTATGTTTACGTTAGATGTCTTACCATGAATCTTTTGAAAAAGGCTGTTTCAGGTAGCCTGCAGTAGTTACAGGTAAATGGATTGTTGAGTTTTCTCCCTGATGGCCTAATTTGTCTCTGAACGGGCTGCATAAAATTATCAGTGTTAATTCAAGTCACTTTCATTACCAGCTGAAAACTTCTTACAGGAGCTTAAAAAACTTCTTGGACAGATATGAAAAAGATTGTTTCATAAAATTCTGTAAATAGTGTTCATGGAAGGGTGAAAGTTGTGGCACCTGATGCATCATTTATACTAAATTGCATAACAGATGGCTCTGAGGAATTAAATTTGAACTGAATTTTTCTTTGGGGATCAATAAAGTTCTTCTTATCTTATCTAATCTTTAAAGCTCCATTTAGGAGTTTTGAATTAGCTGTGAAGTAGACTTGAAGTATTACAAACCAAACCATCAGTTCAAAGACATATTTTTCTCTCTTTCTCTTGTCCATGAGTTTCTTTTTTGTCAAATAAGCCCTCAGATCATTTCTAAAAGACAAGATCAGCAAAGAGTTGACAGTAACTCTCATGTCAACAGGGGACGCCTAAATCAACACAAACCAAAAATTCCTCACAGGGGCTTTAACTTCAAATGAATTAGTATAATCATGTTAGCAATCAATTCATGTCCTCATGGGCAAAAACAATACACTTAATCGTGATGGCAGCCAAAGATTATGTTTTTGGGTCTAGGTTAAATGCATTACAAACTTGTACTGCAATTTCATAATGAATTTGATCTTTTTTTCCTTTCCAGGAAAAGAAAAACATCTCGAAACCAGTCATATGCACTCACAGCCACAGGTGAGCAGCAGTATCTTAAGGACTCAGAGAAGGACTAGGACTTGTTCTGTGATAAAACATGAGTATTTTATTTGCACTTACTTCTCTTTTTTGTCAGTTTCAGCTTACGACTGAAGTAATTGTACAAAAAAATCAGTTGACTGTTTAAAGTGGCAGTGGTGCCACTTCAGAGAGCCTGAGGATGATATGTCAAACATAACTGTACAGCCAAGCAGCAGGGACACAAAGCTGAAACCCAGAAGTGAGGGATTTTAATGCAATGATCTCAAAGAGTATTTTTTTTTATTTAAGAAGTGAAGAAGTAAGAGAAATGTCTTTTTTTTTTGCAGTCTGCTTTGTTACATTTGTCAGATTTATTTATACGTGTCTATGTTATGAGAAAAGATATATGTTGTAGTAAGAAGTTCACCAAGAAACATTGTACAGAACTTAAAGAGATGGACTGAAAATCTTTTATTGGTCTTCATGTTGTGTTAGATGTCTAATAATAATATCTATTAACAGACATTAATCTTATTTGACATGCAGAGTTGTTTTCAACACAAATACTTAAGAGGTTTTAAACAACTGTTTACCAAGTACTGTACTACTGAGGAGGAGAAGCATGATGATGCTGATGGAAAACATAATGATAATGATCCAATTAAAGACTCTCAGCAGTGGGGATTGTATGGTTCTGGGTAAACTGTTCTCATGATAAGGTACACACAGATACAGACCAGAGCCTAAAGAGATGAGGAGGAGGAGGAAAAACCAGCAGGACAGTGACTCTGACTCCCGGACATCCTTGAACAGAATGAACTCAAGCATAATCTCTTTAACTCATCAGTTTATTTTTAGATTTTGTTTTTCTTTTGCATTGATGAGTTAAACATTACACACATTTCACCTTGCAGTTTTTTTTTCACAAATAACATTTAATGACTTTTTTTTGTCAAGTGCTGTTTGTTTTTAATGGTTGAACAATTGATTTTAATAAAAATGATTTATTTATGGAGCACTTCTTAGTACTTTATACTACTTTGGGTCGAGCAGTTCTTCTCACCCAGGGCATTTCATTTCACTGTTGACTTTGCTTAACCTGCAAATGACAAATAAGCCAATCTTGAACCTTGAATCTTTTTCAAAAATCCAAGAGCTTGTAAGAACAGCAAAACAAAATAGAACATGAAAATATAAGCATGTAATTAATATAAGATAAGGCAAATACTGTAAGTCAAAAGATTGAACCTTGTCTAAACTCAGCATTAATGTGAAAAAGGAAATAAGATGGTTCTCTGTCTATAACATCCCACATTAAGATTTCCACAAGTATTTTAACAGCACAGCCTGTTTTAACAGAACTTAACTTGGTTCAGTCTGTTGTACTTGAACCCATTGAGCAGTGAATAAAACATGACGCCATATCACAACATGACATGTTCAAACTCTGTGGTTTCCTTAACCAGACGTGTTCTGACGTCTAACTCTGTTCTTATGATCCATTTAGACATTGCTGATATTTTCATAATCATGGTCATCCTCCTGAAACTGAACAGAGCAACATTAGACATGCAGCTGACCAACAAGATAATGACTTTAGATTTCATGTTAAAAGATAGGACAGCTTCTACCTCTTTGTTTGTCACAGAGGAACTTCCATGCTTCCTTAACAATCAAATATATATTTCTGTTATTCATTTTCAATGTTGGATGAAAGGCAGAATAACAAATATGTCTACAAGGTAAATCAAGACTGATATGCATATAATCTACATACCAAGCCAAGAAGATAGCCAGCGAGACAACCATCAAAATGCAACCTTTGGCTCCAATCCCAATCAGTAGCAGGACACGGTTTCCTGAGGTAAAAGAAAACAATAAATGTGAAACACAAAGCAAGCTCACAGATTTTCTTCAGCTAACACGCAAATATAGTTTAAAGTGCAGGGTCTCGACATTTACTGAGAGAACAAAGCTGCAGCAGTACATTAAGAGTAGTTGCTTGACCCTTAATCTCAACGATATGGCTGCTCTGGTGGCAGATCTTCAAAAAGATTCAATTAAACATAAACTTTTCACAAACCGTGCTCTCTGCCCTTTGGAGCCAAAAAGATAACCAGCAAGAGACCAGTCGAAATGCAAACTATGGCTCCAGTACCAATCAGTAGGAGGACATGGATTACTGAGGTAAAAAAAACAAAAAAACAAATAAATGTGAAACACAGAGCAAGCTCAAAATTTTCTTCAACTGACATGCAAATGTAGTTTAAAGTACAGTTTGAAACTTTCCTGAGAGAACAAAACTGTAGCAGTAAGCAAAGATTAGTTGCTTGACCCTTAATCTCAACGATATGGCTGCTCTGGCGGCAGATCTTCAAAAAGATTCATTTTAACATAAACGCTTCACAAACCGTGCTTTTTGTCCTTCATGGCGAACAGCTCCCCAGAAGAACTGTCTTCCTCAGGTTTGTTTACTGACACGTGTCAAACTGTGAGAACCACAAAACTGAAGCAGCTTGATACGGATGTGTACACTCTCAACCACATTTGTGAGATATAACCAAAATCACTTATGACCAGAGACCTAGAGTTGTAGACTTCCGCAAACTTCTTTTCTTTTAATCTGGTGAGATGACAAGAAATTCTTTGAATTGATAAAAATCTACAGTCTTGGCTGAATCAGTTCTCTGGTGCAATGCTTCACAGATGCAAGAAACACAACTATTTTTTCACAGGTCAGCACAGTTTACATTTTTAAGCCCAGTACCCACAAATGGCAAATAAACATACTCCCACAGTAGCATCTGTGAGTGTGTTGATCTTGAAATGAGAAGGAGTCGGTCAAGCAGGCAAAAATGCAATGGTTTCCACACACAACAGGACTCACAATCGTGCAGTGCATTAAATCAGACATTTGACATTTAGTTTATTTTTATAAACAGAGCGCCAGGAGACTGCAAACCCAAGTTTCCTCATCCCCTGAAATGTTCATATTCTTTTCATGAAGAGGCTGTTTTGGTGATGTCAACAGTCGGTGATGTCAACAGTCAAGTTTTGCGTGAACCAAAAAATCCTAAAGTTGACAGCAAGCTCTCCATCATGCACACTCTCTCTTATGTGTGCCCTCTCTAATACACACAGAATTATCAACACTAGCAGGCTCACAGGCAACAAAGACATATTTATATTATAATCCTCAAACATTATATTAAGTTTCACCTACCAGCTCAACTCTTTTTAGAGAAACCAGAGATAACCAACACAGAGGCTAGGCTGTTAGTCTGCTTATGGGGTCCATTTAGCTTAGACATCTGTAAGTGGTTCAATGATTTCCATACACTGTCATCGAAACTGACCTGGAGTGTATCACATCTAACCACATCTTTCTGCCATCCACCACTGAATACCAGCCTTAATAGCCTTAATACATTTGGCCGTCCTTTGTGCTGAGTAGAAGAAAATGTCACTAGTGACCTTTTTTTAAACACTCAGGTTCTAATGCTGTTCACTTTTCTCTTGTCTTTTCTGCATCTTGTACATAAAATAACAGACCAGAGGGTTGCAACAGATTTCACAGAAAGGACTTTATTTACATTTATTGTGGCGCCTTTAACATGTCAATTGTTACGTCTGTACCATGTGCACTAAAAGAAAGACATTCCATATTAATCCGTAAATCTATTATCATATCCTTTAAACACAGAAAAATAAATCAACATTGAAAAAGTCAAAACAGGATTAACAAATAAATTATCACCAAAATTTTAACTTTTGATAAAGTACACAAGAAAGTACATTACTTCATATATTTAAACAACAACGTCCGGATAATTAGCTGTGCTTGGACAGTCACCGTCAGAATTATGGGTCAGATAACATAAAGTAACTGTTTCTACATATACCTAAAAAGATATCAAGAAGTAAAATTAACAGAGTTTGTGAATACCAGTGTTTTCTCTGTAGAAGGTTTACCCCTGAGTGAGGTAGCGTATCCTGACAGTCATGAATTATGTTTGTAAATATCTTTTGGGATGTGACTGTTCTCTGTCAAAGTGAAAGTGTATAAATCCCAGAGCCCTTGTTATCAGGAGGAATCAAAACTCACAACTTAACCCTTTAATAAACTGATATACTTCATTGCATTCCCACTGCCTTTGGATAGTTACATCAATATGGGTGAAATGAAGAGATTTGTTGTGGGGCTTTAATTAACAGTTACATGATACTTGTGTTACCAAATGTGTGACACTCAAATTTCAGTCAGATCATCTTAAGATGAAAGATGTGTTGACAGGTGTTGACAGTTCTCTGCATCAAAAGGTCAATCATGAAACAGCAATTTCTAACATGTCCACCAAAGTTTTCAGGAAACTGAACATTACAGAAGCTGAACTCTAAACCTTAAAAGGTGCAGTCTGTAGAAACACGAATATTAGGTGAAAGCTAACTGTCAGACTTTAGACCACAAAGCTTCCTTACTCACTTCCTGTTAGTGGGCCGCTATAGACAAAAACCTTTATGACGCATATGGTCTTCTATTTGTCTCAGTTTTTACCATCAGCATCTACCAATATATCTTTACAAGATCACCTGCTGAATACAAACACACATATGGATCTTACTAATTTATCCATCTTTCCACTGCAGAAACATGGCAGTGCAAGACAGCAGCCTCGGTGGAGAGGGGTCAACTCCTTATTGAGAAATAAAAGGACCATTGATAAAAATGAATTTATTTTTACTTGCAGATGAGTTTACCCAAAATTAAACTCACTTGGGAATATTATAAGGTTGTTATCTGATCTGTTATATACTGCTAATACATAGACTACACCTACATATATACATAAATACATACATCACATACATAGACTTCACCTTACACCGACTATACCTCAAACAATATGGAGGCCAGGGTTGAATCTACTGAAATTTGAGCTAGGGGGGCAGAATTTCTGGAACACGTAGTACATTATTTTTAACTGAGGGGGGCAGCATTTCCCAATCTGACCACAGTGATTATGGATACAGTTGACATTGAACTACTCTGTTTGGCAACAACATTCAAGCATAAGAACAGTGATCAAGATGAGTATAGCACACTCACACGAGTAAAGAATAGCAAATGTTTATACCCCCTTTCCTTTTAAAATGATGAATAAATATGTGGTTTGAAAGGTGAGTCTGAACTACATAAACCTGAGATGTGATGCTTTTTTAGAGTCCTTCAACAGAAATTTCCAGCTGTGTTCCCCTGTCTTTATCATCCATCGCAGCAGTGCTGATGTTTTCATAATCACAGTTGTCTTCCTGAAACACAAAATGCAGTGGACACTATATCAACCAATAACCATAAATAATTAGAATACACAGTGTTCTGTTGTTCTTACCTCTTTTTCTCCTGCAGATTTACTCCCCTTCCTCCTAAACAATAAAAATGACAAGAGTTTGTAAACACAATTCTCCACAACTCATGAAAAGAATAGTAATATGAGTAGTATATCAGAAGTCCAGCAGATTCAACAAATGCAGGGTTGCACTCTTATATAAAGTTCTACTCACCAAGCCCTGATGATAACCAGTGAGAGAACCAGCAAAATAACTACTTTTACTCCAAAAATGAAGATAAAAGAGGACCAGGTCCAAACTCCTGTGAGAAAAATTCAACAAGAAATTTGATTATCTAATGATGAAAAAAACACTTAGACTCTTAATCAAAGACAAAGATAAGTCTTGAAACTCTTCACTGTTTGTTTACCATCTATGACTGTAAAGGGACACTCACCATGTTCTTCTGCGCTCGGTGTTAGCAGCACCTCAGCTGAGATGTTCTCTCCAACTGTGTTCCTGGCCTGGCAGAGGTAGGGTCCAATATGGGACGCCTCCACAGTCAGCATCTGTCCTGAGCCCACCTGGAGCAGAGAGCTGGAGTTGTGAGAAGCTGTACTGATGAACCAGGTGTAGTTTACAGCTGCAGGGTTAGCAGAGCTGCTGCAGGTCAGATTCACTCAACTGTCTTCTCCTGGGAGTCCGCGATAATTCACCTTAAGTGACACATCCATTGGAGGATCTGTAATTGAAACACAACAGCTGATTAAATTCACCTATTCAGAGGTTTTATCTTTGACATTTTGGCGAATCAATCTTTAAGAGGGTCATGCTAATCTGCTAGGCCCGTTTTTTTAACAGTACTCTGCTTGTATTTTGGACAATGGATTGAATCAAATCTTAAAAATGGGATTTTCAAAAGAAAAAATGGATTATGGAATCGAATTGGATCGAGTAACCCAATCTTGGTTTTGATCCGGATCAAACTTTTAGTGTGGGTTTTTCAGAACTTTGTAGTAGGATTGGGATCACTTTGATCCAAAAAATCTGGATTAAACTGATCCCATCAGAAGGGTGGATTCAGCGTGGATTTCAGGCCCAGAATGTGATGAACTTTTAAATTGTATCAAATAATAATATATTTGGATCATGCAGTATAGCGTACAAGATATCCCATTTATCCATAAGGTTTTAATTTGATTTGTTCATCCATCAGGCTACAGTGATTAAGTAGGCTATAATGCATTCAGCTTTTTAGTATAGGCCTACAGCAAAGTAGAAAGAGTTTCGCCTCATAAAACAATCCCCCAAACAGCTGTCATTATTGACCACAAATAACATGTTTAATTATCTCACTAATCAATGTGTATTCATCACAATCAAAATTATTTTTTTGTTCTCAGATTATTTTTCAGTGATGCATGCAATGATAAAACAGAATAACAAAGCAATGGCCATGGCATCACTGGTTTTTGAAATCCAAAACAAATCCAGATCAGAAATAGTGTTTAACTATTGCGTCCATTGTAGCACATCCTGTTTGCTTGTTCTGGCAGAATGGTTATCCAGATTTGGTGATCCTGAAAAGTTTCTATCCGGATCAGATTGATCCAATCTGATGTTGCTTTGAAAAAAACGGCTCAAAAGAAAGATGGATTACGTGATCATAGATAGCCAAAAAAAGGGGAAAAAAAGGGATTACGAAATCCAGATAAATTTTATCCAGATTGAACCTTTTGAAAAACTGGGCCCTGATTTTGATAGAGCGGCAGACCTCAGTCATAAGTTTATATGAAGTTAACAAGCCGCTGTCTTATCTCCTTTTTAAAAATTTCAAAATTCAAAAGAATTTGTGATGTGTGTCTTCAGCTCCAAAATCAGATGATTTATTTACTTACAATGTACATCCAGAGCTACAGGGTCTGAACGCACTGACTCCTGCCCTTGAACAGCACAAACATATTTCCCAGCATCCTCTGCCTGTGCCCGGAAGCTGGGTTTGGCTACTTGACGTCCATCTTTGTACCAGACTGTGCTGTGAAGTTGGCAGGATGTTTCACATTCAAGAGTCACCTCGTCCCCAGTCTTCACTGTGTCAGGGTAAACTCGGGCTCTCGGCTCTTCAAATCAACCGGTTAAAGACAGAGAACATTATGGTTTGACAAGGGGAGCATCTTTCAGGTAAGATAACTCAGAATTTGGTACAAACTTACCTGTAACAGAGAGATACACAGATTTTTTACTCTTCCAGCCAAATTTTTCTGTGTCAAACCTGAAGTAGTAATATCCAGTGTCGTTCAGCAGTAGGTCATGAAGAGCCAGGCCACAGTCATGCTGATTGTCTCCAACGTATTCAGAGCGATTGTCATATGAAGGAAGGTCAGAGAGCTTCACACGTACCCATGAGCCATTATTTGATACCCCTTTATACCACGCAGTCTTTTTAACAGTTTGTCCATCTTCATAGTTGTATGAGCACCTAAACTGCACCGATGATCCTTTTACAGCACAGGGGTTTGGGTTTTCAAAAGTCACTGACCAATCAGCTCTTAGTATTTCTGCAGAGAGATCAAACGGTCACGAGTAAAGATGTACGACTGAATGCTGCAAAACTAACAGAATAACAAGAAGCACAGAGGCAAACTGCTCTAAGAGGATCTGATTAACTTTCATGTCATGACTTCCATCAGACACAGTGAGCCTTCAGAGAACATTTGCTTATGAAGCAGTAACACAGCAGACACATTTGTGTTGGCGTCGGCGTATTTTTATGATTTCTCTGTGAAGCATAACTGGCTAAACCTTCTGCATCCTTTGTAGTGTGTTTGACACAACAGTAGGAGTTAAGTGCAGTATTCTCTGTTTTTAAAAACTGAATCACTGTTTTATGGGATGACTATTTATGATGACTATTTTAATGATTTCGAGTCATTATACATTGTTTTAAGTCAGTTTGGATAAGGTTTTGTTGTATGCATTTACTAATAACAAAAAGTTTAATCCCAATCCAAGTCGTGATGAACGGTGAATATTTCTAAATGCTTCTATCCTGTGTTAGATATCCTAACATCAACTCAAAACAGCTCACCTTAAATGTAGATAATTGTAAGGACGTTGCCCTAATGCTTGGAGTCTACTGCTGAAGGGTACGGACCTGCTACCCTGACAGTCATAACTCAGGGCAGGAAAAGCTCTTTGTGCCCTCCCTGCTTCTCCTTGTTAGACATAGCAAAATCTTTTTCTTTAGTCGATCACTTTCTGAACTGAGACCAGCATAAGTTGATATTAGGTTGCAATCAAAGCATGACTCATGTGAGACTGAATCTCTTAAAAATGCTGTGGTAGTCTGCTAAACATGTCCTCACATTTCTAGATGATGCAACATTTATATTTGTCTTTATTTTATTTCATTGTTCATTACTATCCTGCGTGATTGGACAGCACTTACTACATTCTATGTATGAAAACTGCTTTTAAAAAAAATGTTTGATTGATTGATCATTTTCCAGTTACAAGTCCCTGCTTGGTGAGTTATGCATACATATTATTGATAATAATTATCCAATGGAATAAATTTCTTCCAAAAAAGAATCTAGAGATCATTTTGCTGCCTACCTGTTTTCAAGATGAGAAGCATCAGCATTAAGATCATCCTCTTCAAATCATTGCAAGAAACGAAACCTCCAAAGGGGTTTGACATCTGAAGTTTGGATTTGTTTTCACCCTTCATAAGTTAGCCTGACAGTGTATAGCATGGATCAAGAAAGAATAAAGTAAAGCTGCAAACTTCTTGATACCAGTCCATCCACAGCAATGTGACAAATTTAAATAAAGGAAGGTGGGTTTTTTTGTAAAATCATTGAATATGCATCAATGACACAGGATGTGTCAACAGAAACTACCTTTAAAGGAGAAAATTTGGCTGTAAATGAGGAACTTGCGGGTGAAACTTAAGTCTCTTCTTGTATCAACTTGTCTACTGCTTTCTTCCTTTTTTTGCTAAAATCTTTTCCACAGAACTTTTCCTTTCAACATTTTTTTTCCCTTTGAAAACATCAGCTGAAAACTGGAGGACTGAATGAAAAAGAGAACAGCTTGCTCTCAAAAGAGCTGAGACGTCCACAATGTCACTTCCTGTTTCTGTGTTTGGACCATAGACTGTATATAAGTATGTAAGTCTATAAGTATTTAGACTTATATACAGTCTATGGTTTGGACAGTCAGTCAGTCTGTGATACAGACTGAAAGTTGTCTCCACATGCCTATGTCATGCCCAGTCATGCCTATACCGGAGAATAAAAAACCAACCATTTCCTGTTCACATAACTTCTGTGATGGTTTTATGGACTAAAGGGTACAGTATGTAAAACATCTTTGCTCTCCCCTCCTGTCACTGAAGTAACAGTGGCCTATATGGACGAGAAGCCCCTCCATGAATATGATCCTTTATGGTCAAGTTTTTGACATCTATATATACCATATGTAAACAATGACACCTTATTCTTAGTTTTAAATAATAATAATAGTTTTGAATTTCAGTGGTAACACACAAGTTCAGACTGACTCATGAATACTTTGTATCTGAAACCCTGCTAATATTGTTTACCTTCATATACCACAACTCTCTATCAAACCAGAAACCACTGCACCGAGTACACTGACTAAAACTGAACATCACTCCGAGACTAGTTTTGCATTATTTCTATGGTCCTATTTGCTGTTTACACTTTACCTTCAGCAGAGAAAGCGAGTCAAATGAGGACAACTGTCTGGATGCAGCGCCCCCTGCTGGCTAAAACACTCATCTACAGCTGAACAATGTGGCCACATGGTGGTCAGCAGAGAAACAGAATAAGACACTGACAGAGCTTTGAGGTTTCACTTCTTTACGTTTTACTGCTCCTGATTGGTTACCGTTATAATGATTACCATGGCAACTTTTATTTTTATCATTTCACCCATAAACTTAACAATTTTAGACACCCTATAAAGAGTTTTGAAAATTTGGTAAGACTCAAGTGTCCATCTTTACATCTTTCACCTGATTTCATATCTCACTGCATCTGTAGGAGAACCTCTTGTAGGAGGACCTTCACTGCAGAGGAATTGTTGAAGGTTAAAGGGATTTGACTTTTTCCAAAGCTAAGTGGTGATCCCTGACCACTGGACCTGGAAATAATAATAATAATATATAAATAAAATAAAACATCTTATATAGATGAATAATCAAACTCTCACAGGACTTTACTCATCTGCTCTACCTGTATATCTCCAGGGTACTGCATATCACTACTGCATATCTCTGGGGTTTGGTAGTTCAGAAAAACATTACAACAATCAGTTAAAATGCCCTCATAGTCCCTCAGGTGAGGAGAGAAGTGAAATGATATCAACGTCAGTCTCAACAAGGATGAAGAAAATGAAGATTTCACACTTTTCTTTAATTTCTTCAAACAGATTCATTCAAATTACTGTCATTGATGTCAAACTGTCAATGTGTCCTCAATCAATCAAGTCCATTCATCCATTTTCTACCGCTTATCCTGTTGGGGATCGCAGGGTGGCTGGAGCCTCTCCCTGTGAGGCGACAGTGCTAACCACTACACTACTGTGTCATCCCCAATCAGTCAAGTATATTAATTTATATTATGCCGTTCTTATCCCATTTCTATCCATCTTGAGCGGAGCACTTAGGTGAGGAAGATTTTCCTTTTGACATGCAGACACCTCAAGCAGGACTAGACTCATGTTGAACAGTCATGTCCCGCGACTGTGCTGGGATTGGAAAGCAGATGGAGGAAAATGCAGAGAGGGGGAGATGGATGGAGACAAACCATGACAGACTTGTTCTCTATCCTCAAGTACACTCTATCAAAAAGCAGAAGGAGTCCAATGGAAGAAAATGAGATGATGTAAAGCAGCACAGAGCGCTCAACAGCAACACATTACCTATTTTTAACTCAAGAACGCCGCAAAGGAATATTTGAGGTGACACGTCAAACTGTCACCACTTCCTTGTTGCTGGTGTCAACTCTCACACTGAAAAGCTTGTGCATGTAAAAACTGAAACTGTGATCTCTGTGAGAATAGAGGTGTTTAACTAATTGTTGTGGAAAACATTGTCATGTTTTATTCTCTCCAAACTTAAAAATAAACCTCTTATATCGATGCCCAGCAGCACTCAGGTCTGGTTTTCTCTCCATGTGTAAAGGGTTTTCTGTTCCTGTATTCATTTTATTTGTCTATGACTTTAAAACTCATAGCTGCTTTTAACTGCTTCATGAATAAACTTTAGTGTGAATATTATCATGCTTTCTTAAAGGTGTGGTTGCAGGAGAGTCAGGCTACATTTCCTTCAGACACAGAGAGAGAGAGAGAAAGAGAGAGAGAGAGACAGAGAGAGAGAGAGAGAGAGAGAGGTAGCTTATTTGAAAGTAAAATTTTGTTTTGTTTTGCAAGTTGTTCCCTCAGAAAGACTCAAAGACTGTAGGAAAAGTAAGGAGGGTTAAGAAAGGGAGGGATACCTGATAGTGTGTGTGTGTGTGTGTGTGTGTGTGTGTGTGTGTGTGTGTGTGTGTGTGTGTGTGTGTGTGTGTGTGTGTGTGTGTGTGTGTGTGTGTGTGTGTGTGTGACACACAGACAAAGCAATTGTAACTTTTCAGCAGTTCCAGAAAAGCCTTGAGTGATTACTGACGTTATTCTCAGCAGCTCTAATCGTCTCAGGCCCGTCCTGTTCAACCTGTTTGTGGTTTGTAAAAGTCCATTCTCTGCATCAGGAGGAGGATAACATTCCTGCAGCAGGGCCTCGCTGTTTGTGCAGTCGTTCCTGGTAAGAGCAAAAGGATGGAGTGAGATAGTCAGAGAGAGTTGTGTTGTTTGGAGACACTGAAAGCCGATTACTGATGGTAGATTTATCTATCTTATATTTATATCAGATTAACTGTTACTGAGAGGCGGCAGTGTATCTGAGGATTTGACCTCAACAAAACTTGAAGGAAGCTTCCTGCAGACCTGCTGAGAAACTTTCACTTCAATTTAAGGTCAGTGAAAAAACACTTTCATATCTGTTTCTCATTTTGATTGTTTCTATTTACTTTGTCATATTTGAGAAAAAAATTTACTAAGGGACAAATTATAAGCGACAGGCCTCATGACACAAATTATACAACTGATGGCAAAAGCTCAGCAGACAAAATAACAAAGCAGAGAAAATGATTTTTTTTCTTTCAAATGGACAAAAGTTGTCCATTGATTGCTCTACTTAAAATATATTAATAGGAAATTTCAAGGCTATTTTACAGAATGGGTATTGTTCAAAATACCCATTGATCAAAAATGGGGACGGTTAAAATTATGTCCATCTTTCAAAGACAGGTGAACTGTTTTCTTAATTACAGGACCACTGTCTTGACCAAATGAAGACTTAAAATTTTTTAAAGATTTTTAGGACTGATAATAGAGGTGGATTTTTAATTTTGAGCCAGTCGTGACTGTTGATCATAACCTTCACCTGACAGCACACACCAATAAGATTATCACTTTTGTCATTTGCATTCTTGTTTTAAAACAATATGTAGTTTATGCATGATTGAGTGAGCAGTTACATGTGACAATATTACAGAGCACTATTGGTGCACTCTATAAATGAAGAGTACTTCTGACTCTTGCACTGTTATTCACTAACCAGAGCACCCTTTTCAGTCATGTCTGTTTTTTTTTCTTGTTAGAGTCTTGAGTAAGATCCTTTACATTTCAAAAGACGTCAAAAATGTCAGCACCCTTATGTGCTAACAAATACTGGTGGATTTAACAGCTTTGTTTTTTAAAGTGTGCGGAGTGTGAAAACATAGCCATCTAGCTCTTAAAAATCTCTGCAAAAGTGCTGTCAAACATGACCTCAGGAGAATAAAAAATGAGATGCTTTTCAAACAACGCTGCATGCTAAAATAGTCTGAGGTCTTCTATTTCTGAGCAAGTTTGATTTTCAGTGATCTTGTGTTTAGTCGCTTAAGTTTTGGGCTGGTTTGGGTAAATTTTAGATTGTTGAAACACTCACTCCACTCACCATGTTTCTTGGTACAGATGTCAGCTGCAGCCGGTGCTCTCTCTCATATCTTCTCATAAGACTCATAAGTTTTGGTGTCTCAAACTCCAGGACTTTTCCCCTTTTAGGGAAACAGTGGCATTTTTTTTGATAAAAAAAAAAAAACTTGCTCCTTGTGAGGTCAATTTGACTCTTATCTCCTGGTATTAAGTGTGCTGGTTCTTCTCCTCATTACAGACGGCACACTGGGAAATATTGTTTTCAGAATGTGAAAGCTTGTTCATAAAGAAAATTCTACTTTTTTTCAGTGTATCATGTAATATCATGTAAAATAATACATACCAAGCTGACTTTATAACATCTGTAGTTGTAATGTATGTCATGGCTGCATTGGTCAATATGATTGTGTGATGGATTAAAAGAAAAAAAAGTCTAATATTTTTGTTACTTCTTCGATAAAAGATATTAATTCCTCTATGTGAATTCCTCATCAAATCTTCTCAGGTGTCCAAAGAAACTGTCGGCTTTATAATATGAGGCAATGAAACACTGTGTCTACAAATCATTCTAGTGTAATGAAACATTTGACTGCTTGTTGTCCCTCAGGCTAAAGTTTGAGCTCCACCCTTTTCTGATTTATCCACAACTATGTCGACGAACTACATTTCATTGCAACATGTATTCTTTTACTCTTCTGTAAAAGTTTGTGTGAAATCTATTCAATACTTTCAGATAATCTATGGAATAGGAGTCACAGAGAGGAGAAACAGATGGAGAAGAGGAAGGAAGGGGCGAGGAGGGCTTCTCATATTTGGTTGCTGCTGCTGGCTCTGCTCCAAATCTACACACCCTCTTCAGGTAAATAACCACAGCAGGGACTCTTCACATTATAATACTTATTATTGTTGTTAATACTGGGGCGTAATGTTTCCATTACTTGAATATGGTAAGCACATTAGAAGAGCAGCTTAAAATAACCTGAACAAGGACGTCAAAGCACCAAGCAAAATATTTGTAAGTGATCATATGAAGAGGAAGACCAGAAAGAGATCAAAGTTTCATCAGACTCCTAATGAAGCTTGCATCCTGCAGGAGAACCAGAGTTTCCATTTGTTAGAATATTCAAACCAGGGTTTGCTTACAAGAGCACGATCAGCAACAGGAAGCCTGAAGGCTCTTACCAACAACAAATCAAGAAGATTGTAGTTTGATTTGCTTGTAGCAACAATTTACTTGATTTCCTGAAACAGAACATAGAAGCAGAAATTCTCTCTGTCTTCTTAAGTTTTTAATTCCTCTCTAACTGTATTTCATGTTTTTTTTCATTTATTTTATTCAGTGGTGTCACAATCAACCACCAATTCAACTCTGAATACCACTGATGCCACCACCACTCCAGCACCAAACCCTGCAGTTCTCACCTACCGCACACGTCCCGCCAACATGAAAGTGGCCGTGGGAGAACCGGCAGTGTTTTGCTGCGGAGTGCCAGACGCTTCCCCCAGCCTCAAGTTCACTCTCTATGGAGGTCATGGCAACTACACTCTCACCTGTCCTGATGGTCATGTAGAGGATATCCCTGAGGTGAGGCAAGCGCAGGACTGGTTTTATCCTCATTTTGGACATTATCCCTCAATAACATTATCTTAGCAGGATACAGTGATCACGCAGCTCCTCTGAAGTGAAAGGTTGTTTGTTTTCTAAGTTAGAACTGAAATTAAAGAATCGTGATCATAAAGCGTGATTATCATTTTGTAAGTAATTTCTAATGATCAGTTATTGTATAACAATCATCTGAAAGCACAGGTGGTTGTAGTAGGACCCAATGATTTCCTGTACACAGCTAATATGACCTTTTATGTAACATGTTCAACAGCAAAAATTCAACAAATGTTACATTTGATGGTCAAAAAAGAGCAAACCGAGCTGGTTTGGCACAGTTTGAGGAGAAGACCCCCTATGTACAGAGGCTTCGGTCCTCGTCACAGGGGTGATGGATGAGATTCGGTGCGTGTCACCCTTCTCTGTTCCTGTTTAGTCAAAAAAAGGACTTAAAGCCCCAAAAGACACAGTAAGGTCAGGGTAGAGTAATTATCAAGAAACACAAGACAAAACAAGCAAAGACTGTTTTGTTTACAGAGGGCACCAATTCCAGCGGCGACCCAAAACTCCTTATCTGAGCTTAAAGTTCAAATGAGTTGGTGAGTTTGGTCTCACTAGATGAAGTCTGACTCAACATGTACAACCACTAAACCTTTATCACTCTATAAGTCAAAATCAACATTTTAAATTCAGAATCAACATTTTTTGTCACAAAATTCATTACTATCTTTCTCATACATACAATAAAATCTCTCATTTTCCCTTCTTCTGTCAGGCTCTGTATGGAAACTGTGAAATGAAGAAAGGAGAATCGTTGGCTGTTTGGACCATCAAGGGAACTTCTTACTCAGACAATGGCACACGAGTCGAATGTCAGCAATCAAACAACCCTGAAAAACGTTCTGCTGTCCTACATGTTTATGGTAAAGACTCTTCAGAATGCTCAAGTATTATCACCGAATGATCTTCTTTATCACAGCCTTTCCTCACAGTGATGAATCTATAACCTATCATGTGACATATCTATTCAGGAATACGCACACTCTCTTCTCTTGTCCCGTTTCCTTCACGTCCAGATAGCGGCATCAACTACGCCATCCTCATCGGCTGTGTCATTGGTGGGTTTTTTGGAACGCTGTTGGTGGTTGCTTTGGCGTTTGTAACACTGCAGAGGTCTGATACTGTCCAGAGGTGCTTCAGTAAGTAGGCTTTTGTCAATTACAGCAAAATGTTATTAACACACACTGTAAGTAGAAGGCTGTAAAGTAATGTGTGATGTGTCTGTGCTCTCAGGAGGAGGAGGAGGAGAAACAGACGATGATCAAACCACGATAGTAACAAAGGGATAAGAGGGGAGACAGAGAGAAGAAGAAGATTTTGCCCTGAAAACACATCAATAGATGGAGCTGTTTTCGTTTTCAACCCTTTCACCTATTTAAGTGATGTGGCAGCTTTGGACACGTCTGGAAATGATGACTGAATGCTTCAGGTTGGATCCAGTCTGAATCCTGATATCTTCACTTTCTGTTGTGCCACCAATGTTTGGATCTTGCACAGGCTGCCCGTAGTGTGACAATTAGAGTCTAAATGCACATAACTCAGCGTAGATGATTCGACTAAGTGACTGTCCTTCACTTTTGCAGGGATTTTGTACTTTTTGCACTTTCTTTATGGCACATACATACAAAAATAAAATGTGTTGTTTGTCCATAAAGCTGAGAGGCTTCTGTCTACATTGTAGGATTGAAGGAAAATGAAGGAAAAGTTTGAATGTGAAGTTGTTTTTTTGCTCTTATAGCTTAGAGAAAATGTCAGCTCTCTGCAGCAGGAATATCTTATAAAGATGTTTCTTTTGCTTTTTTGTGGTGTACTCATCAGAGTTAATCATGCTTTTTACTGTCTTATACAAGCCTTGTTTTTGCATAAAGGCAAAACATAATGGTCTTTAGTCTTAGTTACCAAAGGTGAACTCATGAATGTTTGTTTGTCTGCTTATGTTAGTTTCTGTCTTGTCTTTGGATGCCTTTAGGATTAGACATCCATAAAACACCCTGCTCACCACATGAGATTTTCCTTTGAGACGGAGCTCATTGTCAGTGTGTCAAAAGGCTCAAATAAATATAAATACACAATAAAATATACAATAAAAATCGCCTATTGGACTCCCACCATTTATCTAAATTAATTTAATAATTTATTTAGTGTATTTGAATCAATGATAAAAAAATAAAAAAAAGCTTTATTAAAAAGAAAAAAAAAATCATTTATAAAATGTTCTTTATATGGTCTGGACTTGGATGTTTACTTTGACTTCCCTCCTATCTTAATGGTCATGTTACATTACATGAGGTCCTACAGTTATAATTAGTTAATCTTACACTCATATGGCAAAAACTGTGACAGTCTGGTTAAAAGCAGAAAAGCCACGTTTGTGTTTCATCAGTCTTTCTTTATTTATGTTTGTTCTGCTGTCCTCTAGTGGTAGAGTCCTGACATGACAGTGACTTTAAAACAGTCTGATCCAGATATTTAGACAGTTAAATTACTAATCAAATAGCCTGTCAGTTAGATGTTAACAGAAATAATTTACAGAATGTAATATTATTTACACCTAGAGAAAAAATCTACATTTAATCCATCCATTACTCTTTTACTCTTCAAAGGCAAAATATCAAAACATGACAAGTTGAAAGAGGATATTTCTGCTTTACCATTTAAGACTGGGGGATGAATGAAGAGCTTGATTCAGAGGGAAGGTGGTCAGAAAGCTGGCATGAAAGCTGACAAAAACCACTACAGATTGGTGTCATCTCAACGTAATGTTGAGAAACTTGAACTCAAGAGCAAACTTGCTTTAGGATTACTTTGAGATTACTTTGATTACTTTGCTCTAAGAAAGCAACTTTTTTTGCACTATTCACAGACGCTGCACAAAAGTGTTCTTCTGGTTCCCTACTGTACTGGTGGTCCACTTGACTTTTGTCCAGGACACTGATACATAGTGATTTTTTTTCATTTAGCTTTGCATCTAAACTAATACATCTGACACAGTAATGCCTGTGGTGTTTGTGTTTTAAACTCAGTCCTCCCTTTCGACAGCTAACAGGATATTCTGATAATGTGATAATATGTGCTCAATGGAATGTGTCAAAAAAGCCAAAAACATACTTTACGGATACACATCCATGTAGTCTGTCTGGTTTTCTGATTAAACTCCTGAAAACTGAAGATGAAAAGATAGAGTTCTGTGCAGCAGGGACTCTGGACGGTGAGTGCTGCAGACTGCAGTCACTATAGTGTAAGTCACTATATTTTGATGCAGAAAAGTCCTGAAGTCCTGTTGTTATCAGATCTACATCATGACAGCCATAGCTTTCTCATGTGGTGAGTGTAACCGCATAAATCACACACCTGCACCACCAGGCTTCCAAAAAAAAAAAAGAAAAAAAATCTCTCTCTTTTCTTTCAGCCTGATGAATCGTTCTCTCTGCCTCCTTGGTTTTGCTATCTCCTTGTGTTCTGTTAGTTGTATTTTCCTGTGTGTCTTTCAAATGTGCAGACTCAAACAGCAGGTGCAGCAGGTGTTAAAACACTTATATATCTGTGAACCATTTGTGTAAAACAAATTAGCTTTCTGACTGCAGAGTACTGAACATTTCTGAACAGATCAGTGGCATGTCTTATTGGAGAAAATCCCCTTTTGTACATTTTGATTGAACAAATGAGACACAGAAGGATGTTAGCTGGTGTTTGACTGTGATCCACATTCTCTTGACTGTGTGTGGTGACCCAACAGAGCAGCATGAACAGCTAGAAGACAAGCACACGGAGAGACAGAGAAACCAGCAGGAGGGGATTCAGCCTTGTCTTTATTTGATACAACAGAGATAGTCTGAAGCAATGTGTTGATTCAGCTGCTCGGCTACACCCCACCTCACTCTGATAGTTCTCTGAAACACTCCCTTACTCTATTTCTTAAGATCTCAACACTGTTATGGTGATGAGTCCACAGAGTGGTTGGCTGTATGAGGTATTTCCTGATTGAGTATCCACTCATTCACTCATTCTGCTTTTGTCTTGTTTCTTGCACTGTTCAGAAACACACCACTCTTGCCATGTGAGGACCCATACTTTCTGTAAAGAGCTTATATCTTATATAAGTTTCAAATTCCTCCAGATGTCGAGAATTACCTGTAAGTTTCCAAAAGATCTCTACAGGCCTGAGTGACGGGATCTTACTCTCTGTTTTATCACTAACCTGCTCTCAGACCTTTAGTTGGACTGTTTACTGACAAACAGCACAAATACCATCATAACAGAGACCTGTGTGTGTGTGTGTGTGTGTGTGTGTGTGTGTGTGTGTGTGTGTGTGTGTGTGTGTGTGTGTGTGTGTGTGTGTGTGTGTGTGTGTGTGTGTGTGTGTGTGTGTGTGAGTGTGCACTTGTGTGTCCACTGATTACATTGTTCAGTGTGTGTTCTCAAGATGACCTCCAGCAGACAATGAATCCGCTGAGCCGGCTGCATTGATCAATACCTGAGGAAACTTGGGTTAAACTATTACTAAGGGAGTTAAATACTAACAAGCTGACCATACCAGATTGAGTTGTAAGTAGATCTGACTAAAAGCTTTGCAACTTTAAGAATATTTTTTGGCTGACCTGGAACTAACCTCTAGTTTTACAACTGTAACAATGAGCCAAGGACACAAAAATATATGCATCACTCAGATCAGATCATATTTGTCAGAGCAGACAGAGCCACACTGAGTCTATTAAGTGTGGTTTTGCATGGTGACCGTATTTTGTTGGATGTTGACCCTCCAAACATTTACCAAGAAAAGGTCACAACATCAGTGGGCTTTCAGCCTGTGTTAAGTGGCTTCTCCAGTTACACATAAGAGTAATATGCTATATCTATTCCTACGTAAGTCCGTATATTCCTTTCACATTCAAGCTTTTATGTTCATTAAAATCCCTGAAAACCTGGGTGAGAAAATGTATCTCAAAGAAAAGTGACGTTCTTATGATCTAAAAAGAAATCAAATCCCAGATCCTTCATATATCAAAAGCCAAACCCACACTCAGCATCCTCTCTGTACGTTCTCTGGCGCCTGTAATCGTATCAGTGACGAGCTATTGACATGGAACAAAGTGACCTTGGTTTAACCTCCCATTAACAATGTTACAGAAAACTGATGCAGCAACAGCACAGACACACCGAGGACACACAGTCCTTTACTTATTCCATACTGTAGGTTATGGACTGAATCAATGAAATCCGGTCAGTGTAAGTTAATGCAAGAAACGTAATGGGGAAAATGAGACAGTGTGCTTGTTTATCGTGTTCTCTCTTTACTTTATCATGACTGATTTCCACTCTATCTGCTGTCAAATTGGTGAGTTATCATTTACACACAGACACTTGGATCCAGAGAGTCTGTGCCTCTGTTATTCTCTATCACCTTTGTCCTTGTTGCATTATCATTGTTAAGTGGCTGCTGCATGCCACAGATTTGTCAGAGCGTTAGAAATAGTTAAAAATAGTCACAGACCCCTGCTGTGGCACATACACGCCCTCATATACATACATGTTGTACATATGGGGCCAACACAAAGACTAATCAACACATCTAACAGAGGTTGTAGATTACATTAACAACACTCTTGAGGTTGAACCAGAAATAATTCCTCCTCCATATCTGTAAAGTTACAGTTCGAGACAAATTCGCTAAAGGAGAAAATAAAGTACCAGCACTGAAACTTATGTAAACGCTGTAGTGACACATTGTTTCCTCTTGTCGACATGTTGTTGTGTCATGCAGTATCATATCATGCTGAACTGAATCATAGCCTGTCATATTGTATCTTACCCTTTTGCATCAAATTGTAGTTTGCAATATTGAATCTCATAGTATTTTTTCACACTGCATCATATTCTAATTTATCTTATATTTCTAATTATGTCATATTTTATACATTTGATATCATATCGTATTGTACTGTATCAAACCATATTGTACAATATTGTTCGTACTGTTCGTTTGCATTGTAAAATGTTGAATTAATCCGTATTGTGTGGTATCATTTGTAAAGGATCTTATTGTATCATATAATTAATATTGTCTTTTATCATTTTCTATCTCATTATATAGTGTCGCATTGTATCCTACCCATAGACTGTATATAGAATGGACACCATCTGCCTCCTCGCTGGGTGAAGCCTCCATGAGAACAGCACCCTCTTGTGACGGGCTGCAATATAGGTCATAAATCCCGCCTCCTCCAGCAATCCCTATGGAGCTGTGGACAAACTTTAGAAATGAATTACACTGGCTATAAATGTTTCTCCCCCCTGTTTGCGATGCTGACATGTAGTTACCATAAGACTGGTTTGTATTCAAGTCCTCTTTTTTCTGTACAGCTCCATTTTTAAAAGTTATTAGGGGGTTTATGTTTTCTATGATTGACACTTGATACAGCCTATGGGCGTACAAAGATTGCGTAGCTCACCCAGGGATTCGCTGGTTAAGCCGAGCGTCATCACAGCCACTCTCCCACCGAATGCGTACAACACTACTGCGCAAGTGGTGGTTCCAGGAAGTGTAGAACATCCCGGAAAATTGTTTGTAGTATATACAGTCTATGATCCTATCGTACCTTTTACATTGTATTGTATCTGACTGTATTGTATGGTATTGCATCTTTTTGTGCGAATTGAATTGTTTCATTTGTGTAATATTGCATCATATCATATCCTCCTTTATTGTATCATATCTTGTCATCCCATTTTGTATCATATCATCTTGTATTGTGTAACATCACATCATATTTATCATATTTGGCTTTGTATCTTACTACCTAATATCGAAGTATATATGTTGTATCACATCAAACAAACTATCAATTCAAAGTATCAAAGCCAGTAGCATTCATACTTGTGTGAGAATGTGACATTCAGTTATCCAGTCCAAGTCACAATTTAAAAACAGACTAATAAGCTGGTGTGTTTCAGGGTTCACCACAGAATGAGCTCCTCTTTTGTAGTTGTATCTTAAAAAAAAGGTGTTTAATTAGTTAGACTAACAGACCTTACAGATCTGATTGGGAGCTAAGCAGACTTGTTGCTCACTCCCCCACAACTTGGGCTGGAAAAGAGAGGATTAACATAAGTCTGAAAACTTTGAAGAACAGGTCGTCTTATCACTGCAACATTCCTTCTTTTCTTAAACATCATAGACAGGCTGCCGTAAAACAATCAGTGTACGGACAATAAATGAGCTAGCAAAGCAGGACCAGACAGCTTGGATACTAGTGTTACCAGACAATCACAGCTGTCTTCTTGGACAGTCTGACAGTTGATACAACTAACTACACAACAAGCCGTGCTATCTCTTCAAGATTTTGTACAGTTTGTACAGTACTGTTCATACTTTCTTTGGGAATCTTGTGATATCTCATGTGCCTATAAAACTTGTTCTGTCTAATATGTTGGACCAGGATTTGCCTTAAGTTAAAAACATTAAAAACATTAAAAATTGTGGAGAGACCAAATGACAGCGTACTAGCATCGTTTTCAGGTTGGTTATTGGCTTGCAGGCAATTTTCCTTCAATTCCACTTGCCGTTACTGAGTGCTAAGTCGGTCTGTTTAATCAAATATACTGTGTTCATCTAGTTTTGGCTACAGTAGTTGCTATCAAGTTTCTGCTGAGAAATCCACTTCTTTGCGCTGGACATTAGCACCTTGGTCTGTTTACACGGTATCCATTGATACCTGTCATGTAAGTGGAAACTAGGAAGTAGAACCGGAGAATGCAGCCTTGTTTGAGTTAATCTGACTCTTGAGCGTAATGATTCCCTCCTGCACAAGCACATTGAAAAAGAGGAAATGCCTGTTATCCATGAGACTAACACAGCTCAGCCTTTCCCCTAAGGCAGAGGAGCTCTGGGGAGATACCTAACAGAGAAGCACAGAGAGCAGAGAGACAGTCAAAGAGAGCACTAATCACAGTATACAGTACAGTGTGTGTGGATGAAAATGACTGCTCTATCCATCCCAGGCACACTCTCTAATGTTTATGGATCAACATTGCCACTGGTGTCTTATATAGGCCACAACATTCACGTCTGACATGTGCACACACTCAAGTTTATACCCCAAACAAAGAGGAGGAGCAGGAGCTTCTTATTCAGGTAAAATAGAAAATATTCACTTTGGACCAGGCAGTGTCTGGGAACATTCACACACAGTCCTCAGCTCCTGAACCGTCAACTCAGGTAAGAACAGGTGAGGTGGAGAGAAGTAGCAGGGGAGTCAGGGTCAGGGGAGAAGGTCACCTTTATGTGGATGTGTTGATTGTAAAGTTGTAAGTGTGAAAATGTATTTTTAAATCCTTCCGTATTTAAAAATGTATGCCTTGAAATTGGCGGATGTGAATGAAAATTGAACAGGACTGAACTGCAAAAGTTTCCTTCATTTGTGACAGGCGTTTGGGGATTTTGTTTGAATTTTATGGCGTGATAAACACTGCACTGATTTTTGGGTTTCTCTTGCTTTAAGTTTAACATTTTTATAAGATGACAGAACATTTTTCCAAACTGGATCAATGTCAGTGTATTTTGCAGCCTCTCTGAAAGACAAACGCCTGTCTGCACTTTGCCCTTGAGTCATGTCATGCTGACTTTTAAGCGACAGATATCGGGCCTGTTTGTTAACAAGGAAATGGCTGTGATAGAAGATATGTGACATTCAACAGTCTTTCTGTTATCTTTGCTCCCATTGGATGTCAATTCCTTTAAAAAAAATCACAAAAAGTTCTGGAGATATTTCCTGAGACTCATTATCTCCTTTTCTGATTTGCAAAAGTGCTTTAAATCATTAAATGTGTTTTCTATTATGTTACACTAACTCTGCTATTGGATTGGGTTAGGATGTTTGAATGAAAGGAATGAAAAATGGTGAAGCTAAAGAGAGGCAGAGCCAGAGAGTGTGAAGAGCTTTAGTCAATCTGACCTCCAAAGACACACCCAAGGGTGTCCAAGATCATATAGAGGTCACAGAGGTTAAGAGAGGTTTTGCTTTTCAACTTTTTCCCTACATTTTAGAAAACTGTAAGAAGATGCAACTTGACAAATGATGATACAAGGAGGACAATATAGTCAGTGAATGTATTAGTTTTTCCAGTGTTTTTCCAACAAGTAATGAAACAGCCTGGGATAATACTGATGTCGTATGGACTTAAAAAAAAGACAACTGGCGCTTAATACCCTCTTTACTACGGAGTACGACGTAAAAAAAATTAAGCCTTCGAGATTAAAGTCGTTAACTTATGAGAATAGAGTAACTACTAACAAGATTAAAATCATTACAAACGAGAATGAAGTCACAATAAACTCATTACTTATGAGAATAAAGCCGTAGTAAAGTAATTATTTACTAAAATAAATTTGAAGTAAAGTAATTACTTATGAGAATAAAGTCAGAATAAAGTCAGTGTATTCTAACCTGTTGTTTAAGATGACAGTTGCTGAAATGAGAGCCTTGGAGCATTTCGTGAAAATGTACTTCAATATAGGTTTCACAAACAAGGAGATACTTAATCTTTCTGGCACATCAGCACCACATTATCATTAGTATCATAATGATTTTATTACAACTTTATTCTCGTAAGTAATGACTTCATTCTCGTAAATTAATAATTTTGATCTCGAAGTCCTACTTTTTTTTCTCCTTAATGTGGCCCAAATACTCTGTCATACTTCTTCAGCTTATTATAGTTATAATTAATACCTGTAACCACTATTTTCAGGATATCAGGCAAAATGAGCTATAGCTACATGATGAATATTTAAGGTTGTTTAAGACAGCAGGGTGAGGTTTTTTTTACTTACTACTTTGGCACATGCAGGACAAGGTCACTAAGAGATAAGATGTGCTGCTTTGGCTATAGGGGGCGGCAAAATAAACACAAACACAAAAACTCTTCTCAGACACTTTCTTAAAAAGAGTTTCAGAACTTCTGCTTTTGTTCATTTTAAAGTTGAACAACTCATGCTGAAAAAAAGGCTCTGAATTTCAATCATAAGCAGCTCATGCATTCAAGCTGAAATCCAGAGAGATGTCAGGAAATATCCATAGATACAGTAAAGCACATGACTTGATGTATTAGACTCCGAGTGGGTTTGAAAGAAAGTTGTTCGGTAACCTGCTGCGTTTTGCCCCAAGACAAAAATGATCCTCTGTTTACTCTCCAAACACTCAGACTGCATCCCTGCTGACGAGGCTCTGACCTCTCACACAACAAGGACAGTCTTCAGCTGGGGAAAGGGAGGAGTGTGTGGACTTGGTGTATATGCATGTGTGAGAAGCAAGAGAAATGGGATGGGAAGAAATCTACACTTCTTTGTGCATTATTTCCTCTCACAGTCATGCTCTTTATCTGCTTGCTCTTCTATCTGACTTTCAGTTTAGTTGAAGATGGGACATCTCACTGTTGTGGCTGTTATGGCAGGTAAATAAAGTTGAAAACGGATACCCAATGTCATCAGTGTGCAGAAACATATCTGACAGCAGTAACTAAGAAAGTGGATGGAGTTCTTACAATTATCTTACATTTGATTACACTTTGTCATTCAAGGAAAATCTTTTGTTTTATTTTATGTTACTGAACTCAAAACCCACAAAATTAAGCATGCTTATAAAGGTGCAATCCAGACATTCCCACATTACTTTCTGTTTATATGTTGAAAATGCTGACTGTGTGGCAGAACAGGTTTTTAACAGAAAGATTATCACATGAAAACACTTCTTCATTTCTTTGTCTTACAGTTCTCTTCTCACTTTTCATGGAAACGGAAGCAAGTAAGGCCTGAACTCTACTTTCACTAAATCCTGCTCTAAAACTGGTTTGTTGAGAAACTGGCATGGGACAAAATCAAACCAATTAACCCCGTTTGTCTGAGCAACAATGTCCCATTTGTGATTCTGATTTCATATGAAAGACAATTGTAAACAATAATTCTGTTATGACTGCCAGAAAAGGGTTAAAGTCTCCAATTGTTTGAAGATAAAGAGAGTTTTATCACTTTTTCCCCATCCTTTTAATAATTTCTCTTCTCTTATTTCTGTCTTGCAGATCCATTTTATTACAGTAAGTACACTCTTATCTTCTTATAATTCTTATAATCTAACATAAACAGTCTTACATCACGCATCTTTTACTTATGGTTATAAAGTGATTCCCAGTCAGTGTTTTACAAAGATATTATATTTTTTGCAAACTGTAAATTCTTCGTAAAAAAGCACCCTTGCAAATATCTAAATGAATCTTTAAACTGAAGTACTTTGTTTTTTTTTATGTTTAACCTCTAAATATCTGTCATTAATGTCTTCCAGACTATGAAAGGCTACGAATTGGAGGCCTGGTCTGTGCCTGCTTGTTGTTTGCTGGAGGACTCACCGTTATTCTTTGTAAGTCCTGAAACCACACAGTTATTTGATGAGTCAATCTGCGGAAAAGCGTTTTTGCTTTCATTAAGTTAAGGATGATGTACATACTTTACTTGTTCACTCTCAATCTTACTAAACACCGCAATAAATGAAAAAATCTGGCCTAACTGTATACTGAATTGTCTGTGACATCCTGCTTTTTTTCCACAGATAACAGATGCTCCAGAAAGGGAAAGTATGTCATTTTTTCAGTTCTTCACAAGCGTAACTGTATTTAGTGTTTGTGTCTCTGTTTAACCTTTAACGCCTAATGTTCTCCTCTCGCTTCATTCCCCCCTTTCTCCCTTTGTGGTTTTTTTTCCCCCAAATTGCCGCCTCGCCTTTCCTCTCACCTTGCAGAAAAGTGGAAGATGACAGCAGTGAAATCTGATATGGTTCCTGTCAAACCAGTTTCAGCCAAGAAGAAAAGCTGACATGTGAGGGGTGGAGTGATAATTGGTTGTTTGGTGGGGGGTTTGAAGGAAACACACTCACTCAGGTGATTTAACCTGTACAGGCATGTGCAGAGAATACCGTATTTTATGTAAAAGAAGAGCAGATGAAAAATGAAAAATAAGCCCTCTTGATGTTTTCAAAATGTACTGTTCTGACATGCAACTCAGCCTCCTATACATTTATATACATACACAATACATATACACTTTTACACTAGATTTATGTTCCACATATTCAGCATAAATAAGTCATCATAACAACGTTGCACATGTCTTAGGATGGAATCAGTGGGATCATAATGTGATGTGTATTGCTGTTTATTAAACAGTAGAGTTAGATCCTCCACGTGGTCAACCATTTCAATACTAACATAATTAGATAGAGAATCATTTGTAAGTAACAGTAAGTGTAAACTAAAACATGCATGATTGAAATAAATGTCACTATGCTGAAAGAAATTTTTTATACTTTTGAATCGTTTTTACCTTTAGATTTATGAGTTTGATCTTTATTTGAACTTTACTTCTCACTAGAGGAACTTACTCCTATATTTTCTGATCGTCTTGATTGCTTTTGTTGGTCACATAAAGCAAAAACTATCTCTTTCACCCCACAACCCGTCGAACTCCAGCATCTTCGTTGTCGACAAGCAAAGATTAATACTCCTCCTCCCGCCTCTCACCACTGACTCTGGATCAGTTTCCACGCCCCTCTCTCCCCTATTCATCAACTTTTCAACTGTCAGCAGAGCCACAAAAACCGACTCAGGATCAGTATTCACCGACAAAGCTATAAGCACTTTAAACTCAGCCCCCTTTTTCCAAAAACCAAGCCAACCTGTTGAGTGTCTCAGTGGAGAGGGTTGGGTGTTGGCGCACAGAGGGAAGAGAGAAGTCGCTGCCTTTGAGTCACATATCCGCCTGTTTGTGTGAATTTCCACGTTTTTCTCTTTCTTCGTGATAAATCGTTTTCGAGGTAAGTGTTGATCCGAGAAATGTCCTCTTGTAGGCTGTCATTGTCTTCTCTTGCTTTTCCTTTGTTGGATGAAACTGTACAAAAAGTTCAAGTTTTGCAAACATGCTGGTGAACATCTTTTCAACAGGAAACTACAGAAAGGACGAAATTATGGGAGTTTACGAACAGATTCGTTTGCGATGGAAAACTGTCGTCAGAAGTCTTTATCTCCTCTTAGCTTGTTCATTAAGTCGTTTAAAAGACCATTAAAGTCTTGTTTCCTCGGAGAAAGTCTTTGGGTTTCAAAAAGTGAGAGAACAGTTCTCTGTTTGTCACGATAGCATCGTCCGGTTGATATTTCTCTTGGATATCACTGGTGTCATGACAATGAAGCAGCACGCGCCCAAGGGCCAACGTGCGTAACGGCCTGGATAGTCTGCCTTCACGCGCATTGAAGCAGCTGTTAGAACAAGTCCGCTCGAGGCTGAGATAACTCAACTAAGCTCAACTGTGTATTACTGTTTCCGCAGGCCCAGTTTATACTTACATTAGAATAAAAAAAATTAGATTAAGTTTTTTTTTCTGTTAATATTGAGTCTTGGTCCCTTTCATAGAGTTTAATAAATATGACAGATAGATATCATTGCAGAGTGAGCATGTAGCCTTAGCTTCTTAGTGCCATTGACCATATTTACCAAAAGATAATTCAAGAAAATCTGTTTTTTAAACACACAGAAGATGACTGTCAGAGAAGATGAAGTGCTGTGGAATTTTACTATGCTTTATTGAAGGCAGACTAAAGGCTGTGTGTGTGTGTGTGTGTGTGTGTGTGTGTGTGTGTGTGTGTGTGTGTGTGTGTGTGTGTGTGTGTGTGTGTGTGTGTGTGTGTGTGTGTGTGTGTGTGTGTGTGTGTGTGTGTAAAAAGCTGATAAGAGCAGGGGTGATAACATTTTGCTACCATGTGGCACAAGGACAGATTGGGACAAGGACAGATACAGTAGAGTTGAAATGTTGCTGTATATTGTTGCACTGTGAGGGACAAAGACCTACAAAATATGGATGATTTCAGGGATTCTGAACTGAAATAAGTGGGTCACTCACAGTGGGTTGTCAGTGTATTGAAATTTGTTGAAAACTACCAGAAATCAGGTGATGTAAATTATCTCACTTTTTTGACCGTGTCGCTAATACTTTGATATAATCAGAGTATTAGTATTATATCTACCAAGTTGAACTTTTGAAATAATTCACTTAAATGGTAGGGAAATTCACAGTTTATAGCATTTAAACTCTATGGAGCTTGCCAAAAGGCCTTGAGCCAAGAAACTTTCATTTTTACCAGCATTTAGTTGTGTCTCATTAAATCATTAAAACATTGCAGCACAACTTAAAAACTGTAAAAAGTTCAATACAGGAATAAAACTATGATTGACCACTGTTTCATATCACTGATCAGTGATGCTTTCTGTCACAGCGTAGGAGATGAAGCTGTTTAAGCCTTTTTTGCATGCTGATTAAATATTGATCGTTATGACAGGCTACAGGTCATTTCACATCGGGACGGTTTTTGTCGTGCGATTATTTCGGACGTCAATATTTTTTTTCGAACCCATATCCTGTCAATGCAAGCGTTCACATCAGCGACATTTTCCCATCCTGTGATGTTGCGGCATTTATTTTTTCGGATCATGGTCGATTTTTCTAAAGTTTCGCAGACTGTGTGTCCACTTCTGACCAATCAGATTGCGTGTTGTTGCGACGTCAGATTTACCGGTATATCCAACATGGCCGATCGGCTGATTGTTTATGATCGTTTACACAAATATTACAAAGATAACGACCTGAAGGACAACTTGTGGAGAGTCATAGCGTCGGATTTCTGATATGACGATGTTTTGTGTGCTTTAACAGTTTGCTAAACGTCTTTGTTTTAACTTTTATCTGTGCTAACGGTTGTTACCATAGTTTCATGTGCTTATCTGGTACTGGGCCCGACTTAGTACATGCTATCATGATAGACAGCCATCTCAACACTAGAGTCTAGTCCTCTGCCTCTTCAAACTTGGAGCTAGTTGTTTCAGCAGAACTTCAAATTGTCCAACAGACAACTGAAAATAGGTTCTGAAGCAACTGTGGTACAGTTTCAGCTCCTGAACCAAGCAGTGAAACTCACCGAGTTCTCTTCTTTTTTGTAATATTTCTTTTTCAGAAAGCAAAAGCAGTACCAATTCGCCATCACTTGAAGTTGAAGTAGACTCCATTTTTGTCTTCTCGCTATCACCTGGGACACTGTAGGTTGTCAGGGAAAGGTCCCGTCCTCCTTCGCCTCTGATTGGCTATAAGTGCTGACCAGTTGGCTTGAGCTTGTGTGACGTTTCCAGCTTTTCTAGTCAATCAGAGGCGAAGGAGGCAGGACTTTTCCCCGGAAAGTCGCAAAATCGCATCGGGCTTGATGTGTATAGTCAGGCGCGTCAAAATTCGCCTCCGAAAATTTCGTGATTTCACATTATATATTTTCAAAAAATAAAAATATCTTCAGTTTGTTGCAAACTGAAGTCTGGACTTTATTTGTAGATAATTTAGTGCTCCAGCATACTGTACAAAACTCTTTTTGTCCCACAGAAATGGAGCATAACAGAAGAATTACAAGTGCATAAAGTATTCAGCTGAAAAATGCAAACATGGATGTGAGGACAAAGAGAGGTTATCATACATCTGGCCCACACCTGCCTATCTCCATGGATGTGTATTCATTTTAATGGTCCTCTTATGTAAACAGAGGGATTGAGGTGAGGCAGAGAGCTAAGAGAGGTTACAGGGGGACAGACGGATGGACAGAGGATGAACAAAGTGGCATCAGACAGGCAGAGTTGTCTTTCCTGTGTCAGGTGAAGCAGACAGACTTCGTCATCCTCACCTTTCCTCACATGACTGCTGTTCTTAAAAAGGAAACGAGAGAAAGTGAGAGAGTGAGTGCTTAGAGAGGCGTGCTTTCTCCTCACCTTTCCAGACACCACTTTGGCAGCTCATAGGCACAAATTTAGAAACCCAGAGAGGACATTGATTTAATGGCAGAGATGTGACTGTGACCTTCATATGTTCACCATGAAACCTCAACGCTCAGCAGTGACACTGCAAGGGTTGTACCCAGGTTAGATTCAAGCAAGTCAGACTCAGTTTGGCTATTCAGTGATGATCTGATGATAAGTCACCCATCTGTTACCCAGATGTAAACAAGCACAGATGGCAGATGGCATTTCATAGCCTGGTGTGGTTTGGCAGTGGTTTTATGTAGTATGGAAAGATTGATAAAGGCTGTGTCAGGTTAAGTTGGTGCGTATGCATCTGATCATAGCAATGCATATAACCTGCAAAGAGGACTGAAGGCTGGAGCTCTGCCAGAGACTTGACAAAGCAATCTAAGCAATCTAACATGTTGTACACAAAAATACTGTGCTCCTATTTTTGGCAATTAAACTGTGAGTAATTTAGATCAATCGCTGTGGAACACCCCTGATTGAAATGACAGTATTTTAAGAATTTATTTGACACATACCATGATTATCGTTGGACTCGTCTACATGGTGTAGGAGGGCCTTTTAACCTGTGCAGCAGTGACCCAAGAGGGGTAGCTCTAAATTTCTTGGCTTCTCACTTACCTTTTCCAGAAAATACGATCTACTAGCCTGACATTGCACTTGTTTTTTAACAACTTAATGTCCCAAAGCAGCTCAGAGATGCATCCAGAGAAACAGATTTTCATTGTGAATACTTTTGTTCTGTATTTTCAATTAAGCTGCAATCGCTGATGAACAACAAAGCCAATGCTGAAGTGCTAAAAACTGCATTTCCTAAAGTGTCCTCTTGAGGCCAGCTTCGAAAACCCAGAAATTCCCATTTACAGCAGAAGTTACCATTTACTGAGCACATTGTAGCTGTTTGCCATTATCCTTGAGGTCTACCTGAACACTGCTTTGCATTTCCATTTCTAAATTTCCAATAGGGCGACTCTTTAATTCAGCTACTTAACTCCACCCCAGAAACTGATGTCTGAAGTCACTTAGCCGACATCCGTGCTTTTTACAACTCATGGTTTTTAATGGTTCTGGTCATGGGTCTGTTTCTTTTAGACTGTGGTCTATATACGCTGGTAATAGGAATGAGATGTTGAGGACTTCATCGATCTCAGAGTGAAAATGAAGATAGTAAATTTTCATACTTTTGAAAAACTAAACATCAAGGGACTCTGACCTTCAAAAGAGCTAGACAATGAAGCTAGCAGCTGCTGTTGGTATCAGAAAAAGAGGAGGGATTGAAAAACTCAGATTTTAAACAAACACAACATAAATTATTTGTTTCCAAGTGTCAGTCAGTGGATCTGATTGCTTCTGATTTTGGGGGTCATGTTGAGAAATTGTACTTAGCTATGAGAACTGAAGGGTTATGAGACTTAGTATGCAATGTTCGTCTGAGTGTTTTATTGCCCCTCTACAACAATTATGTAATAATTTCACTGTGGTAATACAATTTGCATGACAAATAATTCAAGTTATGTGAAACAGTCCTTTTTTAAAAAACAAATATCTTTACTTGAGATGGAATAATGGAAAAAGGGAAATGTAGTCCTTCCTCGAACCCACTGATGACATCCGCACACTGAGGAGCACCTCACACTGTTGCTAGCTTCTCTTTGCTAGCCTTGTGGTTTCCATGTGTGACTCATAGCTCCAGTATGCTCCACTCCCTCTACCCTCTGTCTGTCTCTTTGTGTCCTTTCTCATTCCCTCTCTTTCCCAACTAATCTCCTCTTCCTCCTCCTCCTCCTCCTGCCTCCTCCTCTCATTCACCTGGGCTTAAATTCTTACATTTCTTCCTCCTCTCCGTCTTTTACTCATTTTTATTTTCAAGCTAAAGGCTTGTTTGTACTTTCTCTGTGTATCTTAAACCGTGAACCGTCTCTGCTAGTTCCCCCTTTCTCTTGTCTCTCCATGTTTATATCACTTTTTTTTTCTTTTATTCGTGGTGTTGTTGTCTTAGTTGCATCTGTTGTGATTCTAGCAGCATCCATAAAGACAAAGATGGATGATTGTTGATATTTCAAGAAACTCTCTGAGAACTTGTGATTCATCAATCACATGTCCAGTTAAAAATAATGTACTGTGGTCTTTAAAAGGACAGATTCCTCAGTGTGTGGGAGAAAGAAAAGGAGAAACAGGCTTTTCTTTCTGTCTTAGATAAAAGCAAATCATACATCACAGAGTGCAGTGAAGGTTCACACTCTATGTTTAGTGGGAACAGGAGGCTTTCTCGTGTGTGTGTGTGTGTGTGTGTGTGTGTGTGTGTGTGTGTATGTGTTAAAGGATGTGTTGCGCACTGGAATCCAGTACGGCTAATTTTGGAATAAAAATGCCACTGAGAATAGGCAGCTGTCTTTGTAGTTTGCACAGGCACATACACAAACATATGCGCACACAGAAACACACACTTAAACACTAGTGTGCGGCATTCAGGCAGGTGGGTGGGGTGGGTGTTGGAAAAACAGAAACAGGACCTAAGTTATACAGACATGCTGTTCATGTTACATCCCAAAACATACACTAGAATGTAAATGTAGGAAAGAGAAATCATGTTTTTGCAAAACAGACCACACTGTGCTTCCATAGCAACAATTTTCCTGTCAGCCCACCTGTGAAACAAATTAACTTTGAGTTTAACATGTCCACCATGTTGCAGTTTTCACATCATCACATCAGTTGACTGTTATATATCACATTAACAACAGGATGCCATGTATGCTTCAGTTTTCTGCAGACGGGGCTGACTCTGCCATGAGAGACCCTGACCAAAAGGTTCATCTTGTTTAAGTGTACGCTCGACTGAGATATTTTTCAGCATCAGTATGTCCATTTATTTTTACACTGTTTTTGAACTTCATGTTATTTAACTTAATAAATGCTCCGGATCAGTTTTTTCTTGATACTCTGATAATGAGGGGCATCATGGAAACTTCAGTGACTCAGGGCAAAAATGTTTTTACAGCAAATTAAGGATATTCGTACTCACATGGAGGACAGACACATGTCTAAATAATGGATGGAGCAGAGACAATGACAGTGTACGAGCGTGAGACGGGGCAGCTAGCCTGAAAGCCCAAGCTCAGGGGAGTACGTCAGAGAAGGGATAAGCTGGTGGAAAAGACTTTACAAAAGGAAAGGAGACGGGTTGAGGGAGCAAAGACGTGCAGAAGTGTGTCAGGAAGGGGAAGTATACTTAGCGGAGGAGAGGTTGAAAGAGCTGGAGGGGTTTTAAGGACTTCAACAAAAGTAGAAGAGCAGAGTAAAACAGTGGTTTCAAATAAACAGACGTTTCTGAGCATGTTTCAAAAAAGTGGAAAAAAGAGTCAGGCAGAAAGAAGCGGAAGGTGCAGACAGAGAGATATAAAGATAGGGAAAATAGGGAAACTCTCCTAAAGACAGGAAGAGAAAGAGATGCAGTAAGAGCTGAAAACAAAAAGCAAGGGATAGTCGGAGACAGGCGGAGGAGCGTGACAGAGCCAGAACAGAAAAGTCTTTATCCCACGACCAGGCAGAGCTGGAGACATGGCTCCACAGGGAGTTTGTGCTCAGGGAATGATCGAGTTATTTTTATGGGATATGAATCCTCAGGAATGCTTCATCTCTAACAACACTTTATTTGGTATTTGGCTGTAGCAGATATTTAGCTGCAACTCAGTGTGATTTTATGTTGTTCTGTAGCTAAATCAGACATGAATAACGAGTTTGATCATTGAATGAAATGGGAAATGCTTTAGACAGCATTGATAGGACTTCTAAAGGTAAAATATCTCCAAAAGAAGACAGCTTTACAATCTGAAAGTCTAAACAAATATTTATCACAAGGTTTAATTAGCAGCTAATTTTTTTCCTCTCCAAAACACAAAGAAGGGAAAAATACTCCAAGTTAAAAAACTAGATTAGAAGTTTATTTAAAACACTAAGGGCCTGATCTACTAAAGGTTTGCGTGTGCAAAAACACGTGCAAACTTGATAGCGCACGCAAACCTGATCAACTAACCGGGTGCACCGAGGATTGCATCTGTCAAATGGGCAAAACAGCGCGTGCAATGGATTCAGCGTATTTGCCTTCATGAATATGCAGAATGTGTGTAGATCAGCAGAACAAAATTCACGCAAAATTCTGGGAGGAGCAGGTGCAAATAGAATCGTTTGATTGAAACCAATTGCGGTCGCTGTTTTGACTCCGGATCTGACAAGTAATTCAGTTTTTTCAAGCTTTCATAAAATATCCTTGATACGATCAAGCTTTGTGCTTTATAATGATCCTGAAGGATGTTTTTACCTTTTGTAACCCCTCAGCAGCCATTAGCTTGTTAGCACTTGTGCACACTCGTGATTGATACAGCCGCTCTATCTCATTGTGCTCATTCTGTCCCTTGGCTTTTCAGACACATACAAATACACACATCTTTCTCCTGCTGCTCCTTTTCCTTCTCTCCCCTCTCCACCTGTGCTCAAAACTTTTTCACATTATTTGAGGGGCTTATGATGAAGTGAAAGAGAGAGCTGTTTGAGGGGAATTCCACATCCCCACTCTGCTGCTAAGTAAGAAAGGGAGGCTGTGCTTCATTCAACATATGGTACATAAAGGGGGCAACACAGCAGGTGACACAATAATGTTTCGGTTTTGATAAGCAAAGTTTATGATCATTGGAGCCTAAGTCATAAATCACCAGACCCTGATGTAAAACATGAACCTCATGTAGGACGCTCTAAAAGTTTGTTGTATTTATCTGTTAGCCTTACCAAGAACTGCAGATAAATATAGAATAAATTACAGAGATTTTTGTCTCAATCTTCTTTTTTGTGCACATAGCTTTGCAAGCATATTACTGTAAATTCATGATACTCTTCCCAACGCCAGAGTGCTGTGCTTTTGTCCTCTTGACTAACCATAAACATAAAGATTTGAATACACACCTCCTGCTCCTGGCTCCACCTTAAACCAACATTTGTTTTACAATATGGTTTTGAAACAGGAAGAGGGAGGCCCCACCCCTGTACACTCCCCTGCTGTCAGTTCTTTTCCATGTCTGATCCGTTTACTCCTCTATACCATGAATCCCTCTTCTCCTCCCTCTTACTCACAGTCTCCTCCTCTTCTCTGTCTCTGTTACTGTCCTTTTCTCTCCTGTTTCTGTCTCTGCCCCCTCTCCTCTTCCTCCTTTCCTGAGGTAAACCGCCTTCAAGTGGTTTCTGGCCTGTTTCCCATCCTCTGCATTCCCCCTGTGTCTCCCTGGGTTGCTGTGGAGAAGCACCAGGAGAGAGACACTCATCCCGCTCTTCTCTTTTTTAATCAAACTCTAAATACCAACAGCAGAGGAGGGAGACTCATTGTTTTATTAACATCCTTTTTTACAGGGATCCCCGAGGCTCAAAGGTCACTGTTGAATGTGCGTCCTTGCATAAATTGCAAAAATAAAAAAGTAAACAGTCTGTTCCTAAGACTTACTGCATCACTACCATCTAAATATTTTTACTATTACATCTTTCAAACACCTTCCTTCACTCTGCTCCTTGGGGCTTGAAGTTAAACAAAAAGTTATATTCAGTGTTTCTCATCTAGTGGCTATGGCTGTGAACAAATATGGTATAGCTTTTGTCCTGCTCATAAAAAAAGATATATTTATCCTTGCGTTAACATCCATTCAAACTTGTTAGGAGTCTTTCTTATCAGTTTGTGCATGACTAATATTTGCAGTTGTTAGGAAAACACTTGACCATTTATTAAGATGAACAATGCATCTCCACCTGTTCCTCTTTTGAAGAGGAGGTAACATCCTGCCCCTTCTGTTAGCTGCAACACATATTTTACACTTGAATCAGGTCCTTCCCAAAATCACGTGACATACATATTCTAGCTTATATTCAAGGCTTTGCATCTGCTCTGTCAATGCCACCGATGCCTTAAAAGAATGTTCCAGCATAAATTGAATGAATGTTGCCAACCACTTGCTTCTCTAGTTACACCAACTTCAACAACGAGCACACAATAGCAATACACAGCGGTCTATGTCTCCATGTGCAAACCTCAACCAAAAAGCCACTCTATAGCCACAAATAATGCTCAGAACAGCACCTAACTTCATCAACAGTACATATAGGGTTCCAGCCATAGTTCTAGCCACTAAACATCTTTTTAGCTTTGCCTGATTTCTTTAGCAAAGAGACTAAACACAACTCACCTACTCTCCTCCAGCAGCCGCTTGTTTGTGAGGGATCACCGAGTGCAGCGGAGTTTCGCAGCTCAAGGAAGAACATTTATGATCATTACTTCATGGAAATGCAATCAGAGTTCTTGTGTATTTTGTATGTGCACTGCAAACGCGGTAGTTCTTCAGCCTTAGCGTCTCGGTCTGGTTGCATTTCCATGAAGTAATAATCATAAATTTTCCACTGCACTCAGTGATCGAGGTTTGCACGTGGAGACGTAAACCCCCATGTATTGCTATCGTGCTGTCATTCCTAGAGTCGGTATAACTAGAGAAGCAAGCAGACAGCATCATTCATCTCTCTAGGGAGTGACTAACTTGGTGTTATGGTGTGTTTGACCATAACGTAAATTAAACGCCAGAATATCCCTTTTAGTCAAAACGATATATGAGCTAAATGGTATAATACTTGGATAGCACAATTGCAATGAGTACCTGTGCAATATTCATATCACAAATGACCATGTCATGCTGTCACATTACATATATCTATCTGAGATCGCTCTGATGCAGCAGGTGTACACCCATGGACTATTATACGAATGAGACCACAAAGTGTTTACTTTTAGCAACTGTACTCAGAGTGCACGATGTCATAGTGATGTGAACATCAAATGTAAAAGAGTATGGGGAGTTTTTGTTCAGTTATGTTACCATCAGGGGCCCTAAGGTATGATCTCACTACTCCTCAGTATCTGCATATAAAAGCAAAACTGTAAGGAGTGATGAGGTTGAAGCCAACATGCCAAACAAAACAACATTCTGCGGCTGAAATAAACAGTTCAACAGTTGTCTGACTGAACTAAATCAGGGAGAGCTCTAAACCTTTCAGCATCACTCTTTAAGAGCTGGTATCCAGCTGTTTGAACAGCATGTTGGAAAGACTCGCAAATGAAAAATATGAAAAAAAATGTTTTGTTTCCCAAAATATCCTTATTTCACTAAACTTGTTTCACTAAAATAATGGTTGCCAGGCAACAGAGTATTCATATCACTTCCCATGTTGAACAGAAAATTCTTATTCAAATGATACCATCTAATATGTTGTACCCATGTAAGTTTTCACCCCCACATGACTGTTTATGAATGCCGGTTTGAGAGGATCTCTGGTGTGTTTGCTCTTCACTGTAGAGTGCTATAAGTGGAAAAGAGCAGTAAGTGGAAAATCACTGCTGTTGTTACTTAAGGTGTGTCTCCTCCCAGTGCGCGTTACCTCTGCTGCTGCCGTTCAGCATGGAGCTTAACTCACGCACAGCGACTCAGAGTGTGTAGGATGTAATCTGCAGCTGTCAGGAAGATGTAACAGGAAATTAAGTATTAGTTATTTTCAATTTAGCATCATTTTGAGGAGGTGTTTTCTAAGAGTGTGGGGTTATTTTCCTCTTATAAGCAGGCAGGGAAAAATAGTGAACTGGAGATGACGCCTCAAAAAGCTAAAACACTCTCATGTGCAAGAGAAATTAGATAACTTTTTCATTACTGATGATAGGGATGAACTTTTAAAGGGGAGTGCTGTTTTATCTATTCTTATAGAGTTTTTTAAGGCAGCACATACTGATGGGAGAACAATAGAAATCACTCTTAGAAAAAGGAAAAAACACTGAAGTTTAAACATGGCAGCGATGTATAATGTCTAGCCCAGAAAGCTGTACTCTCCTGGTGAAGCTCCATTAGAGCACTTTGCTCCCATCAACATCAGATCAGGTTTCTGAGTGTGAAAGAGAGAGAGAGAGTCAGACCACTTTGTGCCTGTCTAAATCTGATCCCAGTTCTTTTTGTGTGCTTCCATAGGAACAGAAGTGTATACTATAAAAGTGACGCGTTCACATCTGTGTGTGTTAGTGTCCTTTTTTTAGTGTCCCTCAGAAAACACAGAGGGGTTACACTTTGCACCAGGTCTCTGTTGACTCTGTCAGCTGGTATAAGCCAGTTTAGAGTACCGGTATCATCTCTCTGACACGCACACCACATTTTAGATTTGATTATTTTGCCATTGGGATTTGAGATAATGGCATTTACCGCATGTTAGTACAACTACAGCCTTAATGGCCCATCAGTGCAACAAAGTTTGTGGTTAATGTTGTCAGCCGCTATACCATCAATACTGCAGAAACAGATTTGTAGCTTATACAAGTTTGGAAATCTGTTAAAGGTCATGGTTCTTGCTGTGGTATATGTAAATCTGCAGACAGGTGCTTTGAGTACACACAGTCTAATGAGTGTATGTTTATCTTCTCAGGCAAGAAAGCATCAAAAGAGAAGATGGCAAAGATCTGTGCTTTGGTGCTGATGACACGTGAGTAATAGTCTTTCCGTTTATCAAAGTTTTATGAGTAAGTAAGCAAGCAAGAAATTTTCCTTTGGATTTATAATTTCCTCTAAAAAACACTGAATTGGAATCAGTGATTTTACTAATCCCAATCCTTATATAGATTTGTTTTAGAAAGCTACAGAGAAACCTCAAAGTATACTTGATTCACCGTTGCTGGAAGAGCTGTCTGCCATTAACACGTGTTGAAGAAGTTTTTTAATGGTTGTTGAACAGATTTAAATTCATGTCAATGTGTCTTTATGATTCTTTATAAAAGCACACATAATTTGTTATGCCTGAAACTACTGCAAAGAGGTAGAGGTTGTACAAGACAATTGATGTCACAATGAAAAAACTGCCTAATTTACATTTTTGAAGCAAAGACTTAAGAATGAAACAAAAGCTACATGGATAAAAGAAAGCAGGATATGATTTTGAGTCAAAAAGTACTACCCTGGCAGAAACAGGAGGAGATAAGCAAAGTGATAAGCATGTTTTTGCCAACAAGAGTTTTCTTAATCATAACAAATGTGTTTTACTTTCATCTTCTTTGTAGTCTATGCATAATTGTAACTTAGATTGTAGAGAAACTAAGTCTAAGATATTTAAATGCATCAATGTCTATTTTGGAATTTATTAAATTCATATTTTAAAATTAAGTCTTTGTTTAAACAAAGTACAAAAAGTATTGATAAACACAAAGAGTGCATAGGACAGATGTGAGTGAATTATGTGCAATCAACCACATGGACTTAGAAAATAAACCAAGAGTTATGAACCATTATGATCCCTGGTACAAACAAAGTGAGAAGTGAGAAGTGTGCATTGCTGTAATCTGTCTGTGGTCTCTTGCAGTGGTGTCACTGGTGTTCGCAGAAGAGCAGAACTGTAAGTACAAAACGCAGCAATAAGAAACTGTAAATATCTATATTTGTATGTATGTCTCTAATAAGATATGAACAGCAGAGAACCATTAGAGCCTAAAATGACTGAAAGGGATTGTAATGTTACTCTCATGTCAAAAGGTATTGATTTCCTGCTCATGAATGTCAATCATTAGTCAGAGAATCAAACTAGGCCGTTGTGTGGTCATCTCTCTGTGTGAGCTGTTGACTTCGCTGTCAACCTGCTGTCATCTGACCCTCTTTTTACCTCTGTTTCCACAGTGGAGGACGACCCATTTACTTTTGGTAAATATTTTAATGCGACCATTTATATGTTCATGTAACTACAAAGACACCAACTTAAAATGTAAAAAACTTTTCCTTTACCAATTAATTAATTCATGATAAAATAGTAACCACCTCTCTGACCTTCTCGTGCAGACTACCACAGGCTGCGTGTCGGAGGCCTGATTCTGGCTGCAGTCCTCTGTCTCATTGGCATCACCATCCTGCTCAGTAAGGACTCATTGACACTAACCCACCTACAGGCACATGAATGTAATCAAACAGAGCTCAGATACACACAGATACTATTTAAAAAAACTCACTGTATCCTTCGTCTTTTTTCAGGTGGCCACTGCAGATGCAAATTCAACCAGGATAAGAGGTGAAACTCTGCTCGGTCAAAAATGAAGAATATTTGTATAACTGAAGTGGAAAACTCAAAGCATGTTGTATTATATTGCAGAATATTGGGTCTTCTGCCTTTTCTTTGCTTAACCTCTTTTTTTTTTTCTTCTCTTTACAGAAGGAGGACAGCAGGCAATGCTCAGCCGATGCTCTCTGAGCAAGGTAATGTTTGTTCACCCCTCTGTAATAGCGCTCTGCCTATCACAGCTGTGCTTGGAGCTTCTTTTTTCTTCCTGTCCATCACCCTTTCCTGTGCTTGAGAATGTAATTTATAAAGTTTGACAATAATATTCATAACGTGAGAGTTCACTTTCATACGGTGTGACACACATTATTAAGATAGAAAGATATACTAGAAACCGCTAAATGAAATGTATTTATATTTGAATTAAACTCCAATTTAGACTCAGAGCAGATTAGATTTTGATGTTTAGAGTTCACTTATAAATATAGTATCACATCATCAGACCTTTTTGTCCTATTTGGTTTGCTATCATTCATCTCTCCAAGGAGATCAATATCAGCTGTGAGAAGTCTAATAGCACTCACATGATCTGCTGAGAAACACAGGAAGACAAGATGTTTTCTCTTATTATATTCTTCCTGCACATGTATGTGGTGAGACCTTCTGGGGTTTCAAATATCCTGAAATACTTTCACCCTAAAGGCTACACTCACTAACTCTGGAAATCTGTGAAAAACAAATGGATAAATGAAAGCTACAGCTCGACTGGTTTAACCTCACTGGCAGCAGAGTCTGTGTAAATCACATCCTAAAAGGAGGAGCCGAAACTGGGTTTGGGAATGAGTTTAAGAGCAAATAAAGAGACGTTCAGCTGTAACCACAAACCCTCGAAAGAGCAATGATGATGACAGCTTAGACAAGCATAGGTATTAAATTATCTGACCTACTGTACCTGATTTTTATTCTCTTCTTTATGTCTTTTCACAAATAAAGTAAGTCTGCACATGAAGTGGACATATATGTGGACTCTGTGCAGCTTCTTTCCCCCTTAAATACTCAAAATTTCATCACCCGGTTGACATCCCGCCAAGGTCTAAAGTTATATTTACTCTGTCCATCTGTTCCACTGTAAACGGCCCCACAATCTCACACTCACACAGACACACGCTGAAAGCTCCCACAGTGCCGGACCTAAACACCTCAACAGGTGGTGGGACTCTGGGGTATGTGACACTCTGGTGTGTGTTTTATGGAGTTATGCATTCATAAAAGCTCTCCTGAGTTTGAGAATCACACACAAAAAAACCCACACACAAAATCTTGACTCAACTTTGATGCACATTTTTGCTGCTGTTTGATGCTCCAGTGGTTTTAACTTCTAAATGTTGATAACTTCAGACGCTGTGAGAAAATCTTAAATGAAAACAACTCTGATGTTGACAAAACCCAGACTACACAAAGAAACAGTGACCCCCTATGGATGAACACTTCCTGTGTAATTGTGTGTCTTTGTGTATTTGTGCAGCACATAAGCAACTCAGCACTCACACACACACACTCCTTGCTTATAATGCTTATAATCTGAGTCATTCAGCAGTATTTTTTTCATTTTCCACTTAAAAATGACTGACATTGTTATTGTAGTGCTTTTAATGCCTGTAAATATTTCCTGTTTTTGTAAATATCAATATTTCTTTTACATCTATATCAATATTTTTACAGATTTTGTCATCATTCTTTGAATATGCTAACAAATTATAAGACAACAAGTTTATTTTCCTCTATCTAGGAAAAATAAATGATAAAGTAAGAAGCACAAACTGAAATACTTTTGATAACTGAAATATTCATGAAAGGAAATGAAGAAATAAATACACTGTCATAAATAAACTGCTGGGGCTTGAGATTGAGTTGCGTTGTGGAAAAAAAAAAAAGCTCTAAATAGTCGTAAAGTTTTCAAAGCAAAATAAATTATTCAGTTTCTCAACAGAGTCAACAGACACCAATGTGCTTTACTTATTTAAGAATAATGGTGACTAATCTAGTGTGTCACATCACAGGTCATATTTGGCTAAAAAAAAATAACAATTTACAATATTTATTCATACTGAAGCTCACCCTCCTGTCTGTCTGTTTCTCTGTAGGTCGTTCCTGCGACTGCTAGATGTGGATCAGCGCACACTGGCTTCCCAAACCTGCAACCAACAGAAAACACAGAGCAGCGGCAGCAGCGGCAGGCCGAAAACATCCAGCCAGAGGCTTTGGTTTATAGTTAGAGAAGCAGAAAGTAGTCTGTGTGTACCTGCTGTGGGGAGTCATGCGTTCTGCTTAATAACTGAGCTACTGATCTGAAGTCTGCACACAAACATACACTCAAACACACAGCTTTTTATTACATTCATTTCATTCAGTTGATTTTCTTTTTGGTATTTAAAAATGATAAACCTTCCCCCATAAAGAAAATCTTCAGCCTTTAAGAATTCCGTCTCTAAAGGAGCAAAAATATGTTGTAATTTGTTGCTTGTCATTGTGCCTGATTGGGCTGAAAGGGACTCCAGTCACCGGTAACACAAACCTTTTACCAAAAACGTCCCTCAGTGTCGACAAACTGTAGGTTTAATCCATGTCTCACACTACTCCTTTCTTCTGTATGCCCTGTCTTTCTGTCCATCTGTCTGTAAAACGTTGATGTAGATATTAGTTGCTAACTGTGACAAACCTAACCAACTGTCCTTGCTTTCATGTCAAATATAAAATATCCATATATTCATGAGTGTTAAGAGTGCTGTTAATAATAAATCATGATAATCGGATAGTCATCATGTTTAGCTTTTTGGAGAAAGGTAGAGGATTGCACTGTTCAGAGACTCTGACATGTTTCTATAAAAGAATTACTGAAACAAAAACCACAAGCTGTGAGGGTTTTTTTTTTCTGTGTGTGTGTTTGTTTGTTTTTGTAGTCTCAAACCTGAAGTTTAAATTACCTTTTGACAAAAGTTGCCCACTGCAGCAGTTTACTGCACATCAACATGAGATTATGAGAAGTAATTTATTTAATTTTAATGCTTTATGTCCTAAATGAAGTGTCATTTATTGTTTCACCCTCACATACTGTTTGGGTCAAATTTGACCCGTTTTGACTTTTAACAGCAGTAAAAACACCCTAAACATCATTCTTTAAGGCTGAAACTTGATGACTTTTCCTGAAGTGGCCCAAAATACATTAAATTAATTTAAAAATATTCATGTGTATTTTTGTTTATGTGCTAGACATTTTTCCCCTCTAAGGCTGTTACGGGTCAAATTTGACCCGAATCTATTTAGATGGATTTTAGATCTAGCAGTGTGGGACAAGTGACAAACAGTAACAACAGTGTTCAATATAAGGTTTGTTGTTCAAAAAAATATATACAAATCATTATGAAACTATCATTACCTTGACAGAAACTCACACGCACACAGACATACAGTCACACAGACACACCTAGACAGAGGTCAAGATGACCTAACCAGTCACAAGAACCTTCTGCAACAGAAAGCTGCTCTTTGAACTCTTTGAAGGGGCAGGGGGGGATCCTAAAATATTGAAATAGTAAACAAACAACACATGAGTGATCAAAGATGGAGTACAAAGGGATCAGAAGTCATCCGGAGGTCAGATGTGCTTTGACACAGATGTAACATGTGCACCTGCTCCTGCAATATAATATACAAAGTAACTAATTGGAATCTGTTTGATTGGAAGGGAGGCAGTGGGAGTCGTAACATTATGAGAGTAGAGAGAGCGGCCATTACGGTGGCAAACACATGTGCAAGATCCACTCATGTGAAGTGTCCTACCTTTGCTTTGAATGCAGAGACTAGCAGTGAGGACAGTGACAAACAGTGAGAACAGAGTTCAATATGAAGTTTGTTGTTCAATAAAATATATTCAAATCATTATGACTTTTATATTTTTATGTCTTACATAATATAACATAACATTATCCTGTGTAATAGATATTCTTCTCCAAAATATATATTTCACCAAAACGTGTGGTGTTACAACTGAAAAAATACACTTTCCCTGCTCTTTGAAACATTTAGGAAGAACTGATCAATAATTTTTTGAAGTAGCATAGATCATTTAAACATTATGAATAGGTTTGGGGTTAGAACTTTGGTGAAAATATTTGCTACATGGGCAATTCTTGGGCTGGCTCATTTTTGACCCGGAACATACTGTGAGGGTACAGTATTTGAACAGTATGTGAGGGTTAATTTGAAATCATGATCAATAGAAGTTACAGCAGAGGGGAGCAGTAGCTTTCCATACAGTTGCATTTACTTGTCGTAATCCAGAATTAAAGGGCAAGTACACTAAGAAATTACAAAATGCATACAACAATAGAAATGCTTCCAGATTTGTTGTACATGTACAATGACAATAAATATATTCTATTCTACAAGAAGAAGAACTATTAATATTGCCCAACACTGGCGGGAAAAAAGACAATATTACATTAAAGATAAACACTCAAGGGACATTGCATAAAAACTTGGCAAATAAATTATTTTTATTCATTTATTTATTATGGATGGATATGTGTATCCTAATGATAGCTGTACTTCAGGTGTTCAATGTCCCCTGTCAAATTTATAATCCAAACTCACAATCGTTTACTCATTTGGCTGCCTGCTTATACTATCATGTTCTTATACATAACAGATTCAAAAACTTCTGGGCTAAAGTCATTCTTTCAGATCAGACACAGACTGTTCAGGCCTCCACTCCAGTGGAAAATAAGCAGGCAGTGCAGACGCTAACATTGTCAAGTATGAAGTTGTTGTTGCAGCACCAGAGTCAGCTCAACACATGGAAAATAAGGATTCACTGTCACTGAACCAAAATGGTGAGCAGCCTGCTCTTTTGTCCTTTGACTGCCATCAAGTGGCTAAAGGGGGACACCTATTGAGAGGGAGTCTGTTCAGCACAATAATAATAAATGTAGGGGGGGGAAAGGACCCAAACATCTGATACAGCTGTTTGACACTCTTTGTGAAATTCTAAAGAAATGTAGAAAGTAACAACACATGAATGGACTATGGACTACTTATTTATTTATTTATTTATTTATTTATTTCTTTTGTTACTTGAGAGTTTTCTTTCTGGCTTTATGGGCTCTGGCTCCATCTAGTGGACACAATTATAAATACTTGTTTTCGTTCTGCATACCGCTTATTCATCAAGCCATGCAGTTCATCCCCAACCATCCTTTATGTTTTAACAAAGTTTTCTTACTTTGGAAACCAAAAAAACATTTTAAAAGGGAGCAGCAATTAACCTGTTATTTTCCTGAGATCAGTTAGTGAAGGTAGTGAAGTGTCCATACCATACTCTTTAAGTTTCTGTTCCCTAAACCCATAACCCTTGTTCAGCCAGAGGCCCAACTTCGCCTTCACTCGCCCCACCCTCCTCATTCATTGGCTACCTGTAATGAGGGGCCGCAACTTAAACCTAGTCATCAGTTAGCGAAAGTACATCGGAAATTAGACAAATGCCATTAAAAAATAAAAGCCTAAAATATCTCGTAGTATGGAAAATTGTGAGTTCACTTTATTTTCAAATTTCACATTTATTTTCTCATCTGTGGATGGAGGACAGCTTTTTACTGACCCTCAGAGCCGGCCCAAGGCATAAGCAAACTAAGCACCTGCGTAGGGCCCCACGGCCAGTAGGGGCCCCCGAAAAGCAATCAAAAACAAGCAAACAAATTCAAATATTTTTTTGCATGTATAAATGATGCTTTCTGTATGATCAAATATATATTATCGTAAAAAAAATCTTGTAGCTGAATGAGTTACATTTTGAGATTAAAAACCATATGTGGCACCCTGAACATCATTCATCAGTCACTCATTGGTATTGTTTGTAAGGTTGCATTGGTATTATTTATGCTATTACCTAGGCCACCCCTTTAAACGTGTAAATAAATGCCAAGCGCATTAAATTTGTACTGTAGTAGGTGTGTGGATGATCAACAATTAATATATTGGCAGAAATAGAGGGCCCCAAAATCAAATTTTGCTTAGGGCCCCATATATACCCTTCTATTCTGATATGCTGCATCTTTGTAGATTTGTTTTGAAGAGGTCAAATATTAATATTAAAGTTTGTGGCAGATCTTCAAAACACTTGGCCTGATGTTTATCCTGCCTGGAAACTTGTACACATTATAGAAAAAAGTGCAGACCTGCTTCTGGCATGTCACAGTTTACATTGTAGAGAACAGTTACTAAATAAACATTGTGAGTTTACAATTTGTAAATTGTGTTTTAGCATATCAGGTAAATTCCAACTGTTTTCTGAATTTTTTTATTTTAATTTTTTTTTTTTTTATGCACTAATACTTGCCTTCTGCTGTTATATTATTATTATTATTATTATTATTATTATTATTATTATTATTGCCTCTGCAGAACCAATAACCCAGTGGCTCAATTTATATTTTTATTCATACAATATTCTGTTTATTCTGCACCAATAAATCCAGCTATTTGATAGTATGTCATAGTTCATACTTTTTCATATTTGTGTGTAATGTAGCATATTGTTGTTTCACTGTGTTCACTTATGTTCTGCTGGGCTTTTAATTTGAAATACAGATTCCGGAGTAGTGTCCTGTATTGTGTGTGGTTTGACACTGATGAAAAAACTCCCCCAACGTCTGGCACTTGAACAAAATCCATCACATACCATCAGAAGACCAGGACGGATCTTTTGGTGTGGACACTTTAGTATAAGTAGTCGAGGTAAAGGAGCTATTTTTTTCCCTGCAAGTGAGCCAGCTGTATCTTCATGGACCCCAACTATTCCGCGGGCGCCCCAACGGTGGAGGGATCTGGAGAGAAGTCCTCCATGGGTCAGGCTGCCCCTCCACCCTACCAAGCGAACCCCGCTGCCTGGGCCCCTCAGCCCGGCCCTGGATACCCACCACAGTCCGGCCCTGGATACCCACCACAGCCACAGGTAAAAAGGTCCTTAGAGATAAAACACATTTATTCATTAATAATCCCCGTGTGGGAAATAACGGGATGCATCCTGGTCATACAGTTTTCTTGTTTGTTTGTTTTTGTTTGTTTGTTTGTTTGTTTGTTTGTCTTCCTCATTCACATTACATTTACAACTATGATAGAAAAAAAAAATTATATTTAGTCGATTTATTTCGTCTGAAATACTAAACACTAAATGCAAATCATGACAATGTGGGAAAGAGTTTTTTTTTCTACAGTCATAGTCCTGCATCAATTATTGGGTCTTTAAGGAACTCTGTGTTCCTTTTTTATCTCGGAGGTAACCTTCCTGTTTTTAACAAATACAAGCACCATTGACAGACCATTTATTAAGTGGGGGTTTTTATGATAGGGTTTTAAATGTGCCTCAAGGATGAAATCCTACAAAAACTCAAATAATACATATCATACAATACTAGTTACAGTTAATGGTAGGAAACTGCTGCTACATTTTGATTAAAAGAATGCATCTAATCATGTGTTGAAAGATATTTACACCAGTTGCTATTTTGTGAAGCACTGCTTCCTGAGAACTCCCTACACGGCCTTATCACTGACAACTTCTGTGAGGGACCAAATTTTGTCGTTGTAGATTAGGTCCTTATCAGTCTATATTCCTAATATGAGCTTTAAGAAACTGCGGTTTTTGTGCTACCCTTTTACTTCTGAGTTAAAAGCTTACAACGGATGTCCCATGTTTTCAGGTCAGTTTCACTTCCTCTCTTTTCACTGAGTCAATGGTGGCACGATACAACCCCATTCCCAGAAGTGTTTGGGTGTTGTGTAACGGATTACAGGTTTTTTTTCAGTGGCTAACAAGTGTTTTTGTCCGACCAGTTGTCACATTTTCAAAAGTGTTAACACAATTAGCACAACATCGGTCTTTTGTGGCCATACCAATCACACATTTCATGTTGTTTCACACAATATGCAGTCAGTGAACACATTTCCACAATGCTTACATTAGCAAATATTCCAAACCTTAGATACAGTATAAAAACCTCTGCTTCTACAATGATATCAGTTCAAAAACAATAAACCTCAGCTGATAATAATCAAACAATTAATTAATTGACACACACCTGATTTATCTTGGGTAAATTGGTGGCAACCACAGCTGATTCCAGTCTGGCTTGGACTCAGTGGCCCCGTTTACATGGGTAGTTTTCCTCAATCTGATTGAAATCAATCGGATTAAGTGAATCTGGTTCCATCTGTATACATGAACTTTAAGTAAAGAGATCCACGTTCAGTCCGCGTTTTCATGGCCCCAGCTGAATCCAGTTGTATTGTATTGTATCAATGGGAATTGTTAATAGGAACCATTGTTTTAGTTCCGTTTTAGAGTTTCGCGCGGACGTGTTTGTGTGTGACACCGCCGGAGTTACCAGACCGAACAGAGTAAGGAACCCTATGTGTTGAAGTTTAATAAAAGTATAATCCAGCCGGGTTACACAGCAAAGTAGCACGAAACAACACACTTTCACACTCCACCTTCCAGTTGTTCTGTTTGTTCGCCATGTTTCGTTTGGGCGCGCTCTGCGTACGTCACTACGTGCCTCTTACGTACTACCGAGCGCCTGCGCAGACCGAACAAGCCTCTCTGTAAACCCAATCCGCTCCACTCAGCCGTGGAGCGGATTATCAATCGGTGTAGACTACCTTTTACAATCCGACCCGAAATACAATCAGATCCGGGTGATTAAGATTGGCTAAGGTGTTTATATGAGACATTTTGAATCTGATTGACCTTTCAATCTGATTAAATAGGATTTTTGGACCCATGTAAATGGGGCCAGTGGCAGGGGTTAAAAGGAGGACTTTGAGGAGCGATCCTTAGAAACAGGAAAAGACAAACACTGTAATGTCGTGATGAGGAAGAGTGAGAGCAAGGGGCCCCGGGAGAAGAGCAGGCCCAGTGAGAGATGCAATGAGAGGAGCAGGTGAAGGATATTCTGTTCACTGTAAGCAATACTGTAAAACATTTTCTGTTATATCATATTACTTTTTACTGGAATGCTTTTGAATGTGAACATTACATATGGACATACAGTTCCCAACTAAGAAATTAAGTGTGAAAATGGTGGATTGCATGTTTTGCATGCAAATTCCTGTAAAACTGAAACATAAATGTCTATGCAGTCTGTGTAATGTCAGCAATAGCCAGTAGTTTGAAACCTGGTGTACTTTGATTGATTGCATGTACCTTGTGAAGTGAAAACAAGTATTATTCTTCGACAGAATAATTTCATTTTGAGTCAGATTTCCAGTGTTTTGGTAAAGTTAGTGTGTGTAGAGAAAGATGTGTTCTAGTTTGAAATGGAGAGTTAGTATATATTTAGCAAAGTGTGTTTTTGAGAAGAAAATTATCCATTTGGCCAATTGTGTTTTGTAGGTGTGAGTCTAAGAGTTTAGAAAAAGTATCTGAAGTATGGGTAAGCGCTTGTTAGCGGAAAAAAAAAACTAAAAATAAACTCATGAAGAATATATTATTTTTTGAATTTGATGTCAGCTACATGCTCAAAAATAGTTGACAAAAATATTTACTGTTACGTTACATCACTTTTTCTTTAACAGAACGTTTGGGTGCTAAAGAGACCAGTTTCTGGAGTCCTGAGAGCGAAATGTTGTCCTACCTTTGTCTTGTATAATTTTCCACCACTCAACAGTTCAGGGTCATAATCTTTGTGTTATTATGCACCAAATTTTGTTAACCATGACTGCAGGTAGGTCAGTGTAGCACATGGGCCTCTTCTATTACACAACCTGCATTTGTGAATGCCAGTAAACTGTGTTTATTGGGGCTGTTTGAAGCCATGTGTTGCCCGTAAAGTGATTTCCATTGGAAGGTCACGTCTGTTTTAAAGCAGCTCTACCTGAAGGCCAAAAGGCCATCAAGTGTTGGTTTCAGGCCTTGTCTCTTTTGTATCAAGATGTCTCCTGATTCTCTGAGTTGTTAAGTGACATGATGTACTTTGATTGTTCAACTCCTCAGGTTCTTTGTAGTTTTATGTTAAAATGTATTCTGCTGCTTAACTATTTCCTCACCCAGCCTTTACAGACTGTTGGGCCTCTACTCATCTTTACTTCTGGGTTACTCACCCTCTCTAGGTTTGCCCCTTTCACACACAGTCATATTACTCACCTGATACAAATTAACCAAATTAGTTGAGAGATATTTCTCCACAAACAGACTTCAAATAACCTTTGAATTCTATTTTTATCAACATTTCACTCAGCGTCACAGCTCTTAGCTCTATTCTTAGGGAATAGAAGTTATACACACCCTCAAAGGTATTTCTCAATCAGTTGATTCCACTTTGCACACCTGTTAGGTTTTGTTTTGAGTATGATGAGTAACTCATGTGTGGCACCTGCAGGGTTATGGAGCCCCGCCCCAGCAGTATGGAGCTCCAGGATATGGACAACAGCCATACCCCGCAGGTCAGCCGTACCCAGGCCAGACCGTTGTCGTCCAACCAAAACATTATGTGGTCCCTACCCCACTGCAAAACCCGGTCAACGACTACTTAGCTTACTCCATCTTCACCATGCTCTGCTGCTGCCTGCCGCTGGGGATTGCTGCCCTCATCTACTCCATCACAGTGAGTTTAATGACATTTTTTTTCTAAATAGATTAAAGTACAGAGTCTCTGTTGACTTCTCTGAACCAGATCCAGTCATCCTGTCGGGTCATACTACAGTTGTTTTCAAGTAATAACTGTACAGTAAGTACAGTAATCTGTATGTATGCACCATCACATTAAACTCGACCTGTATGTTACTGTATAAGAAGCTTTCTGGACATAGATAGAGTTGGATGGTGGTATTGTTGTAGCTGAGTGATTGATTGATTACACAACAAGCAATAATGAAATCTAGAGCTGTATCTTTATCGTTATGGCTACAATTGTGAAGAACAAATACAGAGTTCAATGTCTCTGCAAATCATTGGGTTTTTATCAGATAAGATAAGAAGCACTTTATTCATCCCCGAAGGGAAATTCAATTTTTATTCACTTTGTCCTAACTTCATTACAGTTGGGGTTTGTGGAAGGAAAAGCAGCAGTAGTGGTTGAAATAAACTCAGGAAAACAGTGTGCTTTATATCATCTGTTTTTTATTTTTTAACAAAAACATAATGTTATTTGGATTGAAAAGAAGTCATCACACAACAACCAGACAAACAACTCCACTTTTTCAAAATATCAGTACTTCAAATATCATCTCCAGTACGAGCTATGAATAAGAACTTGATGAAGTGTTAGGTATGACCGTTAATTAATGGCATATGTTTGAAATATGTAACAAAACATTAAGACTACATGAACTTCTACCTTTGGTGCCACAGTGGTATGCAAAATCCTCTTTTGTAAATATTTATTTAAGAGACAAAATCTTTTCATAGACAAACAAGAACATTGTAATGTTGGCCTCTGGTATGAGTTCCACTTTGTCAACACTGATGTTCAATATCAGTTAGTTCACTTGGTAGTGATGGAGGAGGCAATAAGAGAAGTCATTTGGGGGTCAGTGTACGAAGCATAGACCGTATATACAATGGACGCTGTCTGCCTCCTCACTGGGTGAAGCCACCGTGAGAACAGCACCCTCTGGTGACGGGCTGCTGTATAGGTCATAAATCCCACCTCCTCCAGCAATTCCTAAGTTATTAGGGGATTCGTGTTTTCTATGATTGACACTTGATACAGCCTATGGGTGAACGAAGTTTACGTAGCTCTCCAGGGGGATACGCTGTTTGAGCCGAGTGTCATCACAACGACTCTGTGACTCTTCCACTGAATGTGTACAACGCTACTGTGCAAGTGGTGGAGTAAGTACAATGCTGCTGCGCAATGTTGGTTTCAGGAAGTGGTGAAAAAACTCTGAAACACAGAGAGCAATTCGGGTTTAAATCCTTATACTGGTGGAAGGCGAAACCAAGTTGTCCATAGTATATACAGTCTATGGTACAAAGTGTCTCATTGGAGGAGTAAAGAACAGGGTGATGAATACAGAACAATGGGAAAGATGTGTCTTTGTCTTTAATGTCGCTGTGGCTGAAAAGCTCTCTGTCCTTGGTCTATGATAGTAGTTTGTACTTCAATATAAGTTAAGTATTATATGGTTGTTCTCGTTTGGCTCCATTTGCTCTTCTTCTTTCTTTTATGTTATGATGATCAGCCATTTTGAAAATCAATCACTCAATCAATCAGTCTTTATTTATATAGTGCCGATTCACAACAAATGTTATCTCCCAACACTTAACAGAAGAGAGCTGGTCTAGGCCATACTCTCCATTATCTTTAGAAAGACCCAACATCAAGATGGGATAAGATTGAGTCCTATCTCATAAGATCAGTCCCACTCGGATCCTGACTTTATCCACACAAGTGAAGCACTTTGCAGCAATTAGCAATTTACAGTAGAGAGAAGAAAACTCCTTTTTCACAGGCAGAAACCTCGAGCAGAACCAGACTTATGTTAGACAGTCATCTGCTGAGACTGTGTTGGGATTTAAGAGGGGATAGAGGGAGATACGTAAAGAGAGATGGATGGATTGATCAACTGAAGGATTAAAACGTTTCTACAATTAACATAAGCTTATAGACAGTGATAAAAATGGAGAGACTGATACATGTAGTTGAAGTAGCTAGAAAGCAGGTAGCAGGATGTCTACAGCAGCAAACCAGAGGAACCTGCAGGATAAGGGAGATCAGGGACTCCCAGAAAGGTGTGGTTAGTGACTCTAATGAGACAAGAAAGGGGGTGAAAAGTGTTTCAGTTGCCCTTGTACTTCAAATTTAAAGCAGCAAAACTAAGAGCTGACCCAAGTCCAAACAATCCCTTACTACACTTTACTTAAAAGGAAAGATTCGAGCCTACTCTAAAAGGTAAAGCGGCTATCTGCCTCCTGGACCTCAACTAGTTGAAAATTTTGAAAAGCAGTTGTCCAGTCAGCTTTCTTGATTCAAGAGTCAAATTTAATTTTGAGTAACATCCCAGTATGAGGTTTTTAGGTGGTCTAAGAAGGGTAAAACAGTTTTGTGCTAAATATAAACAATCTGAGAGTAAGACTATGAACGGGGCTTTTATGACTTAAAATCTGAGCGAAATCAGAAATAGAAAGTCATAAGAAAAAAAAGTTGCCAACATCACATTTTAAAGTTTCTTAATTGTTTGACTGTAAGCACTTTCAACACCTATCGCTGTATCCATGAAAAGTCCCTTCCCAGTTTATTGTTTTGAAAACTATTCTGTATATCTGAGGAATCAAGGAGGCGCTCAGCCAACTGCCTCAAGAGGACTTTAATGACTTTGTTTGTACGCGGGGTTGGACTAAAAGGGGAAATTGTTCCGACACGGTTGTTTTTTTGTGTGGAGCATTTTGTGTGACATGTTCACATTTGATAAAAATGCATTTCATTGATTAAAATGTATTTTTCATGAAAACATTTAAGATAAAAAAAATCTGTATTTACTCAAACCTCCTCTGAGAAGCCAGATTTGTTGAAAAAAGCAGTACTTGCTTTGCTGATCTTAAACTTTACCTCTAAAGATCCACGGTGGGTGATGTGCTGTTTGACAAACGCAGGATGAGGATATTCTTTCAAGATAAATGTGAACATAGCTGTTTGGCAACTTATGTAACTGTATCAAAATGATCAATCTGTATCTGGTGATCATGTTTGCTTTTGTAGGTCACATGGAGACGTCAGTACATTTATCCTGTTGTGTAACCAGCTGGAAACTCCTCAAAGGGCCATTAGGCCAAAGTCTGACTTTGAGTCTTACTTGCACATTGAGCCATGGCCCTATTGAAAACTTAAAATGGGGTTTTGACCGGGTCACACTGCTACCAGGTTTGGTTTGATGACTCTTTTATGGGTATTTACGTTTTGCTACAAAAACAGACATATTTCTGATTGTCTGATGTTTGCATAAAATATCTTATAAGGCACCAGCTACACAATCAAACCTAAATGTTAATCCATTACAGAAAACACCTGGCACTTAAAGTGACATAGACCAGAAAATAACTTATAATTAGATCAAAGGATTGTTTGTACAAAGCTGTAAATATATTTGTTTCTTCTGTAAAGTCTTTGTGTATTGCCTGATATAATGATTTTTTGACTCACTTATGGAGCAAACCTCAAGAAGCTTTTGGAAGCCTCTAGTTTTTGCCACTTGAAAATGGGCTTTACTTCTTGGGCTTCACTTATGAGCAGCCATTTTACCAAGTTAATTAGACATTTTCCATGTTTGGCATCATTATTAAACCTTTACATATTTATTCCAAGATACATGGACTGACTTAAAGCGATACTGCGGCGTAAATATAAGTTATGGTCAAATACACCGTAACACCGAGTTAGACACCCACTCAAGAGATGAAAGTTGCCGACTGCTTGCTTCTCTAGTTATACCAACATTAGTAACGACCAAACAACAGCAATACACAGCAGTCTACGTCTCCGCGTGCAAACCTCAACCGCTTGATTGTGGGGGAGCCCTGGCGAGTCGATCACTGAATGCAGCGGGGTGATGCAGCTCAAGGAAGAACATTTATGATTGTTACTTCATAGAAATGTGATCTGAGTTCTTGTGTGTCTTGTAAGTGCACTGCAGGCACAGTAGTTCTTCTGCCTTAGCATCTTGGTCTGATTGCATTTCCATGAGGTAATACTCATAAATTTTCCACTGCACTCTGTGATCGACTCGCCAGGGCTCCCCCACAAACAAGCGGCTGCTGGAGGAGAGTGGGTGAGTTGTGTTTGGTCTCTTTGCTAAAGAAACCAGGCAAAGCTAAACAGATGTTTGATGGCTAGTACTACGTGCTGGGACCCTATATGTACTGTTGATGAAGTTAGGAGCTTTTCTGAGAATTATTTGTGGCTATAGAGTGGTTTTTTGGTTAAGTTTGTTTATGGCTCCTCAGACCGCTCTGTATTGCTATCATGCGATCACTGAGTATAGAGTGGTTTTTTGGTTGAGCTTTGCACGCGGAGACATAGACCGCTGTGTACTGCTATTGTGGGGTTGTTAGTAAAGTTGGAACATTCACCTCTCAAGGGGGTGTCTAACTTGGTGTTACAGTGAGTTTGACCATAACTTAAATTTATCCCACAGTATCCCTTTAAATATCCCTTCATATATTGATAAATTGTAAGCAAATTGCACACTTTAATACCAAGGTGTGTTCTTTATTCTTTATTCTTTATTCATACGGATCCCCATTAGCTGCCACCAAAGTAGCAGCTACTCTTCCTGGGGTCCACAAATAAAACAAACAATACGATACAAAACAATACAATACGTAATTCAATAAAACATGTACAGTCTTGCAAAAGGTCATTCAAGACAATAAAAGTCCAGTAAAAAGCAAACCACAAACAAAAAAACAAGCAGCAAACAAATTAAACTAAAATTTAAAAGTCAGTTAAGATTGTCAGTTAAGATTGTTGATGAGTCTTACACCCCTACTTCTGTCTACATAGATTTAGTTTAATCTCATCCTTCTTCTCTGATCAGTCAAACATACAGCAGCTGTTATCCTGTTATCAGAGTGAAGTCATTTAACATCCTCTCCAGAAAAGGCTGAAGTTTACATCTGAAGAAGCATGACCAATAAAGGAGTCATCATTAATATGATGGCACGGAGGAGTTGTTTGACTTACGCCTGTCTGTGTATTTAATGAAAAATTACAGTGATGCTAAATTGGAACGGTCATTAAAACAGTAACTTATTATGCTGTATGAAGCTTTGATGTACGGCAAGGCAAGGCTATTTATAGAGCTTTGTTCATTCACAGGGAAATCAGAGCACCTCATTCGCATCAACAGCATTAAAAGATGACGTAATAAAAAAATAAAAAATACACTGTCAAGTAAACCAACTCATTTCCATTGTCCAGTCGCCTCTTGAAACCTAACACGGTGATGCAGGACCTGTTTGCACTTGTATTAACTGTCATTTTCTCCTTCGTTTTTACTTTTAGTTTCATTTTAATATAAGTGAACCTGACGACTCAAACACTGAAACAAATAGATGTTTACCATAGAGGCATTTTTAACAGAGTTAGCACTCTTGCACAGTGATGACGTTGACTTAAATTGTATGTTATTAAGCTCTCTAGTAAAAGTTTGGGCCAGCTCTGCAGCTATGATCAGTGGTTTAACGTCTTCTGAGGACACGAGCTCTTGAGCATGTTTAAAGTTATGTAAGGTCATGCAAACACACTTCACTCATTTTTTCCACATTAAGCAGCTGTTGGGTTTTTTGTTTCAAACAGATAACGTCTCTTGGTTCACACCAAAAAATTCACCTCTCTTTAACTCTCCTTTGGCAGAGATTGGTAGGTTTCTCACAGCCTGCAAAGATAAAGGAAAACTTTCTCAACAAGCAGATACCTCAAGAGGTAGAGCAGGTGTTTTGAGCTCTGACTGTGCCAGTTTTACAGCAAATCAAAAAATATTAAGGACCAAAAGCGCTGTGTCATTTTAGGATTCTAGTAAAATTATATGCTCTCAATTAGAGCTCCTGTGAGGACCTTTGATTTTGTGTCAGTCTCTGTCCAGCACATGAAAACACTTTGGAACAGATGCTGGTTTAGCAGTGTGCTCTTAATCTGCCATTATCTAACTCTGACCTTGTAGCAGCTTAAACAGCCAATTTCCTTGCTGAAATTCTTGTTTGCTTTTGTGTGCAGGTCACCCAGAGAAATGTCAATATTAAATTCAGTCAGTTTCTCTTAAAAACTCCTCACAGAACCTGTAATTTTAATCTCTTTCTATCTAACTGCACATGTTTTTTATAGTTAAAGAGCTTTTTAAAAGCTTGTGAATTACCCATTTTGGAGGGGAGTTAGATATAGATACTTTTTTACATGACTGTGTTGAATTTCTCTTCAGGGTTCAATAAAGTTCTTCTTCCTCTTCTTTTTTATTATGTTTTCTCTTTGTAATTTTGATAGACTTGATTTTTAAGTCGTCACTGTGTGCTGAAAAGTGCTGCTGTTTCCTGCCCCACACTGCAATGACTTTTTATTTGAACTTTACTCAAGCATTAACCTGCATGAAACTGGTTATTAAGTGGTCCATGAACATCATAATTTAAACAGGTGTGGTCACACAAGTAAATACATGACTGTGCCTTCAGTAGCTGCACTTAACGCTGTGAAAGTGAACCGATATTTAAGCGTTAATGGGCCTAAGTACTGAGTCATAAACCTCTTATTGATTAAATGCTGAATATAAGATTAGTCTTATCCACACAACTTAGATTTTAATGCACATTCACTTTGAGCTTGTTTGTGTTTGGCTTTGTGGTAAAACCAAGTATGATCTCACTTGCTACTGTATGCAAATACAATCTAGATAACATGTCTCCCTTTTTGTTCAGTTTTATGTGCTCTGCCCAGCAGTAACTCAACCTTTGCTCCCATCCTGTTTAAGCCGGAATGAATGGTGTTTATGTTGAGTGCATGCTGCTGATAAGCTTGAAAAATATGATTCATTTTGTCACCGAAGCGATCAAAAATATGATTTGGCAGTGTATTTGTATCCGATTTTAAAGTGGCATTTGATGGAAAGACTAAATCAGTGAACTAGAAACTACAAGAGCTTTGTAAACATTGTGACTGCTTTGCTGTCATATAGCTTGATACAGTTTCTTTGATAGGGCATATTCATACATCAGTTTGGATTTCATTCATGAAGGTTAACTCTTCAGTACCACAGGGCTGACAGCTGTTTAGATTGGTCAGTTAGTCAGGAGTTTGGTTATCGTAGCACTCAGGCTTATGTATTTAATACTAATATGACCACCCAACTAAGTGTTTGTCCAGTTATATTTGAAACACATGTATTTTAATGGAGAACAACTGGTAATATTTCACTAACTCCGAGGTTACCTGTTCACGGTGGCTTGAGCTAACATGCTAAAATGGACACAAAAACTATAATATATATAGGGGTCAATACATTAATTAATTAGAACATTACTTGATAATGTTGATACCAAGTCAAAACAGTTATCTAGATGATCATCCTTAGGATTAGTGTTTATGTACAAATTCAGATTTTTCACTGTGTAATTTTCGAATGCTAATTTCTGTACAAAAACAAATGTAACCATCTGAATAAAATGAGTGATAATGTCACACAACTGCAGTCACTATACAGTTGTAGCAGATTGAACATCATCATACAGTATATGAATTATTCCAACTAAAATTACTTGTTATTGTGATCAGAGCTTTGCATGGACAAGCTCCAGCTTACATCAGAGTCCTGCTGAAGCCTTAACACTCCAGCAGGACTCTAAGATCCTCTGATCAGGGTTTGCTGGTTGTCCCCCAGACCAGACTGCGAACTAAAAGAGACTGTGCATTTGAGGTTTTTGCCCTGAAACGTTGGAACTCTTTCCCTAGAGAACTAACAACTGTGGACACTGTGGATACTTTCCAAAAGCGGTTGAAAACCCATTTGTTTACACTTGGCTTTGTATGACAAGGACTTTGGCTGCTAGTGTACTTTTTGTTGACGTTTGTGTCTTGTAGTCTCACCCTTTTTAATTTGGTGACTGTGAAGCACTTTGCGACAACTTTTCTAGAAAGGTGCTGTACAAATAAAGTTTATTGTTATATTATTATGTTTGGGGTGGAGACCGCAAGTTAATTCATGATATGATACAGGATCTGGAAACAAGGTTCAGGATAAGGACAACATCATGTTTTGTCCCATTTGTTCCACCACAGTCAATATAGAAACACTGATTACGTTAGTCGTGTTTGTGAGCATGCTACTGTTTGCAATGTGCTGTCAAAGTACAACAAAGCCCTTTTGAAAGTGCCCTTATATCCCCATTATGTGGCTAACAGTCAGAGCTGTGTACAAAGTAAAATTTGATCCTTTTTATGCTTCATGTCATATTTTTAAAACCTTGAAATTTTATTTTGCCGAACCAAAATTAATGACTGAGGGAGTTAGCTCAAAAAACACCAGTGAGATCTTTTTTTGTGCTACATGAGGAAAATCAAGAAATTAAAGCATATTGAACTTTGTGATGACACAACTGCTTACATACAGCTGCTTACTTACACAGAAGATACGATAAGTTTCACAGTACTGACTAGGGCTGGGTGATAAAACAGTAATGGTGTATATCGAAAATTAATTTCCCTCAATAATAATATAAAACATGGTCAATATGCTTTTCGATAGTCGTGTTTTGGTAGACTATACGAATAGCCAATGAAAAGGGGAGTTCTGGGTCCGCTTTGCTCTGAACCAATCATGTGCTGAATTAGAACCAAGTAGCAAACAACTGCTTAGTAGCAGGCTGGAGCTACACACAACCATAGCACTTTAACACGTGAAGCCGACAGCACTGTCAGTGAGAAAAAAAAGAAAATGAGTGCTACCCCCGACAGAAATGCAGATGAAGGCTCAAAAGATGATGACAAAAACGAAAACGCCGGTGTTGTGGAGGTATTTTGTTTTTTGAGGTCGGACATGAAGCAGAGTAATGTGCACTGCATTATGTCGAGTACATGTTCTCGCAAAGTCAGGGAATACCACAAATCTTTTTCACCACCTGAGGCAGTGCTACGCGACAGAGCACATGCAATGCAAAATGTTACAAACCCCAAGCGGAGCAAGGAGTCCATGGCGCCTGTGCAGCCGTAACAGTCAACCATTCAGTTCGCTTTCTCAAGCGCAACGCCTTGCATCAAAACGTCGGAGAGACACAAAGACCTCACAGATGCAGTAGCTTATTGTATTGCAAGACATGCTACCAATAAGAACTGTTAAATTTCATCTAAGAGTAACAGGGAACATGTAAGATTGACAAGTGATTTTTTTATATCATGATATATATTGATATCGACTGATATGAAATAAATATATCGTAATAAACTTTTTACCATATTGCCCAGCCTTAGTACTGATCCGTGTTGAAGAAAAATAAATGAAAGCAGGCCATTGTGTTTTATTTTTTTCCCCTACATCAGTTGTCCAAAGAAAATGAGAAGAAAGTTAATCCTCTCTTATTCTGGAATAACATCATTTTAAAGTTAGGGGGGTGTTAACAGTTGGGTGGTGGTAGCACTAGTGTTGTTTTTACGCAACGCTAAACCACATCCTGATAACCCCAAGTTCCCACCGGTGGTTTTTCATGGTGAAGGAAGGGCGCACAATTTGACACGTTTCCCGGAAAACACTTCTTCAGTGTAATCTGTCATCCACTCTTCGGAGTTTACACTGTCACCACAATAATGAATTCCAGTTCCAGGATGTTTCAGCCCTGAAAATAACTTCCTTAATTTAATAGTCCTGTTTTGTTTCCAGTTGGTCAGACTTGGACTGTAGTTGACTTCTGTTTGTCTTGCTCTTCCTGCATCTTCAACATGACCTCTCTCTTTTTTTGGATGATGTCCTCTGTCCTAAAAAAGTCCACTTGTCCACCCCTCCCTGCATCCACTTGCAATACTCTTATGTTTTACCAGTGAGAACACTGACTGTGTCTACAGAAAGAAAACATTTGCGCGTGTAACAGGCTCAAGAATTTCAGTCACTTGATCTCTGGAAACAGAGGAACAGCTTGAACTAAATGGTAGCATCAGTGGAACTCTGTGCAGCTTTATGCAGAGCATTTCTTCAACATGAAACCACTTCATTCAGTGTTTTCACGAGTTCCTCTTAGTTAGCAGAGTTCTCTGGATAATTCACAGAAAAACTTCAGCAATGAACGCTGACGTGATCCTAACAAAAAAAACTTTGATCACTGGGTTTGTTGTATTTGCAGAAGACCTTCACAGAAAACTCAGACCTCAGTGAAAACCCTGAGAATTATAACTTAATATTAGCCATTTTACATACAGTTTGTGAAGTCATTGCTCTGTGAACAACTGTGCATTAATCGATTGAAAGTAGATTGCTAACATTGGCTTTTAGGAGGACAACTACTCTATGTTCAGTGCGGCTTGTTTGCATGGTACTCCTGACGTGCATGTGACCACACTGAAACTGATACCCTGAAATCCAGCAGAAATGTGTGTATATATAAACCTCATGTGTAGCATTGTGTGTAACAGTGATTAAAGCAGACAGGTCCACAGCAGCAGATCTACAGGAGAGATCCAGAGGGAGCTGAGGGACTCCCAGTAAAGACGAGTAGTAGTTCATGTGACAGAGGGAAGACAATAAAGAAGGAGCACAAGACAAGTCAGTGTCCTATCACCTGACTTTTTTTTTTATAGTATCTGGCTTCTACTTTGGTGCAAAAGAGATGGCAGGTGTCTCTTCTTGCCAGGTTGGGAGTTATTGTTTGTGGACTCAATTTCCTGGAAACATATAACAGCAGTGAAGAAAAAGTGGTCTGTGGTCTGTCAAACAAGCTGAATTAGATTTGGCTGGCATGTGGCTGGCAGCTGTTAGGCCTTGTGGATTTGTGAATGTTTGTTTTGCCTGTTCATCCGGTTGCCTTTTCACTATCCATTAGTGTGCTCGCTCTTTCTTCAACATGTTTGTGCAGTTGTTTCAGACTCTCTCTCCTCCTACTCATGCTTGAATGCAGTTTTGACAAAGAAGAGACAAACTATAAAGTTGAAGATTAATTCAGCTCATAGTGTTAGATTTCTGTTTTTATGTTTGTGAAAAATCACCGTCCTGAATTTTCAACCACACTAATAATGAAGTAAAGATCTGATCGTGACAGTTCCTCTAGCTATTGACGACTGGTCCAGTCTGTTTCATCATAAAGAACTTACTGTACAACTCTGAATTCCATAGCATTAAGCGTCCAAGAGAGAAAAGAAAAAAAAGTGGGAATAGTTGCAGTATGTGGTCATTGAGTTTGAATAGTGTGAGGCCCAAGTTACACAGCCAGAGCTGATGAATAGGGGAAATGGGATGGGTAGAAGAAGGTGGGGCAGGAAAAGATAAAAAAAAGAGAGTAAAAATAAACATATCCTGATAAATTCTGTTTAATCATTGTCAAAAAGGAAATTCTCCTGCGAATCAGAGAAAGTAGACAGAGCTGAAAGGAAGGGACACATTTCCACCAGATACAAATAAGATCATTGATAAAATACATCCTCATTTCCAGGACAATGAGCTCTCTGTGTTTGATTTGAAAAGAATTCCCGAAATGGTCATTCTTGTTGCGGAGGAAATTGTGGAAGAGAATTCAAAATATCCTGTGATTGCGAGAATATCCGCGGCCTGGCTGTACGTGAAACTTGAGTCTAAGTGCTCCTGTGCGGTGACTTTGGAAGGTTAGGTGGGGGTGGATGAGCCATAGAGTCGCCATTCTTCGCCTCTGTGGTTACATAATCAGCTGTGAACTGTTAGGAGAAGGAGGAAGTTGTAGGGAGAAGAATAAAGGGCAGAACGGGGCACTAAGTTTAAGGAAAAGGAAGGAAAAAAAACAGGACAGTCATGCAGGGGCTCTAGTTTCTTGATTCTCAGAGTTCATAGCTGGGAGGCTAAACGGAAAAAAACAGAGAGGAAAACAAGATAGAGGAAAAACAGAGGAGGAGAAAGGGGAGTAGAGGAGTGATATGGAGAGAAGGGTTCTGGACTCTGTCTCTCTCAACATTTCTTCTACGTTTCAGCCTCAGTGGACAAGAGGGCAGAGCTGTTGCTCAAACAAACCTCATCAGAAAGTTCCCTTCATTTGAATTTGAGAAACATTCACCTCCCTAATGATTTTCCTGATGTCAACAAAATTACAGATATTGTACCCAAATAGGCCTTGGTCTTGAAGATGGTAAGTCCACTTATTTAAGCTTTTGTTCTTTTCTCACTCCTACATCTTAACCTTTCGCCAAGAGGACTCCAGTGATTCTTTTAAGACCATCGCTGCAAGTCGGCCACACAGTTCTGTGTACATTGTCTGATTCATGACATCCACTTGATCTTGCTTCAGATTACTTTAGCCCTACTTAAGATGTGACTAATAGTTTGCTTGTACTGAACAATAACACTGATCACAGATGTCTCTGAGGCCTCCGAATCAATGTTTTTAGCTTCAACACATTGAAGATAATGATGGTATTCATTATTCAGTTTATGGTATTCTGTGAATTGTCACACTAATAGGCTGTTTTGGAGCAGTGTTAAAAATGTTTGCAGCAGTGTCATGCAGTGGATCTTAGACTGGTTAGGTCTTGGTCCAATTGGCCTTTTACAACAAATCTTGCACAGTGGGAATTATCTCCCACTTAACTCAGCATTGAAAGCTGTAGTGTTGACGTGGAGAGTCCGAACAAGGAATGCTTTTGTGAGGATTAGACAGAAGCGCTCGGCCCCCGTAACTGAGTCATTAAACAGTCTTTTGTTTCCTCCAAACATGAGCTTTTTCCCCATGGTTTGGTTCTCATTGGTTAGGACAGTTGACGGATATACTGACAGTAAAGTACAGTTTAAATCACCCCCCCTTGTGTTTCTGTGATGACAAGACAACTGTACCCGCTGACCACCAAAACGTGTCCATCTGTTTTGATATCAAGGAGTGCGTTGTACTGAGCTGCTGGTCGGCTGCCAGGTTTGGTGACTATGTACCCTGCATTCATATGTTAATCCACAGAACTGCACCACCGAGAATAACATAGATGCAAGCACCTGTCAGTATGGCTGGGAGGTCAGGGTGCTGTTCCCTGACAACCACAGAGGAATGTAAACCTAAACAAAACACAGCAACAACTCAGCAATCTGGAGCTGAAATAGATGCTTTGACCTCTGAAAACTCTGAAGAAAAATCCGTCAAGTTTGATTGTATTTCAAACATAAAAATACCGAATAAACACAGGATGGAACTCCAGATATTAACCGGCTGCTGCAAATTGGTCAAGACCCCAAAACAATGGGGATTAACTGATCCTGCTTATTTATATGACATCAATCCACGTAAAGGGGTCTGGCATATTTTCAGAGGCAGATCCAGGGGGGGCCAGGGGGGCATGGCCAACCCTAAAATTTGATTGATCACCTCAGTTGCCATCGTGAACTCCTGAGACCATAATTGGTTATTTGCCCATTAAAATCGACCTTTTTAGATGTTTTTGAATAGGTCATTTATAACTCCTTTGCATTTTAATAAACATTTATTTTGCTGGTACTTAAAATGTTGACTTCAGACAGACACTTTCTTTTTTAATTCCTTTTTGAGTTCAAAATTACGTACAAGAACAGATCTTTACTTTTGGATTCTTGCACATTAAAGTAGATGTGGTTAGTGAAAATGGCCCTCCTAGGTTTGCCCTAATTGTTTACTTCCCCTGGCCACCCCTACAAAAGTCAGTACCCCGCTTTTAAAAAGTCTGTCTTCTCTGTACATTTCACCTCTGCTTGTTGACACTGTGGGAAAACTTTGAGAATGTTCTGGAGAGTTAGTGTAAGAAATGACAATTACTACAGATGAGAGAAGCCTGAGGAGCCACTGGAGACAAAACCACTCATCCTCCCATTTGGGTCGCATTCACTTTGTCAAGATTTTATTTTGCGTAACCCCCCATTCACTTTACATTAATGTTAACTGTTATGACCCTGGCCTAGGGGAACCAGGACCGTACATGATTAAAGTGCCCCGCTCTTCCCACTCCCAAGAACCAGCCACTGAAGAGTTTTTAGATTTACATAAAAGGCAGTTTTATTTGCTTCGGAGAGGAGCGATGCCAACGCAACAAACAAACAGCTAAATCAAAGACCCTAACGTACCTATAGTAAAATAAATGTAAAAAAAAAGACAACAGATAACCTAACTCCTAACCCAAAAAAAACAGGAGAAAACAGGATAGAAAACAAAATGGCTTCTCCCTCCTACATCTGCCACTAAATTAAAATGTTCACAACTTAAAGTCTCTTCCTATACACAAGCTAAAGAAAATATACTTCACAAACGTCTGCATGGACTGGTGGTTGGAAGTGGCAAGGGCCAGAAGGGGTCAGATGATGGCATCAGGTGCTTTAAATAGTCCTCAGCCACCAATCAGCATGCAGCAACCCATTCACAGGTGCAACAGCAGCAGCACACACACCTGCAGCTCATCTCTCACACACAGAGGCTGATTTCCACTGCAGAGGAGGGGAGGAGAGAGAGAGAGCTGTCAATCAACAAAATAAACCAAACGAACTACATAAATGACTACAGTCGTAACATTACTTATGTAAATAGTTGTTCAAATATTTGTTTTACTCATACCACAGCATAATAGACTATCACTCTGACTACTACAGATGTCAAGTATCATGCCAAGAGTGACCTCTTACTAAAAGAACCAATATCAGTATTGATTCTCAGGTATTTTTGTCCATTGTCCAGTCTTTAGGTTCCTCGGTTTGCTTAGCTGATGTATGTTTCGCTTCTTTTCTTACTAGCTGTTTGCTTGTTACAGTGTCATCCGTCCAAGTTTGATCTCTGTGCATCTGAAAAATCCATTTCTGAGAGGAAGAGTACAGGTCAGAAATTCACAAAGTTGAGCTTAAAGATGCTGAAAAAGCTCAGGGGAGCTCAGAAAAACGGAGAAGTTCTGAGATGACTCTGTGAAATCATCCTTGTAACCAACCCCCCTTTTTTTAACGCACATTAATTCGATCCATCATGGATTTAAAGGTATTTATCATTGTGGCTCTAAAGTTTAACAAGTTATCCAAAAATCCAATGAATCACTAAGACACCAACCCTCAGAGCCAAGGATAAATTGATAACGCAGAGAAGTATCTTTTTTTTTCTCTCAGTAGACATGCAGGTCTCACTTTGGAAAGCCAGACTGTATAAATCCAAACAGAGAATCCTAAAGATCTACTTAACTGACTCTTGGACCTGGAATTTGGACATAGCTCATTTTGAGGAAGTGGGCGGCCCTGAAATATGCTGCGGCCTAACGGATACGCCTGTTTAGCTTTGCAATCAACAGAGGCCTCATGAGCTTAAGTTATGTAACACAAACCCACAAAACGCAGAGCCTCTGACTCTGAACCAACTCTGTTCAGAACAAAAACAGGTACACTTGTGCCTCACAGGAGAAGAAGTGGGGCTGAGGGGGGAGGTATTATGAAACGCTGTCAGTGGGATGCTCATAGTCTGGAGACAAATAGTCGAAGAGGAAGACGCAAAATGATTCTACAACTAAATAACAGAAAGACACTGATTGACTCATTTCACACCATAACTTCCCCTTTTTCATTGCATGGGAAAAAGCTACGTTACTTTTCACATCTTTTTTCTGCAAGTTTTCCACAAGTAAGGGGCCAGCCCTGCATATCACACTAATTCAGATTGCTGTGTTGCAGAGGAAAAGGGCAGGAAACCACAGGCACATGGCAAACACACGGTTGGAGCACATACACACTCATATGCACACACACACACACACACACACACACACAAAAACAGAGGGGACTTCTAAAAGAGGCAGTCATGATGTTTCAATTTAAGCCCTCGCTATCAAAAGGCTTTGTGTTTGTAAGACATGGGAAGACATTTTTAAGTGTCTTCACACACACCATGGTCAGGAGCAGTTTTAGTGTCATCATGAAAATAAGTAAACCAACTCTTCATGGAACTTTCTCCTGTCATTTCAGAGAAGAACTTAGATCTCTTTAGGATGCATTACACAATGGTAGTGGTTCAGTGTTTCTTACTGGTTTGTATGTTTATTTTTTAACAGACAGAAACACAAATGGGAGACACAGCATATACATACATTTAGACTGATTTCCTTAAAATGCATTAAAAATTAATTAGTTACTATTGATATTTTACTCTACGTTGATTGATTCATATGCTTTTTTGGACACATTTTTGCATGCTTTATTTTAATCCTGCCTCTTTCCCTCTCTTTACTCTATTGTGTGTTTTGAGTTAAGAAATCTCCAGAAAATTACGTGGTCCATTTTGAAACCGTGACCTTGTCTGGTTGTTGTCCAAGTTATTTCTCATCTTGATCTCCCTTCTTTGGCTTATTGTTAGAGAGGTTATGTGTACTGAAACATACTCTACCATTTTGTGCTTTCATACCCTTGTAATAGTCACCTTCTTGTTTAGTTTTTAATCCACAGGATCAGTTGCTTCTGAAGTTCTGCTTTACATTGTAGAGGGAAGTTTGAGGACCACACACACTCCCTTTGTCTGTGTCACATCGGTTGTAAAAACAGGACCCGCTCGGTGTAAGACTGTCCTGCTGGGTGTTAGCACAGATGTGAAGTCACTTTCACTTCCTGTGAGTAGCATGTGATGTATGAAGCTGTGAAGCACGGCTGAGAATTCCAGTTAGAGTAAATCTTTTTTCTTTTGACCTCCATTCAGTGGTTTTAAGTTCTGTTTCCGGTGGTTTGAAGAACTTCTTTAGAAGCGCAACCTGCACATGTTAAATAGGTCAGAGTTTAACAACAACAAAAGTCCTTTTAGAGTTGAAAAAAATATAGTCTGAAAAAGAATACTGCAAATACTGTTTTTGTGGTACTTATCATGAAAGCTTAGTGTCTATCCATGACAAAGCTCTAATAGAAAGCCTGTAGTTAAATTTGATCAAGTTTTAAAATCAAAGCTGTTTGTGCAGATAGACTCGATGTCTTTCACCACTATGTGGTTTTTACTTAACTGTTTCACTGGGGCAACACAGTTTTTGATGCAAAGGTCACACATTGCAGATGCTTTCACAGTTTCATAAATCTATGCTGAAAAAAGGGGATAAACTGATTTGAAATTTTATTGTCAATATCAATAAAAACACTGAAATGAAGCTAACAGGGTGATGACAGAGTTTTGCATGGATGGCTAAAAACGATGCTAAGTTTGTTAACAATGAGTCTTTTCTGTAGGTGATTTGTTCATTTATGCAAAAGACCTTATGGTTTTTCATAAAATCATTTGAGATTGTTCATTTTTTACTAAAAATAGTATCTACTAACACAAGATGTGTCACACCTGAACTTAAAAAGTTCTTAAAAAGTTAACTCAAATGGTTTCAGTGTCACTTTTTTTCTTGTATTAGAGCCAAAATCATATTTGAATCATCATGTAATATCAAATCTTTCTACCACTGATCCAGTATGATTGTGTCTTGAATTTTACACGCTTGCACTGTAGTGAAATGTCAGGGGAAAGACATTCCACTGAAGGGTCTCCACCACGTGTCTGTAAAATATCCTGCAACATATTGTTTTGAAATTCACGTCTTACTCAAGCGGTATGGACCTACAGAGTTATGAAATAATAGTGGGAGTAAGGTTTCTCTAGAAAATGTGGGACTTTCCACCACCAGTACTACACATTGCATTGAACGCATCTGGCATGTTGATGCAATCACTCCAACTTCAAGTACTCACCCTGTTAAAGAGACCTTTAACAAGGAACACCAGCTCTGCACTCTGAGGGGCCTGCTGTGAGTGGGGGGAGGGTCAATCACATTCATATGAGGTATACATATACAACATGCTATTTTCAGTCTTTTAAAGGCACACACATCAGAAAATTACCTAAATGACCTAAATTTGCACAAATAGCATTTATATTTGAGTTTACTAAATTAAACTTTGGGTTGTTGAAGGTGAAAACAGAGTCATTGCAACAGTTTAGTATCCGTTTTAATCTGTTATCTGACTTTCAAAGAAACTTTTGTTCTAAAATAATCACAAACATCAAACTTCCTAAAGTCAACAGAAAGACACTGATTAAAAACTGAGTGTGAGTAATTGATTTTTGATTTCAACAGCACAAAAAAGCAAACTGGACCATAGTAAAGAAAAGCAAATACTGTTATGAATCCCGGGTTGAGAACTATAATGGTGCTACAGTCTGAATATCATTAGTCCAGTTTAGCACAAACCCTTAGAGCAGGTTTTTGAATGACCTTCAAGCGTTAGTCAGGAGAATGTCATCTTAGCTATTTGTAGAAGTTAAAAGAAGTTTTAAAATGTCTGCTTAGGGACTGGAGTAGGTACATGCACATTTAGTCACCTAAAGGGTAAATAAACCCCAAAGTTTCAGCTGACTTGCATTCACCCCAGACTTTTGTAACATGCCTTTGGATAGGTTTGGGAGGGAGGACGAGGGAGACATGCCAACACACCAGTTATGGACAGGATATCGTGATCCAGTGGGCCAAATTCACACGACCATGTTGAGCAGAAAGCCGTAAAGTCTGAAATTGCGGTCACAGTCAAGGAAGTAACACACAAACAATAAAAGTAAAAATCAAACAACAAGCCAAGTTTTCAGAGAACTCTTCACTAAATAACCCAAGAGAACAATCCTCTCTGGAACATCAGTTATCTATCTGCTTTAGTCGCTTATTCTGCGAAACTCCTCCCAGTTTACTGAGATGGATAATGAAAGTCTTATAGGGTTTGCTGACAACTTAGACGTGAACCAGATACAGTACACCACTGTGCACCAGATCAGCCAATAGAAAAATTCAATTGCAGTAGCTGTGTCTCAGTCTTAGAGGGCAGCCACCATGCATATTTCTCACACAATATGAGAAATTTGAAGTCTGTGTCCTTCAATAACAAGATTCAAACCTGAATCAGTCCACACTTCTGCTAAATACTACAACTACAAAAATGGTCTCCAAGTTGGGTTACATTTCAACAGTTGAACACTGACACCATTGCTTGTTGAATCGATAATTGACAAATTGATAATACATGTTTTATTGTATTGTTTTGAAATTGTGGTCGTTTGCAGTGCACACAAACTGTAATTCAGCCACCTGCCTCTACTGCTCTGCTACTCAGATGTAAACCAGCACAGATTACAGATAATTTCTTGCACCATGGCGCAGCATTGTGTTCTACAGCTACATTTGTTAGTGTAGATTAGCTAGAACAGAATAAACTTCAAGATTGAAACTATGAAGCTTCAACCAGAAGATTCTTAGCTTAGCAAAAGCTAAAATATGGGCAAAATGTTAAGAAGTACATGGAGCTAAAAGGCTCAATCCAGCATGAACACACGGAGCAGGTTTTGAATCACTTTGATGCTCCAGACCGTGCAGTTACACAAGAAGCGTGTTGAAAACTACGATTACGCCACAGCTGGAAGATCTTTAGCCTTGCTTTCTGCTGCCCTTCAGATTTAAGATGGTGGAAATGTTGTTTCCACATGTGGCAGCAGTAAACTTTTATTGTGTAACATGCAGAGGCTGAGAAACATTCTTGGAACCAAATAAAAGAGATCAAATGGTGTAACATCAACTTGTCGACAGGATATTGAAATAATAAAAAAATCCAACCTAAGCATCCTTTGAAAGACGAAGGTCGAAATATTATCCTGCAGAAATCGTGCATGGCTGTCAGGGACAGAGCCACGGATTTTGAAACAGGACACAGAAAGTCGTCTGAGAGCGAACCAGACAGCAGCTTGTAATCTTGACCAGCTGTACTGGAGCAGACAAGGCTTCTCACGACACCTAGGACAGACACACAGCACAACCATTCAGAAGTGCACACACACACGTGCAAAACCAAATACACACAGGGATTTACTGGGTGGGGGAGTGGAGGTGGCTGTTTGATTGGTGCAAGCCTGGAGCTGGTGTCATGTTCAAGGCACAGAACTATATGTACTCAGACCTTTGACCTACAGACGGATCACAGCCCACTGACTTCATCAAAATCAACACCATGTTTTGTTTGGACACCTTGAAAACAGCCACATTCCTCCTCAAGGAAACAATGGACCTCATTCACCATCTGGTTCTGGGAAGAATCTGGTTTAGTTTTCAACAAGACCCTGAATCTCGACGTTTTTTGTTTACTTTGGATTTGCGGTAAATGCTGAATCTATACATACTGTGAATCACACTTCGACACAATGTCACACACACATACAGTAAATGAAAATGTATTTGTCTTATTTTGGAATGAATATAACAGAGTGCGGTCAAGAAAAATACATTTACAAAAATATCACATTTGCAGGCATGTAAACCTGCAAAAAGATATCATCTAACTCTTAAAACACAAGAGACAAAAAAACTTTACGAACTAGTCTGATTACTAACTATGCACCATACTCGTCTGGACCATCAAATCAGTGGCCACTTGCATAGTAAAACTTTCTGCCTTAATCTTGGTCTCAAATATGACAGGTCATGTTCCTGCCCTGTTATGGTCTCTTTCCTCATGTGCATCATGTATTAGCATTCCTGTGCAGTTTTACCCACTAACTGTAAAACTGTCTGTTTTACTGTAAACGGAAGGATGTGGTTAGTTGGTGTTAGTGTTCGTATGAGAAGTGTCCCTGAGTGAGACACTAAACCCAACCTGACCCCGCTGGCTGTGTCCAGTAGTGTGGAAGTGGGATAAGTGAATGCACATCAGTGTATGGTGTGGTGTGAATGTGGCATGTAGGCATAGTTATATTTAGCAGCTGAATGGTGAGGGGTCAGCCCTCTGGAGTTGGGTGCTAGTAAAGCTTATTTTGAAAAATTTGATATGATGTCACCTTAAGTGTTCTCTCACTTATCAACTTTTCAAATTCTATTTCTCCTCAGACCCGTGAGGCCAACCATACTGGTGACCAGTTGGGAGCTGAGCGGAGCAGCAGGATGGCCAGGACGCTGAACCACGTTGGTCTGGGAATTGGTCTCGGGACCATAATCCTCTGCATTGTCTATGCAGTTGTGGTGGGAGCTCTGGTTTCCCAATAGATCTGTTAAACCTGTCTTCTTTTTTATTCTGCCTACATTTCTTTCTTGCATTCACTGGATTAAAAAAAATCTGATCAGGGTCTGATAATTACGAGATAAGGTGTCTGATTTTTTTCATATTATTTTTTTTGATCCAGTGGGCTTCAGTACCTTCTATATCAAGTAATCAGACTTTGTCAGGAACATTAGTAGTAGTCCGGTAGAATTTTTACCAAAGATAGTTAAATCCATAGACTGTATATAGAACAGACGCTGTCTGCCTCCTCGCTGGGTGAAGCCACCGCAAGAACAGCACCATCTGGTGACAGGCTGCAGTATAGGTCATAAATCCCGCCTCCTCTAGCAGTCCCTATGGAGCTGTGGACAAACTTTTGAATTGATTACACAGAATATAAATTTTTCTCCCCCTGGTTGCAATGTTGACATGTAGTTACTATAAGACTGATTTGTGCTCAAGTCCTCTTTTTTTCTGTACAGCTCCATTTTTAAAAGTTAGTTGGAGGTTCATGTTTTCTATGATTGACACTTGATACAGCCTATGGGCGTATGAAGATTGCGTAGATCATCCGAGGGATACACTGTTTGAGCCGAGCGACTCTCGGCGACTCTCCCGCCCAATGCGTAAAATGCTACTGCACATGTGGTGGTTCCAGGAAATGGAGAAAATCACGGAAATACTGAGAGCTATTCAGCGTCAAATTTGTAAAATGACGGAAGGCGGACCCAAGTTGTCCATAGTGTATACAGTCTATGGTCATAACCTGTAAGCAGCCTGGATAACAAAAAGCACCAAATTTGAAAAACACCCCACCTGCAGGTTTGTTTTTGTTATTTTTTTATTTTGTGTTCAAACAGCAGATTTGAAAACCAGTGAATTGATTCCAAGCTCATCTAATTTTTTGTTCAGCTCTGCAATCAAAGGATTTTTTTATATGATCATACAACTTGTGTCTTTTTAACAGTGTAGCTTGTTTGTAGATGTGCACTTGTACTCTTCCATACTCTAAGAAGTATCATACCATGGTGTGTAATATTCTGACAACTTATCATTTACTCTTTCTAAAGAAGACAGTGCCTTGCTTAACCACAAACATAGAATACACAGTTAACCTGTTTGTAATGTCAGTGACCTTGATGTTTGTGGCACACCAGAGCCGTCCTCTTCTTTCTTCAGCTGAACAGGAATGCTTTTATTTTGAAAGCAGCTTTCTGTTTTTTGTCACTGGCTCTGGTGTTTTTGTTCCTGAATGCATGTTAGCTCTTTTCATAACCAGAGCTGAAAAAGTCACATTAAACTGAATGTCAACTTTCTTTATAAATAAAGTACATTGAAAGAAAAACTACGGAAGTGTGGCCTGGTCTGTTAAGTTGATGTTTATCTGGACAGTAGCTTAGAATAATAAGATCCAAAGTAACAGATGATGATATCGTGATAAAGGTTTGTTTTATATCTGCTCTAGTGATATAAAAGAACATGTTGAAGTTCTTGTTTCTTGACTAGGATGTATTTTGGGCATATTCAGTGGACTCAGAATCTCGAGAGTCAGTTCAATGTTCAGCCAAACTGTAAATGAAGCAGAAAATTGATCACATTTTTACAAATCATTAACATTGTTAAGGGAAATCACAAGATCTGCATCTTTTTGTAGTGAGGCTACTTTTCACAGCTATCTCTGAAAACATAATTTGCCTTTTTATATTATTGTTTTAGTGTCATATTTGAAGACAGCACAATTGGTCTTAACACTTTCCAACAGAAAAGGGGTTGAAGTATGTTTGGCCTGAAATGTCATGACAAATATCCAAAATAGTTTGCCTAAGAAAAAGCCTTGGCCGACATTTAACAGGATATGTTTTAAATTGAACTTACTAAGGCTATTTGACCTGCTGCAGGCTCTGTTATCACGAGGCCTGATTGTCTCCATGAAGTCATGTTTTATAGCATTACGCCTTAAGTCATGATACCTGTTTTTGGGTCAAGGTAATAATCATGTTAATGATTAAATCATTGTGAAATCTAACTGTGCAGAGTGAGGAAGTACCAAAGGTTGTGATTAGAAACAGGTTTAGATTACTCTTAGTCATCCAGAGATTATTGACCTTCTGGGTGGAATTTCCACTGAGGTGAAGATTTCCTGCTTCCAGTAAGTTGCACAAGAACTGCATCACTTAATGATGAATAATGTTGTCGCTGCTGTGGTGCAATAACTACAACTTCAAGTGAGCAGCCACTGTAAACTCATTAACTGATTGTCAACTCTATTGTGAACCTTCTGAAGATATTCTGGTTCAAATATTTGATTTCTGCTGCCCCCTAGAGGCCATGAACGGACACGGTACACAATACAAAAAAAATCAGTCCAACTGATAACATGGAGGAGGTAAATTCATAATTTTTCAAACAATAGATGAATTTTCGTGACAGCTTCATGATTTCCTATGAGACTGGGATGCATTTCTACACCCCCACCTCCAGGTCTTCATTAGAGCTAACTTTTGGGAACCTCCAATATGACTTTTAAGTTTAAATCCAGCAAGACCTGGACCAGATTATTCTACCGAGGCTACATAATCTATGGTCAATGTGGTCTAGGCAGGAAAATAAAACCGTGAAATTGCCCTTTTTTGTATTTTCACAAAGAGAAGAAAAGTTTGTTTTACTGTTTTACTAAATCTGTAGAGTCTCTGAGATACTGTTGACCAGATCTAAAAAAAAACTAGTTGGAGCAGATTCTGTTTACGCCACAGTTTAATCTGGCCCTGAATAAAACTTCAGCACCATGTGATTCACATGGATGACTTCAGGAAAAACAAAATTTAACTTTGATCCTAATAAAATCAGATGATGTGTTCCACAGTTATAACAAAAAAAGAAAAAAAAGAAGAAACTGCTGGCAAAGGCTTTGACCCTGGGACCTTAGAAGCACATGATCACCCAAGAAGCTTCATGATAGAACAGACACACATTAACACACACACATACAAACACTTCTTCAACTACACACTTGCACACACCAAGCAAAGAAACCAGTTTACACACGCTTAACATTTGCATTTTTACATTTTTTTACTCTTAAGACTAGACATTTTTTTTTCATTTAAACCCATGTAGATAAAGTACATATTGAGTAATACCATCAACAGGTATAGGAAATCAAATTTACATCAATGTATTTGTAAATGAAGTAATCACTTTAACAATATAGCAGCTAAAATTCCTGCAGCTTTCCTCTTTGCCTGTTAAATAAAGACAAAGACACAGTTCCTTCTATGCATAGTCTACACTTTATTGAACATAAGAAAGTACAAATGGCAAACCTTAAAGAAGAAAATCAACTTTTTTTTTTAAAACAGGCAAATAAATTAAGTCAGTCTTTCAACGATTCAGTACAAGAAGCCTGGCATGTGTTTAATTCTTCAAGTGGCAACACTGCATACATCCTTCTTGAGTGGAGTTCATGACAATGGGTTGGGTTTCCGTCTGTTATGATTTCTCATTCTCTCTGCCATCATAATCACCTTCTATTTACTGAGACCCACCCTTAATTGGATCCAGCCAAGCATTCAGAGCTAATCTTATCATAAAGCAGTTTGATCCATGCATCCTTTTCCCCAATGACTTATGAATTAGTCTGAGTACTCTGCTTAACAGGAACAGAATAGATAATAGATACATGCATCAAGCTGCTTCATTTGGTTAACAGTTCTATTGAAGCTAGATAGTTTAAGCTCAATTACATCTATCAGCTGATTATCTACTGGTGATTGATGATAAATGGAGTATTTTAGACTACACGCATGAAGCACCACAAAAAGTCAAAACCATCAAAGAGTGAAGGCCATAGTGAGTGAGAAAACAAACACTTGCTCATAATTCAAGAAGTACATACAAGTATAACTCGCCACTTTTATTTAACATTTCTGCAATATTTACATACTTATAACCTCCCTGTGCCTCACCGACATGTGCGTATAAGTTTCAATCCCTTTCTTTTTCAACCTCTGCACCTCCCAGAGCCAAAACAGAGAAGCTGCTCTTCAACAAACGTTCAATGCCGTGCAAGACAAGGAGACTGTGGTCATCAGGTGACATAAGGTGTGGTGGTATAAGCTAACTGCACTACATATGTTCTTCAGCTGGATTCGCTCACTTGTCTTGACTGCATTATGATATATACAAAACCGTTTAATGGAGAGCGAGACGAAACAAGAAGTGTTTTGATATTCATCTGCTGCAAACAGGTCGAAACAAGGCAAAACACACATGAAACACTGGGACAGAATGGTACAGTCAAGAGCGTCATGTATTCAACTACTTTGAATGGATACAAATGTGCAATCATGAGCATTATACGTCTCAAGATGTCATCTCTAATTTAGGATGAGTAGCTCCATAAATAGTAAATAAATGACACAACTGGATGAGGGAGGAGAGTGGAGGACAAGAAAGGAGGAAAGAGGAGGGAAATTGGACTAGAGGAGGTCTTTTTAGTAGGAACGGATGGCTGGAGGGACATGGGCACAGTCCTGCTCGTCAAGAGAGCTGTCGATAACTGGCCGGTACTCCAGGGTCACCTGTGATTTGACACAAAAACAGAAAAGAATCGTATTATTGACTGTGCTGCCAGACACGCCTGAGATGTAACTTGAAGAATTACAAAACACACAGCTGGGGACTGTACCTTTCCAGTCTTGGGGTCAACAAAGGACATGGTGTGCTTCCTCCAGTGCTCATCGTAGGGCTTCTTCTCCTGACCCTGCAGGGGCTTTGAGTAGTCGTACTCATCCACACGGTCCTGAAACATATTAAAAAAAACACACTCAGAGGAGGAAACACAGTACAGAGTGAGATAAATTAAAATTAGATGGATTAAAAAAAAGAGAGAGAAAGTTACAAAGAGGAAGAATTTAGTAAACAGCAGAAATTTGATCTCAGGAGAATAAAAACTACCATGAGAAAAGTTATATTACTGGCACTGCAGAAAGAGGCAGAGGGTAAACACACTAAAAGAAACGTCAACAAACGCATTTATGTTGACAGGTGAAGTAAAACTGACCTTGAAGTCCTCTCTGGCGTGGGCTCCCCTGCTCTCCTTCCTCTGCTCGGCTGAGTGGATAGTCTGGACGGCGTTCAGCATCAAATTCTGCAGCTCCAGTGTCTCCACCAGATCTGTGTTCCACACAATGCCTGAACAGGGTAAAAACAGGGGGGATTACTGAGATGTACGGTAAACCTGTTTATAAACACATACATAAAACACAGACAGAGGTGCAGTACCTCTGTCAAAAGTCTTGAGCTCTTCCATGGTCTGGTAAATGGCGTCCATCTTGTCGCATCCCTCTTTCAGAACAGAGCCGGTTCTAAACACAGCGGCATGAGCCTGCATGGTCTGTGAAGAAAACACACATTCACAGAATTAGAGCTTGATGGAAGTTTCTGTGTGTGACACGCAGGGTCAGGAGACGATAAAAGGACCTTAAAAGCTCCAATGCTGTAGCATGGTTCCAAAAGTAATGTGACAAAAAACATGTACTTTTGTGATGTTGGTAAAAAAGGACAGATTCAAAAACATTTCCATCTCCTTTTTTCTTTCCTTTCTCTAATTTTTGTTTAATTTTTTATTTTTATTTTACAAATGTACAGCATAAAAAACTGATATTTTTGGGTATGTTTGTGGATCTAACCTTCTGCATGTTGAGCCTGATCTCAGAGGTTCTCAGGCTTCCATTAGCAAACCGCAGCTTGTCCAGGTTGGCTACAGACTCCTCTCCAGCACTGGGCTGAAGCGGGGACAGAGTCTCTCCTGAGAAGAAAACCAAACACCCGAATCAGCTCTGGAGCAAACAGGCAATGAGTAAAGCTACAGAGATCTCAGACAGTAAACCTCCTTTAAGGGATTCAAATATTTGTGTCAACCCCCTGACAGGAATTATGAGCATGTATTTGTAAGATGAGCTCCCCGGCAATAACTGTTACCAAGAGCAAGACCAAATGATCGGGTTTCTACTGCACCTCACCTGGTTTGTGTTCCTCTGCGATGGTGAGAGCGCAGGCTCTACCAAACACCACCAGATCCAGCAGAGAGTTCGCACCCAGCCTGTTAGCACCGTGCACACTGGCACAGGCTGCCTCACCACAGGCGTACAATCCACGAACAACCTTGTCCTCTCCATTAGTATGAGTGATCACCTGATGGAGAAAGTGTGTTATTTGTTTAGAGTCATTTATAAAAGGTTGTATTTACAGTGAACTGAGGGCTGACTGTGTCCAGGTCACCTACCTGACCCTTGTAGTTTGTGGGTACTCCACCCATGTTGTAATGGACAGTGGGCAGGACAGGGATTGGCTCTTTAGTGACATCGACTCCAGCAAAGATCATGGCGGTCTCTGAGATTCCTGGCAGTCTTGTAGCGAGCTGCTGGGGGGGCAGGTGGTGAAGCTGCAGATACACATGGTCCTTCTCTGGGCCTACACCCCTAAGGGGAAGAAGACAGACGGGAAGAAAGGTGAGGAATGACAGGAACAAACTTAACAAGTATGTGAGTTATTCAATTTTGATCCAACACATTGTTTTATTTTCATACCTGCCCTCTCTGATCTCGATGGTCATGGAGCGAGACACCACGTCTCTGGAGGCCAGGTCTTTGGCATTTGGTGCATAGCGCTCCATAAAACGCTCTCCCTCACTGTTGATCAGGATTCCTCCCTCACCACGGCAGCCCTCTGTGATCAGACAACCAGCTCCGTAGATACCTGTGGGAAAAAAACAAAATCATGAGTTGAAAAGGACTCCATTAAAATAGTGCACCAAAAAGATGTGTTGTGTTCTACAAACAAGAGGCCTCATCCTGGAGATTTCAGTCATTCTCAGTGATAATGCTTGGTTGATTATTCCTTTAGGGTTGCCATGGTAACTACAACTGAGCCTCCTTTGACACTGTTTTTTTTTATCAAATGCTAAATGAACACAACAAGTACAGAGCAGTTATCGATAGGATGTGATATGGCCGATATCTTTGTGATAGAAAACACTTCAAAGGATTCCAGCTTTGAACAATTTGAGCCGCCTGCCCACCAGTGAAGACAAATGTCAACACTTGAAATATATGACCATTAAAGCTCGATTGTTAAGCCACAATACTGCACCAATAAAAAACTCATTGAGTGTGTTTTATGGACCGCACAGGAAGAAGTCTCAGTTTGTTTTCTCAAGTTGTTTCACTGCCAATAATCATCCAAATTATTGACAAGAAAAAATAAACAGAAATTTAGTTACTACTGATGCATAAACCCTCATTTCACACTTTCATATCCATATTCATATTGTTTTTGTGATGGGAACTCTTTTCTTCTTTTTGACAAATTAGTCTGAGGCTTGACTCTGCAGATATAAGGTTTAGGGGAGGACTGTGAATAATGAAAATTAGGAGAAGCTCAGAAGTTTGTGTGATCGTTGCTGAGGTAAATGAAAAAACTGATAAACAAATAGTTAATTTTAAGTCTGTTTTTTTTTGGTGAGCTTTTAACAGCAACAAAAAAAGTCATTTATTTTTAAAGTCAAAAAGTTTTCTTTTGTTTTAAGAACTTGCTGAAAAACACTGAGATGGTTATTTTTGAATCCTGTAGCTGACTGGCAGGTTTCACAGTTTCCGAAGTTACATCTTGGGCCCCTTCAGGTCCCTGTTCTCTTCATGAACTAGTACAGCTGTCTTGCAATGAATAAATTAAACTCTAATTATTCTGACGATTTATACAGTATTATAGCAGCAAACTTCCATTTTAAAACTACAGAAATGTCTGCTTAACATATGTGACGATTCACTCCTACAGCTCGCAGTATTGTTCCATCATATACAGTGCACAGGGGTGAGAAACATTAAGCTTCTGTGACCCCCCCAACAGGCCACATGACATGAATACTTCCAGCATAACTAAGAAGTCAGGAGTCAAATGTCCAGGAGGAACAAAAATAAAGATGACCGCTCAGTCTCTTGAAGTGAGGCCCATTATCAGGGCATGATGTAGAAAAAGGGCCTTGAAAACTCTTAAAAAAACATCACTGCAGATCCAGATATTTAAGGACAGATGAAGAGTTTTGGGGAGGTCCTTCCACTGTGAATACTTACTGTATGTACATGCTATATTTTTGTTTCTTGTTTTTATTTCTTTTACAAAAGCTTCAAACAAACTTTTTCACTCTGTCATTATGGTTAATTCTGTGTCGAATTTTGAGGTAAAAAATAAATTTAATCCATTTTGTAATGAGACTGTAACACGAGAAAATGTGAAAAGAAAGCGTAGTGCTGTAAATAATTTCCAGATGCTCTGAAGAAGAAAAGACTGAGCATGAAAAACAAACACACATCGTTTATCCTGCATTTGATCAAATCAAATAAAGGCTCTGAACTGGCAGTAATGGTGTATGAGTTCTCCTCCAATCTAATCAAGATTTTGTCTTTCAAAACAGGATTATGCATCAACTCTGTGGTGTAGATCTAATGTCTCGTTTTGATTTAGTGAGTCAGTTAGTGTGTCTTTTCCTCACCAGTGGGATGAAACTGCACAAACTCCAAATCCTGACAGGGCAGGCCAGCTCTGGTCACCATTGCATTCCCATCTCCTGTGCTGGTGTGGGCAGATGTGCAGCTGAAATAGGCTCTCCCATAACCCCTGGAAGGAAAAGTTCAACGCTTTTAAATGGAATATCTTTAACCAGCCACGTTAGAGCATGATAAATGTTGCACATGCAGAGCAGAGGGAATGTCACTGCCTCCTCTCAGCTCTAACACTGTGGTTGTTAGAGATGATGATTAAGTGTTGTTTGCTATGATATTACAGACACAGAAGAAGAGGCCTACCCGGTGGCGATGACAGTATTTTGGGCTCTAAAACGGTGAATAGATCCATCCTCCATGCAGAGAGCTATCACTCCTTTACACTCTCCATTCTCCATGAGGAGGTCCAGGGCAAAGTACTCCACAAAATAACTGGTGTCATAACGAAGGGACTAAACAGAGGACAGAAGGGCACATCACACACTGTGTGAGCTGTGGATTCAGTTCATCTTACTAGTTTCTCGATGTATGAACAGCTGCAGGTATAGAAGGTAGAAACACTTTTAAACCTACCCTTCCATAAAGTGTGTGCAGCAGTGAGTGTCCGGTCCTGTCTGCTACACAGCAGCAGCGGTGAGCCTGGCCTCCTTTTCCATACTTCAAACTCTGACCTCCAAATGCTCTCTGGTAGATCTTGCCATCTTCAGTACGGCTGAAAGGCATACCAAAGTTCTCCAGCTGGAAAAAGGCCAGAAAGACGAGACGTGTGTCAAACATGTGTGTAGTAAAAATCCTTACAGTGTTGTAGTCACAGAAGAAAATTTGACACAAACAAAAAAAATAAATCAAGAGTAAAAGCAATATAGGACTAGCACCGAAACTAACATTCATTTAAGGACATAAAGGTTTCACACAAACCTAAAGCACTAGAACTGTTATCATGTAATCTGCAAATAAACATTGAGCAGTCTTTTATGGTTCTGGGGGTGTCTTAATTTACAGAAATAAAATTGTTCAAGTATTTGTTCACAATACTGACATACTAGCGCCTATTTTATTCTTGTGGCTCAAGCTGTACAGATTAATTGTACTGGTGCTTTTGTAACATAATACATGTTATTTCTGAAGCTTCAAAAATATCTGGTGGTTTATGGAAAGCCGTTTGATCAGTTAAAATGTTGGTTAAGCTTGATGGTAGAGTGAGCAGAGCTTTGAAGGGTGAATGAAGAAAATGACAAAAAAACTGGTGATGCACTTTAAAATCTGAGGCCACAGACACTGAAACCTTTCTGTTTGATCAGATACTATGCTATAAGAGCAGTCATATTATTTATGGGAACATCATTCGATATTAAAGTGACACTGTGACATTCAAAGGATAAAAATATTTAAATAGTTTAAAAAAGAAAGTCTAGAGAAACATCAAGACAATCAACATGTCGGCAAAAATATTTGATATATAAATTTTTAGCCAACACTTTATGGTTTGGCTGCTAAAATCGTAACACTAACGAGGCAGATTTAGAGCAGGTCTTTAGAACAAAAGCTTTGATAATAGCTCACAGAGTATTATATTTCATTGCTCACATATGAGACAAAAACTACTATTATCAATAAGGGATGGCATTGCCTTAGTCCCAGTCATGCAATGAATTTAACTAGCCAGCAGGTGGCACCGTGTTTTTGAAGATTATAAACTTTAAATCCTTTTTCTCAAACAAAAAGAGACATTCAGAGCTTTATGACACTGCATCACCCAAAACTGTTGTAACTTTTAATAAAAAAAACAAACATAATATCCATGTGTGGTGTGAAAATACACTAATTTTTTTATCAGTATAATCCCTGATGTGCATGAGTTCATGTTGGTCTTTGTATTAGAGAGTTTGAGAGACCTTACCTCCACGACGGCTGCAGGAGCCTGCTCTGTCATGTAGTGGATGGCATCCTGGTCTCCTAGCCAATCAGATCCTTTCACTGTGTCATAGAAATGCCACCTCCAGTCATCTTCCTCCATGTTCCCCAGAGCTGCATTTATTCCACCCTGTGTGCACAGTCAATACATTCACTGGATGTATAAGAGAGCATTCATGTATTTTTCATTTTGTACAGAGTCAGTTTGGATTACTATCACAATTTGTTGAGTTTGTTCAATCCTATTCTTATGAATGCAGACAGATTTCAGGCAGATGAGATTCTGAGGGACAAAATACTCTTAAAAGAAGATGTAAATAATGTGTTGTTTTACCTGAGCAGCAACTGTGTGAGACCTGGTGGGGAAGAGCTTCGTGATGCATGCCGTGTTGAAGCCAGCCTCCGACAAGCCAAAAGCCGCCCTAAGTCCTGCTCCTCCAGCTCCGACCACAACAGCATCAAACTCATGATCTACAACCGGATACTGTGTGGACATCTACACCGAAGAAAGGGGAAAGTTACTTTAAAATTTACAATATCAAAGAACAGTTTGCAAACAATATTCTACTCTACATCATGAAACATGGATAGAATCACACTTTCCCTGTTTGTGAATACATCTGTATGAAATCAAGTAATGACCCGACTAAATGCTGATCTCAAAAAAGCATGACTTACCTCAGTTGATACACTTGCACTTTTCTTCTTGCCATAGATGGAGAAGTGAAAGTTCCTGGAGCCCTGAACTGCAGCTGCAGGGACCTAAGAAGAAGAAATAACATATTTTATAAATGTAAATAATGTATTTATAACATAGGTAACAGCACACCAAAAGACTACCTTCTGACAAACACAAACCGATTGGGCTATAAAGACTACGACACTGCTGTTATATTCAGGATAATGACAGCAACTTTATTGTTAATAGTGTAAGTAATTCTTCATTAACACTACACAACTACAAGTATTCAAACCTGTGCAGATTTAATAACTTAGTCTGTGCTTTCTAAACGTTTAGAATCACATATTGAGTCTGTCTTTGCTCCAACAGTTGCTTTTGCAGAATACGAATTATGCTTTAACAGAACACTGGTTTACACAAGGGCATATGGGATAACTGTTAACACTTCAATTCACCCCAGTTTAACTCACCTCTATCTCAAAACATACATTTATGAGAATTTTAGGAAATACATAGTAGTGTTGTGGCTGCACATAACAAAATGTAAGAGCCGGAAAATATACTTTCTCCTCAGTGTCACATTGAAACACAGAAGCTACATAACACAGGTTACGCAAGTCATAACTGGCCGTTACGAAAGCTGAAAAAAACAGGAATTTTTCCTTTCAGCGTTTAAACAGCGTAATGACTCAGAGTTAATTAAGCTAAGTTAAGGATTAAAGATGAGTTAAGATCGAATTTAACTTCTTACAGCTTTGGTTTTGGATAGGACCCTCTTGGAGAGGAGACGGGACGCGGCACGGACGCTCGCCATGTTGTCGGTTGAAGGGCTGATTCTGAGGGACGGCGGAGGTTCACATATTCTGTGGCACTGGACCAAACCATTATCCGAGAAATGGGGGTGTCATTGCAGTTAGTTGGAAAGACTTTGCCCTTAAAGTTTATATTACTGTCTCTTTTACAGTCAGCAAGACTTTTTTCATGCTATAACTGTGGAAATATATTCTTATACCGAACTGTATCAAATTTGGGGACTTCTGTATAAAATTGAACTCATGGTCTACCCCCGGTCGGAGATGATAGTCTGTGAAAGCGTAATAAATTGTGTAAGCTGGGTGTGCAGGAACAAATGTATAAGTGACCTAGACTTTTCATTCAAGGTGAGAGACAGCACCATATACTTATTAGACATACCCCGGCTCGTAGTCGGACCTAACGAGCTTTTATATTCCGTTTAATTTTTCTGTAAAAAATCTCGGCCATGCGTATGCCACGAAGCTAAAATGTTAGCTAGCACGTTAGCTCACAGCTAGCTTTGTTTGTGATTAGCTTAGCTGTCAAACTGGCAGCGGTGGTGTGCCTGCTCCTGCTTGTTGCAGTGTTTTGATTAATTCTAACCAGTTTACTGCTATAACACTTAAACATATAGTATTGTGCACAGCCTCTATATCACATGCAAACCCTCAAATCATTTTTAAGTAGCTTGCCTTTTTCTAAATAAATGCAGCAATATGCGAAATCATTTTAGGAAGAACTAACATGAATGGACCCGCGGACCCCCATGATAGGCTTTGCAAATAACTTAATGCTGGAATGTCTGACGTCACTTGGTTGCATACCAAAGGCCATGTGTTTTGATTTGTTATGTATGTCTTACAGGAGCCCCCATGAACAACTTGAATGACCCACCTAGATGGAATATACAACCAGACCCAAGAGGAAGGGGGGCGGGGGCCGGTGATGGGAACCAATGGAATTACGCCTTGCTGGTCCCCATGTTGGGACTGGCTGCATTTCGTAAGTTACACAAGGTGATGTGTTTGTGTAAGTAAGAGGTGACACATGGAGGGGAGGTGCCTCTGCAGCTGACAACATCTTACTGGCTTTTGTTGACACTGAAAAATTAATTGTAATAAGAAAAATGTATGCACACATTTTGAATCTGATGCAAACAACAGGTTTCAAAAAGTTGTGTAGTGTTAAAAATTGTGAGAAATCTCCACATAAAAGGGGCAAAACAAAGAAAAACAGGATGGCTGTGATTATAAGCAGCACTGCATCAACAACAGTGAAAGTGACTGCATGGGCTTAAAGTAACTTCCAAAATACATTATTTTGAGCAGTTAGATGCTACATCTACAGAAGCTGGTGAAAGGGATATTCCGGCCTAAAACTAATGTAGGGTCAAACACACCGTAACACTGAGTTAGACACCCCCTTGAAAGATGAATGTTGCTGACCGCTTGCCTTTTTAGTTATACCAAATTTAGTAACGACCACACAATAGCAATACACAGTGGTCTATAGAGCCATACACAAACCTCAAACATAAAGCCACTCTATAGCCACAAATAATGCTCAGAACAGCACCTAACTTCATCAACAGTACATATAGGTTCCCAGCCATAGTACTAGTCACCAAACATCTTTTTAACTTTGCCTAATTTCTTTCGCAAAGAGACTAAACACAATTTACCCACTCTCCTCCAGCAGCCACTTGTTTGTAGCGAGACCTCGGGCCAGTCCATTACAGACTACAGCGGGGTGATGCAGCTCAAGGAAGAACATTTATGAACATTTCCTCATGGAAATGCAATCAGACCGAGACGCTAAGACTGAAGAACTACAGCGTCAGCAGTGCAAAATGATAAATATGGTGATTATTACTTCAAGGAGATGATAAAGTAATGATCATAAATGTTCTTCACTGAGATGCGTCACCCTGCAGCAGTCCATAATGGACTGGCCGGAGGTCTCCCTACAAACAAGCGGCTGCTGGAAGGGAGAAGGTGAGTTGTGTTGGGTCTCTTTGCTAAAGATACCAGGCAAAGCTAAAACTATGTTTGTGGCTAGTGCTATGGCTGAGACCCTATATTTGTGGCTATAGAGTGGCTTTTTGGTTGAGGTTTGTTTATGGCTCCTCAGACCACTGTGTATTGCTATCCTGCGGTTTTTACGAAAGTTGGTCTAATGAGAGAAGCAAGCGGTCGGCAACATTCATCTCTCGACAGGGTGTCTAACTCAGTGTTACAGTGTGTTTGACCCTGAATTATTTTTACGTCGGAATATCCCTTTAAAAGTACCACACATAGAGGAAGTCATAGAGGAGCAGGATTGGGGAGTGCTGTGATTTCTCTTGGCCCAAGGCCTTTTATGATGGACTGAAGCAATATGATAATCTGTATAAGGATTCAAATTTTGACATTCGTTTTGGAAATCACAGAAAACACACTTCTTGTTCAAATGATGTCAAAGTTTTTTAAGTTTTCAAATCTTCTTTACTCTGGATCACATCTCCTTCTCTGACACTAGGTTGGATCTGGACCAAGGAGTCTCAGAGGGAGATCCAAAAGGTGAAAGCCCAGTATGACAAAGATGTGTCTATAATTAAAAATGAGATGGAGGCAAAGTACAAAGAGACGCTGACGGAGAGGCGAAGGGCGGCAGCTTTACTTGAGCTTGAGCTGGAGAAGGAGAGACATAGAGTCACAGGCTACAAGCAAGCCCTGGTCTCACAGAGCCAGAACCTGATGGAAGAGCGCAAAAAGTTACAGCAGGTAAAATATTCTTGCTCCCGCTGTTATTATGCATTTCTTGATCAGTTGTGCCCCTCTTGACTGGAAAAAAATGCCTCTCCCTTATTAGGAGCGTGAGAAATTAGAGGAAGAAAAGCAAAAGCTGGTTAAGTCTGGAGCTGCAGGGGCTGTGCTTCACCAAGCCCTGGAGCGAGAGAACAACTGGTACCATCGTGCCACAGCCACTCTGAAGGAGCTGGAGGGTCTGCTCATGGAGCGACAGAATGCCTACTGCTCCCTGATCCAACCCAAAGATCAACGTCTGGAGATGGAGAAGAACATGCTGCTAAAGGTCGTTAAAGAACCCATCAGTGCAGAACTGGACCTAGAGTCAGATCTGAAAGACATTTTTAAGCGAGATAAGTACTGCGCAGACCTGTTGAACATGGACAAGAAGAAGAATGGAAGCCTTATGTGGGTTTACCTCAAGTATTGGCAGCTACAGGTCACCGTCCAGAAACACAAGCGAGCTGAAGAAGCCATACTAGGAGGAAAAATACAGTCTCAGACAAAGTGACGAAAGACTAACGCAATCTGTAGGTTTTTTTTATTTTTTTTTATTTGACCTTGAAGAATGTTTTAAGAATGTGGGTCAGGGATGGAAATATGTTTTTCACTTTAACTGATATGGTTACTATGGAATCACACAAAAGATCATTAGCAAGTCCAACACCTGGACTCTCCTCAGCTGCACTTTTCTTAAGAAGGGATATTTTGAGAAAGCTGAAATTCAGTGTAGTCAGAGCCTTGCAGCCCTTGTTTGCCAAACACACACGCTTAAAAACAACTTTGTGAAAACCCTAAACAATAATAATATATCAGGGTTGTTTAGTTAATATCCATACATGGAGGGTTCTCTATTTTTTCCCCTGGTAAGTACATTTGTGTAATATTTGTGTTCATTTAACTGACACTCAAAGTGCATGGATTAATGACTTGCTTAATTTATTGTAGATTTGCACCTTGGGCATAAAATTGAGGGCTGCAATGATATTTTCTTTGAGATGTTATAAAACACACATTCAGAAAAAAAAATCTCATCATAGTTAAAGCAACAACCAGGAATTGTAAGAGCATAGTCAAGAGTCAATTTTTTCCAACAATATTTTGATGGAAAAGTCGCTTATGTCTGTCTGTGAGGTGTTGGGGCACTGTGTATCAATGTAAGAATGATTTTTTTTTTAATCATGGTATCTGACGGGCATCACTAATCTCTTACCAGCACTTTCTGTCCATGACTTACCTCCTTCTACTCCATCTCTCTGTACTCTCTAATGTGTGTTGAATTTAAGGGATTCTTTTCCTATCACTGGCCTTTCATGTCATGTCTGTGTTCAACTATCAGGGAAAGAGACTCTGCAGGTGCATGTGAATATAAATACAATCACTGTATGAAAATAAAATGCAAACACAAAATAGACATTACCCTTTGTACTTCCATATTCACCTCTGCAGTTAAAGAAGCAGCTTCACACCTCGGGGTAACAAGCTGTTGTGTTTGTTTCGACTATCGCTGGATCAGTAAATGCTGGAGGATTCATCACAATAAACTATGGTTTGAAGGATGTTAGTATGTCTGATTGGAAATAATGCTATAACCATTTATGATCCTTTATGATGTTTACCAAAAGGAGGGAGCAGCTGTTTTTGTGCTGCAGCAGTGCACTCAAAGAAAACAGAAAGAATATTGTAAGGAAGAGTTTTATGCACATGTTGGAACAGGAGCTAAGAGAAACAGGTGATGAATTTTATAATACCTCTATTCATCCAGTTCAGTACATGTAGTTTGTAAAACAGGCAACAAAATGAGTGTGTGTGTGTGTGCACACTTAGATGCAACATCATTTGGAAAAAAAGATTAATAGTATTGAAATTACTTTTAATTTTTTCTATGATTATCATAATGAGTATGTGTCCAAATCCTCTCATTTACTATACATATCTTTTTATACTTTATGAATCCATAAACTTTAAATTATTGATTGGAAAAATATCCTTAAATTAACTGAAAAGCCCCAGAAGATAGTAAGTTTTTTTTTATTATTATTCTTATTAGTCTTATTCTATACTAAAAATTCTATACTGAAAATATGAAGTTAAACACACAGTTTTCTCTACATAAAAACATGGTGCTTATCAACTGGAGGCATTTTTCCCTAAAGTCACAGTTAAGATGCTAAGAGCATTACAGATGTAAAGCACATTTTAAATTTAAAATACAATATATCTATAAAAAAAAAATAACAGGCTCAGTCATGATTACTGAACAGCAACGTTGAATACCCTCCACCTCCTCACTCACTCCCTCCTCTGCCCCCGCCCAGACGTTTCCCTCGGTGAAGACATCAGACTAGAGGCTCTAAAGTTCACCCTCAAGGGTTTCCTGAGATCCTGAGCTGCAGCACATACTCTCTGTTTATCCCCCTGCTCTAGTTTGACCATCTGCTGTTCTGTCGAGCCTCTGCTGCTGCGGCGGAGGGGGAGCCGGTGCTCCGTCATGGCTCTGATGTCGCTGCCCAGCTTCAGAGTCTGGCTCGGATACCTCTGGACCATGAAGTGAACCACCTGCTGCAGCTTGTAACTCTCTTTGCGAATGTTGTCGGTCTCTGACAGTGTGAGCCTGGAACACATCACACACATCAGATAAATCATTTTTGATCTCCTCTATAGTAGAGCAGCATGAGGATCATCGTAATGTCTCTAATAATAATCATAAAACAGCTGACTAACTTGAGTTGGGGGTAACTGCTGTCTTAATGCACTGGGCACACAGGTAACATACCTGCAGTAACATCACTGATCAGGATAAGGTACAGCCAGACACGAAATGGTCACACAGCAGCAGTCTGACAATATTTACTCCATGATAATGTCATGTGTTTACAGTAAATATTCCACAAGCTCATGTGACTTGTTTTCCTTTGTCTATGGTTCTGCTGGTTTGTCACCTCACATCATCTTCATATTTAATACCATTTATGTTGACATTTCTTCTGTATTTTTACAATATATATCAGAGCATTATGGTGTTTTAAAGGGGTTTTAAAAGTGTTAAAGTAGTTTAAAATTCTGCATTTTAAATTTTAGAAAAAGGGGCCCAGCTGGCTCAGCGGTCTGTGAGTGTCCCCCTTGTAGAGAGGTCACAATATTCACGTAGGTAGTCCAGGTTCAAGTCCAACTTGTGGCTCCTTTCCCACATGTCACTCCTCACTCTGTGTCCTATCCTACAAATCATATTGTTCTATCAAAACTAAGGCAGAGTGCCCAAAGAGAAATCTTTTGAAATTTCTGAAAAGACGTAGCCTACCGGTATTGTGGTCTTGTTTCAAGGACCGTGCTGAGCCAGCACGCTTCATAGCTCTCTTTCTTCCACTGGTTATCCTCCTGAAGCTCACAGTATGAGTTCACCAGGTAGCAGCCTCCTCTGCTCACACAGTTCATGATGATTCTGTGGAGAAGAATCCTAATATGAAAAACTCAAAGCATACGGACACAAACAAAGTTCAGAACATGTGCACCACCGAGTCTGAGATGCGAGTCTTAAATTGTGAGTCTTAAATAGCTGGTCTTGTTTCTATTTTTACTCCTGTGGATCACTTTGTTGCGAATGTTATGAATGTCTGTACTTCAGTCATCCTGACGGTTTGGTTTTCATAATGAAAATCATCTTTAGTTTTTTTTTTCCATGACATGATTCAACTAACACTGATAACAGCTGAGTGACCCCTGCTGTCTGACTGAATTGATCGAATTTCAGTTTGTCCTTTCATGTACACCTAGATAAAATGATACTACAGCTAGATTTACTCCATTAAGCTGGCATGTGTCCCACCTACATATATATGAGTTTCTGTAATGTTTAGTTTTATGATATGGAAATAAGTAGTATATAAGAGTGTTTCTTCCACTTTGTATTTGCACGTGTGTGTTGACAGAGATATAAAATGACTAATCTGTCCTAATGAAGTTGATCCAGAGTTCATCAGAGAAAAAATCCTCCTCACTCCTCAGATATCTCTCACATAGACCACAAGTCACGTGAAGGAACAGCTGAGAGAAATCAGATCGACACTTGACTTCATAATCCACCTCATTTATCCAAAAGCCTACCGCTATCACTTTTACATTCTGACTAATGTTGAAGAGAGAAAACAATAATCATGAAACTTGAGTTTTTATCAAACTCTGAGGTTGCAACTGTGTCAGAGGGTGCATGAAAATGTAAGTGAAGAAGCATCTCTGCAAGTTAAGGTGCAGGAGTTAGTTTTTTTATAATGAGGTGATTTTAAAGCCAAAAAATGTTGAGTTTTTCTTTCTATAAGATTGAATAAGAGCAAATAATAGCTGGCCGGTAATGTATTTATTGCCCTTTCAATTTATCTATTACTATAGAGGACAAAACCACATTCATGCCTATAATCATATGCCTGATATCGTGTCAGTTTTATGCATTTGTAGGTGTTAACCATCAAAAATCATGTCTGATTGAAGGAAACAGAAGTTGCAGTATTGCCTCTATAATTCAAACATAATTCCTAAAATTAATCTGCTGTTTTTGACCAAATTATTGCAATTAATCGTCAACAAAAAAAGAGGACTTGCGAGTTTAAATACATAGAACAAAGATTTATTCAACCTTGAGTTTCAACAGAATAGATACACAGAGTTTTATTGTGAAAGATTGTATTCGTTTAATGTTTAAATAATAGCATTTGTCCCAGTCAATGATGTGATAGATTTCGCTTCAGGACTGACAAACGGCTGAAAAAAATACATCTGAAGGCTACAGCTCCACTCTCTTTATCTGACTGAGCCATTTTTCTCATTGATGATATAATAAACTATCTTCACAAATACAGGGGGAAAAAGTATGTATCACACACAGCCTATACATGTCCACATCAGTAGCTAAACCATGCAGGTCTCTTCCTGGCCCTCTCCACAATCCTCTTGTCTTTATCCTGCTGGCTCGGCCTCTCGCCCTCATAGATGATGACAGTCTCCATGGTTGGCGCCCTCAGCGGGCCTCCCTCCATTGCATTAATCCGCTCACGAATCAGAGCCGTCTCCCTGCGCACCTTAGTGTAACAGAAGCCGCAAAGGATATGTTTCTGTTTCAGGTGTCCACACTCTGGACATGGCTCGATGTTGGTCTGAGAGCGGAAACAGATGGTGGGTCACACAGAGGGACAGCAAAAGAGTCTCTACAGCACCACTGACACATCATCTTTGGCATCACATACACTCAATTTGAAAGACGTAATCTCACCAGTGATTCTTGACTATTTGTGCCCATATTACTTTTTGAAACATGACAACTGAGACTACAGACAATTGAATTTCCCTTTAGGGATAAAATTAAGTTTTTCTTATTATTCCTTTCCACTGAGATATGAAGTTCTTGAACTACTTTTGAGAAATTCATGCTTCAAATGAACTTCATAGGTGTGTCAAGACTATAGTGACACATACTGGCAAAGTGATAGACTTTCTCATCACCAACTTAAGTGCTCATTAAATCAAAGATTTCACGCTAAGCATCTTCAGATATATACATTTGTTAAATTTGTATAATTTCTGACTTGAATAAAACAAAATTCATGAATAAAAACACACACGAGAAGATTTTAAACATGACAGTTATCTAATACCCATTTTCTTTATGTTTTTGCCCATTGTGGGACATCTTCTTTGCTGCAAGAAAAGTATCAATCTGTTAAAGCTCATGTGATGAAGTTTCTGTTGATTTAAGTTGTTGCACCTCCCTGTGGACAAAGTGACACATCTTGATTCTTAACTGCACTTGTTCTCTAGACGTGTGAGTAGTCATTTCTGAGGAAAAACTCTCACCCTGCCTTCTGATGATCTGACACACGACCCTCTGCAGTGGCATCAAGAATGAAAATTTCCAGTACAGAAACTTCAGTTACGTTGCTGATGGTCTGGTTTGCTTTTGCAGGTCAAAATATTTCATCACTCTAACTTCATAACTAGTTAAATTATCTTACCAGGACTTTAAATTGAAAACAACGATAAGCTTAACCACACAGGGGTGAATTATGTCTCGTTTTCAAACTGTTGATCAGCACAGACAGTGACAATTTCAATCATTTGTTACTGTTGGGCTTTGATATAGTTTGAGTTTTAATCAACTTACCTTGACTTTTATGAGTTTACTCTCTGCTCTCCTCCTGGTACGGTTGACCTCTATTGTGCGTCTCTTCTTGGGAGCTGCCATCCACAGGATGCTGTCAAAGATACCAGGGGGCTGTTCTGAGCTCTGCTGCTCCTCATCCTCCCTGCTGGGCTGAGGAAGAAGGCTGGGACCATTCACTGCCAAGGCTGGAGCTGCACACAGGGATCAGAATTACGTTATTAATATGGAAAATCTCAGCTGAAGTGATCACAATGATTAGAAAAAAAAACATTTAATTCACATAATACAGAGACAGTTCGTGCTGTATGTGTAGGTTACAACCATTAACTGTAGCACAGGCTCCCTTCGTGGGCTCCAGTTATTAAACTCACCAAGCTGTCTGTCTAATCCCGCCACTTGCAACAGTCTGTTTTCAATATGTAGCAGAGAAACTCGAAGGTTGTGTACCAAAACGGCTAATTTCATCATTTTTAATGTCAGCACGCTGCCTTTCCTTGAAACATGCCAAACAACTCAGGGTCGCGCGGAAACTGTGCGTCCTCAAACGGCGACAGAGTATTCTTCTTCTTTCATTTATTTTCCGCCACATCTGTCAGCTTTTACTATTTGACTACCATCTAGCGGTCAGCTCTGTGAACTGTAATGTGAAGATTTGATTTTCTCAGCATGATCCAGCTGAAATTTTAGAATTTGAGACCCCCACACTAGAGAAACATCGGACATCTCACTCCAGGAGAGTGCAGTCCTAGGCTGTGCAAAGAGGGCCCTGAAACAGTCCAACACCTAACAGCAGGATGTAAGATGCTGGCAGGAAAAGCATACATTGAACGCCATAACCAAGTAGCCAATAAAGTGTACAGGAACATCTGTGCAGAATATGGACTGGAAACCCCGAGGTCAAAATGGGAAGCACCTCCCAAGGTGATGGAGAATGACCAAGCCAAGATCCTGTGGGACTTCCAGATACAGACCAACAAAATGGTAAGATGGCCAACCAACTGGACACTGTAATCATAAACAAACAGCAGAGGAAAGCCGTTGTGGTAGATGACGCCAGCCCAAGTGATACCAACATCAGAAAAAAGGGAACACAAGAAACTAGAGAAGTACCAAGGGCTCAAAGAGGAGCTAGAGAAAGCCTGGAAGGTGAAGGCAACAGTGGTGCCTGTGGTCATCGGGGGACTCAGGGCAGTAACCCCTCTATAGAATCACACACAAGAAAGAATAGGATTATAATTTCCAACAATCTAGTCAAGTATTGACTTTAATTTCATAATACGTTATCGGGTTTTTTTCGTGACGCATTTTAGAGATAAAATGAAAAAAAAAAAGATAAAATAAAAACAAAATGTCTCTTATTCACCCTGCAAATACAGACTGATGAAACTTAACTGAACACACGCGGTACTTCCAGGCTGTATTTGTGGGGGCAGTATACACCCATTAGTCTGTTTATGCTTCAGCAGTCGACAGAGAAGAAGAAGAAGAACAAGATGGCGGAACGAGGCTACAGTTTCTCACTCACCACATTTAGGTAAACTTTGTTTAATTTGTCGGAAAAACTAAGATTGAAGACTCCGCTCTTGACTTAAAAATTGTACTTTTTATAGAAGCTTATGAAAGTCCATGCAAATGTTCCGGTTTCAAAGGTTATGCGGATGAATTGAGCGCTCCTCGCTGATGCACTGTCATCGCCTCCACTTCAATGAATCGGCTAACAGTTAGCATGTCGGCTATCATGGTTTACATGAGAGATCGAATCGTTTTAAAGCATTTGATATTGAAAATAAAGACAAAATCAGGAAAACTCCTTTTGCTCGTGAGACTTATTATTGTTCAACTGAAACGAGTCCGGTCACCTGACAAATAGCGGAGACAGGTTAGCATAGCTCCCTTTAGCTCCGATGATTCAGATGTTTTAGCTTTTACTTTCGGTTTCACCGTAATCATCTTTTAAATGCGTGTCTTTTCATTGTAAACTGCGAAGTGAAGCCGATTTTGCTGACAGCTTGTGTTTCCTCCTGCAGCCCCTCGGGTAAACTGGTCCAGATTGAGTACGCTTTGGCAGCTGTGGCAGCAGGAGCTCCATCAGTCGGTATCAAAGGTACGAGTCCTGAACAGGTGTGAAGTCAAATCCAGACTGTTAGTAAAGATCAGTGTACCATATGAATAAGAAGTCTAAAGCCTTTAAATAAACGACTGTGGCAGGCATTGAGGGAGTAACCTGAGCAGCTGATCAACCCTTGAAAATGTTTCCTGCATGACAAAGTTGAAGCTGATGGTTTGATCTGTTCTGACTGCTAACAATAAAGTGTGACATCTTTTGATTTCTAGCTTCCAATGGAGTTGTTTTAGCAACAGAGAAGAAACAGAAGTCCATCCTGTACGATGAGCAGAGTGTCCATAAAGTGGAGCCCATCACAAAACACATAGGCATGGTCTACAGCGGCATGGGGCCTGACTACAGGTGAGGTTACTCAGTCTGTTATTTAAAAAAAAAAACTAACATTGGTATATACACCTGTACATCTGTTAAAGTGACAATCAGTTTTAAAATGCACCCAAGAGCCATAAATGTAAAGGCTTCTTTCATTTGTTATGAACACCTCTAGAATAATATTCGGTTTGGGATTAGGCCAACCTTATAAACAGGCTAAGGAGTTGTGTTCACTTTGCAGGGTATTGGTTCGACGAGCCCGTAAATTGGCACAGCAGTACTTCCTGGTTTACCAGGAGCCAATCCCCACAGGCCAGCTTGTCCAGAGAGTGGCATCTGTCATGCAGGAGTACACACAGTCTGGGTATGTACGAAACACACAAAAACACACATGACTTCCAGACACATAATCTTTGTTGTTGAGAAGTAAGATTAGTACAGATTTAATTGATATCGTCTTTATTTTTTTTCAGTGGTGTGCGTCCGTTTGGCGTTTCATTGCTGATTGCTGGATGGGATGAAGATCACCCCTACCTGTTCCAGTCAGACCCCTCTGTATGTTGTATTTTAAGCCTAAATATTTATGGAAAACTAATAACCACTGAATAACAGCTTTGATTACGCTTTGCCCACTTAAGCTTTGTAAATATTTAACCACTGGTTAGTCTTTGCTTACTTAAAAAATAGTTCTGCTAGTTATGTGAACTTATGGTTTAATATTCTAAGGTGCTTGGTCATTTTTTTTAACCCTTAACTTTTATGGTTTTGAAGTGTGGTTAATATTGATACCAGTTTTTCTCAGTCCGAAATGATTCCAATATTATATTGTATTATGGACTGTTAGGGGGATTTTTTTTCTCAACGGATCTCTGTTCTCTTTATTTCTGACTGGCAGGGTGCTTACTTTGCATGGAAAGCCACTGCTATGGGGAAGAACTACGTAAATGGCAAAACATTCCTTGAGAAAAGGTAAGATTGCAATAAATAGACATGGTTTAGGGTATTTTTCAGAAGGCGGCCCTCTGAGAACCTTTCCCCTGTCATATTGAAACACAATCCACAGGGCAAGAATGGTCAACTGTTAAAGAAGTGAATGGTGCATTTACCTCCTAAAATTGGTATCAGAACTCACCTTTCATTCATGCTATACTCTACCATGATAGTGATGGGAAGAACAGTTCTTTTGACCGTACTGAATCTTTAGAATCTGTTCATTAAAACAATTCGTTCAAAAGATTCCTTCACTGAATCAGTCAGTGCTTCAGAGCCTCGTCCTGCGGGTGCAGTACACCAGTGAGTGACACAGCGACGAGTTCGTTCATTGAACAAGCCCCTCCCCTCCCCTCCCCTGCTGCTGAAGTCACAGTGTCGTTCACTGGGTGACACATGTCATTTATTTGCGAAGTCCTGAAGGAAGACTTACTCCCCTGCCGTGAAAAACTCACCTCTCTGTGTATTGCTGTCGGCGAAAACAACACAGCAGCAAGCAGCACGCCTGCTAAACGAGTGCGGGTCTTCGTTCTTTTATAAGGTGGGAAAGTGGAGAGATTGAAAAAAAAAAAAAAACATCGCAGCCGTAGCTGGATTCTGCTGCATTTGAAGATATCAAATAGCATATTGCTTTAAATCGGCTGAAATAACTCCTTACAGCAAAGTTTATAGGTGTGTGTTAATGTAAAGGCACTATAATGCACTGTTTTATCTTAGCCTCAGTGAATAAACGGGTGTTCAGCAGTAAGTGAACAACACTACACTCCCTCCCTCCTCTGCTTGCATTAAGTCATTCGGAAGTCGTTGATTTCGTTCACCATTCCGTTCACTGACTGACTGAATCATTCCGTTCACTTACTGATACATGTCGTTCATTCGCTGTGGGTGAATCATGAGACTCCACTTGCCCACTCGCTCTCTGGCTGGCTGGCTTTCTGTCGTTCGCCAAAGAGTCAAAGGCGGCAGTTCCACTCCTGACCGGTATGCAAGACTCGCGGCTGAGCTCAACCGAACTGAAAATGGGACGAATCAGGTCTCAGAGTGATTCAGTTCATGTCGTTCACTCAGCAATTCCGTTCTTTTGAATGAAACGTTGGTGAACGACACAGCACTGTACCATGATAGTACACAGTTTATGTGTTAGTTAAGCTGAGTAAACACTCCTCTCACAGTTAAGTGGTTTCTAAATGAGCATGTTGTGTTTGTTTTTCAGGTATAACAATGACCTGGAATTGGAAGACGCCATCCACACAGCCATCCTGACTTTGAAGGTAAATTGTTAGGTTTATATAAGAGCTTCCCATCTATTGTGAACGTCATTTGTTAAGAGTCTGTTTTTTTTTTCATTTTAGGAGAGTTTTGAAGGTCAGATGACTGAGGAGAACATTGAAGTGGGGATCTGTAACGAGGCAGGCTTCAAAAGACTCACCCCAGCAGAGGTGAAAGACTATCTGGCAGCCATCGCATAAACCTACCCTCCTTGGTGACCCTGCTTTCAGGCCACATTCAAGACAAAGTCACAACAGCACAGTAGTCAACTGTCTCATAATACAGATTTGTAAACCCCAGGCAGTCAAAGTTTGGATACATAGTGCTATAGCCCAACTCTCTGTCTGTCCTGCCAATATGGAAGGATACCTGCATTAGATTCCCCTCATTCAAGATAACTGAAACAAGTCAGGTTAATAATAAGCATGTTTGGGATATTGCTTGTGACAGACTTGATGTGTGCAACATATACAGTCATCTCAGACAGCAGTGTGTGATCTTTATCCAGAATATCACTAATAAAATTGGCTCTCTTCAAAAGAAATGGCAGAAATGTGGTAGTTGACTCTTGTGCATATAAAAATGTGGTTTCTGTTGAGCAAAATCTCAATTCTTCCATTGAATCCTGTAATTGCTGTGTTTACTCCAACTTCATTGTTGACCACTGTGACAACAGCCTCTGGTCCTACAAAAGAGAAAAACTAAAACTAGAACAAAGTAATGCTTTTTAAGGGACCAAAGGAGCTGTGGTCTTGAGGTGATTTATTCATCCTGATCTTGTCCCCTTTGTTCTTCCTGACTGCACTTGATTTCTAACCCTAAACACATGGAAGAAAAGTTAGATAAGGGAGCAAGGATAGAGGATTCAATGGAGAATTGCTTGATTTTAAAGTCAGCTTCTTGTTTTCCTTGTACAAAACTTTTACACAATGTACTCAATGATTTCTTTTTCTGGCTAGATTCAATTCTTGAAGTTTGTATTTTCTCATCTGGTATCTCAAATAAAAGAGGACGAGTTGATGTTGAGTCTGTTTTTGTATCTACACACTGTTGTCAAGTAATAGATGCGTGTTTTCAAAAATGTGGGTTAATGTGCACAATTTTATATCACTATTTGGGATTTGTTCTCAATGTGCGCGCGCTGAAACACAGCCTGTTTGGAACATGTAGTACTCATTGAGGAGCAGCGCGCGCTCTAACCGGGACACCCTTTCAAATGTTGAACGTATCCCTCCGCCCAAATCCAGTGTAAATCCATACCACTGTATTAAGATAAATTACGAAAAAATAAACCCTCTAAATCGACTGTCTCATACGACTGGGTTAGAGCCGCCCCAAATTCAACATTAGTTTTCGTTTAAAATATCGCAAAGAGGTCTATTTTCCTCGCGGCAGCACACCATCTTACCACCTCATAACCCCTGATGACGTTTATGGCGCCAGAAATCAAGGGTTTAGTGTGGAGCTTGTGTGTGTGTGTTTAACTGGCGGAGTTCAGCTGTTATGTCTGCTGTGTTAGCGGTGCCGTAAACTTTACACAGATATAGGGCAGGATTTCAGCAGGTAATCCGTCGTCCGTGGAAGTATAAGGTCGGTTTGGAGTCAAGATGGTGATACTACGCAGCAGCGGCGGTGGTGGTGGCGGTGGTGTGGGAGCCGAGCCGACGGCATCAGCTCCGAAGAGGAGGTCAGCGGAGATGGATACGAGCGGCGAGTTTTTGTCGCTGATTCCCGCGTCTCTCCGAAAGTCCGCCCGGCTGACGCGGTCATCCCGGGCCCTGGATGACAGCTTCAGTAGCCCCGACCACCGCACGGCTAATGTAAGCATGCACACCCAGATTGGTGTTCGGTATCAACACTGACATTTATGCGATGTAAAATTACCAGTGGACACAACTTTGGTGTGTTAGCCGCTTTAGCGCGCTAAGCTAACTAGCTTCTATCCTTCCAGCTTGTTAATAATAATTACCGGCGCGTTTTCTCAATGAGCACCTGTAGTCTGTCCTGATATTAAACGAAAAAAGGGCTCGTCTGTCGGATTAAACCATTTTGCAAGCACTTGAATAAACTCTACAGTCAAATTAACCGAGGAAACCGAAAATATTATGACATTTTGGTAGTTTTATGTGTCGTTAAATGCTACGGAGAACTCGGGTTAGTAGGAAATATGTGCTTAAAACTGTGATGTAGTTATATGGTGTGTTTTGGTACATTCTGAGGATCACCGAGAAAAGGGGGTGTGGTGACTGAAATCATCAGATGAATCTCCAATGGCCGAGAGTTCGCTTAGTAAATCTGATGTCTGATTTATCAGTATTCTAGTCCAGGGATATGAAAACACCGTGACCTGAACATTTTACTGAAGCCCCACTTTACCAATATGCTTATTTTGTAGGGATTGATAAGATGTATTCATTTGTGGAGAGAGTGGCTTACCCAATTTCATTACTTCAGGCGAAGTACAGGTACTCCAGTAGTCAACATGTATCACCCTGACTATTGAGTTTAAATACTGGAGACTTTCTTTTCAAAATTGTTGAAGTATTTCACCTTTACAGACCCGTTTTGACTTTTAACAGCAGTAAAAACACCCTAAACGTCATTCTTTCAGCCTGAAACTTGATGACTTTTCCTGAAATGGCCCAAAATACATGAAATTAATTGACAAATATTCATGAGTATTTTTGTACATGTGCTACACATTTTTCCCCCCTGAGGCTGTTGCGAGTCAAATATGACCCGTATCCATTTAGATGGATTTTAGATCTACCAGTGTGAGACGAGTGACAAGCAGTCACAACAGTGGTCAGTAGTGCCCTGCATATGCTCTACATTGAACCATAAAGACATGCAGCATACAGGTAGGGCAAGAGAAAATTCACAAGCTCACTTTGGAGCAAAAGTAGGGAGCTTCAGAGCAAAGTGTGTAGTTGTGTTAAAAGTACATTTTTCCTTCAAAGTAGCAGAACAAAAGTAAGAAGTTTTCCCTCAAAAATAAACCTATAAAATCAAGTAAATTTTCTTTGCTAATGTCTGCCACTGATTATATTGAACACAAACTAGTTCAAATATAGCTAACTTTCATGACCTTATTTCTATTCCCTAAACAACCAGCCCTGTAGACTCATTTCTGATGTGTAAACAAAATGCCTCAGAAACATTGGTCAGCAAAACTCACTTTGTGTATGTGACTTTTATATGTGTGTATTGTGTTTACTTAAGCTTTGCACAGAGTATCAATGTCAGTAAGTAGGTGGTTTAAAAATGTGCGCATGATTCAAACAAACACTTACTTTTTACTGTACCAGGGGCATGCTGATATGAAGTCAGGAGAGGGAAGGAGTCTCCAGCACTCTCTGAGGACCCGGGGACAGCGAGTCAAACTCGAGATGTCTTTTACTGAAATGGAGCCAAAGACCAGCTCACCTCATCCTGTGAATGAAGAGGAGATTGCAGGGTACTGCACCAGGTAACAGGCTGAATGACTTTGATGCTAGCTGTCCTTTTAAGTTTGTAAGGAAGAACTATTTAGGTCTTTAGGTTTGGCAGTTAAAGGTGATGAGGTGTGCAACATAAGCATTATCTTCATCTCAACTTTTCCACAAAAATGAACAAGTCTGTACTAGAACACAAACATTGTATATTCTGTAGATACCTGTTTTGATGCAGTGTTTCATTTCTTGTATTCAGGAAATCTTCCAGGCTGCAAAGAGAGGGACAAGCATCCAGCAGCAAAAAAGCAGGTAACCCTCACTCCAGTTTAAGCTCTTGAGAATTAGCTCTCAGTGTTGGTGGGTAGCACTAGCACACAAATGTTGGAAGAGGTCTATTATTACACTGATAAATACGGTTTTTATTCATACCAAAGATGTTCCAGACGAAGTGGAGGGTTCGTCAACTCCCAAGAGGAGTCGCTTCAACCTACAGAGCCGTGATGAAGAAGAGGAAGAGGAGGATCGCTCAGTGAGGCGAAGTTCCAGAATCACCAGATACAAACTTAATTCACGAAACCAGTCGGTTCTCTACGATCGCCTCATCACCAAGTAAGTTGAGCAACATTTACTCCATTGAGCTCCTTGGTCTCAGATTGTGATCAAAACAATCTGCATATGGATATGAACCTTGAAAGTGACGGTGTTGAAGATCAACTGTGGTCAAACCTGACAAGCTCTGCTTTTGTTGCTCCTCAGCACTGCTGAAGCTGTTCTCCAGAAGATGGACGATATGCAGAAGATGAGACGCAGACTGAGGAGCCGAGACAGAGACACTAATGAAGAGGTGATAAAACGAACACACACACAAAGGAAATATCACTACACCATTGCATTTAATTGTGTGCTCTGAAATTATATGATGATAGAGTGTATGTGTAAGACTAATAAAGTGAAATAAATGTGCAGTCCCTCCAGGAATTTGCAATGTTGCAATCACAACTTTTTAACACAAATTCAACGCTGCAATTTCGTCCAATCACCGCGAATTTTCCGCCAGTTTTTCCAATAAACTTAACCCTTTTTTGCCCATGCCTCTACGTGACATGTACGTCATAAATTTACTTCCTTGTTCACATTGAGAAGATGAAGACGTGTGCGACGCTAAATGCTCACATTTACAAACAAATATCCCCGCCAAAGTTCCTGCGAGTCAATTTCCAGATGTGTTACATGAAAGCAGAGGTAAACTCTAATGCGCTGCCTGCAATAATGTGGGGCAACAACACATGGTGCAAAGCCGTTGCTCGACAGACACTTTTTAATCGCAGAACATGTAAGGAGAACAGCTGAAACTCAGAGAGGACAGACGAGACAAGTCAAAATGACAGAGGCTGTCACATCCAGAACTATAGCAGTGGCTGAAAGGGTCAAGGTATGCGTGGATATAACCTTTAAAATCAAAATAAGTGAAGAATTAAAAAAATGCGTGGATGCATGCTTTCATTTGTGTATCATCTAGTGTGTGTAAGTGTAAGGGAGTGCAAGCGAGAGTGTGTGGGGAAAAAAAAACAAGCTCACAAATGAAAAGAGTAATTGAACTTGGTGCTGCTTATGTTTATGTTTTCTCTAAATTGTAAAATTAGTGCAACCCAAGTTTGGCTGCCCTGTGTGCCAGTATCTCTGTGTGGCTGTGAGTCTCTGTGCGCGCCTGTCTGTCTCTCTGTGTGTGGAAAATATCACGCCTTAATCCTATGGTTTAAGGCTAAAAACTCACAAAAGACTGTTGTAGCTAATTTGCAATGGCCCTTGTTTGTGCAGTTTTAATAAAAGAAGCCTCAAATGATCACAACTTTCACCGCAATGTTTGAGAAAAGCTGCCGCAAAATCGGGCATTATAGGCTGCAACTCCTGGAGGGACTGAATGCTACACTAGCAAACTAAACACTCTCAATCTCTGTGTCATCTGAGCAGCTTGGCATGTACACCAGAGGCAGGATGAGGAGGTCTCTGAGGATTAATGTGGAGAACAAAGACACAGAGGAGGAGAACCGAGGTGAGCGGCATTGGGTTCAATGACAACATTAAGGAAATAACCATGACAACCATCGACAGCATGCTGGTTTGGTTCCATTCAAGCTTTCATACGTCTGAAAGCTTCAGACGGCTGACGTTGGCAAAACTGAGAGACAATGTACCTCAGGCAGTACTTATAGTAGCTGAGATGTGGGGGTGACTGTCCACATATCAAGTGACTGAAGATGCCATTTGGTGGAACAAAGAAAATAAAGCATTAATTTGTCATGAGCTTCTTACACGTTCTCACGTCATTTTGTTAATTTTAGACTCGCTAACATATTAGCACAGTCTCTCAGTCGGTAACTTCAAAGCTGTTTTTCACCCTTTATCATAACAAAAGGTTAGAAACCAACCGTTTGTTTTTCACTCTTTCCTTTGTCAGAAGAAGATGAGGATGATCACGACGATGATGAGGGAGAGGAGGGGGATAGAGAAGAGGAGGAGGAGGAGGAAGAAGATGAAGACGATGAAGAAGACGAAGATGGGGAGGACGAGGAAGAAGAGAATCAAAGGCGTTACGACTTCAGACAGCGGAAGACTGTGGTTCGCTACCAGGCTCCACAGGATGGTACTGCTGCTTCAGTTCAGCTTGAGCACGTCAGATCACAGCACAAAAACATGACAAATAACAGCTACAAAGACCTGATACACGTCCTACACAGATGACTTGATATCCATGACCTGTTCAATATTTGTGTGAAGCTGATGAGCCAATCACATCACATCACATGCTACACTCCTGCTTAACTTTGACATTTAAGTTTGATGAGACTTGTCATTTCTTCAGAACCCAGGGAGCCCAGGAAACGCAGCATGTACTACAAAGACCACTCGTCTCCGACCAGACGCAGGTTCAGATTCAGTTCCACGGCCCCCAGGAGCCCCTACAGCATCAGAAGAACCACCAGGTGAGAGCAACTTCTCAGCAATCAGCCTTTATTTTGAAAATGAGGAATTAATAATTTGCCGCCAAGTAATGTGGTTCTCACAAACACTTGATAGTCTGATGGTTTGTAGTTTAAACTGGCAGTCAGCAACATTATTCATTATGATATTCAGATCTGGACCACAGACTCAGAGTGGCTCCCTAAACTTTGACATATCTTTGTTTCTGATTCTCTTCAAACCAACCTCAGGAGTAGTTGTGAGAGGTAAGACGCTCACTTCTTGTCCTTGTCAGTGTTCAATGTTAGTCTGTAGTTTGATTTTTGGTTGATGTCTGTTCTAAATGGCGTCGTGGTCGGGTGTTTGGTGACACTTTGGTTTTGGTCATGACAAAAACAGACTTTCAAGAAAAAGCTGATTTATTCTGAAAGGCAGTAAAGGCACTGAATCAGTATTGTACATTAAAAAGCAACAGTAGCTAACTCAGTCTCTTCCTGTTAACAATAGATATCTTGGAAACTGGGTGCATTCATGAATTAAGGAATAATAAGGTAACAGCACATCACATAATATAAAGTATATAATAACTGTCAATGACAAGCAACACAACATAATATAATGAACTGAGAATTCCTATTCACCTGTGTCATGTTATTCCAGTGAGGTGTCACTCTGGTGAGCGTGTCATTTTAAATTGTGAAATGATTCAGTTTGAAAATTACACATAAAAAAATACGAGCTTTTTTAAGAGAGGTTTTTGGTTATTTTTACTGTCAGTTATATGGGTTTTTGTTTGTACACAACAGTACTTTATATCAGAGAGTTTTAAAAGAGTTGAGTTTTTAATTTTCTTTGAATGCATATTTGCTTTAAGCAGTTTTATTTGAATGCTTCAGTGTCTTAACTTATAGGTACTGAGGGCAAAATAAAATTCAGACGTCTCTCTAAGAAAATAAACTTTGATCCTGTAAAAATAATCAGAAAGCTACAGAGACTGAGACATGTGCATGTTCTGCTTTGCAGGAGGAGACATGCCATTCACAGCAGTGACTCCACTTCCTCATCTTCTGACGAAGAGCAGTTCCAAAGGCGGAGAAGTAAGAACAGGAGCAGGTCGGTGAACAGGTGAGAGCAGCAGCTGTCATACAGGACAAGTACAGGTAGAGGGAGACAACAGCAGAGGAAATACATCATCACTGTTATAACATGAAATAACATGAGGTCCAAAAATGACAATCAAAGCAGGTTGACTGTTTTATCAGTGTGCCTCTGCATTGATGTTAAAGCAGTGACTTGTTTACTGTGAACTGATATCCTGTGACAACATTCCCTGAAATATGAAACATATTCTCTGAACTATCAGATAGAGTTGGATCAGTCTTCATGTGTCTGTTTTTGGTCTGCTTAAGTATGAATTTATCCTCATCGTTAGTTTTTACCATTGTAGAAATATCTTGAATACTATAAAAAACTATAATAAATCAGAAAAATGTTCTTTTTGGAGATGACTACCACAGTGTTCATTTAACCCTCAGTCTGACAGGGAGGACCTCCTGCTGTGAGGGGTGAGAAACAACTTAAGCTGAGAGTGTATGTTAATAGAGCGACTGTTTCTGTGCGTGACTTGCAGATGTCTGCCTCTTAACTTGGTGAAAGAAGACCTGCTGGGAATCCACAAGGACAGGATGAAGATTGGTGCGAGCCTCGCTGATGTGGACCCCATGCAAATAGACAAAACGGTGAGTTACAGTGAAAGTTCAAGTGACTCAATTGGTCCGACATCTTAGGACTACAAAGAATTTAAGCCCATGAGAAAAAACAAAAAAATATATAAGCATATATGTTTATGTATATATGAATAATGTACAATATATACAATATATGCCTTATAATCAGGTGCAACACCACTTTTTGAATGTGAAGTTAGTGAAGAGGACAGCAAAATCCTGACTATCAAACAGAACTTTTGAATGGATGACTTGGCATTTCATTTCAAACTTCAGATAATATTGTCAATGTTCAAACAAAGATCTGCTTTTCATCCAGGTTCGGTTTGAAAGCATTGGAGGTTTGAGCAGACACATCTCAGCCCTGAAGGAGATGGTGGTCTTTCCTCTCCTGTACCCTGAAGTCTTTGAGAGGTTCAAGATACAGCCTCCAAGGTTAACCATGTGTCTGTGTGTGTGTTGAGAATGTTATGTTGTAGTCCAGAACTTAAATCTTTTTTTAATACATAGCAACATGTTCAATTATTTCAATTCGTCTATTTGGTGCTTATTAATGTGGCTGGTAAAATGGAACACATTTTACCCGGAAAGTCAAACAGCAAAGATTTAAGAGTTGTTCCTGCACATAAAATAATCTTTTTGTATTTTAGGTTACAGCTTTTGATAGTTTCTATGTCTTTTTATGTTTCTGTACCCTTTCTCGGTTGCTTCCTTTTGCTTTTGGTTTTATTTGGTTAAATGGCTTAATGTCTCTGTTCCCTTTTTTCTCTAGGGGTTGTCTGTTTTATGGTCCCCCAGGAACAGGGAAGACCCTCGTAGCCAGAGCGCTGGCCAATGAGTGCAGTCAGGGGGAAAGAAAGGTGTCTTTCTTTATGAGAAAAGGAGCAGACTGCCTCAGTAAGTGGGTGGGAGAGTCAGAGAGACAACTACGACTGCTTTTTGATCAGGTGAACAAACTCCTCATTAACTTACAACAATAGGGTCAGTTTTTTGTGTCTGTTAAAAGATTCATCTAAAAGAAATGAATGTCCAAAAACATTGAAAAATTAAGATGACTCGCCTTACTCTGCTATTCTGACAACTTACAATACAATAAGTATCTTGAATTTGTTGATAAAAACAACACTTTTTAAACTTCCCATAGGCGTACCAGATGCGTCCGTCTATCATATTCTTTGATGAGATTGATGGTCTGGCTCCAGTCCGATCCAGCCGTCAAGACCAGATCCACAGGTGAGTTCCACTTCTGGTACTACTATAGATGGTTTCTTTAAAATATGGGGTTTAAGATGGACTTCAAAACCCTTTTCTGGTCATTTAAAAAGTGAGCTGTGCCTCAAGCACAATATACCAGAACGATTGGAACGATACGAGTGAGGACGAGCGTGAGGAGGAGCTGAGGGGAAAACTGGTTGGGAGGGGTAGTGTTTACGTTCAAGGTTTCTCCCAAAAACTGGCACTTCCTCAGATCCTGCCTACCCCACCTTTAATGTGAAAACAGTGATATGCTGGTAAGAAAACAAACATGGTGGAGGGCCGGTTTGAATAAAAGATAAGTGGCCAGCGCACAAGTCTCAGCGACTGGTCACAGGAAGCAGGTGCGTTTGTACCTCCCGACTATCAACAAAGCTGTTTGAAGAGCTCATTTGTTGTGGGAGCAGCTGGCAGGGTGCCAATAATAGCTGGTACTGGAAAGAGCAACACATCTGCATAGACACTGCACGTTGCTGAAAGCAGTCGAAGCCCTCAGGCAAGAACAACGTCTAAACCGTTTTCTCTTTCAACTGTTTTATATAGTAGTGCAACTTTAATTCCAGATTTAATGGGTATTTAATGTCTGGTAATAGTGCCGATTTCAGCAGGGTCAAGTAAAGGGTAGAATAGTGCAAACACTTTTCCCCCCAACAACATCACTCTGAGGCAAATTACTGGAAAAAGCTGTTCAGAAGAAGCCATGACTGTTACATCACATTACAAATCAAAAAACTGAACTTTTCTATTTTCTGAAGCTCAATTGTGTCAACACTCTTGGCTCTCATGGATGGATTGGATGGAAGAGGGGAGGTTGTTGTGATTGGAGCCACAAACAGACTGGACTCTATCGACCCAGCTCTGAGAAGACCAGGACGCTTCGACAGAGAGTTCCTCTTCGGTCTACCTGACAGAGAGGTGAGGAGTTGTAGATACCCTTAACCAGAGAAAATAAGAAGGAAGCTGCTGAGAGCTTTCATTCTGCAAACTCTGGACCAGAACTTGATTACTGTGATCTCATTTTGTACGGCAGGCAAGGAGGGACATTCTGAAGATCCACACCAGACAATGGACTCCACCACCGTCAGAAACATTTCTGGAGGAGTTGGCTGATAAATGTGTTGGTATGTGTGCGATCACATGAGAACTCATGTTAAAAATGACAGCGACAAAAACTGCATGTTTTAAACAAAAACTCAACATGGATGATTGATGCGGAAAGCTCAGACACAGTTTCATAAATGAGGTGACTGTCATTAAGCTGTTTCTGTTTCTTTCTCTGCTTCTCACCAGGTTATTGTGGAGCAGACATCAAGGCAGTGTGTTCAGAGGCCGCTCTGTGCGCACTCCGACGTCGCTACCCTCAAATCTACGCTTCATCTCAGAAACTTGTGATCGACGTCAACTCCATCAACATCACAAACAAAGACTTTATGTCCGCCATGTCCAAGATGGTGCCTGCTGCCCAGAGGTATCACCACATGACTGTAGATGGAAATGTTGTTCTGTCATAACTGGAAATAGTTCACTCTCTAACACAGCGTAAACTTCTCATACAAACTTGACGCTGATTGTGATCTTCAGGGCAGTAGTATCACCAGCAAAGGCCCTGATCCCGGCCATCCGTCCTCTGTTGAACGCAGCCTTGCAGAACATCTTGCAGATGGTCAGCAGAGTGTTTCCACACGCTGAGCAGGGATTGAAGAGGAAGAGGGAACAAGGTACAACCTCTTTGAGTTTTTCATGTTTTCTTCATGCTCATACACTCCTTCATTTCATTAAATTGGTTAATCCTTTTAGAGTTAGGTATTTGGGGAGACATTAGGGTTAATGATTGTGCTGTGTGTTTGCTCTCGTGCTCTCTATTCCCAGATCTGGCGTGCGGTGTGTCTGAGGACGACTTGATGTTTAGTGAGGATGAGGACTCTGAGGTCCTCTCCGGTGGACAGATGAATCTGCTCAAAAAACCCAATCCAAAGGAACTGCTCGACCTCAGCAGGTTGGTTGGACATTGTTCAGGACGAAGTGAAATGCAAAGATTTTTTACCTACCCAAAATCTCCGCCCTAGTTCTGCCAACAGGTTGTCCATTTATTCAGTTTGTACTTTTTTTAGCCTTCCTCTTGGTTGAGTGTCCCACTGACCCAAATATGTTTCTCTCAGGATGATAAACAGACTCTGTGGGGTTTATGTAAATCAGTTGGCATTCTCGTGAGTAGAACCATCTCAGTGTCTCTGTCATCTATGTGTGTAGGAGCGTGCTGAGCCAGCCGACCTCCTACCGCCCCAGGCTGCTGGTGGAGGGCAGGCCGGGCTCAGGTCAGAGCTCTCATCTGGCCCCCGCCGTTCTTCACGCTCTGGAGAAATTCACCATGTACACACTAGACATGGCCGTGCTGTTTGGAGCCAGCGCAACTGCACCAGAGGAGACTTGTGCTCAGGTAGATCAGATACTTTTACCAGCATCAGTAAATCATCATCAGTTTGGCATCTGTGTAGCTACACATGACAGCCAAACAAACATAAAGGTCTCAAATAGACTCCAGGAAGTCTCTGCTCTCGCAGCTTTGTCAAATTCAGTGTGTTCTCCTCAGTGGACGGCACTGGCCAAAATAGCTGCCACAGAAACTGTAGCTCACAAGCCCCTCCTCCTAATTTAGTGGGCTGTGGGGACGATGATGTTCTACAGACATACAGCCATGATGATGACGGAAGTGAATTGCATAAACTATTAGATGTACATTCAGTTTTGTGTCATGTGTGCTCTGCAGATCTTTGTGGAAGCCAAGCGGACCTCTCCCAGTATCCTGTACATCCCTCACATCGGGCAGTGGTGGGAAACTGTCGGTCCGGCTTTGAAAGCCACCTTCCTCAGTCTACTCAGCTCAATCCCTGCCTTCGCTCCCATACTGCTTCTCGCTACATGCAGCCTACGATATGATCAACTCAATGCTGAGGTATTGGCAGGAATGTTACTCACTGTTTACTATGAGTAGCTGCACATTACACTATCACATCTTAATTGTGCTGAGTATGAGAGGATTCTCTCTGAAGGTGAAACTTGGCATCTACAGGTCTTCTCTTTGTTTTATCACAGGTGCAGGAGTTATTCCGGGTAGAATACGGAGAGGTTTACCATGTTCAGGTCCCCACCTGCAGAGAAAGAAGAAAGTTCTTTGAGGATTTAGTCCTCAATCAGGCAGCGAAGGCCCCCGCATCTAAAAAGAAAGCTGGTGAGACCTCACTGAGTGTGATATCACAGAACTAATCTAGCAGTGTGTGTGTAGTATAGTTCTAGCAGTGTGTGTGTGTGTGTGTGTGTGTGTAGTAGTAGCGACTGGTACAGCTTGTGAAAAGTGAGAGGAAGCACGCCGTTTTGAAAGGTTCATTCTCTGTGTGATGTAGCAGTCTGCTGTAATATTTATTCATTTACTTAAAAATCAACTTTCTTGTCTCTAAAAAGATTTGGTATTTTGACATAAGAAGAGGTCCTACACTGTTTCATCGACATTTCAAAGATTCATCATGAAACCCTCTGGACGAAGACTAAAAATGCTGAAGAATGTATTTCTGCGTTGTTTAAAATTTTTTTTTTAAATTGTTTTTGTCTTTTCATTCAGTGCTCAGAACCTTGGAGGTGCTTCCCGTTGCACCACCACCTCCTCGACGGAAGCTAACCAAAGAGGAGATCCAACGATTGGAGGAACAGGAGGAGGACACCCTCAGGGAGCTCCGCCTCTTCCTACGTGACGTCACCAATCGCCTGTCCCAAGATAAACGCTTTAAAGCTTTTACAAGGCCCGTGGATTTAGAGGAGGTAGCTGTATTTTATTGTCCCACCTCCTGTTTACTATCAAAGCCTTTTTTGAGTTTTACTGCTGGCTTAGTTTTAACCCTTCCCCTCACAGTAATACTCACGCCTCTTTGTCATCTGTTTCAGGTACCAGATTACGCAGAGGTGATCAGGAAGCCGATGGACTTGTCGACAGTACTCTCCAATGTTGACCTTCATAAGTACGGGACGGTCAAAGAGTTCCTCCAAGACATCGATCTTATCTGGCAGAATGCCCTGGAGTACAATCCGGACAGGGACCCCTCAGGTTTGCACAATAAAAAAAAAAAACGCTCACAGAACACTGACATAACACTGATCAGGGATGTTATTCCAACTTGAATGTGGCAGAGGTCCAGAACCTGGTCTATATGTCCTTATTTAGTAAATCAGCACAGTGCTGTATAATAAGGATGTAGTCACTCTCTGCTCTGAGTGAGCAAAGTTGTTGTTGTTGGATTGGCTTTCTGTAGGGTTGAAATATTTATTCAAGTTTTATTTTAAGAAGTAGTTTGAAGAAAAGTTCTTGCTTTTGTTTAATGCCAATCACACCCCTAATGAAAACAGAGTCCGGACAAACTGAACTTCACAAAACCGTTTTGCTCGTTTGTTTGTAAAATTCTGTCTGTGTGCTCTTCCTCCAGACCGCCAGATCCGACACAGAGCATGTGCACTGAAAGACACAGTCCATGCGATCATCAGAGATGAGCTGGATGAAGATTTTGAGAAGATCTGTGAAGAGATTAAAGTGTCACGAAGCACGAGAGGTGAATGCTGTGTGTATGCGTGTAGTTTCAAGACCAGGAAGAAAGCTTTCCTAGCCTCAGGGGTCACACTGACATCCTGTTTGAACCCTGTTTGGAAATATTAACCAGCTTGGATCATATTTCAAGTCTTGATGTTTAGTGTTTAATTCATGCTCAGTCTGTTTTTTGTTGCCTGTTTATCTGATTTGTTGTTCAAATTGAGTGGATTCTCCCAGTCGTTCTATTAACATCCAGTTCATTTCTCACTGATTTCTATTGTTATGCAAACCACTTTAGATTTAAACATTGACTGCATGGCTGCCTTTTCTTTACCCAGGTCAAAAGTGTCAGTATGATCAGACCAAAAAAGTGTGCCGTGGTATGTAATGAAAGCTTTCTGACTTCTCTTCTCGGCTACTACAGACTGCTCTTCTGTCAGGTTCGCCCCATCCTTCTACCACGTCCTTCCCAAACAGTCCAAACCTCCTGCTGAGACCAAGATCACTGAAATGACTCCACAAAGAGAGCCAGATGGCCCAACAGCTGCTGTTACTCCAACTTTAAGTGCCTCACCTGGTGCAGGGCTCAAAAACACAGGTAGAGACGACTGAAATGTACTGAAATGTAACAATCAAAATGAACTGAATATCACTTCACCAATCCCCTTTTGTTCAATTAGCTCAAAAGAAGAAAAGGCGGAGAAGTCGCTGGTCTGCTGGCCTCTACGCGAAAAAGAAGTCTTCCTCCTCTCCTCACACATCCAGAGATGACACACACTTAGGGTCTGATGATGATGAGGAAGATGGGGACGATGAGGAGGAAGTTGAGAAGGGAGAAAAGGCAGAGTGTACTGAGGGGGCTGAGGCAGAGGAGGATCACACGGCTGCAGATGTTGAGTCACAGCCTGCAGCAGCTCAGGAGGGAAGCTCTTCAAAGGAGGACAGTCAGGAGGAGACTGAGGAGAGAAGTCAAGATGAAGACAAGATCACCGAGTGTGAAACAGAGGAACCCACAAAGACAGAAGAAGAAAAAGAAACTGAAGATGATGCTTCTTTGGATCATCTAGGACAGCCGGAGGAAAACAGCAAAGTGTTAAAAGAGGTAGAAAGTGAGAGCGTGGAAACCACTACAGTGAACACTAACAAGGAGGACGATACAGAGAAGGAAAAGGATACCCAGATACAGTCTAACAAAGAGGAGAGGGAGGAAGTTAACATCCAAAAGCTTACAGAAACTGAGACAGACACATGTCAAACTGTGACAGAGGGAGATGATGGGAACAACAACAACATAGCAACTGCAGAGGAGGCAGAGCAGCACACCGCTGCTGAACCAATGGAAGTGGAAGCATCACAAACATCAGCTGACAGTGAGACCTCTGCAGCTGTCAGAGTGGAAGAGGACTCAGGAGCAGGTTTGATATTTGAATTGTTGCTCTGAAACGAGAAATATTTTTCCTTAATTTACTGAATCCTCAAGAAATTTGGGTCAGCGTTTCCTCATCTAATGAGTGAACATGTGTCACCGTGAACAAGTCAGCAAGTTATCACCTGACACATTGGTCTTAACACTTTTATTTTGTGTGTCAGAGAGGAGTGTGAGGCGCATGACTCGTGCTCTGAAGAACACAGTGCTGCTGCAACAGATGATTAATGTGGACAAGGCTCTGCAGATCCTGGACCAGGAAACTCCTCCTCTGGTGGTGGATAGAGACAAATTAAAGGTGTGTAGTGTGAGTGTTAAGGTCAAGTGATCTGGACATGTTAGTAGAATGTCTTCCAAACTCCAGTGAAATCAAGCGTTTATTTGAACTAACTGTTCCTGATTTAAACTGCAGCCATCAATGATTGCCTCGTGTAAGGTGCTATGGTTGCTCCTACTTTCAGTCCTGTTTGTTGTCCTTCTATTTAAAGGACCGGCATTTAATCTCCTGTAGGTAAGAGTGTTGAGTTTGACAAAACTGAAATGTGATTTCGCTCTTCTTATTTTTGCTTTCTGTCTTCATTTCTTCAGGAGCTTTTGGAAAGATTGGTGTCCAAGACCGAAGGCTACGAGGTATTCAAGCTAGAGAAACTCTACGCTTTACTCTGCCAGAGCATCTATAGACACAGACGAGACTACAACAAAACTGCACTTATACAGGTGGGTGTTGGTCTGCTGAGAAGATAGTCTTTTTTTAACCTCAGGTATTCTGGCCTGTAATGGCAGGAAAACCACTGGTGTGATTAAATATCTGAACTTGTAGAAGGTGTCTTGTCTTCAATGTTTCTAATCAGTTGTCTTTTTGTTTTCTCCTTTGGATTAGGAGTTGGAACAGGAGATTGAAGAGTTCTGTTGAGTCTTCAACAGGAACCACAACCATTTTATAACAATTATGGTCATACATTTTTAGGTTTGTAAATACACAAACACTGACTCTATTTTCATAGGTGTCGGCAGAGCTCTATTTGTGCATTAGATAAATCTTCCTATCCCACCTTTTGTTTATATTTAATTAAATGGTTTAGGTTTAAAACATCAGTGTGTGTCTTTTGTGTGCTTTATAATGACAGAACAAATTTGCTACAACTGTGAAAGTAGAAATGTTCACAGTGAAATGAACTTTTTTACAGCTTTGAAACCCCTGTCATGACCCTCACTGGAGGACTGCAGTTCTTATTGTTACTATGGCTGTAATTTCTACCCAAAGGTTATTCTTGAATAGATTTTCACACTTCATACTGTGCTTCACTTTGAATAACTTACCTCAGAGTTTTGAAGCCTGGACCAGCTGGTGATAAAAACTAAAATTCAGAATGTGTCGCAAAGGACTGCAGGTAGCTTTTTAAAAAAAATTTTATTCCGGCATAAAATTAAATTATGGTCAAACACACCGTATCACAGAGTTAGACACCCCCTCGAGAGATGAATGTTGCAGACTGCTTGCCTCTCTAGTTATACCAACTTTAGTAACGACTGCACAATAGCAATACACAGCGGTCTGAGGAGCCATAAACAAACCTCAACCAAAACGCCACTCTATAGCCACAAATGATGCTTAGAACAGCACCTAACTTCATCAACAGTACATATAGAGTCCTAGCCACAGCACTAGCCATCAAACAAATTTTAAATTTTGCCTAATTTCTTTAACCATAGGAAGAAACACAACTCACCTACTCTCTGTAGCGAGACCTCAGGCCAGTCCATTACATACGTCTCCCCGCTGTAGTCCGTCATGGACTGGCCTGAGGTCTCGCCACAAACAAGCAGCTGCTGGAAGAGGGTAAGTGAGTTGTGTTCAGTCTCTTTGCTAAAGAAATCAGGCGAAGCTAAAAAGATGTTTGGTGGCTAGAACTATGGCTGGGACCCAGTAAGAATAAGAATAGGAAGAACTTTATCAATCCCCGAAAGGAAATTCAATAGTCTGTTGTCTCATAAAATATGTCTCTAACAGTTATCTACTATTTACAAAAGAGTATAATATATAGTAAAAGTAAACATAAGTAGTTGCATAAAAGAAAAAAAAATGTGCTCGTGATAAGGTGCATACCCACTGAGCAATAGACGGCTATTAGACGTCTAGTTTTTTTTAGACCTAATTTCAACCGTCTAGATTCTGTATATGTTTAGACAGAATTTAGATGTTGCACCCATTATTCGATATCTATTTCAAAAAGCATCTGTTAGTTGCATAACTGATCTCCAAGTACTTAACCAAAATAATTATGATAGCCGTTGAGCAATATACAGTTAGACCTCTGTTCGCCGGCTAGTCTAAACTTTGTCTAAATTTAGACGACTAAAAAACTTTAATTTTTAGACCTGTGGTAGCCTGATTTTAGACCAGTCGTCTAGGCTACATTTAGACGTCTGTTAGACCTCTTTTAGACCAAAAAATGCTTGGTGGGTACATACTTTATAATGACCCCTCAGGTGTGGACCACCCCCATGAAAATGTCTGGACACACCTCTGCTGGTCTGTTGGCTATGGGTGGAATGGGCTCCTTATGGTAAAATAGAGTAAATAAAATACAGGGTTATATCTCTGCTTCTGGCCTCTATGGTTCACATCATTTCCTCGTCTTTGTGAATCTTTCTATCAAAGTAATTACCATGTATGACACAAACAGTTTCTGTTGTCAGATAATGACCTACAAACAGAGCCAGCAACAGCTGTCGCACAGTATTAACACATAACGAGTAATAAGTACGGAAATTTGTCATCAAAAGATCTGATGGGTTGATGTGGAAGAAGCTTTAAGCCGAGCCTCGACAGCAACACAACAAAAACAAAGGGCGCTGCAAAGAAACTCTGCAGAGTCAGATGTGTCCTCAAGTAGCTTCTCCCGCTGCCCTGAGAGGTCATGTAAGGACAGGTTGGCAGGAAGCCGGGTCGGGAGGCATGTTGGTTTACAGCTCAGATTACCGTAATATTCCAATTTAGATTTGTCCCCGCAATGAACACGGCATAGATACGTCCACGAAGAGTGTAAATGTTTTGCCAAATTGTGTGTTTTTTGCATTTAATTGAAATTTTGGAACACCAACAGTCGCTGAGGAATGACGTCATGACGTATCACATTGAATGATGACGCCGTTTGATCATCCAAAAAAATCTGCCGTTAAAAAATATCAGAGAATTAGGTCAGCAACTTAACAGCACCAACGGACACGATATGACTGTGACCGCGGTGTTTCTGCTCTCAAAACTTGACCAAAAACTCGACCTGGGGCTGGAATAACCTGCTCGAACCCGAAGAGAGATGTCCGGCGAATCCAGCATCTGCAGACTGGGGCTGTAGCCGTCAGACCGGTCTGTCTGTCTGTCTGTCCGCCCGCCCGCCTGTTTGTCTGTCTGCGTCCCTCCGCCGGCTTTGAGAGACCCGTGAGCCTGAACAAACGTCCGCTCCGCTGTAGTCCCTTCCAGGCTGGGCTGGGATGGTGAGCCGGGGGACGGGGAGAAAACAACCCGAGCCCATAAAACCGAGCCTGAAGGCAGCTCAACAGGAAATCTCTTCTCCCCTCGTCTCGACTGCCTGGTAGCAACATAGTGCACGTTTCATTAGTTCAGTAAGTTTACCGCCAGACATGATCAATAATAATGACTGCCCCGGCTAACACCAGCTAGTTGGGCCACCTCATAAACATGCTAAATGCCTTTTGTTCTTTTATTATCTCTTATTCCTGTAGTCTTAAGTGAAATAATATTGAATAAGCTAGCTCACACCCCCAATTTATTCCTAGGATGCTAACTGGTAATGCAAATGAGCCCATGATGGCAGTCTAGCAGCACAGCATGCTCCACAAAGTAACGTTATTGCTACACATATACTGACGCATATTAAACCTGTCAGGAGTACAACATGGAAATTAACTTGCATGGATAAAATTGCACATTTACTTGTTGGGTTTACACACTATGAACACTTGGGCAATGTAATGCAGTCCTATACAATAACTCCACCATGAGAAGAAGCTCTTCAATTTTCTGTCTTTCTGTCTCTGTACTTTACATTCATGGTTGAAAACATGGTGGTGGTGTACTGGTGTGTTATATTGTAAGGGTTTTCTTTACATTTTGTTTACTTGATAAACAAACAAACAGTAGGGAGGGAGGGGGTTATACACTCCAGTATACCACCAACACCCTCTACAACTTAAGCAATTGAAAGAATAATTATCACCCGGCTGACTATATCAATAAAATCTGAAAATGCATATAAGCAGAATCTATAGTGATGCTGTTGTATTACAAAACCCAATTCCATTGAATTTAGGAAATTGTGATAAACATAAATAAAAACAGAATACAATAATTTGAAAATCCTTTTCAAGCTATATTCAATTGAATACACTACAAAGACAAGATATTTAATGTTCAAAAAGAACCATCCAGACTGTTATCGACGCAAAGTTCAAAAGCCAGCATCTGTGATGGTTTGGGGGTGCATTAGTGCCCAAAGCATGGGTAACTTACACATCTGTGAAGGCAACATTAATGCTGAAAGTTTCGTACAGGTTTTGGAGCAATATATGCTGCCATCCAAGCAATGGACGCCCCTGCTTATTTCAGCAAGACAATGCCAAGCCACATTCTGCACGTGTTACAACAATGTGGCTTCATAGTAAAAGACTGCGGATACTCGACTGGCCTGCCTGCAGTCCAGACCTGTCTCCCATTGAAAATGTGTGGTGCATTATGAAGCGTAAAATACGACAACGGAGACCCCGGACTGTTGAACAACTGAATTAGTCTCCTCAGTTCCCAAACGTTTATTGAGTGTTGTTAAAAGGAAAGGTGATGTAACACAGTGGTAAACATGCCCCTGTCCCAACTACTTTGGCATGTGTTGCAGCCATGAAATTCTGAGTTAATGATTATTTGCAACAACAAAAAAAAAGTTTGAGTTTGAACATTTAATATCTTGTCTTTGTAGTGTATTCAATTGAGTATAGGTTGAAAAGGATTTGCAAATCAATGTATTCTGTTTTTATTTACGTTTATCACAATTTCCCAACTTCAATGGAATTGGGTTTTGTAGATTAAATGATGAGAAACAAGGACGAGCTGAAAAATGGAAACCATGAAGGTGTTGTGAGAGACCTGCCTAATGCATAATATTACAATCAAGGGCAAAGCGTTAAGGTTCACAAAACAACTAAAGACAAAATATAGGGGTTGAAAAAAAGAGATAAGTACCAAAATTTATACTGATAATGAAAGACGTCTCATAAAGTGAGGAAATATGTAGATACACTGAGGATAAGACTCATTATTAGTGAATTGACCCAGCAGAAACTGTATGTGTTGTTAAAGCAGTGAGACTTTCTGGATCTGATTGATATCTCAATAAAAGAGCATCATGAAAAAGGCTGGGTGAAGTTTGTTTTCTGACCTTGTTTGAATAGACTTGAGAGTTACACTGATGTTTTGAGAGATAACTGGGATTTCATTTTGATTAAATTTGATTTTTACTTTCCTAATATTAGCAAAAGTACTCAACAGAATTTACCAACCGTAGCCTAACCTGTGTCACAGTGGGATCCAAGTATTTGCAGTCGTGCCTTGAAAAAAAAAGACATAAAATCTTTATAACAGCCTCGCCATAAATGAGGCAGTAACCATCAAGTCAAACAATGCCCTGCCCTGTGGATCAGCATAGACACACAAAGACACAAATAAGAAAGTAATTAGTCTTGAGAGATCAAATATTTACCGTAAACAGGAAAAAGTATCCCAAATGCAGATAAGACCGTCTCAATCATTTTCTTGTTTATTGAGTGAATTATTCTGGTTTTACTTTTGAAAGACTGATAAGATTTCATGTTTATTACCTGTCAGTGAGGAAAGTTATGTCAATACAGCGAGGCAATTAAGCGTTGTAGTTTGTGTCTGTCATGTGAGCAGTTTTAAAGACAGACTGCAACTGATTACAGCAGAACTTACTGCGTACATGATTGAATTATACTGTAAGATATTTGATCGTATCTGGGCTCTGAGCAGCAGTCGAAAAACAATGACTATATTCCAGTTTAGGATGGGTGAACTTTGTAACATTTGTATGGAGGCTCAAACATCCAAAAAAGTAATGCTTTGTAGACTCTGCACATAAGCTATGATCTTCTTCACATGCAATTTTACTTACAAATGATAATATCAAAAACATATGTCAACACAAACCAGGCTTGCACAGATTTTTGTGGTTGCAGTTTAACAGAATAATGATGTGTTGAGTGGAGACAAGTCTTGACAGTGTTCGCTGGGTTTATGCTCCATAAATTGACAATATGCATGAGTTATTGTTTCACTGATAAAACAGCTGAGTAATTGATCAATAATCAGTATCAGTAATTGATCAAAGCTTTTCTTTGTGTTAGTAAGCTATAAAGCCTAAAGGTAATCAGTTTCTGCAGAAAAAAATGTGGGCAAAAACCTAAAACACTTCACAGATTGAAAGCTGCTTTGTTATATTTTTAATGCAGAAAAAAACAGCAAAGGTCAATCTTTGAGGAAGTATCTCACACTGAAATGTGTTGACAAATTTTATATACAACTTGCTTGACATTTCTTGTGTTTCCTCCATCAGAACATACAGTTAGGACTCTGGCCCGCGAACAAAAATCATCCACGACATGTGAGCCCTGACACCACTGTCCCAGATTGTCTTTACCAGAAGTAGAAGTGAACAGAGTTGAGGTTGGCAATGTCAAGCCGCAGGAAATCTACCACACCTTGCATGGTGCTGCCCTCTGATGTGGTGGAACAGGAAGAGGTCGAGGAGAAAGCAGAGAAGACAAAAGAGGAAGGGGCAGAGGAGGAGGAGAGGAAGGTGAAGGATGGAGCTGAAGAGGTGCCATCTGCAGAGGAGCTGGATCAGGCCGTGTTGGTTGTGCCCACACCTCCAGACACAGGTGAGATCTTTCTTGGCAGATTGCCTTAAGTATAAATATACATATGTGGAAATTTATGGAAGAAAATCTTTTGTAAATCTGAACTCATGTCAAAGTATTTCAGCTGCATTTTTATGTCACAGACGAGCCCAGTGCTTCAACTGCAGAAGACAGTGAAGCCCTCGGCCCCTCAGTGAAGCGCGGTGCTGCAAACCCTCCTGATGACCCGAGCAGTGACCAGCAGGCCCAGGAACCACAGAGCGATACGCAAGAGGAGGCAGCTGCTGACTCTGCCTCAGTTACTGCTATCTCTCTCAGCAAGACCCCCATCATGAGGATGAAGACCAAATCTGAACCCAAGAGGATCGCTGTGTCCCTGAAGTCGGCAGACGAGGGGGTTGAGGGCTTTGGAGCAGGCGGAGAAGGAGAGGTGGGAGGAGAACAGGAGCCCATCGAAGCTCCTCTAGGGCCAATGACACCTGTGGAGATGCTGCTGCACGACTCTATGAAACTTGGGGGAGGTGGCCTGCTGGTCAGCCCTTCAGAGCAGCAGAGGAAATCTTCCACTTTAAACCCCACGGTGCTACCTGCAGGCCTGGCACAGGTAGACAGTCCTGGAGTAATTATAGTCCATCTTACCATATCTTTTAAAAAATTAATGTGCTAAGACTCGACTTGAAAAACAGAGTTCAACCTTTGCCACTTTGAAAGCTGTATCAGTCTTGACCTTTCTTATCTCTCCTCACTCTGTCTCTCAGGTTCTCTCTGCTTTCCAGGCCCAGCAGAGTGCAGCAGCAGCTCAGCCTCAGCTACTCATTCCCCTTAGCAGCATCCCCTCCTACAGCGCGGCTATGGACACCAACCCCCTGCTTGGTAGCACATACAAAAAGTTTCCTTACCCCTCCATGGCTGAGATTAGCAGTCTGGCAGCACAAACGCAGTTCACAGAGGAGCAGATCAAGGTAAGGGAGAGTTAGTGGGCTGTCTGAAGGAGATTTTCTTCCCTGAACGAATGATGTGTCTTGATTTCTGCCTGTTTAAGACATCTTTGAAAGCAATACTTCTTGTTTTTGTAAACTTTTAGCAGTCTTGATCTAAGGCTGCAGTGTGCATTTGGTAAAAGCCTTTTTTAATTGTACTCTATCTACACCCAGGTGTGGTTCTCTGCACAGAGACTGAAGCATGGTGTAAGCTGGACTCCAGAAGAGGTTGAAGAGGCCAGAAGGAAACAGTTTAATGGCACAGTGCACACAGTGCCTCAAACCATCACTGTCATACCTGCTCACCAACTGTCAGCAGCTGCCAACGGCCTGCAGTCCATCCTTCAGACCTGCCAGATAGTGGGCCAACCCGGCCTGGTGTTCACACAGGTAGGTAAGGAAGGGAAGGGAACGTGCCATTTTTAGCAAGACTGGGCAGACTTCAGTCAGAAACAAGTCAACCTGGGATATATACATGTGGAAGTTTGATATCAAACCTCCTGGACTGTCTGCTTTGCTTCAGGGGGTCTCCTTTGAGAGTTATCTTGATATCACAATCATGTCAGTTACTTTAGATTATTGTGAAAGATTATATATTTTGGGATTTGCCTTTATTGGGAGGACAACTTGAGAGAGTCAGAGCAGAATAAAATGTGCTAAATCATGCAGGGTCCAAGACAAATCTGATCCCATGACCGGTGCAAAGAGAACTGTTGCCCCTGGACATGGGGTGCCTGTTCCAAAACTGGTGCCCCAGTCGCTTTCAGATCAAGTTAAACGGCAGAAAACTGAACATGGCTTCAAACCATTCAACTGACTTTGAACATAGACACAGCTTTGACCTCATCCACTTGCTCAGTTCCTGCCTCTGTGCTTCAGATATGATGAATCAGTTCAAAGTATCATTTAAAAATTAAAGTTTTATCAAAGCAGAAATGTTCCCTGAGCTGTGTAATTAAACAGTCTGTTTTCTGATTTTTTGAATAAGGTAAAAAAATGTGACACTTTCAGAGCTACATTATTCTGTTCATCTTTTTGATTCATTAAGAATGACTTTATTTATCCCCGAAGGGAAATTCATGGTCATTATTTTAATTGAGGCCAAACATGCAAGGTTCCCCCTTGAAATCCCTCCTGAAATATGTGTAATTGGTCTGTGTTTGGATCTTTTTTTTTTTGGTTTTGTTAAGAGAAGGAAAAGGAAACAGTCTTATCAAAATAAGTTTAAATCCAGTGGATGAATACAACACAGCAAGGCTGACTTTAAAACCGTTTTAATCGTCCGTCCACATGATTAAGTTTTATGATAAACAAAAACAAACACACCCCAGCCTGTATCAACCTCACACGCCCTCTGTTGTCACATGATGTGGATCTCTGTGTAGGTCGGCCCTGGGGGGAACCTTCCAGTAACCAGTCCCATCACTCTAGCCGTGGCAGGACTGCCCAGTCAATCCCAGAGCTCCAGCAGGGGTTCCTGCCAGCCCACCCTGACAAACAATGAGCTAAAGCGGGCCACAACAGTCCAGCCCCCTTCTCTTTCTCCACAGGTGAGTATAGCAGAGGTTCACGGTGCTGTTTTTTTTTTCTTCTACAAGTTTGCTCATGCGATTAAACAGCTGTTTTTCTTTCTTTCTATTTTCAAGGAGAACTCAGCCCTCAGTGCTGACACATTCAGTTTGCGGCCGAAGAAGTCCAAAGAGCAGCTGGCAGAGCTGAAAGCCAGCTACCTGAAGAACCACTTTGTCACTGATGCAGAAATCGCCAGGCTGATGAAAGTCACAAATCTGACGAAGGGAGAGATTAAAAAATGGTTCAGCGACACAAGATACAACCAGCGAAACTCAAAGAACAGCCATGTTATCGTTTTCCACGATGGAGGAGGAGGAAGGGGTAGCTGTAGCAGCAGTGCCACCACCACGATTGTCATTGACTCCAGTGATGAGACACCCACATCTCCACATCCTCCTCGCACTCCTCCTGTAAAAGAGAAGGAAACGCGTCCCAAAACGTGGAACCCTTTTCCAGATTTTACCCTGCAGAAGTTTAAAGAGAAGACTCCGGAGCAGCTGGTGGTGCTGGAGGAGAGTTTTGAGAAGGGCAGCACTCCGTCTGACGAGGAACTGAGCCGCCTGAGGACGGAGACGAAACTGACACGGAGGGAGATCGACGCCTGGTTCACTGAGAGACGAAAAATGCCATCCATCAGTACATCCTCACCAGATTCTTCGGAGGGGGGTAAGATGGAAACGGATGGAGGGAAAGCAGGAGAAGAAGCCAGCTCCTCTTCTCCTTCTGCCTCCTCGTCTCGCAAAGGGAGCCAAACTCCTCCCGGCGGTCGAGGTAAGCAGCTGCCCTCTACCAGCGGCAGCAAAGACATAAAAGATAAGACTAAAAAGACTCCAGAGCAGCTCCACATTCTGAAAAGTGCCTTTGTGCGGAACCAGTGGCCCACAACTGAGGAGTACGACCAGCTGTCAGAGGAGAGCGGCCTCCCCAGGTCCTACATCGTCAGCTGGTTCGGGGACTCCCGGTACTCTTGGAAGAACAGCAACCTGAAATGGTTCTTCCAGTACCAAAGCGGAAATGTGGAAGGGCCAAATAGCGGAGGAGGCAATAAAATGGGTGGCAACAGTGGGCGGAAAAGACGTGGCCGGAATCGTGGTTGGGGACGTTCCCGGACCAGAAAACAGCCAAGGAGGTCCGCTTCCTATAGCGCGGATGTTGACAGATCTCCCCCTGCCAAGAAGCTCAAGAGTGGTAGGGAGATCCTGAAGGAGTACTATCTGAAGTATCGTTTCCTCAATGAGCAAGACCTGGATGAGCTCGTAACCAAGACCAACATGAGCTATGAACAGGTAACGGTGTTAGTTTTTTTATATTGTAGTAATGGGGATCAAGAAAGATAAAGCGTCCTAGTCCTGTCAGCTGCTGTTGAGGTTTTCTAAAACGAAGGGTTTACTGTAGATCGAGACTAGGGCTGGGAAGTCCTAGTTGACTGGTGGACTTATTAGTCCATACGTGCTGAGTCTGATTGGTCCACTTGATTTTTCCCACATCAATTTACAGTGTGGCTCATTTCATCAGGAGGAATGTACCAAGTGCTGTCAGAGCTGGAACACCCCCCCTAGTCGATTTTTGGTCGAAAATTTCAGGGTTTTAGTCGACCAAGAATTTTTTTGCTGATTACATCCCTAGTCGAGACTTCAAAGAGTCTGAATATGCAAAAAGACATTTCAAAATGTCTGTGGCTGAAGAATCACAATGACAGATGAAGTGCTCACCCACTTGTTTAAGTGTGTAACTGTGCCTCAAGCATGGTTTTATGAAGATGCTCATCTTGGTTGAGTTTTGGATCTGAAGTAAGTGAAGATCTTCAAAGATTAAACATTCAAGACAAAAAAACTTTTTTTTTTTTTACATGATTTGCACAAATTTGTTGTGTTTAGTCTCTTTGCTAAAGAAACCAGGTATAGCTAAAATGTTGTTTGGTAGCTAGTACTATGGCTAGGACCCTATATATACTGTTGATGAAGTTAGGTGCTGTTTTGAGCATTATTTGCGGCTATAGAGTGGTGTTTTGGTTGAGGTTTGTGCGTTGAGACGTAGACTGTTGTGTATTGCTATCGTGCGGTTGTTGGTATAAAGTTGGTATAACTAGAAAAGCAAGCAGTCGGTAACATTCACCTGTCGAGGTGTCTAACTCAGTGTTATGGTGTGTTTGACCTAACTTAAATTTACACCGGAATATCCCTTTAACTTCAAATGTTTTTGGTAGACATCACAAACGTCATTTCTCTGCCTGTCACAAGGTGAGGGACTGGTTCGCCGAGGTCCAGCGTCGCTTGGAGGCGGGGTCAGATCCTTTCGAGGAGTCAACTGCAGGCAAACCAGGAGATGAGGCCGAGACGCGGGGAGAGGCGTCCACGGCCACCGAGGAGCAGAGCGGCACTGCGTTGGGAGAAGATGATGAAGAAGAAGAAGAAGGGGACGAAGAGGAGGACGGTGATACAGATGACAGTGAGGTTTGGGAGCCGTCGCGTAGCGTGAGGAAGTCCTTGTCAGTTTCTGAGGATTAATGATAGTGAACAGACAGTAGAACATTACAGAATGTTAACAGAGAAAGACCGATACGATTAATGCTGGAAGACCGTTAGCTAAGCCAAGTCTTTTTGCCACTGATTTGCATGTTTACCAATCAGCAACATTAGTTCACTGATGGGTTTTTCTTCAAACTGTTACTGATTTACATCTATATGAGACTAACCGATTGACTATTAGCTTTAGCCCACTTACTGTAATGTGTGACAGTTTGGACAAGAATCATGGTGAGAGAGTTTTTTTTATCAAGTCCTGCAAATGTTTCGTGGAAAACCATGAAGTGCAATCTTCAAGCTGAACTGCACACTTCTTGAAAAGACGTGTCTGAAAATCTTTCTATAGAAGCAAGTGATGAATTCTGACTGTTGCAGAAGACAGATTTTCAGAGGAGAAATAATGTGATCATGCCCTTGTTAAAGTTGCACTCCTGGCTTAAGTTAAGCCACCGCAGGAGATGTATTAACACGTTTATGCTGCATTTGCTTGAGAAATAGTGTTTGTTTTACTGCTGTGAGCACAGGCCTAATTTCAAACCTTGATCTCCAGTGTTATGAATGTTCCACCCCTTCTTTCCCCCCCCGAAGAAGACTCTCCTGTTGTGTTTACAAAGATGCTCCTCAAGGTTTCACACCGCAGTGAGCAATGTCACCAATGAAACGAGCACACATCTATTTGTCAAGCGTTTTTTCCCCCCAAGCACCTGAAGAAATAATCACGAGAAGGGGCCGACACAAACCAGGTTGTTTAATCTGATGTATGATTCGTATAATGACACTGAAAGTCATGATGTTATCTATCTATCTATAATGATGTGAGACATAGTACCTTAATACTGACTGAATGCCAATGCCGTGATGCTTTTAAAGAACACAGGATGTCCACTCAAGTCTTCCCTTTATTGTAGTGGCTTGTTGTTTCATTAGTAATATAAGTATTGTAGATTTTTAACTTATAGATCTGATGGAGAATTGCCACGCTATGTGTTTTAATATGCACTGCTTTTAATGTTTGAACTGATTTCTCACCTTTTGATAAAACTCATGATGCGCTACTATGATCTTTTTCAATGATACAAGGCTCTTGTCCCAAAGTTGAATGTGTTGCCTCCAACAAGGCAACGTTCCTGAATTCATAATCGCTACTACGAGGCAGACACTTTGTCCACTAAAACAAGAACAGAAACAAGAACGGTTAAATGGACGGACTGGTTTCTAAGATAGAAACGCAGACTTGGACATTTTTTTCCCAAAGTAGCCGCCGCCGCTGTGGTGGAAAAATTCGAGGAAGTCAGTCCGTAAGTCATCACCCCCAATACTTGCAGTCGGCGCCAAATCCTCAACAGCTTGCCTTTAGGTTCAGACTCACCTGCTTAAGACAAAAACAATGCCTATGAATCTTTTCGGGTCTTGACCTGCTTTTAAAGAAAGACTGTTCCACAGTATTTCTAAAGAAGAATCATCAAAGCAAACTTTTAACAAGATGCACTTTGTCCTCGTGTTGTCACAGTGGACTAAATCCTGATTAGGCACCTTAATCTCTTATTGCACCATGAAATGGCTCTGAGAGACCAAATCTGTTTTGTATGAACACAGCTGAACCAGAATTTTGCCTTTTTTATCCTCCGAGGAGGAATCAATTTATCCACTTTTCTAATATGTGTTGTTTCACAGTGGGATGTTTGTGAGGCTCATAGAAAAAGTAGAACAATCACGCACTGCTTTCGTTTGCAAAATTGCACAATTTGAGCCCCATTTGATTATATTTTTCACCTTTGAAATGTATGTGTTGTGTTTGTTGTGTTTTTTAATTGCTTTAGATGATGGGAATTACCCCCTCCCCCGCACCCACTCTTCTCCTACATGACTCTTAACCCTTTTCCTGATGTCCATGTTTGTGAAATGAATGCCTACATACTCGACGTGCACTTCCTGAGACATGTTTCTGTAAAAGTCTAAAGTAACCTGTTGGCTCTGAGACATACAGAGACATCTTTAAAACACTGAAACTCTTCAGAAAACTCAAACAGACATTCTTGGAGGAAACCCTCGTTGAAGGAGTTGTTTTGATGCCTGATGAAACAGAAACTCTCTCCCTCTGTGTGGGAAATCTACCAAATAACGCTCCTCTTTCCAACGGTTTCCTTCCTACTTCACTGCAGCAAGAACTGAACGGACAATAAACTGGAAACTCTCAATGACAGTTCTGCACAAACCGGGGAGAGACTCTGTTGAAGCTTTGCAGATAAACCTTTGTGCCTACACGGCTCGTATTCTTGTTTGAACAGATTCTCACAGAAGATGATGAGAGTTTGTGTTTGGGAATCACACACACTGTTGGGTGCTTTTTATGAGAGGCTTGTTCAAACAAAGTTTTGATGCATGACCGAGCTCTGCTTTCTGCTGATGCTATAAAGATGCCTAGATACTCTGAAGTTGTCAACTTCTGTTGTAAGTCCTTAAACTGAAAGCTTGGTGTTACCAGTTGTATTGTGTTTTTTCACCAAGCACTTGTCACACAAAACATCAGCACCTTCGGCTGTCCAAGAAGCATTTCACTGAGTCTCTTTGGAGCAAATGATGTCTGCTAGCTGTTAGCTGACTGAGCCAGCTAGCAAATTAAGGAGAGCTGAATCCTTGATACATCTTGTCCTGATGTGGCAAGCGCTTTGGCTAGAAAAACAACAAATTCAAAATGTAAAGATATACTTTTGTCCAATACTGCATGCAATAACCAAGATGAACAACAGCTCATTTTGTACATATGATATTGTGGGTTGGTATACTTGGCAGAGAAGAAGCCTAATCTGGGATGAATTCTTTGTGTAGCTTTAAAAATACCAGTTACTTTTGACTGCAGTAAGGACCTGTTTTCCTTTTTTATATGTGGTTTTCCAGGAAATATTTATACAAGCCTTGTCACTGATAGCTTTTACAGGCTAGACCAGCTTTCCTTTCTTTAGAATTTTGTAGCTCCGAGAGTTTTGCTAGTTTAGAGCAGCCATTTGTGCCCTTTGTAACCATTGAAACTTTGTGAGTAAATTCTACTCTAAACTCACTATCCATGGTTAGTTTTTCTTTCTTTCAATCTCCTGGGTTAGGCTTAAACCTCCCCCCCAAGTATCCAGCCCATAGTCTTTTACAGTGTGCTCTTTCTTTCCTATAGTCAGTCTGTTTTTCAATGGTTTTTATATGTTTCTATCTTTGAAACCGTGCCATTACAACTCTTTCCAGACATCAATGGATCGTTTGTTATGGAGACAGATTCATAAAATATGTACAAAAAACGTAGTGTTTTTGAAATAGAATCAGTTTTAGAGTTCAGCTAGTGACGCCCACGAGGCTTTTTGGTACTTTGCAAAACATATGAAATCAGAACTCAAAGGAAAAGGCATGATATTTGTTAAGGCTGATGTCTCGGTAGCACTGAGTCAGATATTTTGCTTGCTGAAAAATGTCCTGTCTTGAAGTTCCACAACCAGCTGTCGAACAATAAACTAAAGATGAAAAAAATAAAGGTTATGAGAAAATACTGAGAAACAAAAGCTGCTCAAAGGAGAACTCACATGAACTCGGATGTTTTATCAAAGATGAGCTTTCCTCAGTTTTTAAAAGAAATTCTATGAAAGTTATGGTGGTGTTGTCTCGGTGTTAAAGCACATGTATTTTCAAATTTGAGGGTTATTTTTTAAAGTGACCTTGTAAGAAATTGGATGTTTGGAGTTTTTTTTTTTTTTTTTAAATCATTCAGCCAAAAGTGAAAGAAGAAAACATGACAAATCTGTTTCATTACAGAATTATCGGGTCTGTGATTTTGGAGAATGACCTTTTTATGAAGTTTAATGTTTCTCAAAGTCTGTCTATTATGACTTCCTGAAAGGAATAAAATGGTAATATAAATACTTTCAGATTTTAACCCTGAAGGCACTTACATTTGAAACAAGTACATGGTTAATATCAGACCCATATAAGGTGAATGAGCGCAGCCAAAAATAAAAATCAGCTTGATTTTGACGCAATAAAACATTTTCATAACTCTGTTGAAAGAAAACAATTTTCTCAGCTTGCTGGTGTATGTGTCCTTTCCCTGAGTTGTGATTTTATATCAAACGGTCACAGTGTATCCCAGTTAACCTTGTGCAGTAGAGCTACAAGCTAATGTTGTGATCTAAATAGTTAACCTGCTGTCCTGTTGTGCACACGTGTCATGTCTGTATCCTGCGCTATACTTCTGCTTCTACAGTCCTCACTCTTTTTCTGTATTTAGACAGGTAGTCGGTAAATATTCCTTACAGCAGTCTTATTGATTCAAATGTACAATTCTTTTATTTTTTCCCTTTTGGCAGAAATACACCTTGTCAAACTTGTTATAAACTGTACTTGTAAACGGAAACTCTTTTTTTACTCATTAATGTCGATGTTTCATCCTCTGTTTTCTCAAATTTTATTTTCATCTGTTGACGGTCTTTACCACAAGTTCCCCCTGAAGTGTTACTTTTCCTTTTACTCAGCTTTGTCTTTGTTCTGTAATGATCAGACCTGAGTTACTGGATGATGACGGTGATCTCTCAGCACTTGTATTAAGTTAACTTTGGTCTGTAGATACAAACACTGAGAATATCATATTTGACTTGCGCACGCTGTTATTAATAAATTGGTGAGTATACACTTCAAAGACAACAAATATTTACCGTGCCAACCAAAAAAAATTGTTACTTGAAAAAACTGTTATCAGATTCCTTCAAATATCCGGTGTAAACTGCAACATCTCTCCACGTTCAATTTACGATGTGTCCACTGACATTTATGGCCTGAACAGTAAGTGTTGGTGTCTACAGAATTTACACTTCCATCTGCACTAAGTTGTTTCTCCACCCTGCCTGTACATCTGAACCAAGACAAAATCTGAGAGTGTCTGTCATTGACTTTAATTAAACACGTTATGTGTGTTTGTATGTGTGCGTTTGCCTCTGCACGCTCTAGAAAGCTTTCAGTACTTTCATCAGCTTGTAGCTTCCCGCTGAGTGGCGGACACTTTGTGCAATGTTAATTTAAAACCCCAGCTGTTATTGCTTTGGCTTGTTTAGAACAGAGTTATATTTTATACTTGTTTGAGGACAAATCCAATAAATTTTGATCAACATGTGGAGTGTGTTGCTTTCAATAAATGAGAATTTACTATAGATATTAGTTTGGCAATGTCTTGATTACAAAAACATCACCTGGACTCTGTGTGGGATTTCGGAGTGTCGGGTTCCTCTGGTTTGGTGTGTTTTCCCAGATATTATGTTCAAAAACTGATTTATCTGAAATACATCCAGTGGAGTTTCAGATTACAGTAGATTAAATACAGTTTTAGTGGAGTTTCCGTCAGATTACAGTAAATTGTTGCCTTTATTCACACACACATAAGCATAATTTTCAGTGGAGTTTCAGATTACAGTAGATTAAATACAGTTTCAGTGGAGTTTCCGTCAGATTACAGTAGATTAAATACAGTTTCAGAGTTTTACAGTAGATTAAATACAGTTTTAGTGGAGTTTCAGATTACAGTACATTAAATACAGTTTTTGTGCAAGGTCCTGTCTTAATCCACAGTGAGTAAAACACTTTCAGTTTAAGTGCAGTTTCAGATAACAGTAAATTAAATACTATTTTAGTGGCATTTCAGTCAGATTACAGTAGATTAAATCACTGCCAACAGCATAATTTGAATAATTTATGTGACTGATGAGAGTTTCATTTTATTCTTTAGCACTTATAGGGGCTAATTTAACCGGGGAACAGATTTGACAAAAAAAAGATGATTTTCTGCTGATATTGAAGTTGAAATTTTCATGCTTTCAAAGATAATAGCAACAACAGGTTAACCACTCTGCTGAGGACAAAGTTGAATAAGGGAGCTCAACAATATCGAAATCCTGACGTACGTAGGTATCAGCTTTGGGGTTATTTTTGAACACACTGTATGATTTTCCCTCTAGTTTATAATCCACTGTGAGTCTTCATGGCTATTGGAGGGTTGTGTCGATACCATCCATTTGTCACCTACTCAGGATGATACAATCCAACAGCTCCCCCTCTCTACCACTCACAGTCCTGCATCTTATGGGAAGGCAGAAATTTCCCTTACAAGACTTCTGGTATTGTTTTATTGTCAGCGCGAGTCATTTTAATGACAATCTGAGCCTCAATGAAGCTCTTTACACAGAAAACTCATGAACATAAGTTATTTTCTGCAGCACAGTTAATTTTTACTTTGACTGGGTTGTTTTCATCAAGTCTGATTAAGAAAGAACACAATCCTGGAGAGTAAGAGTTTGATTTTGTGGGGAATTTTCATACACCCGACAGAAACTGTGATATTCTATTTTCTTTTTAAAAATGAAAATTGAAAATCGAACCGTTATGTGACTTTTCCTTTCTTGTTCCTAACACCCTAAAAAAAATCAAGATCTGTATTTCGAGTTTGTTTTTTCTATTTTAAAAGAAAAATTAAATAACCAGTCATTTTTGTGTTTTTGATATCTATTTCCAAAAGTTATATCCAATTACCATCTTTAAACTTAATTGCAGAGATAAAAATCACCCAAGACAGAAAATTAAAACAGAGTTAAACTCCGTTGTGACCCTCTTGACTTCACAGAGAAATCAGATCGTTTTAACCCAAGAACGTTTGTTTCCTGAGATTAATTCTTATATTTTCTCTCGATGATAATCGAGTTTTGATTCGTTTAAAATCATTGTTGAAGATATTTCTCTGAGTGTTGTCTGCGGCCGGAACCTTGTCACCGGAACCTCGAACGCTTGACGATGCATCAGTCGTGCACTTTATGGTAAAGGACCGTGTAACCACGAGGGTGTAAACAAACATTTCATGGGCCACAGGCAGCTGCTTTTTGATTTATTTTGAGGTTGGTCGCATTTTCGGTTCCGGATGGAGATTTTGGGGAGCACGTTTGATGACTCTGTGTTTTCGGAGGTTAGGGACCGAGTGTCTGTTCCGCTGTCCTCTTATAACGCAAAGTTATGTGAACCTGAGGTGAGAATCTCCGTGTTGTTTGTTAAAAGCCGGTGGTTTACATGACACAAAGCCCTTAAGAATGATGTGAAGACTGTATTGGGTCATTCCATGAAATCGGTGCCTTTTGCAGCCCCAGGAAGTAATCATTCATAAAATATGATAACAACAAATCAATATGTAATTTAAAATATAACATTACCATGTCTTCTGTCCTTATCATAACATCAGATTAAAGTCAATTAAATATCATTTTAAATAATTAAAATTACTTTTATGCTGATGAGGGTGAGGTTTTTGGCCTGTCCCTCACTACTATTGCTGTACGTATACAGGATGTTAAAATTTTCATATTTACATATTGTTTTAAGTATGATCTTTCTGTTAAACAGTGTTTTTGGTAATAATATATATTAGTGATTATAAATATTTACCAATTTATCGGCGTCCCTTGATTTCATGTCATCCCTGTTACCCTGACTAAAACACCCTAAAAAAATAAAGGTACATTCCACATTGGACATGATTGATAGGAGGTTGCATCGTCTCTGAGTGAGGATGCTAACATCTCAGTGACAATTAAGTTTCTGTCATCTCTGATGTGCTCTTTTTGATGTTTTTTCAAGGTTTAACCAGGGGGGACAAGCATACCACGTCAACTCTGTTACCACTTTTTAACATATAAACCAAAACAATTTTCTATTTCTCAAAATATAATCAATATCTATAAGTTATTACCTTTCAAAGTACCTAGCTTGCAGTTAAGCTAGCACTTATTTAAACTAGCTACAGGCAGATTAGTTAAAAATGGTCAACCCTGTAACCGCCAACCCTGTTACCGCCAACCCTGTTACTGTCAACGTTACTGTCAACCATGTTACTGTCAACCCTGTAACCGCCAACCCTGTTACTGTCAACCCTGTTACCATCAACCATGTTACCGTCAACTCTGTTACCACTTTTTAACATATAAACCAAAAAAATTTTCTATTTCTCAAAATATAATTAATATCTTCAAGTACTGACCTTTCAAAGTACCTAGCTTGCACTTTAGCTGGCACTTATTTAAGCTAGCCACATGCAGATTAGCTTAAAATTGTCAAACCTGTTACTGACAACACTGTTACCGTCAACCCTGTTACTGTCAACCCTGTTACCTTTCCACAGTAACAGGATTTGACATGTGAGTAAAAGGGATGACATAGAATAGTGTTTACCGTCCTTGTACTCTCTTTAAAGGTTAACCTTTAAAATCTCTCTCTCTCTCTCTCTCTCTCTCTCTCTCTCTCTCTCTTTTAGTGGTTTTGTGAGAGTACTGCTCTGGACACAGATGACCCCCTGGAGACGCAGAAGGTCTACAAGTTCAGAGGAGATTTGGCTGTAAGACAGGGGAAGTACCAGGTAAAGAGACACTTGGTTGTCTTTGATTTTTCACGCATCTACAACCATAGTCCCATAATTTTGACCAAGTGTTAGTAAAAAAGTGCCAGACAGTATAAAATAAATTAAAGTCTTCACTTTTTCCTACCCTTTCATTTGTCATGCTAATCTGTAATCAACCTTAGTCAGTGGGCTATAATGGGGATGTTAACTAAAGAACCATATCAGAATAACAGATTATTGTAGGACTAAAAACATATTTAGCTTTAAATTTCCAAACAAGTCATCAAATTAGGCTCAAGCTAGTTAAAGACAGAGTTGTCAAAAAGTAATGTTAGCTGTAATCTGCCTGTAATAACAGTTTCCACCCTGATATAATGGAGTTTTATTCACAGGTGTTTTAAGGAAATGTCTGTTTTCAGCATGTTTACATTCAAAGTGCAGATGTTGTGTTCAGATTCATGTCTTGTGTTTGTTTTCACAGCTTACCACTGCCCTCTCTAGTTAAGGGTTAACAGCCTGGTTGTGTTCTTGTCTATAGAAAGCTTTAGATGCGTACAGCAGCTGTCTAGAGTGGATTGCAGACAACAACCTTACCATCAGAAGAGACGTGCTGGAGGGGATGGCTCGATGCTGCACCAGACTGGGACAGAGAGACCGGGCGCTGGACTTGGCTGAGCTGCTGGTAAACTTTCCAATTTGCAGACAGTAGCTGGAACTGGAACATCCTACTGAAATTATCTCTAAATTTGAAGGAAAAATCTACAATAATAGTCAAAGTCTCTCTTTTTTTCACCCTGGATTTTTAACTACATGTTTGGCAGCTTTTCATGTGTAGTTAACTTCAACTATTTACGTTGATTAAAATAAATTAGTTAATATCTCAATATTTCTGAAGAAGCTCAAACATTGAAGGTCTGCTTTAACACAAAAAAAACTTCTCTTAAGCACAAAGATTTTAGAATTCACATTTGCTTCATTTAAAACTGCTGGATTAGATTGTCCACTCATGCAGCTCTTCACCAGTGTCTGTGTGCTCTTGTCTTTTGAACTCATGGTGTCTGAATTCTGGCACATGGACGTGCATGAACCTAAAGTTGGTTGTACATTGTCAATGGAAATGATGAGCTATGAAAACAAAGAAAAAAACCTAATAAATCACAGAAGGAATAATTCCAGAGTAATGTGTACGTGATCTTTTTCTAGAGCAAAGAAGCCTCCAACACCTGTCACCTGACCAGCCTCCTACTGCTGAAGGTCAGCATCCAAAACCTGCATAAATACATACATACAGACCATCGTCTTTCCCACTTTGTCTGAAAAAAGTGCTGTGGAAACAGAGAGTCACTAAACTTTAACCGAAATCTGCACTCTATTGCAGATTAGCATCTATCAGCATTTTGGATTCCTTGGATCAAAGATGTCGTCTCTGCAGCAGCTGTGCAGCCTGCTGCCCTTTAACCCCTGGCACTGGAACAGCCTGGGACAGACGTGTCTGCAGCTGCTGGAGAGAGACACAACCGCAGGTTGGCTGGATGCACTTCTCTTTAATTTACCATCTTTATTATTATCATTGATTGACTTCTGAATTGTTGCAATAATGCTCAGGCTTTGATTTTGCACTAACTTTGAACAAACACTTGAAGGGTAAATGATTTGTCCTCATGGTTTGATGTGCTCATCTGTTTTTATCATGTGCAGGGTTGTGTTGGCCTCAGAGATGCAAATCAGCAGATGAGCAGAAGCAGAATCACACACAGACTGAGCAGCAACAGGAAGAGGCAGCAGAGCTCGACAAGAATCACATCTGGCTGAAAGCCTGCACATGTTTCATCAGAACAAGGTGTGGCTTTGTCAGTGTCATCACATGAATCAGTGAGCACAGACCAGGGTTTACTGTAAAAGCTGGTTGAAAACAGAGGAAGTAAAAAGATATCTGGATGCCGGTTTGAACTGATTCAAACTTGATCGGCTTGTGTGAGTCAGCTATCGAGTTCTTACTCAGCACCTGACAGTGTTGAGTCATTGGCTTTAACGCCAGAGGTGGTTTAATCAATTCCTGCTCTGGTTTTTCTGTTATTGCAAAGTAGCTGTGGTGCACTGTAATCCAGACCTCTCTGCTATTCAACATGTAAGATACAAGAAGGGAAGAGTTTTAAATCTGTGTGTGAAAAATCTTAGAAGCAGAATTTACCGGTGAATAATCCAACATCTGCATGTACAGTAGCTTTAAAACATGTTTACTTTTTAATGTCTTTTTTTTAGAAGTGGCCTCAGAGGTGTTTTAAATGTTTTCTCAATAGAAAAATCCCCATTAGGAAGACTATTTACGATTTATCAAAATAGTGAAGGTAATAGAATAAACACTAAAAATGTCTGAAAGTTAAAAGTCAGTGGGAAGAGCAGCTGATTCAGGTGTAAACAAACCCTTTAACACTTGAACTACCAAGGCAGTCATTTTGACTGCTTTTAGACTTTTTAAAAAATAAATCGCACCCTGACTTTTCCTAAATGTGTTTATATTTTATTCTAACATTGTTTTATCATTAGAATTTCAAAACACGAGAGATCTGAGTATTACCTCCTCGAGTGACCAGAGCAGTCAAACTGCTTTTGACAAAGGGTGTTAGGTTTTGCTATTTGCTACATTTTCCCGCTCTATTGTTTATTTTGTATTTTAAGCTCTATGAAGCTAAAATCTTGCTAAAACTTTTCTCAAAACTCAAGAGACTCAAAAATGACAACTAGAAGAAAAAAAAAAAGAAAAATGAGCAAATTCAAGGAATGATGTGTCTTGGTATTTTGAGGAAGGTCCTTAAAAATCTCATTCATTATAATTTTAATTTTGTGTACTGATGTGTTTTTTTATTATCTATTCCACCAATTTATTAGTTTTTTGTACAAATACAGACTGAGTAGTAAAAATGTCTCCCATGGTCATTCTAGTAGTTGCAGATTTTTGGTAGACCAAGTGTTAAAGCACAGCAGTCTGAATCCTCTCAAAACTTTTTCATATTATCAAAGTTATCATAGTAGTTATAATTAATTATAACTATTATTTATAAACTACTTCTAAATAGATAAAGGTTGGTCCAACTCTCTGAAGTTCATAGAGAATCTCCTTATTGTTTAAAACAGAAGAATTGAACTTGGCAGGTCTGCTTCACTTGTAAATGTAAATACATTTCCCCTTTGTTTCTCCTTTCTCTGTCAGACTCCTGTTGAGGATCCTTCGGCAGCAGCAGTCCTCTTTTGTTCTGCAGCGCAGTGAAAACACTTTACAGTCCTCAGATGAGGCGTTACAGCAGCTTGGTCCCAAGGAAAGCACCCTGCAGGCTCTCACCGAGGTAAAGACACAGTCATGGAAAATACCTGAACTTCAGGAACTGTCGGAAAGTTTTTAGTCAATAGTTAGTAATAATTCACAATCAGCCTTTTTTGTGTCATCGCTCAGGTGATGTCAGAGGACCTGATCCCCGACAAGATGAGGGAGGACTACCAGGATGGGGAGAGTCTGCTCAGTGTGTGTGTGCAGAGCTTCAGGGAGCGCTGGTGGAACAAGATCTTACAGACTGGGGTGCTAAAGACCGACTGCTCTTCATGTCAGACACAGACTGACACAAAGTCCTGAGGCTCAACGGATGCCTGTTTATAGACTGAAGGCAAAGAAGGAGAAAAAAGAAAAACAGACTCTAGAACTCTTTTAACTGGAGGCGACACTTTGTCTAATCTGCCTTTCTGACATGACAAATCCTCATACATGTGGGGATAAATGTCAGGCTGAACGGTCACTTCTATGTGAGAAACCTCTAAAACCGGACAGACGACACCCTTCAAAATACAACAGACTCTTTCATGATCACACAGGGAGAGATTTACAGTAAGATTCATTAATTCTTCATCACCACAAGCACGGGCTCATTCATGTTTTAGTTGGCTCATACTGCGAGTTCAATAATTCACGGTGAACTGTCATTCAGTTCTGTACGGAGTAAGACATTTCCAAAATCTTTAAGTGTTCTGCTTCAAATCGCCTTAACATGTATTTGACTTTAAAATGATTTTAATAAAGTTCTGACATAATTTTATTCCTAATACAAGTTCTAAATGGGTTTACAAATGAAAGGCTGGCTTTACTATAAAATAGCTGTTCTCCTTACCCATACTGCTGACATGCACAGGGGAGAAATTGCGAACTCCACATAGAAAGAAACCTGCCCACCTGAAGGATTAAACAGAGTACTTCCTTGTGCAGCTACAGCGCTAACCACTGCACCATTGTGTAACTGTAGGAATTTCCTGTACGTTGCTATTATGTCTCCTGTTACTAAGGCTTGTTGTTGCAGACGATGGTATAAATGATTCATGCATTTATCTCCACTCCTCAGGAGCTGTCTGCCTCATCTACAATCAGAGTTTTTTTTTACCTCTGAGTAGTTGAAAAACTTTTCTCTTGGATAAACTCTTCAGAGTCACAGGAAAATAGACTTTTGAAGAATCAGAATCAGCTTTATTGACCAAGTATGTGTAAATTACAAAGTAAGAAAAATGACAAACATGAGATTTTCATACTTAAAAGTAAATTCCAACAGCAGTAACACATCAAGAGCTAAGTAATACTTTGTAACACATGGTAAAACTGCATGAATGTTTTTTTTTAACTTTATTGGATTATTGGACAGATGAAGAGAGACAGGCAACAAGGGGAGGAGGAAGTGGGAGAGACAACATGCTGCAATTGATCCAGATTGGGAGATGAACCAGAGACCGCTCAGAACATGGGCTGCAGCTTTAACCACCAGGCCTGCAGAACCCCACAAATCCTCTCCTACCTTTGTTTCCTGTGTGAACGGAGGTGTCAGCACATCCTACTATCTCATAAGGATATAGTAATTTATGCAAAACTAGCAACATGCACAACTTTATGCTCTCAATAGGGTTTTTATATGTCCCGACCATTTCAGATAGATAGTAGTGAATTGTTTTTGAATAATACGTGAAGAAGAGCGAGTATAATGTAAAGGATTTGCTCTATTCATGACTTAATTTCTTTTAAAAGATGAACTGCTACACTTCATGGCTGTGGTCATTTTTGGCCACTTTTTCTTTTCCTTTTTGACCTTTTTTTTCACACAATATTCAATTTAAGAGATACGGAAGCATATTGCAAAAAAAGGGGGTATGAAAAACACAAAGAATGGAAAAAATATTTGTACAAAAACAGAAGAAAAAATAGTCTGAAAAATACAAGAATAAAAAAGTCTGAAAAATAGCAAAAAAAAAAAAAAAAAAACCAGTTTCCAGTAAATGCAAAACGTTCTGTACAGAGATGCTACAGTACAAAATAAAAAAATCTCATAGCCTTTAATTTGCCCCTTGAGCCATTTTCAACTAGTTTGTGACTCACCTGCTTGTCTATCAGTGCAAAGAACTCCTCCAGCAAAATTTGGCAATCCAGTCTTACAAGAACGGCAGCGAAAGCTACTTTAACAAGCCTGACAGAAAAAATGAAACTGAACTCTTTCTCTGTTCTCTCAAGAAGCTCATCAGTGAGGAGGCTGACTTTTATGAGGTAAGGGTGTGGCTTTGTCATGTTTATGATATGATTCTTTCAACACATGCTGCTAAATTTGTTCACACCTGTGAACTCACAATTTTATAGACATAGGTAAGGAGAAAAGCAAACCTCACATGTACAGGTGACTACAACACGTGAATCTGAGCTGTATGTTTTTTTGCGTCGAGCACATGAAGGTGAATAATTTTGTTTTACCCTTGTCTGGTTATTTCTGTCAGGTTCAACTCATGCTTTGGTTATGACCTGCTCTTTAGTATCCTTTTTCGTTTATGCTTCTGCTCCTTTGTAATCCTGAATACATTGTGTGAAAGGGCCTCCAGCCCATCTGTGCCATTGTGTTCTGTCCCGTCCTGTAAACAGACTCAAAGGAGTTTTGACGAGCAGCGGGTCTGTGATTCTGGGGCATCCAGTTCAGTCTGGTAGAAGGCATCGCCTGCTGGGGCTGTGAGAACCAGGTTTTGCCTGTACCTGGTGATAAGGGCTTGGAATGATCAGGCACAAAGTCCATGTTTGGTTTGAATTCTTGTGTCATCCAGTGTCGTCTTTGGGTGTTTAAACCTGAAGGAATCCCAGAAGATGGACTTGTCAGTCTCTCTCTATTCTTCTGCTGAGAGGAGACACCCTCAGTATCCACATTTTGGAGGTTAATATTTAAAGTTGGCTTTGGACTTGATTGCTTCAAGGTATCCTGGCTCTGACTCTCTGCAGTTTGCTGTGGGTTTGAATCCTCAGTCTTCACATCGCTGTCATCTTCAGTGGTAACAGTGCAGCTGTTAGGCTGTGGCTGAGCATTTGCCTCCTGTTTCTTGTTTTGTTCTTGTTCCTCCTCAGGTTCTACATTTGTTTCTGCAGCACACGGCGTGCAAACATCTCCTCCTGTGTTCTCTGGCTTCTCCACAGGGGCACTCTGCAGCTCTTGAGTCTGAGGTTCTGCGTCTGTTTGTGCAGGTTTTTCGGGCACCTGTGCACCGGTTTCTGTCTTCTGTGGAGGCTGGGTGTCACTTTTACTGCGCTCTAACTCTAGGCTTCGCATTTTAGCTAATTCTGCCTCTTGTAGTTGCATCTCCATTTCGTAAGCATCTGTGATCATATCATCCTGGTCCATTGTTTTGGCAGCAGCCTTACTGTCCTGAGTTGACTGTACTGCCGTGTAGAGAGTGCGCTCACAAGTCAGGGACATGCAGTCGACAAAGCCGGGGACTGGTTCGGAGCTGGCGTACAGCCTCAGGAACTCTTGATGGAAACTTTCAGCCATTCTGCCCTTCAGAAGAACAACCAGACTGCGATACACGTGCCACGACAGCCAGGAGAAACTGAGGAAACCAAACACACACAACTGAGTTTCATTACAGGAGCCGTGAACTAGACAGAGAAGATAAAACTGAAACTCATCAGACTATGAGTGCGTTGGATGCGGCTTAACTGTGTGTGTGTGTGTGTGTGTGTGTGTGTGTGTGTGTGTGTGTGTGTGTAGGTGTGCGTACCTGAATGAGCCCGTCAGCACCTCTCTCCAGTCAGCTATGACAAAACTCTCAGCCATCTGACCGGTCAGTTTATGGCCCGTCTTGGCACAGTAGGTCTCTCCTCCAACACTGCGGACGGATATTTTCTGCACCGACAAACAGGCAGGATAAAGTCAACAGGAGCATGAAAAATAAACACAGCTTTGTTGACAGGAAGCTTTGAAGAAACCACAGGAATGTGCAAGTAGCTGGAGACTGCAGCCGCAAATACAAGACTTCGAAACCGGGGAAAATACAATCAAAATAGATTTGATAGTGAGCATTACAGTGGTGGGGCCACAAGAAGAGGAAAAAATAATTATAGGAAGGAGATTTTTTTAATTTCCATTTAGAGATTGAAGTCAAAATGTAAAAAAGTCAAAATTTTGTCTTTAATATCAAAATAAATTTTTTTTTGATCTTGAAATTTCAACATTATTCACGACGTTTCAACATTTTGTAAATTTCGAAATTTCGACTTTCATCTAAAATTTCAATTTTTAATCTTAAAATTTTGACTTTGACATAGTTTTGATTTTTTTAATCTTGAAATTTCGACTTTAATATCCTTCCTGTGCTAATTTATTTTTCTCTTTGTGTGACCCTAATCCTTTGTTATAGATGTGTGTGTGTGTGCTTTATTTTAACAGAAAACTTTGTCCTGTTCATTATAACAATAATAGTGTAACTAACGCTGACACTTGCACACATTGTAGTTGTGGGCAGGTCGTGGTTTTCAAATATTCCATAAGTAGATATTGAAATAATCTTACAGTTTATGTGAGCATTACCTCATCTTAGACTCATTTACCTTCTCCCAGTTTAACCAGGGATGGGCTGTTATGTAGTACAACAGCCTCATAAAAACCGATAACAAAAGAAGAAGAAGAAGAAGAAAGCTTTTCGTGCCAGCTGCAGGGCTGTGCTGCTGTAAAGTTCAGAACCACAGAAAAATGCCAGGATTTCCTTATTGTCAAAGAGTTCAATGGGAAACTCCTTTGAGATAATACACACAAGCATGTGAAACTGTGATGTAACATATTACTAACACATCGTGAGTCGAGGCGCCCAGCAGGAGGAGGGAGACGACTTAAACAATTGTTGACAAATTCCCAGAGACTGCAGCTGAAAAGTGTTTTTACTAGAAATGCCCAACCCTACTTAAAGTCAACACACAAAACGGTTCAGACTCTTCAATAACAACCTGAAATTCAAAGCGAACAGTGAAACAATCCCAAACTATATCAGCTGGGCTTCTCCTCCCTCAGACAACTCTATAAATGGAGGTCCATAAATCTGTACTTGTAGTTTTTATATACATGTGATTTATTACATCATCGTATCTTTTAACATAATAGCTGGCAGGATCACAGCTGGAACAGGAGTTGGAGCCACATTCCTTCAGGCCGCAGATACAGATCTCTGGCTCCCATAAAGCGTGCCATGTCAAGCTTTGATTCATCTATATCGAGCTAAACCGGTGCTCTTTACTTATTCATGATTATTTTTAGTCTTACTTATTTTAAGCTGCACATACACTGTAAGCTGTCTACTGTTTTTGGCCTCTGGGTTTGGACCGCTACTTTCACACATATTTAATCAGATCGAGTTTTTGAATGTCTGATGAGATTGATTAGACGACACAGTGCTTTCAATGTACAGTAAAGAAGTTATAAAGGTATGATGAAGAAGATGAAGAGACTCACAGGGAAATTCTTGCTCTCCAGTTTCAGGTTCTGCCACATGCTGACAAAGACGTTGACGTTAAGATGATCCAGCAGCAGGTAAACAGAAACGTTTCTCCTCCTACTCGCTTCCAGGAGATCGAACAGCAGCTCCATGTCACTGAAGCTGTCAATCGCTATAGCCAGGACCTGCACACAAACAAGTCATCAGGAGTGTGAGTCAAAACGATGAGCCCCTACCAGCTCCTTCATGTCTGAAAAATGCTGCTAAAGTGCCCTCTTGAAAAAGTATAAAATATCATACAGATGTCCTCTCAGGTGCTCGTCTGGTGGTTTATTTGTAAGAAAAATGGGCTTCTAAATCAGAGACCAACTGATGGCATTATTCAAAGCCTGTGCTCAAGGGGGCAATGTAAAAACAGGAACTGTCTGCAGACACTGCAGGCAGTCTGTTATGTGCTGCTGAGCTGTGCAATGCCAGTGAATAAAATTGCTCCTCTTGGACTGGCTATTTGGCTTTTAACTGAACGTATCAACAAACAAAAATATGCTTTGAGTTTGTAATGCAAGGGTGGTGGTGCTTTCACTGTCTCATACAGCCTGATATAAATGCTATGTACCTGTATTTTAGATTGCAATGTGCATGGAATGACATGGCTTGCATCACATTTGTTTTTATTCAATCGTTAGAAGCAAAATCTACCCCCCCACCCCCCTTTACCTGTGCCCAACTATGCCAACATGAACCCTTCACTAAGCCTCTTAATGCCTCACTTGCACTCCTTCAAATTTAAAGCCTCATCTGACAGACAAGAACTGGCTGTTGTCCAACTACCTCACCATCACAGTATGTGCAGGAGAGACAGAAAACTCAGGAGATTACGAAATGGTCTCCGACATGCTGCTGAAAACTAAAAGCAAATCTTCATTGTGCAATATTTCAATGAATCCTGTGTAGGACTGGGCGATTATATGATCGTGATTAATGATCGTGATTAATGATCGTGATAAATTTCAGTTCGATCAGCTGCGAGCTTATTTACTAGATCAAACATTGCTAAAATGTGCATCACAACAGCCAATCAGAGTCGTGCTTTTCCTTCCAAAGATGTTATTGTTGAGAAGAAAAGTTATTTAACGTCTTATTAAGTATTTATCCATTTATTTTTTAGTTTTAAGTACAAATGCTTTAAACTGGCAGTTTAAAAAAAAAATCGGGATAACAATCGAGATCGGACGATATCACAAAGTATATCGTGATCATCTGTGGCCAAATCGCCCAGTCCTAATCCCATGATATATTGCATGTCTTTTTTTTTTTTACCTCTATGTCCCCCTTACAATACAGCCCCTTTGCTCACTCACCCTCCTCAGTCTGATTCCTTATATATCAGAGCTTGTTTGATTATCACAGCCAACTTCTCTATAATCTCTTGCATGCACGGGCATGTCAGGGTTTTATATACACGTGCAGATGCATGGGGGAACACATGGGCACACACGCCTACCGTTTCGGCCTTTCTGATGAGCTCTCTGACCACGTCTTTCATCCCACAGGCTCTGCTGTCACACTGGAAGTAGATTCTGAACCCACCGAGTGTGGGATCAGACTTGGTGACACCTGACACGGACACAAAAAACACGTTTAGAAATGGAAAGGGAAACTTAGAGTTCGAAAGGGAAAGTTTCAGAGACTCCTGGTTTACCTCTTTGCCGGCTGGGGTTCATATCTGCCACGGTGAGTTCACTTTGCGTGGACAGTGTGGGACGTTGTGAGGTTGTGTGGCTGCCAGCAGATGAGCTCTCCGGCTCTTTGTCTGCAGATGCATCAGGTTCGGCTGCGCAAAAGACAAAAAAAAAAAAAAACTCTCATTAAGTAAAAGTTTAACAGTGAAAAAAATCATTTTCCAGTTGACACAAGTTAAATTCTCACCCGTGCTGTTATCCATCCCGTTTTCCATGATGTAAGTCTTCTCCAGCTTGGACAGAAAGTCCACCTCTCCCTCTGCGCTCAACACCTCCTTGTACCCCTCCATGCCTTCGTTGAGCAGGGAGTCCATCGCCAGCCGGGCGGCTTCATTGTGGCTCAGGTCCGGCCTCGGTTCGTTGGCTGTGACTTTGATGTAAGAGGGGGTAGGGGTGCGGAGGTCTTGCACCCGCCGCTTGACCTTCCCCAGAGGTTTGGACCTCCTGTGCCACAGCGCGGACGCACCGCCGGAACCAACGGGGGATAGATCCACCGCTTGCATGATCCTTGCTTTGGTCGAGGTGCGTACCTGCCTTCCTTCAGCAGTACTAAAAGAACACAAAGTTCAGAGAGAGGTAAAAGAGGAACAAAAGATCCGCCCCTACCTGTGTCAGGATGATATCACAGGTAATGATAGGTGCTATGTGAACAAAGAGAGCAACACCCACGTGATCACATCTGATATGACCCTCTATGATATAGTACACCGTGTTCAGAAAAAAGAACATAGCCTACTGAAGAGTTGTTTTTCACTGATTCATATATGAGGACATATAGGGCCTATATATGCACATATTGTAGCAGTGCAATGTGAGAGTGTCATAAAGCTTCAGAACTTGGCTTTTCACTTGTATGTGGAACCATTTGTGTGTTTCTGCTTGTTGAACCACGAGGTCCAAAGTAGCAGGGAGTAAAAAAGATAGATTTTTAACCACAGAGTGATTCAGAACAACACGAACACCGCAGGTACAAAAGTGGGTGGAGAGAAATAAGTGGATGAGTGACAGGAATGGGGATGACTGTCATTTTGGCTCATGTCAATGAACACCTGGACGCTTCTAGCGGATGTAAAGATTAAGTGAGACATGCAGACACACCCAGAATGAGCAGAAAGGGGAAACAGAGAGCCACTGTTCTCGATCAATGCTTTGTTTGCAACACTGCAATCAAGTCCAACTTGTCTTACCTTCTGGTTGTCCTGGCAAATGTCAACAAAACAGACCCTTATATCAAAACAAACTTATATCACAATCCCTCTAGTGTCTGTGCAAGTCTGTTTTGTATTGTCTCATTTGTATTACCTCATCTGATTGAAGACTTCTGAATACAGAGCACCCATTCATTTTTGGAATATGTGCAGATCAGACATAATATTCTAAACACCTGCCAAACGCATCGTAAGCCTCCCGCCCAACGAGTCAGGGCCAAACCAGTCTAAACCTGATAAGACACGAGCCTCACCAGACCCCCCAGACAGTTTACGATAGTATCTGGCCGCAACACATGAGCAGCAGGTGTTGCATAGAAAGCCCTCCATGGATCAGACTTGATTATCCAGCACATACAACAGGTGCTGAATAAGGGACGCATAGACCAATGCTCTGCGGGCCGGTTGTCACTTTCCACACTCATCATTGAGCCATGGCTGCCTGGCCTATGAACTTGTCACAGTTTACTGGTTTTATGCTCTAAGACAACTTTTGTTTGGTACTGACCTTTGCATAACAGAAACACCCCGCAGGAGCCGCAGTCTTGGGGAAGGTCTCACCCTAACCCTAACCCTAGTTATAACATTTTGTTCCCTGTCAGGTCACTCACATCTAAACACTCCCCACACTTTTCCCGCTGCCAACACATCAGCTTCAAGGACAAAATGTTCACTTGCTGCCTGACATAACCCACGTGCCATAAAAAGATAAGCAATTATATTTACTTCACCTGTCAGTGTTCGTTATGTTATAGCTCACTGGTTTATTTGCATGTCAGTTTAAAGATTTGGAAGACCTGCATTTAAAATCTGTAACTTCTGACATTCATGAGAAATAACACAAGTGGATCAAGAGGCGCAACAAGAGGAGATCAAATCAAGATTTGTCCAAAAACAGGTTTAAACGAGATACAATACAGGCCAAAAGTTTGGAAGCAAGATCAGATTTGTACAAACAAAGATTATTGTTTCATTAATATAATTTGCAACAAAATACGCATGATTATTGTGTAAAGACTATACATGTGTATTTTGACTATAATTATTAGGTATTTTAGTTATTGTTGCTTCGACTTTGCTTTCTTCAAAGTACTTCTGCGGTAGTTTGGAGGCAGTTGAGTTTCATTAGGATTTTTGTCTGCAGACTCAAAAGCCAAAAAGTTAAAGTGAATAATGCAAACTGCGATATTTTTTTTTTTTGCTTATGCACTAAAGTTGTGACTCTTGCAAATGTTTTCGACCATAAAACAAAGTCCTTATTTTCTTTTGCTGACATATATTTGGCAATGGTCTGTTAACATCAATGTATATCTAAAGGTAAATGGAGGATAATGGTGCATTTCCATGAAAGCAACATCTGATCATGGAGAAATACATCCCAAAATACATATAACTCATGCTGGATTAAAAAAAACAAAACATTGTGAACAAAAACTTGACGTTACTCCCAACTGTTTGGCCTGTAATGGCCTTGCTTCCAAACTTTTGGCCTGTAGTGTAAATCAGACACAATTCAACAAAATCATAAAAATCAGATTTATTTGCTAGCTGCAAATGAAAAACACAGTAAAAAGTGCACAAATAAAAAATAAATTAAAGGTGGTATGAGGACACTTTTAGTGGTATCACAACAGAGTGTTACATAGCAACTAACAGGTTCCCTTCTGCAGACAACACAATTCACAATAGGGCCTATTGTAACATCAGTGAGTAAGTGGCGACAGACAGAAGTGAGTTTTAGTCAACAAAACTGCTGCTAAGAGGGGGAGCGTTTGAACCCTTGGATTTCTAAGAACTGACACAAGCTGAAGAGTCATGTGCTCATCACACGGCGCAGCAGCACAGCCAAGACCAAGAGGATTAATCTGATTCTTTACTAGAACATAAACATTCAGACTGAAAGAGACAGTTTAATGAGACAGTGGTTCATAAGAAGTTAAACTCTTCATCTTTGGTCGTGTAAGTGATATGTAGATGATATAGCAGGAGAAACAGATGGGATGCAAGCACGTTAAAAAACAGTCTGAGTCAGTGTTTCTGTTGTCTCCGCTTGCATGAGATGAGAATATGTTTGTGTGACCCTGTGGGGACACAGAGCCGTCCATGGTCACTGAGAGACAGAGGACAGAGTGTGGACAGACTGTGAGGAGGCAGAGATGCTCTCTCTGGCTCTGGCTGCAAGTTTATGTCTCAGTTCTCTGATTTCCTTCAGCAGTTCTCTCTCGCTGCTGTCCAGCTGGGCGCGGCCGCGGTCCAGAGAAACTGACAGAAAGAATATTTGGTACCATCAGCTAACAGAGTTGATAATAGACTTAAGACATGAAACTTCGAAAACAAGTGCATTAAATCAGTAATCAACCACAGATTAATCTTATCCGTCAGTTATTTAAAGAAAAACTCAAAATAAATGATGGTTTTACTTTTGGCAATATGAGGAGTTGGGCTTTTTTTTTTCAACTCTTAAGATCTCATATAGCTTGACTTACAAACAGTGGAAGTGCTCTCTGCAGGTGAACGGCTGTTCAGACACGTCATGTTGGTTCCGGTCTGTTTGGAGGAGGTAGAGTTTGGTTTGACTGACAGACCTGCAGTGCTGGTTCCTACACAGGCAGCAGAGGTGGTGCTGGGTCTATAAGGCCCTGGCTGTTCCAGTCCATCTGGTACAAAGTAAAATAATATATAACCTTGAATAAAATACACACTTTAATTATATACACAGAGCATAGTTTACTCCTAAGAAGCTTCATTTGATGAAAGTTATAAATTATCCTACATGTACGTTACTTTCTGCAAACGCCATCAGCAGTTATTTTCACATGTTCTGGGAGTGTACACCAGTGGCAGAATTTTGGAAAATGGTTGCCTTGAATCTATCTAAGCTGTGCAAGATCAGGTTGCTTTGTTTGCCCACCACACTAATTTTTGAATGATTTGTCAGGGCTGGGTTTGACACTGGACGAGAGGAGAGCATTGGTGGCGGGAATCACAGCTGCAAAAAACACTTTTCTTCCGAGCATGGATTTTAACACACCAAAACAGTGTCTATTTAGAGCTGTCAACAGCTCGAGTACAGGGAGCCGAAGGATATGCAGTAAAAGCTTGTAACTCGCTTTTAGCTGTCCTCCATGTGCTTTAACTGTAATGCGTGATTAAGGTTCTTGCAATCTGGATCTGGGGGTTTGAATTTTTATTTACTTATTTTTCTTTGATCTTGCTACATGCACATGTAATTTATTATTATTTAACCTGTTATTTATTTGTTTTTATTATTATTTTACTTATTTCTATTTATACATTTATCATCTTATTTTTCATTTTATTTTTTTATTTTTCATTTATTTTATTTTTATGTATCTATATACATTTATGAGTATGGGTATATGTGTATATATATCTTATTATTCATTTCTATAACACTGACTTGTACCGCTCTACTTTTCTCACTGAAATTAAATAAAAGTTGATCACAATAAAAAAAAAAAAATTTTGAATAAAATATAGAGTTCATGGCTGGTGGACTGGAGTAGATTAAAGAGTACCTGTGTGTGGTGAAGACGAGGGCTGCTGCTGCTGCTCCTGTAGCTGAGCTCTGCTTCTCATCACATCCTCCCACTGAAAATTAACAAGCACTTAGCGTTTAATGAAATCCATGATTCTTCCTAATTCCTGAATTTGTCTTCAGGAGTGTAAGAGAGGGAATGAATACTTTGTTCATGTTTTACAGCTTTTATTGGAGACATATTTCATGAATTAATTCAATTATGTAAATAAATGTGTTTACAAAAATACTCCTGTAGCTCTCACCTTCCTTCCCGCCACATCTCTCATGGTGTCAGCCAGTCTCTCCTCCTCTGCCAGGGTTTGTCTGTGAAGCTCTGCCAGTCTCTTCTTCTTCCTCTCCTGCTCAGCCTCCACCTGCTGCAGTCGCTCCGCCACCTCTCTCTGCCAGTCCAAGTCCGAGCCCAGCTGGCACGCCTCCGCTAGGGACTCCTCCAGGGCCTGTTTGTGTGTACAGAGAGAAGGTTCATAAATACAAGAGGAAACGGTGTCTCTGCCCAAATCCGAGTCTGGATGATTGTGGCTTTGATTGTTTAAACCGATGTTTGAGTGTGTCAAGATCTATGACAACATGTGTTGATATTATACACTTCCACAGACTCCACCGGGTCTCTACTGACCTGGATGTTTGTCTCTGTGCTGTGCAGCAGCTCTGTGTAGCTTTCCCCCTCCCTTTCTGCCCTCCTCATCCTCATCTCCACCTCCTCCTCCACCCTTCGTCCTGTGTGCTCCTGCTCCTTCAACAGGTGCTGAAGAAAATGGAAGATTTTTAACGTTATGCCCCAAACTTCATCAAGCAGTTCCATAACAATTCACTGTCTTACATCAAATTAATATTTCTTGTTCGGTTAATAACACGTCAGGGAGTAAATGGAGTTAAAAAGGGGATAAGATGGTAAAGGTAGTTTCAAGAAGGCTGAATGTTTGTCACCTGTTCAAGTTGCCTCCTCTGAGCTTCCAGCTCCATCTGTCTGACTTCGAGATCCTGAACTGCAGCAGCTGTTTCCTGCTCTCGCAGATCCATCTGGAGCAGAGCAGAAAGCCTTTATGTTAAAGGTTATTGCTTAGCTGTATAAATGACAAGATATGCCAGCTTTTGGTACAAATTTGTGAATGTTTTTAAAAAGTAGAGACAAGACAACGTGCAACAAGTTGTCATTGAAGTAATTCAGTTTAGTGTCAAGAAAAACACTGAAAATGGTTCCTCTGTGTCCGGGGATGCAGTATCAAGTAAAGAAAACTGATATATGGTCCACAGGCCGATGTGGGCCGCTGACAAATAGACTAAATCTTATCTGTGCTGTCATTTTTACCTTTCTGCTGATCTCCTGCTCCAACCCCTGGATCTGTGAGGCTCTCAGGTCCTGCTGGTGTTTGAGAAAACGCCTCCTTGTTGCATCCAGCAGCTGTAACTCCTTCACCCTCAGCTCTCTCTTCATGGCTGCCAACCTACAAAGGATGGAGAGAGACAGGGAAACTGTGCTTTCACATCATTCAATTTCTCTGTCTTTCAACCTGAGAGGTCAGGAGTGTATTTTTACCCACTTTGTCCTCTGCTGGGTTAGCTTTTCCTCCTCTTGTGCCAGGATGTTTCGGCGCTGTTCCTCCGCTTTCTGCAGCAGCTCCTGTGTACAAATCAAAGACACACTGATTTAGGTCACTAAAGCCTTGTTCTAGTTTTTACATGAGGATCGACTATGCTACCGACCCAAAACACATCACAACTAAAAGCCACGCTCAGGAAGAACTTTAAAAAATCAGCCTCTCACACAATCAAAACTCTTACATATAGTGTATACATCTTTGTTTTGTTTTTCAATTGTTCAGTTTAATCACATTACATCATTTGCTGCTTATAATACATACAAAGATGTGTTTTCCTCTTTTTTGGATCTGCTTTTATTGATCTATTTAACATTAATAATCAAATGTATTATTTATTTTACAGTTGTAATTAATCATGATAAAAACAAGTCACTGTTAGTATCATTATTTAGTAGGCTACTGTTTAATCTCTACTTTTAATTTGTATTATTTATATTTATATGGAGGGATTCTTGATATTCTCTCATTTTCTGTATGTTTTTAGATGTCAGACTTTTAAGCCTTGGTACACCCACTTTACCTCACCTATGTATAACTGTTTTATATATATTTTTTGCTTGGTTTTGTTCTTTTTTCTGTATCCCTTTTTCATCAATTTGTGTCAAGTCACTTCTTTCTTGTAATTTTGCAAGAATTAAAAAAAATAAATAAATAAAAAACTTTAAAAAAAATCTACCTGCTGTGCGTAGTAGGTTTCTTCTTCAGCCTGGCGGCGCAGAAAATCTGCACGCAAAGCTGACAATTCCTGCCTGATGAGACAAAAACACATGTTCACACACAAACTTAACTGAGCTCAAGTAGTATGAATTTCTATAAAACACCATTATCCCACCTCTCGCGGAGATACTCCAGCTCCTGGAGTCGGATCTTCTCCCTCTCCCGGCTCTGGTATTCCACAATGAATTCTGGGTAATGGTTGAACACAGGATACTGCCCTTTGGTTAGGGGTGTAAAGTCAGAGAGTAGAGTCTTTGGGTGGATGTCAGCTGGAGTGCTGCTCATGAGCTGATACGCCTCCTTTATCATGGCCCCTACATCCAGGTTGTTACGGTGGTGGAAAAAATACTAAAAAGAAAAAAAATATAGTAATGAGGGAAAATTTTGTCTTTATTGTTAAAGGTGGGGTAGGCAGGAAGCCGCTAAAGAAGCATCTTTTTTGTGGTGTATATTCAAAAAAAGCTTTTAATATCAGTCAATAGCTATTAGTCATTGATGACATTTGGTAATATAACGATATCGCTGTGTTTTGTTATGTCTGTGTAGTCAACATTTTAAAATTTTAGAGCGCTCCGCTCTTTCTGGCTGTAAACAAAGCCATTCCCCGCCTTCCCCAACCTGATTGGTTGTGAGGCAGACGCTGCTCCCCCGTGTCGTTCAGGAGCCCAAACAAAGTTAACGTGCTAGAATACCGGACGGTAGAAACCAACCAGAAAATACAGAAAAAATTGTCTGAATCCTCATTAGACCACAACTGCCAACACGTGTTTACCTCAAAGTCCTGTTTCTGTGAACACAGCAGCAGAGGTTCACGACAGCAGGTGATGTAAGCAGCACAGGCCATGAGCAGGAATGACGGGTGATTGGAGAAGATGTTGTCAAAGAATCTGAGCCACTCATCGCGAGTCAAAACCTCAGAGAACAAAGTCTCCAGCAGGGGCCACACATAGAGCTGCAACAGAGAGAGAAAGCCACAACCTCAACTCCTTATCCTGTGTGAGGTCACAGGGAAATTAGAGCCTGAATCAGCTGTCATCAGGCAAGAGACTGGGTACATCCTGGACAGGTTGTCAGACTATTAAGAGGCTTACATATAGAGGTAATCATGCACACATACTTATGCCTGTGAGCAATATGAAGTAGCCAGTTTAACTTGATGAACATGTGTTTGGATTGAGACAAAGAAAGGCCCCTCCGGCCAGGGGTTTGAACCAGGAACCTTCTTGCTGTGATTTGCATATGAAGAGGTGATATTTTCGAACAGGGCCAAGAAAACAGAAAGCCTTTGTTTGTGTGCTGCTGTTACCTGCGAGGTGATGCCACAGTCCACCAAGTGCTGCAGAAGCTCTTGGTCATGATGAGCCAGAACGTTCTCCACCATACTCAGGATGTTCAGAGGAGGGTTGGGGAAATATTCAAACCAATGCTGACACCAATTCACTGAGAGCCAAAGAAACAATATGAGACATTTGAGAGCCTCACAAACTGAGACAGAGCTTCTCCGTTTAGATTCAGGAAAAGTATAAAGACGTATAAAGATGATGAACTTGGCATGACTCCAACAATGTAGAGCTTTCAAACATGTCGATTAAAGGGATGTTCTGGCATTAATTTAAAGTAAGGCTTAAGTTGAAATGAACAATAAATACCTATCAGAGTGGCCACCACCTCGAAGCAGAGCATTGGGTTGTTCTGAAAGAGCTTCACAAATGGAAAAGCCACCAGGGGAAGGTACTCCACCTCCCCAAAGATGGCTGCCCAGTGAGCAAAGGCAGACAAAACCCTGTGGAGAGGAGAAAAGGACAGAGTAACACATTTGTTTTGAAACCTCTAAACTTTGGACTCAAAATACTTGTTTGTATGAATTAAAAGAAAAGGGGATACCTCTGTAGCCCCCTCTGGAGCTTGTGACTCTTGATGGGGTATTTATCCTGCAGACTGAGGTAAGCCGTGTGCAGACCTTTATCTGTGAGACTGCTGTACGCTGCGTGGTTCTCTGGGAGACACAACAAAGACCGCCACACAAACATCCTGCAGCACAGACACATGAATACGTCTGGTTAACTTTGTCAAACAGAAAGGAGCTGAAAGTTACACTCTCTATGACTTCATCTACTGTTACCTGTATTTAGCAGGATATTCTCCAAAGGCTTTGAGCATAGAAACAAGTCTCTTTTTGTTCAGACCAGCAGGAAGTTCGTTCTATTCAGGGATGAAAAACATAAACACTGTTTTCACACAAAGAAAGCGAGAAAACCTCTTTCTTTTAGGTTATTTGTGAGTTGTTTCTACCTCTTTATCCTCAGCTGCAGATCCAACAGGGGGTCTGAATATCTTGACTTGAGTCCGTCTACCAGAACTCTTTGCTGGTCTCTGGACAACCTCTGACCTGACTTTGACTTTCAGGTTTGACAACTCCTGGTCGGCTTCACCACCAGAGACTACGGCCACCTGAGAGGGAGGAGGCTGAGGATAGGAGACAGACAAACACACACGCACACTATGAACACCCGCACACCCAACGCTGTCTCGTTACGCGTATCGTTGTTTGGTTGTCTCTGCTCATCTCACCCTGTTCAGTTCCTGTGTGAGACTCTGAATGCTGTAGATATTGATGCTGCCATTATCCATGATGGCAACAACGTGTCGGCCGTTAGGACTGACTGCCGCTGTGGTAATGGCCTCATCGTGGGAGCCCATTTGGAAAAGCAGCTTGCAGGTGTGAATGTTGATGAAACGCATCACGCCGTCCTGGCTCAGTACACCGAGCGTCTGCAGAGACAGAGAAGAGCGTTGAGCACACGAGGAGGGCACACATGCTCACAGAGGAGACAAGTTTAAGTGTCAGTCAAACACAAAGAGATGTTACAAAGCCACACACAGACTCTGTATGTACACATGTTTTGAGGAACTGCTGTGAATACATGCATCTTACAGGAAGAGATCCCTCCTGCTCTCAAAACTTACAACGCTCTGCTTTCACTTGGGGCTATCAGGAGATAATCAAGATGTAGATAATTGATTTGATAATTGAATACATAGGAAATCAGCAGGCTGGGGTTTTGTCTCTCTACAACAGACAGGTCTTGAGGAAGGCTAATGCTATTCTGGGTTGTTCCAATCACCCACTTAGATGCGAGTTTAAGCTTTTACCTTCAGGCCGTCATTTTAGGGCCCCTATGAGGAGAACTAAAAGATTTCAGGTCTCTTTTATCCCCAGTGCAATTTATTTATTTATTGAGTAGCAGTTGACCCTCAGGCTGCTCATGTTGTCTTGCACTATTATTGCTCATTTGCACACATTGCACTTTTAATTGCTTGGTAGTAGTTTTTCTCCATTTTCGGTATGAGCTCTGGACTGAATTTTTGGTGGTTTTGTGTATGTGTTTCTGGTATTGTGTTGTTATGTTTTTAATTGTTCTATGTTTTTTAAATTTATGTTGTCATTGCGTACTTGTCTTTCGTGAGCCCTGAAGCAAAACCAATTTCCCTTTACGGAACAATAAAGAGATTCTGATTCTGATTCTGATAGACAAAACCCTCCAATAAAAAAAGAGCAAGTTGTGTGTTTACCTGGTTGGCACCTCCGTCAAAGCTATCATGCAGGAATTCCAGTTGCCGGACAGTCCTGACCTGTGAGGGCATCTGTATCACTCTGATCAGCTGCTGACTGTCCAAACACCACAGGTGCAGCAGGTTGGAGCGTCCACCAGCAGCAAGGCTCTTTCCATTACTGCCAACACAAGTCAGGTGTATCAGGGTTTGATAAAGCCATCTGCTACATACTTATCTATATTTGTTTATGATGGGAAATGCAATCTTAATTATTTAAGATTGCATTAATTAATCTTAATTCAGAGATCAGAATTACTCTGATCTCTGAGCGATTTGGTTTTCAATGTGAAAGACCCACCGTGTGACAGCGAAGGCTTTGTAGGAGATCTTGGGTCCACTGTCAGGAACAGGGAGCTGATATTTGCAGAAGAGTGTGTCGCTCTCCCAAGCAAAGATGGAGTCGTCACTGAAACAGCTGAGGATGGTGTTACTGAGAGGCAGGAAAAACACCTGCAACACAAATATGCCTGGTCATGACGACAAGAAACATAAGAGCCAAGAAAAGAGCTTAAAACTGACCAAAAACAGCTCCTATCAGATGGAAGATAACCTTCAAGAAGTGATCCATCTGTTTTTTGTGTAAAGATTCCACTACAGTTTGTGTGTTTACCCTCTGAATGCCAACAGACTGTCTGATATTCAGCTTCCTCTTCCTCTGGAAAGTATCCAGGTCCCAGAGCTGAGCCGTGTCACAGGACGTGCTGATGGCGTAGCGACCTGAGCTATGAACAGAGATGGATGAGATTGCTCCTTCGTGACCACGCATCCAACTCACCAGCTGCTTTGTGTCTGTGCAGGGAAACACAAGACAAGTATAGAGAATGGGATTATCGATTATACTTCACATCGCATCATCTTTCGTAACAACAGATGATGAAACAACAGCAAGTTAAATTCTAAAAGCATGGACAAGAAAGTGATACCGGAGCTCAAACATCCTTAAACACGGGTTGCTGTCCTACCTTTGTCAAAGCACTTGATGGTGTAGTCAGCCAGGGCCACAAGGAACTCTGTGGTCCGACGGAGGCTGAATGCCAGAGCAGTGCAGGCCTGTCCCGTCCTCTGCACCAGACGAAACCTGCTCAGAGAGACAAGCATGAAAATATCTGGTCAGGTAAATGTAAAAGAAGGCTGAGTTTGAGGGTAAGAGCTGCACACTTTGAGGCCAATTTTTGCCTGAAAGAGAGTGTTTTTGAAGTCAAACTTGGAACTTTTACCATTGCAGGAAAAATCAAATGTTAGGTTCAAGATTGAGATTTGCAGGCATCTCTGTCTGCTGGTAGAAGAAGATCTTTGTTAATGAATGACTTCCACTACGGCTAATTAGACCTAGCATTATGTAATGACAGGGAGAGGATCATAATAGTTATGACTACAATATTTGTGATCTGTTAGTTTATCAGATGTACATCAAATAAAACAAGTTATTCAAAACCTATCATCAATTTAGTTTTCTAATTTTTGTGTTACCTGTTTCTGCTGATGTCAAAGACATAGATGTTGCCATGGTAATCTCCAGCCAGGAAGGAGTCTCCCGTGGTGTCAAAGGCCACATGGAGGAAACGCACCGTCTTTGCCTGCTGAGCGGTGCGGACTACCGTCACCAACAAACTGGGGATGACAAACAACAAAAATCTCAGACTGTTGTTGGATGAATGGAAACAGATCATTGTGCTCTCTAGTGGTTACAACACTCTGAAAAAAGGGGGCACTTCCTGCATCAGCCCCTCGCATGATACTGTACCTCCTGAGGTTTTGCAGCAGGATGCAGCTGCAAAGAATTACAGCATTTTGTCGAAAATATTTGTTGTTAAATGAAATTTACTTTTTAAATTCAACAATAATCCAGCATGTCAGTGGTGGAGGGATTTTCTATTTAAACATTTGACTGATTCTCAAATACTCAATTATTCTCAAGACAAGTGCGAATTGCACTTTGGGGTGACACACTGTTAAATCACACAAGTCTACACACCACCTGCATCACCACACCTCAAACTGCCACTCCTGACCAAGCCACTCCCCCCAAACACTACTAATCTGGCCCTCAGGCACTTCTCTTCCTCTTTCCAAAACCAAGCCTGACATGAGGGTGTGAAGAAACAAAGGGAACTGTCAGAGGTAAGTGGATGCTCATCTGTAATTAATTCCTGTTGAAATACCATGAATGAAATGAAATGACACATCATATGTCGATACTCATCAGGACAAACAATAACAAGCTCTTATGTAAGTCTCATTCCCACTTTTCTGGCTGTGTATTACTTTGTTTGATTGATGTACTTTCATTTGCAAATACGATGTCTTATTGTGTTGTCTTATTTCTTTGCTGGTGGATCTCTTTGTAACTACATTTAAAGGCACTGTGTGAATATAATTTCATATGCTTGCTTACTTATATTATTTTCTACTGAGCACATTGTTGCACATAGATGGGCTCTTTTTGCATTGACCTTATTAGAGAGAACAGAAATACTAAAGGTGGATACAAATTAAGCTTGATCAACCAAATTTGCAAGTCATTTCAGCAATACTATAATTTAACATTGTTTATTTATTTGCACAATGACCACTTTTATTTCTGTATTCATTCAATTCAAGCCCATTTTTGCATAGCAGGTAACATCTACTTTACTATCTGCATCAATATTTTACTTGTATTAATTCAGCTCACTTTACTTTTTAATTACAGCTCTGTTATTTTTAATTAAAACAGTTTTTTGTATTTTCATACATACTGCTCTACAGAATTTAATCATCAACAGCAGATACCTGTTGGCATGCAAATCTAAAAGACATTGGACCTTGGGTTTCATGCACATGCAAAATCAGCTGTGATCTACAAAAACCAATTCCACTGAAGTTGGGAAATTGTGATTAATGTAAATAAAAACAGAATACAATGATTTGCAAATCCTTTTCAACCTATATTCAATTGAAAACACAACAAAGACAAGATATTTAATGTTCAAACTCATAAAATATAGTGTTTTTTTTGCAAATAATCATTAACTTTAGAATTTGATGGCAGCAACACGTGACAAAGAAGTTAGGAAAGGTGGCAAAAAACACTGAGAAATTTGAGCAATGCTTATTAAACACCTATTTGGAACATCCCACAGGTGAGCAGGCTAGTTGGGAACAGGTGGGTGCCATGATTGGATATAAAAGCAGCTTCCCCCAAAATTCTCAGTCATTCACAAGTAAGGATGGGGCGAGGTTCACCACTTTGTGAACAACTGCGTGAGCAAATAGTCGAACAGTTTAAGAACAACGTTTCTCAAAGTACAATTGCAATTAATTTAGGGATTTCAACATCTACGGTCCATAATATCATCAAAAGGTTCAGAGAATCTAGAGAAGTCGCTGCACGTAAGCGACATAGCATTTTGGAAATAGTGGACGTTGTGTCCTCCGGGCCAAAGAGGAAAAGAACCATCCGGACTGTTATCGACGCAAAGTTCAAAAGCCATGGGTAACTTACATAACTGTGAAGGCAACATTAATGCTGAAAGGTACATACAGGTTTCGGAGCAACATATGCTGCCATCCAAGCAACGTCTTTTTCATGGACGCCCCTGCTTATTTCAGCAAGACAATGCCAAGCCACATTCTGCACGTGTTACAACAGCGTGGCTTCATAGTAAAAGAGTACGGGTACTCGACTGGCCTGCCTGCAGTCCAGACCTGTCTCCCATTGAAAATGTGTGGTGCATTATGAAGCGTAAAATACGACAACGGAGACCCCGGACTGTTGAACAACTGAAGCTGTACATCAAGCAAGAAGGGGAAAGAATTCCACCTTCAAAGCTTCAACAATTAGTCTCCTTCAGTTCCCAAACGTTTCTTGAGTGTTGTTAAAAGGAAAGGTGATGCACAGTGGTAAACATGCCCCTGTCCCAACTACTTTGGCACGTGTGGCAGCCATGAAATTCTGAGTTAATGATTATTTGCAAAAAATAAAAAATAAAGTGAATGAGTTTGAACATTTAATATCTTGTCTTTGTAATGTATTCAATTGAATATAGGTTGAAAAGGATTTGCAAATCATTGTATTCTGTTTTTATTTACGTTCATCACAATTTCACAACTTCTATGAAATTGTTAAACAACAGTAATGATGATGATTTTTGTGTTCAATGCACTGTTGGTCCTGAAGGTCTACATAATTTTATTTGTATTTATTGCTTTTTTAACTGTGAACCCTTGTTATATACGTAGGCCTGGACGATATAGAAAAAAAGTATATCGATAAAAAATAAATCATATTGATCGATATCGATAATTATCGATATAATTGTTATAATTATTTAACATATATTTTAATTGCAGCCCTGGATGTTTTATGCTATTGCTTAATGACCTACTTTTAATAAAGAACACACAAGCACTGAATTCAAATTCAAACCTTTATTAAACCACCTTTTTTATTTTACCACAACTGAAAGTTTTTTAAAAAAGAACTAAAAAAAAAAGGAATTAACTTAAGTGGCCTGAGTGACGTCAGTAAATACTGACAAACATAAAGACTAAAGTGACCAAAAAATCTGATAAATAAATATTTAAATAGTCTTTTGATGAAAATAAACAAATATATAAATAAACAGAATAGCTTTAGGTGGGAATAGCATACTACCAGTTTTAACCGTGTGGGAAACTGCCCACAGCCTGGTGTCTGAACACTGAAATATTTCTCCCGGGGTCGGGAGATTTATTTTTTTTAATTATCATGTGATTGACTTAATACACAAACTAAGCACGAGAAGCAGGACTTATCCACGCCGGTGTTGTGTCGTAGAATGCACCCCTGCCGAATGCACCCCCTGCTAGAAGCCATGATCCAAATACTCGCGTCTTTGTAAAATATGAGCTCATTTTCTTCCACTTTAAGAAGCTACACCGGAACGTATTTCCTCCGCACCCTTCTCACCTTTTCAACCCCTGACCCATTTTCATGCCTGAAGCGCTGTGTTTGAGAAATACTTGCGGCCGGACACTTCATATCGCGGGTCGAGAGTGGCTAGAAGCTGGTCGAAGCCAGGCTTTTCAACGGTAGTTATTGGCAGTATGTCCCTCGCTATGGAGCATGTTACTGCATGGGTGATGTCCTTATGCCGCTTTGTCGTATTTTTGGCAAGAAACGAAGTCCAGTTTGGTCTGCTTCACATGCTTTGTGCTGGTGCTGGCAGCGGTTCCAGAGGATTCCTCCGACGATGACGTGGAGCCGCGGCGCGGCCGACACAGCTCGTACTCCTGCGGGTGCGATCGGTTTAGATGGTAAAACAAGTTGGTTGTGTTACCAGACTTCGTTTTTACTAATTCTCTGCAAATTTTGCAAACGACCGCTGTTCGCTTTTTGTCAGACTTCTAAAAACCAAAACATTGCCATGCTGGTGAACTACTGAAACCTTTTTTCGGGACAATGTCCTCCGCTTCTCCTTGCTGTATCATTGTTTCTAATACACGTGCTGTCTGTTGTGGTTTGATAGGGGCTGGGCTTGGTGCCGTAGCGTACCTGGGTCTGCGTTTGTGATTGGTTGGGAGGAAGTAATGACTGTAGTAAAAGCTACATGATAGGCTATGATGAAAAAGAAAGGGAAACTGTGTTTTTCTATCGAACTTTTTATCGACCCGTTTTTTTTCTATCGCACCACACGTCTATCGATCGATATATATTGTTATCGAATTATCGTCCAGCACTATATATACGTTATTCTGAAAGAAGATTATAAAAGGGAGATATATCAATAAATATCGCTTTTATTCAACAACAGTAAAGCCAGTAAACTAATTTTACCATATGCTTTCAGCAACAAACGTTAAGCTCAAATGATAAAGTCCCATCCTTTAAGAGAGATAATGTAAATTATAACTTTAGTCAGAGTTTAAATAGAAGAGTTTACAGGAGGATGCATGAATTAGTGAAGGATGCAACAAGTGTCTCTGAAAAGGCATTAAACACAGGTCTTCACCCGGTTACATTACTAAGACTCAAATAACATTTTTAGAGAAATCTGACACAATAATAGATGAGACTGGCAGAGTGAGAAAGAAGTTCCACAAACCCAAACACTCACCATAATAAAACTGTTGAACACTTACCCTTTACCTGCTGTTGCTTTTCGATGCCAGACCTTTCCCTCTTCTTTATTTCCTATGTCTGTCACTTCCATTTGAAAGACACTCAGAACATGAGTTTAAAAAATGTAAAAAGTCTTAATTATTGATGTTACATTTAGAGACTGACCCAGTCTACAGCACCCTAAGCTAACAGGCTTATCCGTTTAAAGGCGGAGCAAACAGCGCCAAATTTGAAAGGATACCGATCGATGCAAGTATTTTTGTTCTATCAACACTCAAAACGGCCAGCTCTGTCAAATTATCTGCTCATTTGAGGTCAAGAATCCATCTAACTGAGAAATTTGATCCGTATCATCTTTAGCTTCACTATCTGGGAGTTTTGTATTTGTTGTGTGGACGGTTGCTCTGTCGCCTACAGTTGGCGTATACGGTAAGAGGTGCATTGTGGGAGTTGTAGTCCCTAACGTTCAATGGAAATTTGTGACTTTCCCTCCCCCAAAGACGTGTTTTTGTTTCTGTTTTTTTTTATTGTACGTTTTACAAAGTAGAGCATTGTTTTACACCCCTCCATTTTAAAACGTGCTGCCAAACCCTTAAAGTGTTCACTTTTTCCTTCTTCTTTTTCTCTCTTATGTATTTGATAGTTTGGGCCTGTAGACACTGGTCCAGCTCGAGCTCTCAGGTCCCTCACATAGCTGCTGTAGGAAAAATAAACTGCTGTTTGACACGCCTCCTCACGCTGCTGGCTGCCTCTGGATGGCCGAGAAGGAGCTTTAACAAATTACACAGGAAGTAAAGTAACAATACAAATCAATGATCAAAACCCAGTGAGACAATTAAGAAGCTTCCGGTTTTACAGTTTTCTTCAAAGTACGAGCGTGGTACAAACAACTAAACACGGATACAACTGGTACTATTAAAACACAAGCAGTCAACAATTGAAAATAATGAACAGAGGATATACACGCATTTGTTTTTCTTCCCTTCCATTACATATAATGGTATACTACATTACCTGCCCAATTGCAAATCTGCTTATCCCAGGTTATTTTGCACTACTCAAACAGAAATGTTTGCACCAATTCTTAAAAATAATTATCCGGCTTACACTGATATCCAGCTTTAAGCATTTAAATGACAAGAGCCCACTTCCAAAGAATAAAAATGCTTTCATTACTTTGTTCTGTGCTACTTTAGAAACATGCTGGTGCGTGACGATGGCCTCTGTGGCTCTGGGGCCACTCCTCTGAGAATTTAGAAAGCTCATTTTCAGTTCACTGAAACAAAACAGTGGTGGTTAAACACTTGTTAAGCTGGCTAATGAATACAATACTTCTTCTCTCCCCTGTGGAGGAGATGGAGGTCTACAAGTACCTGGGCGTCAATATCAACAACAGACTGGACTGGAAATCCAACACCGACGCCGAAGGGGATGAGCAGACTCTACCTCCTGAGGAAGGAGATCCTTCAACATGTGCAGCAAGATGTTGGAGATGTTCTACCACTTTGTGATGGCCAGCATACTTTTCTTCGCTGTGGTTTGTTGGGGGAGCAGCATCGGAGCCAGTGACACCAACAGACTCAACAAACTGATCAGGAGGGCTGGTTCTGTGATTGGCTGCAAACAGGACACTGTGAAGGCTGTGGTGGAGAGGAGAACACTGATCAAACTGATATCCATCATGGGTAACCCTGACCACCCTCTCCACCTCACTCTGGACAGACAGTGGAGCTCCTTCTCCAACAGACTGTTGCAGCTCCACTGTCGAAGGGACAGATACAGGAAATCTTTCCTGCCACGAGCAATAGCACTATTCAATAACTCACATCTGTCGGACAGAGACTCCCATATGTCCGCTGTATAGTCCATTTTTATAAACTCCTACCACAACACATTACTGAGCACCTTAAATTTTTTGTTTATTTATTATCCCATCTGTATATTTAGCATTTCATATTTATAACTCATTTCATATTTATTACTCATTTCACATTTATTACTCATTTCATATTAGTACTACAAGTGGATAGTCCGACTGATCATCCCAATAAGCCTGTCGTTCTGTTTTCCAAGTAGCCATAAAAAAATATTTCTATCAAGTGAAAACTAACTGGCTTTGTTCACTTTTTGCCCCAGTTTCTACCAAGTATTATTGGTTCAGTTTTACTTTGAAAAGCTGGACCGGAAGTACGCGTTGCTCTCAGTCACCTTTGTCCAGTTAGCTGTCTTTGATTAGCCACGTCATGTAAACTTAGCAGCGCAGCAACTCCAACAGAGAAGCAGCCCCGTGTCCCAAGTGTTTATTTATATTTGTTCGTTTTGTGAAAGGAGCCTTTATTTCGGGGTAATATCTCGACAGACATCGCATGGAAAGATGTCAGATATCGGGGACTGGTTCAGAAGCATCCCGCTCATCACCCGGAGCTGGTTCGGTGCCTCCATCGCTGTCCCCTTTATCGGGAAACTGGGACTAGTGGATTTCAGGAATCTGATGCTGTTCCCGGAGCTGATTATAAACAGATTTCATGTGAGTATGATTGGATTATATTCCCCAGTGTTTGTGGGAGACCATCATAAAGGCTGTGGTTGGTGTGTGTGTTGTTTGGGGTTGGTCAGTTAGCAGGTGGCTAACAGGGCTCACTCAGCAGGCCACAACTGCCAGACAGCCAATGAGAGGCTGAGACGTAGGAGTTTACAACTTCCGGTAGCTGTCAAAGTGTGCTGTATTGAGCAACACTTGTGCTTACATTCACCTGCATGAACACAAAATCAGCATTAAAGTGGTATTTAAACTCCCAAATGTGGAACAACGGTCAACTGCTTCTTTGGGCGAAACAGAAGCCGTAATAGTCAGGAGATGCTTTGGATTTTCATGCTGTAAAATCAAAAAGGTGTTTTAATTAGGGCCCGACCGATTTATCGGCGAGCCGATTGAATCGGCTAATTCAGCCCATTTGAGACTAATCGGTAATCGGCCAAAACTCGCCGATTTTCGCCGCTTTTTTCAGAAGTAAAATGCGGAGAATAAGATTCAGTTTCACTTCAAAAATATTCCGCCATTTGAAAAGTTCCCCAACTTATCCTGTAGATGGTGCAGCGACCTCATGATAATCTTCATCCACTAACTACCTCACAGCACAGCTAAGTAATGGATCTGAAGCAGGCAGCTCAGGGATGCACAGAGGAGAGTAGTCCGCCTCAATGGTAAATAAACCATTTTGTGAAATACACAATAAGTCAACAAGTTTCAGTTCAACCCACTTCACAATGTTCCCCGCTGTGCTGGTATCGGTCACGCCGAGTTAACAGTGAAGCACCATGTAATATGCAAGCTAAAGTTAGAGTTAGCCATCTGCAATTAGCCTTGCTACACTGTTAGCCGTGCCAGTAACGGTAGAATAAACAACAGCACACATTACGTGATCAAGCTGCTTCTCTTACTGGGGCAGCTGCATGTCTCCAGATGAGACCGGACCAGAAATGAGTAACGTGAGTTAAGATGCGGAGGCACCGATCGGCGCGGGGGGGTTATCAAAAACGCTTTTCTGGTCCGAGTTTGATCATTTGGTCTTCCTGTCGGCATGAAGAGTAGTAGCCTACAGTATATCTACAGTATATATATATTTTATAACTTGATAAAAAAAAAATTAAAAATCGGCTGATAAATCGGTAATCAGATTTTTCCCCCCTTATAATTGGTATCGGCATTGGCAAATCCATATCGGTCGGGCCCTAGTTTTAATTCCTACCAGGGGTGTACTGAGACTTTTCCAATCTAAGAGCAGATTTTCAGGTGGCATAGTTACACAAAGAGAAGCAGAGCCGGCCCAAGCCTCAATGGGACCCCAAGCAAAAATTTGATTTTGGGGCCCTCAATTTCTGCCAATAATATTGATTTTTGGATCATTCACACACCTACAGTATAACTTTAATGTCTTTACACATTTAAGGGGGTGGCCCAGGTAATATCTTAAATAACATCAATGCAACCATACAAATAATACCAATGAATGATTGATGAATGATGCTCAGGGTGCCACATAGGGTTTTTAATCTTTAAATGTAACACATTCAGGATGCTCAGTGCACATTGCACAGCAGAGGGCACATAACAGTAGCAGAACTTTGACATATCGGCAATAAGAATCATAGGCCTACATCAGCAGCAGCACTAAAATATTTTTGCTTTATTTTATTTTCACAATAATATATAGTTGATCATACAAAAAGCAAAAAATAAAAAAATATAAAAAGTTTTTTGATTGCTCTTGGGGCCCCCCTACTGGCTGCAGGGCCCTAAGCAGGCGCTTAGTTCGCTTTCAGTATCATTATTCAGAAAGTGACTGTCTAATATTGTGTAAAGATAATAAAATCTTGTACAGTTTCACAGCATAACTGTTACACTAGAGCTTTGACCATTAAAAGAATGTTTTTTTTATAACAACCCCTGAACTTTCACCACCAAAACACTTTTTTTAAAACTTTAAAACTAAACTCCTGTGAGCAGTTTTAGTTTATGGTTTTGAAATAGATTTAATTAACAGTGATGCAGCGATGACCCTCAAAACTCAGCCATTGATGATAAAATCTACTGTGTTTTATTCCATGACTTTGAATGACTGCAACGAATGTGAAGAGGGTAGGCGTCTGAAAACACTGCTCACAACATGCTGAATAACAGCCTCTCAATGATGACAGTTTTTCTAGAAAATGCAACTTACAATATAGCTTCAAAAAATCAGCACTTACAGAAAGTTCCACTCCGTAGCTCTCAGCTTTTGGTCTCAAAACTCAACTATACTTAGATAACATTTGACACACTTTGGCTTGCGTGACAATAACAATTTGTTACTGATATCTGCGATAAACAGATAATGTGGTCCCGCATAGCTTACTGTTTTTCTCTATTTACTGAAATGTATTTGGATGCCGAGTAACCCCATAAGAAATCAAACAGTAACCTTGTGACTGCATATCATCCTTAAGGGAAAATGAAGATGAAAACCGTGATTAATCGAATTATTTCTAAATGGCAATGCAGATCCCACTGGATTAAATGCTCCGAAATGACCCTTATTGTCACATTTTCTCAAACTAATTAAAGTGTTGACGCACATCCAGTCACAACCTTTGTGTTGGTAGAAGTTATTGCACTCCGTGTCGTACTTTGTGGTTGTCCTCCCTCATTTTCCTCCTTGATAAAAAAGCTACTTCAAACAGGAAAATCTCATCACACCTTAGGTCACCTCTTACATGTTGTACTGATTCTAATCTCTGACATCCTTAAACTAAACCTTTGAATCTGAATGCCACTGTTTAATGTGTATGGTTTATTCCATGAGAGATCTCACAGGCGTTAAAAGAAGAGCCTTTGGAGTCCAGATCCACAAACAAACCGAGCTCTGCTAATGTTTTCACACTGTTTTTAATTGTGTATTTTTCCTTTTGTTTGTTTCAGCTATGGAGACCTGTCACAGCCACCCTGTATTTCCCCATAACACCTAACACTGGGTTTCTGTATATGGTCAACCTATATTTCCTCTACCACTACTCCACACGGCTAGAGACAGGTGAGACCAGCTCCTTTATCGGCCTGTTTCAGTCCAGATAGTAAACGTTTGGTGGTTTTTACCCTTTGTTCTTGTGTTGTTTTCCAGGAGCATTCGATGGCAAACCTGCAGACTATGTTTTCATGCTTTTGTTCAACTGGATCTGCATTGTTGTATCCTTTAAGTGCACAAAAATAACTTTTCCGTAAGTGTCCAACATCCTTCAAGAAGTCGTTTCGTACTTGTAAAAATGTATCATGGTTAGCTTGTGTCCCCCTTTAGCTTTGGTTGGAGCTTCATGCTGCCGTCTGTCTGTCTGTCTGTCTGTCTGTCTGTCTGAACACCCCTTCTCCCCCAACACACACACTCTCACACTCTCACTCTCTCTCTCTCTTCTCTCTTGCCCTCTCTCTCTCTCTCTTTGCAGCACTGTGCCATGTCAGGGTGGCTCTGTGCCAGTGGCCCAGTGTCAGTCTACCCCTGCAGAGCAGAGAAACCTAATCTAGGTCACATGCAGCACCAGTCTAACAGTCTGGGCTGCATCTCCACACTGTTCTGTGCATACTTCAGCCCTGACTTTTCATACATGTCTATATATTCAACCGTTAGGTCTGTGAGACAGGTCTGGGCAGATGTCCGACTATTTCCACGTCTGTTACCCCTGACAAATAGTGGGAATGGGTGTAGGAGGTCGTCTGCCTGTCTGAGGAAGAGGAAAGTGGCAGATTACAGTCAGTTTGTGTGGGGACATGATTTGGCAACCTTTCAGTAGCCCACAGTGATAATCTTTAAGTTCCAGCTGTGATTGTATTGAGCCGTGAGGTTGCTGTCCTTGACTCTGCTGCAGATAGTTGGAATGATGATGAACATGCAGGTGAGGAACTTCTCTCTCGCTCACAGTTTTTCCTAGAACAGGAATTCTTGAAGAGTGAATAAGCACTGATTTGAAATTATCACTGCGGATAGACAGTATGTTGGAGGATTTTCATGTTTCAAGCCAACTCAGATAGGCTTACCTAAAGTAAAATGATCTTTGACTAATTTCTATTTAGTATCTTTTTCAATTTTTCTACAACCTTTACATGACACTAAATTAGACAAATAGATGTGATGATGATAATAATAATAATAATACTAATAATAATAATAATTATTATTATATTAATAATGATCTATGTAGTACTTAAAAAAAAAGTTATAAAGTTCTGAGTAGTTAGAAACAGTTGATAAATAGAGGACATAGCAGTCAGCAGCTGTAGTTGTAGAAATCCGTATATCAACAAAAACGGTAAATAACAATTAACTAGTTACATCTTTGTTACTATCTCATACATGTTAAAGTCCTCCTACCAGCTTTTTAAACAGTGAACTTAACCAGACAGTATTTAGGAGCTTGTCTAAGGCTTTTCACTCCAGGGCGATATAATACTCAAAATACCAAGACTGCTCCTGATGTGAGTGGGACTTGAACAAACATTTGAATATTTCCTTTTGAAAACTGAAAACACAGCTGTTCTGGTATTGCTGTAGACGTTGTTTAACTGGTTTCATATTGTTGTTGTTGTTTTTCAGTTGCTGATGATCCCTCTGATCATGTCAGTGCTCTACGTCTGGGCTCAGTTCAACAAAGACACCATCGTGTCCTTCTGGTTCGGGACGAGATTTAAGGTTAAGTTTTATCCCTTCTAGTCGCATCTCATGTAGTAGAATCTGATCTATTCTCCATGAAGGTGTCTCATGTTTTACTGTCATATTAAAAAGCCTGTATTTATGGTAAAGTGAACTGTTCCTGTTCCTCAACACGGGAATAATTCAGTCTGATTAATGATGTTCTTCACACTCTGCTCTGATTTAGGCACACTATCTACCCTGGGTCATCCTGGCCTTCAACTTCATCATCGGAGGCTCGTAAGTAACTCACTTTGTATTTGAACTGAAGACACAGTTGAACAGGTGAATTGTAAGCCCAGTGTATTTTGAATGCAGTGTTTCCCCCAGGTTGGGAATTTACTTGTGGTGGTGGGCTGGGCTGGGCGGTGCCATGGTGTTATATAAGTGCATTCAAGATAATCTAGTCAAACTAAGGTTATGAACTATGTGTTATTTATTGCACATACAGGGCTCCAGGCTAACTTGTTTTGCTAAGAGCACAGTAACCCCTAACTAAAGATTTTAGGAGCGCAAGCAGAAAATTTAGGGGTGCACACTGTAACTTGACTTGCAAGTCAAATAATTCACATTTCCTCTTATTTTCACTGTATTACTGATAAATAGATAATAAATGCAGAAATTACAATGTGCTGTTCTATCATTACACTGACCAATGAGAAGATTTTTTTCGCACATGGCATTTGTTTACAACTTTAGACTGCTACAGATTGTTGCTTTGTTAACAAACAAGCCAAAGGAAAAATGAAAAAAAAAAAAGCTATTTACGAAGCTGACCGTTTCTGTCTGAGAAGTGTATCTTTCTTTGTTTTGAAAAAAAGATCTCTAATGCCTTTCTGTATGGAAAGGATTCAAGGTCAGATCCATTTATACTGATTCACCGCATTTGTCTGGAGGAAACCCTGCTGTCTATGTATCTGTATGTTTTTTTTTCTTTTCTTCTAAATTCTATTTTCATCTTCTTGGGTGGGCAACACTGGGGAAACACTGGAATGTAATATCACTGTATCAATTAAGATGACGACTGTTAGGGAATAGCCTTTATGCTACACTAGAAATCTGTGTGTTGCTTTGGTGATAGTACGGTCTAAGTATTATTCCTGAGGTAGTTGATTAAACTTCCTTGATTCTTTTTCTTAGGTTTGTAAACGAGCTGACGGGGAACCTGGTGGGTCACCTCTACTTCTTCCTCATGTTCAAATATCCCATGGACCTGGGCGGACGCTCCTTCCTCTCCACGCCGGAGTTCTTGTGAGTGTCAAAACTTTGCTTTACATTGGAGTTGTGACTATTATCAAATTTTTCCTTAAAATTAAGTCTTTTGCTTTTGCACCAAGATTTAGTGATGTCGATGCTACGTAAAAGTCAGACGTAAAAGGCAGTAAAATAGACAACCTGGCTCATGACATGCAAGTTAAGGGCTGCAGAAGCCTTATGTTGCCTGTTAGGAGCTGTAGCTTAGCTTTGCTCTCTTAAGGTCGAGGTTCATATCGGCCATTGAAAAGCTGAATCAATCAGTCAGAGTGGTTAGAAGTCTAGAAAAGTGCTATAAAAGTGCAGACCATTTGAATATTGTCATCCAAACTTTTTAAATACTCAGACTTAAAAAGGACTTCCTGGTTCAGTTTGAGTCATTTTGATCCCATGCTGATTTTGAAGGAAATGAATCTTTTCTTTCAACGTTTCACTTTTTCTCTAAGTATTATTTGAGATGGTCAGTCAAATGCAGTAACTACAGGAGGAGAATCTATTTTAATCATGCATAAACATGGAAACGTAGCCGGACAGATCAGAGCAGATAACCTTAACAAAACATGGTCACAAATTTACCAGGACATCAGATTTGCTCGATAGTTTGTCCTCTTCTCTCCTCTGATCCTCTCCTCCTCTCTACAGGTACCGCTTCTTCCCCAACAGGAGAGGAGGAGTGTCAGGCTTCGGCGTCCCGCCCAGCAGACCAGCAAACTATCAGGGGGGAGGAGGAGGAGGAGGAGGAGGAGGAGGAGGAGGAGGAGGATTTGGAGGACGACACGCCTGGGGCCAGGGCAACCGTCTGGGGGGTGAATGAGAGAAGACAAGAGGAGAGAGCTCCACCCTTAACCCCGCCCCTCTTTGCTCCTGATCACAACATGGTTGTGCAGTTAATGTTTCCGGTTAAAATTCTTGCTTTTTCACACTATAATTTAAACTTGATCTTACACTTTTTATTTAGAGTCTACAGTAGGTTGTTATTCAGAGGAAGCAAACATTTTAACCAAGACAGCTCTGCACAGCAGGACTCGGACTCTGGCTTCAGCTTCACTAACAGAGTATGGCCAGCTCCACTAAAAAAAAAAAACACTGGGGATGTGTTCATGTGAAGCAGGTAGAAAACAACAATAAACAGATTTTTTTATGCAATTATTCACTCTCTCCTCCCGTTTCCTTTCTTGCTTCTGTCCGCCTCTTCTCACCCCGTCTGCCACCTCTCCCACCCTGCCTTCAGACTGTCACAACCAGAGACGTTGCAGCTGCACACCAGCATGCTGTAGATTTCAATTCATGTGTTCCCGTCTTCTCTCTGTGACGCCATATCAGATTACATTGTAATTACAGACGCACCGGGAGTGTGCTCTCGGCCGTTTCTGCTCCAAACATGGGCAGAGCTGTGCTAGACGGCACCGTTTCTAGGTCTGAATAAACACGGGTGTAAGATGTTTTTGTAAGCCTCACAGACCAGACCTTCTGTCTTAAAATGTGATCTTAACCAAAATCAGGTGATGATGGGATTCTGCCCTTTTTTGTAAATACAACAGTTGTTTATTGAAAGAATGCCTGAGTGTGTCTTTAATGTCTGCTGCGGTTCTTGAATTACATGCTGGTGAAACACAAATTAAAGCGACAGTGTTGAGAATGAATAAGAACAGACTTGGAAGAGATGGAATATACTATTCATTCATATGTTTGTGTGGAGGCTGCCAACTTAAACCTCCATGTGTCTACACCATAGACTGTATACACTATGGACAACTTGGTTCCGCCTTCCGCCAGTAAACAGATTTGAAGCCAAAAAGGTCTCAGTATTTCCTCCACTTCCTGAAACCACCACTTGCGCAGGAGGATTGTATGTATTCAGTGGGAGAGTCGTTGTGATGGCGCTCGGCTCAAACAGCACATCCCCCGGGTGAACTACGTAATCTTCTGCGCCAAGTGTCAATTGTAGAAAACATGAACCCCATAATAACTTTTAAAAATGGAGCCACACAGGAAAAAAAAGGACTTGAGCACAAACCAGTCTTACAGTAACTATATGTCAACAACCAGGGGGGAAAAAGTTTATATTCTATGTAATAAATTTCTAAAGTTTGTCCACAGCTCCATAGGGATTGCTGGAGGAGGCAGGATTTATGACCTATACTGCAGCCTGTCACCAGAGGGTGCTGTTCTCACGGAGGCTTTACCCAGCGAGGAGTCAGACGGGGTCCATTCTATATACAGTCTATGGTCTACACTGTTACAAAACAGATAAATTTTAGACAAATGTGATTTTGTATTTAGTGGGCGTCTGCCAAACTACATCAGTTGAAAGCTGAAGAAGAAGAGTGTGTATTGTGCACTGAAGAACTTCTGTTGACATTTGTTAAAAACCTATTATGCTTCACAGAAGCTTCTTGTCCTCAAAGGTCACTGTCGTCTCTGTGATTTCACAATTGGATGGGTTGAGCAAGCAAGCATTTCACTGTAGAATATGAGTTTATACACATGGTACCTTTACTGTCAGTCCCTTTATACGTTTCTAATAATAAGCTAATCTGCCGGGTTAGTTATGCCATTATTAGCTTGTTCTATAATTGTTGGAAAGTAATTAAATTTATCTGCTTATTTGGCTTAATTATAGTCCAAAACTCAAATATTTAACAACACAAGTTAAAGGAAAGCTGAAACACCTTGGCTTGCATACATTTGTGCCCCTAAAAAGGAGTCAACCGTCAGTTTGTCACACAAGAAAGTGCCGAGAAGTTGTATGTCCATTCATTCAAAGTCTCTGAAACCACATGTGTAGCTCTTGCAGTTTGTAAATTGTTATATTAGTAGATGTGGTGATTCCAGTGTAAGCTTTATCCAAGTTTTTTTACTGATGTTATATAAAAGCTGAAATAATAATCAGGAACTCCTGTCTTTCAAACTAACCCAGACAGGTGTCATGGATCAGAAGGTGGCGAACTGAAGTAAAACTCAGACTTGAGCCAACTCAGTTGGTTGTTTAGCAGAAAAAAAGGTTTGTGTTGAGATATTTGCTTTGACAGTTCAAAGTTTACCTAAAAGGTGAAAATCAACCCCTAAATATGAGCAGGGGTTTATGTCCACATCAGTCGGGTCATGTTAAAAGTATTTACCGAAATATTTCAAGATTAAGAAAAACTGTTGAAGTGTGTTTGAATCAAACACGGGCTGGACTGATGTGTAGCTTCAAAGATATAAGACAATACTCCAACAACCAAACCCAGGTGAGAACAATACTTATCTCTGAGGTTTTTATATACACAATTTACAGTAGAAGGCGTTTTTTTTTACACTTTGTTGTGTATTTATTGAGTTACAGCAGACTTAAAGTAGAAAATGAAAATGCAAGCAGTTTTTCAAACTAGCCAACAGAGTGTAGAGTATCCCAGATACTTGAAACTAAAGCAGCAGCAGCAGCAGCAACATTCAGCCAGCAGACAGCAGTACACCTGCTGCCGAGGACAGGATTCACTGACAGTTCAACTTGACTCATTTGGCTCGCTGAAATATTGCAAGCGCTTGCGGTTTGAACCAGAAAAACGAAGAATTCCCTTTTAAACCGAATTTTGAAATGAGCTGCTGAAAACCATAACGGTCAAAGCACATGCAAGCAGTTCTCTAGACTCCAGATGCTTTTCGCTGGTTTTCAGGAAACCAGCACAGAGTTGATCGTGTTTCTCTGCAGCTGCAAGATTCATAAATCATTTCAGGTGTTTGAACTGACTGTACAGAAACCCGGAAAGTGAATCCAGCTCAGGTTTGGGAGGACTTTCTCGTGTCAGTGAGTCAAGATGTGTGCTCCCGGATCACAGCTGGAAAAGTGCGAACTGGCTGAAGGAAAAGGAGTTTGGTTATTTTGCCATGTGTGAGACACATCTGCTGTAATGTTCCTGGCAAAGAACAGTCGATAATATTTCAAGATCTAAAAACAAAGTAAGGGATAGGTGACACCATCATGGTCAGTCTGAGCCGGACAGAAAATGTCAGGGAGCTGAAAAGGCAGCACGGTGCGACTGAAGCCACATTTCACTCTCCTCTTTATGTGATCGATCCTTTTGATAGCAGGAGAAACACTCTGGACATTTGCACCATGGGTACAGATCAAAAACCAGCAGATTTGAGAACATACTGAAAGTCAGGACATATAGTGCATTTGTTTATTCATTCATTAGTCTGGGCCTGTCCCTGTGGCTGTCCGTGGTCACACTCTGGTCTCTGAGCAGTGGCGCTGAAGCTGTGTTTAAACAGACTAAAATCATTTGTCACTCTGAACCGCCTCTCCAGCACTTCAAAGTAATTTCCGGTGAGTCAAAGTGCTGCTGCAAGAGAGACAAAGACTTACTGTTTCCTAACAGTTTGAGATGAAGTGACCAAGTGTGTAAATATCTATCGCTACCATGGAAATATACGCAAGTGCCATCAAACACGACTCATACTGAGTGCTGTGTATTATGCTTTTCAAAAAAATAGGACCGATTTTCAGCAAATAACAAACTATCATACACTTTGATCTTAAAACAACAACAGAATGACATTCCAGGCTTTTTTGGGCACTGTTCAGACTTTTTCTTTAAAAATGTAACAAAACTCGCCCTCCCAGTAAAACTGTACAAAGCTCTTTTTTTTTTTTTTGTAATACAGAAAAATATTTACAAGGGTGCTTCTTTTTCTTAAAAAAAAAAAAAAAAAAAAAAACACAAACAAAGGTGTAGTAGTCAAGTCCAGCTTTGGCACTCCTCTTGATGTCAGCATCTGAATTACACATCAGTGCTTTAACTTCTCTGCTCCACAGTCTCTGGCGCTTTGTGATGTTTCATCACTGGATTCACTGTCGGTCATCTTGAGTTGTGATTCGATGTTGGATGACTCAGTGTTTTGTAATTTTTACGACCTGGACAGAGTGAAAAAAAAACTGATTAGTGTTATTGTGTTATTGATGTTGTTTCCACATGATTTAAAAGGACCCACTGGAATATTATCAAGTGGTGAAACTTTGATATGACAAACTTCCAAAAAATTATTTTGTGCACATGAAACTACTCTTCAATTGGCTATAAAAAGTAGGGCCCGACCGATTTACTGGCGAGATGATTAAATAGGCTAATTTTAGCCCGTTTGAGACTAATCGGTAATCGGCCAAAACTCGCCAAATTTCGCTGATATTTTCAGAAGTAAAATGCGGATATTCAGTTTCACTTCGAAAATGTTCCGCCGTTTAAAAAGTTCCACGACTTATCCTGTAGATGGTGCAGCGACCTCATGACAATCTTCATCCACTAACTACCTCACAGCACACAACAAATATTTTTTTTATAGCTTCACAATTTTTTTTTTTAAAAAATTGGCAAATTAATCAGTAATCAGCCCCAAAAAACCATATCAGTTGGGCCCTAATAAAAGGAACAATTCATGAAAAAAAAAAAAAAACTATCCATATAAGACCCTCAGCCCCCCCATGACTGTTTCCGTGTGTGTGTGTGTATGTGTATGTGTGTGTTTTAATGTGTGTGAGTGTCTTTCTTCATCTTTGATGCTAATGATGGTGTGGGTCCAAGTATCATCCTGCCATCCCAGCATGCCATCCTCTTGACGGACTAATCAGAGGTAATTAACACTCTAATAACTTCCTGGGTAGCAGGAGGCTGCAGCTGTGGCGTCTTTAAAAGGAACAGTTCACCATTTATTTATCTATTTGTTCGAGCCAAGTCACACAGTGGGGCCTCTCAAAGCTCCAGCCAATCATTTGCTACAGCCAACTATCCTTGATGAGGATCATACATAGAAGGCTGGAGCGTATCCCAGCATGCATTGAGAAGCAAGGACACACCAGAGCTTTCACAGCAGTACCCATGTTGGTTTTGTAGTCCTAGTTTTGGCTCCAATTAAATTCCTCTGTGATAATAAATAAAATGGAGTTGAATCTTTATGACAGACATTTTCTGCTTCAAACAATATGAACAAGACATACACTAGACTTGGTAGAAAAACCCCATAAAGAATCACATTTTAACCAAGTGGCTCGATGGAGCATTTTAGTGTCTTTCCCCTCATTATTTTGGCTGTAGGGTCCAAAGCTGTACAGTTGTGTTCCCTTTTGGTTTTCCAGTCTCAGCATGCAGCTGTAAGGATCATCAAAAATGTGAACTGATGAAGGATCGAGTCGGAAGCAAACTCTGTGAGGCAAGATGCAAATATTTTTCTAAGGACAATCCATTGGTGAGGAACCATTTTAAACTGGTTATGAAACAGACTTAGATTAACGGTGATGCATTTTTGTGGTCTATATAAGTAAACTAGTTAACAAGCAAAAAGGCAGATGATTTCTATACTGTCGTTTTAAATACTTGTTACTGCTGTCTGTGTGGGGGTAGGTGTCAGAGGAGGCGATTTACACCACAGTAAAGAGAGATGTTGTGATTCTTACCTCTTCAACAGCAAATACTCATGATGAGTGGCAGATTTGACAGTTCGAAGGAAACAGGACGAGTTTTTAATCAGAAAACGTAATTCACATATGAAGAGGACTAGATAAGCAGAGTTGTAGGGTTATCACTCTGCCAACAGGGGGCGCAAAAACGACAAAAAGAGTTTACCACAGGAGCTGCAAAGACCATGTTGATCCATCTCGATTGAATTTGTGAGCAAACAATAGTAATGAAAGCTAGATCAGACTTAAAGCTCTTCTAGGGAACTTTCAGTTTGAGCCAATTTTGGCGCCCCCCTGTGGATGAAGCAGCCTTTGCTGATTTCGTCTTCTTCATGCTTAAGTATTGTTTTTGTCCCTAATCAGCAGGAATAGATTTTGTTGCCAGGTCAAATATAATTTGTGAGTATTTATAGCAGAAAATGTAAAATCAGGTCTGTTTCTTCGGCTGCTTGGCTGACACCGACCCTCACTCTTGTTGCAGACATAAACAATAATGTTATACAAATGATCAGTCTTGTCCCTGGTAGTCAATATGAATTCAATCCACTTCATTAACGTCCGAAACTCCCCATAGGAGCTTTAAATGGCCACAACATCTCTGTGTGATTGAAAATAATGATAAAAAAACTCAAGAAGGTTTTAATTTGTGCCACTGTTGTGAAGCCCCTTTTCCTGATTCTTTAAAAATAAATGACAGATAGCTAATGTCTGAGGCTTTCTCACTTGTTCCACTTACATGTTCCTCATTATCACATCATTTCTTTATTTTACGTAAGTTAACTCACCATCAACCAGTGACCCTCCCAGTTTGCTCCAAACTCAGAACGTCAGTCTCGGTTCCCAGTTTCTGTTTTTCCACTTCTTCTTGACTCTCCTCTCCCACTGCCACAGTCACCTTCACCCATCTGACAACGACACGGACACTCATCATGAATATAAACAACTCCTTTTAAACAAAAATATCATAAAATGGGGAAAGATTCTTTTTAAATCGAAAAGTTTTGTGAGAAATGCACAAAGATTTCGATGATGCAACACATAGAAAGTGCATGAGTGGAGTGATTCAGCATCCATAACTTGTTGTGCCCATACAGTTCTGTATTTTTAGCCTGTTTACAGAAAAACCTTAAAATAACTCCTCAGATATGCCGTAAAAAAAATCTAATATTGGCAGGAAGCTGATCTTTTTTTGTCTTCATAAACATGAATCTCCCACTAGAAAATAAATATAGGATGAAAAGGATCTGTTTTCCTCGCTACACCCACCTTCCTTTGTCAGCAGCAGCAGCAGCAGCAGAGCTGGTCTGGTCAGGTCCGGCCCGGCTCAGATCCGTCACACTGTGGGTTAGCCTGTCTGTCAGCCACTGGACTTTGTCTTGGTCGGACAGCTTGGAGCGCTCTGGAGCTGCTGCTGTGTTTTCGGCAGACTCCTCGACTGCAAAAATGTGCAACGCAGCCGAGAAAACACAGTCAAACAAGTGTGTAAAACACTTTGCAATATGATAAAAATAGAAAAAAAAAGCAGTCTACTCCAAACTCACTTTTCACAGCCTTGACTTCCAAGGAAACAGTCTGTTTTTTCTCAGAGCTCTGGCCATTCTGTTCCTGGCTGCTTCTCTGCGGCTCTGTGAGGTTTGGATTTTGGAAACTTTCCATCCAGTCCAGAGTTTCACTGTTTTTCAGAGCTGAGCGGTGGTCCTTGAACCAGCGGACAATGTCAGTGCGTCCCAGGCACGTTTGGACCTCCAGCTGGCTGTATTCCTCAGGTGACGGCCACTGAGTCCGACAGAACATCTGTGAAGAACATGAAACATTAGAGGTGTAAACACTGCAGATAGCTTGCCTCTTACAGGTACAATAAGGTTTCTTCTAAACATGAGACCCGAGAGTCTCAGGTGATCACCAGGTGCATCACATATTTACAGGGTGAGACTCTTCAGCACCAGTTTTGTTTGGCGTCAATAGCAAGAGGGAAAAGAGATCCCTCATTTATTCTTAATTTCTGCCAAAACCTTTACTACAACTTCATCCAAAAGAAAGTAGCAAACTTGTTTTTATCAAACATAGGAGAGCACATGAGTAGCTTATGAATTATGATTCACACTTACAGACTGAACCACCAAAGTGAACAAAGAGCAGTTAAAATTAGCTCAACATCCACCCACCACAACAGCGAAATGCTGCTGGCACATAAAACCCACAGTAATTACAAATCAATAATATACAGTACGGTGTGGAATAAACCCAGAGGGTCCTTTTTCAAAACTATGTAAATCAGTGTCAACATTAATATTTAAAGCTCCTATGGAGTTTTTTTTCACATGAAGTACACTGAAATTTGTACTGATGACTTTTCATGAACAAGACCGTCAGTGAGAGGACGGGTGATTTTGCCATCCTAACTATTCATGCTGGTGCAAGGAAACAGTTTTGATTTCATTGTTTTCCATGTAAACTATCTACAATCAGTGACACATTTGCCTGTCAAAAGTCAGTACAACAATATTTTTTGTCAAAAATCCATGCTTAAGCACTAAGAGAACAAGATAAGTAAACACTGATTTGTCCACAGGGGGGCGCCAAAACTGACACAAACTGAGAGATACTCACAGGAACTTTAATTTGGACTCTTATACCTTCACTGCTATGAGGGGATTCAATGATGCAGTAGTCTTTGCTGAAAATAACCCCCTCTTACTGTGAGTATGCAAGTTAAGATGGTAAATATAGCAAAAATAGCTGCATGTCAGTATTTACATGAAGAGCATGTTAACAAGCTCCTGTTGGCCTAAATACAATATTAAAATAAATAACCCATCCAAAGAAAACAGTGCTATATTATTAAAGCTCCTGTGGGGAGAATAGACTGAACTGCTTTTAGAAGCTTTTTTTATGATATACAAGAGAAAACAGGATCATCATTAAAAAGTTCTGAACATTTTGTTCAGTACTTTTTAATGCATGAAACCAGGCCAAGAGGGTAGGTGAGATTCCAGCAGCTGAAGAAAGAGCCATGAAATATTCACAATAAACGACACAGCAAAGATGTCAGAAAAGAGAGGGATGAGTTTTCTGCCCACAGGGCGCACATTAAGATTGACATGCACCAAAAGTTACTCTCAAGAGTTTAAGTAATTAATAGGGCTGTAAAGTCCTAGTCATGCTGAGTCGACCAAAATTCTGATTGGCCGACTTGATCTTTCTCCGTGTCAATTTACAGTTTATGGTTAATTTCATCATGAGGAATGTATAATCGGGGTGTTTTCAGAGCACCCTATTTCACAGGTAACAGCCTGTCTCAGAACACCCCCCTTGTTTTCACCATTTTGGATTCGCCCAACCTACTGGAAACTGATTGGAGACAGGAAGATTGAAGAGCGTCCACGTTAGTCAACGTCTGGTGGTTTGCAGATTATAATATTTGTGTTTAATTGCGTTCCTGTGCTGATACCTGTATATTTTCATCCCGCCGAGCAGCATCATTCCCCTCTGCAGAAGGGTTTGCCGTCAGAGTTGGAAAATCCCCCTCACCATTAGTCGATTTTGTTTGAAAATTTCAGGGTTTTAGTCGACCAAGAATTTCTTTGGTTGATTACAGCCTAGTAATTAAACTGTGTAAAATTTGACTGAAGAGACTCTTTAATCAAAAAACAAATATATAGCAGCTGAAGTGGATAGCTGGGTGGATTGGATGCTCGTCAGTGGATTCACACCATCACTCTGACTTAAAAGTGCCATTTGATCAGTCTACTGGAATATAGAGATGGAAAAACATTGTGATCACAGCATTAATCAACAGTTACTAAACGTCTCTGATACTATTGAGCCGGACAGCACGTGTCCAGATGACTTATTTCATCCATTACTGGAATAACTAGTATGCAACATCCTACATACAGTATTAGTCTTTTATCCATACTGCAGGTATATCGTAGGATCAAATCTGATGGGCTTAATACATGGCCAGCATGAGAAGACATATATGGGTCAGTCTTAACTGACAGGCTGCATCTGTACAATCTGTTACAAAGCAAACATGGAGAGACGTCTCTTAGATATATGTTCCATTTATAGGCTGCGTTGTCCTATGGGAAGCTGCTGTATTCCAGACAAACTACTCCGGCACCTTCTCTTTACATTGACAGATCTGACCTCAAAGTTGCCTCGTTTCATCTCCCATTTCTAATATTAGAGTATCAGCACTGTCAGTCACACAGCTTCTCCTCAAGTACCCGTACGACACCTTCAAGATGAATTCATTTTATACATTTCACTTCAGGTTTATTAAAAGATGACATCAAGTAATCTCTTTACAGTCTGGACTCATTAGTGTCTCACTGGCCTATAACAGCTGTTTCAAACATAATCACCTTTTTGTCGCACTTAAGTTCTTACAAGTGTCATTAATGTCTAACTAGTGTTGATGTGACGTGTTCTTCTGGAGCTCCTCTTACCTCTCTCAGCAGGACGAGGGAGCGACCAGCGATGGGAGCTGGGCTGGTGGAAGCTGACAGGATGGGGGGGTGAGGGGAAGAGGAGGAGGAAGAGGTGAGGATGGGAGGTGACGCCGAGGACGAGAGCGCTGGAGGATGAGGAGAGGAGGCTGCGAGGACAGGAGGGGAGGATGAGGATGAGGAGGAAGAGAGGAGGGGTGGGTTAGGAGAGGAGCGTAGAGGTTTCCCTTCCTGCTCCCGATGAGAGGCTCCGTTCAGCAGCGCCCCCGGCCGGTCCGCTCTGTCCTCTGTTGTCTTTGAAGCCATGGTGAGCAAAGCCTTCTCCATGTTGTCTCTCAGTGCCCGTCTCTCTGAAAACCAGCAGTCCACCTCCGTCTTGGACAGCCGGGTCTCCTGAGCCAGCAGGTCTACAAGACATGAAAGTTCAGAGGATCAGACGAGCTGAGCCACCTTGAAGTGGAAGATTATTTTGGAATCTGGGCTCTCTGGGAGATTTAAAAATGGGCTCATTAAAAACATTTATGCTATTCCTGTCATGCAGGCGCCCACCAGAGACGTGTCTGTGGCTCTTTGGGGTGAAAGAAAATAAAATCACACGCTGTCAACAAGTATAAAAAGAAGAAAACAAAACTGGACTTCTTTAAAGGTTGTTTACATCTATGATACAGAGTGAGCCTAATGACTCTGACCAGAATGACAAGCAACTCAAAATCCCTCACACACTTCAACTTAAAGCTGTCAGAAGTTTCTTCAAAAGTATTTTTAAGTCCTGTGATAATATCCCCCAGAAACCTCCCAACATAAACTCATCCTAAAAATAGTCATTGGCTGGCAGGTCCATTCATTGGCCACAAACATGCAGGAGGGCTGTGTGCTGATTCTGTAGGCTGACTTTATGTACTAACACTAACAATCTTTTAAATTGGCCAATTTCAGCCCGTTTGAGACTAATCAGTAATCGGCCAAAACTCACCGATTGATGAACACCGACTGATCAAACTTGGACCAGAAAAGCGTTTTCAACTGTCTCTCAACTTTTTCAACATTTGTTGAAAACTCTTACTACACAGAGTGAACAGCAGCAGATCCACGGTCTGATGTCAGGCATACCTGATTGCACTCATCTAAGCCCCAATCTTGAAGGAAATCCCTCATGTGGAGCCTCTTTTAGCAACAAGCTGCTTAGAAACGTCTTCTTCATCACCTTCAGCCATGTTTGTTTGTTACTCTGCTCTACGTGGGCTTTGGCTGTCACTCACACTTACTTCATCAGCTTGCATTTATTGTATTTATCATGAGATGACAAATACTTATAATGGAGGATTTTTCCGACGGTATATATCGTGAACAGTAATTCATTGCCCATCCCTGTCTGATGCGCAACACAAGCAAGGATCTATACAAGAGGGGACAACACTAGAAAGTGCCACAAACACCTTCAAGTCCCACTGCACACAGGTGTTGACGTGCAGTGGATCTTAAAAGGTTATTTTTTTAAATCACTATATCAATATTATTTTCACCAAAGCATCAGACATGTCATCATCGTCATTAAACCTCAGCATCATTAACGCCATCGACCTGAATCTCTAGCACCAAACTCCCACGAGTAGAGTTGTTCACAAAGAGCTGAATTGAAAACTTTCCAAAATGTACGCCACAGCCAGCTGATACCTGATTGGTCAATTTTACTCAGACTACAAATGTGTACAATCTGTTTACCTGCAACAGAAACTTCAAAACTATGAAAAGTATACTCGAAATTCATCATATCTCTCTGGCAATGATGAAAAAAACAATATTTAACACATATTCATACTAATCAGTCGATCACACACTTTCTCTGTATTGGCATGACTTGTCTTTACAGAGAAATGCTCTGCTGTGGCTATTTTTATGTCGGGCTCAGCTGATCCTGCTTAAAAAAAACAAACAAAAAAAACAGAGATTCTGAGGACACAAAACCTGAAAATGGTCAATTTTATTTCATTTCAAGGTTTGTTCTCTGCAGACAAGTTGTTCATTTCCTCGCTGAACAGCCCAATCTTAGAATGACACCACACAAAGCTGAAAGAAGAGGGCTTTGATGCCGACGCCTATCTTTCACCTTTCTTGCAGTTCCTATCATTACAAACTGAGAGGCAAATGAAGAATGAGCCGACATGAAATGGGTTGGGAAGGTTGGTAAAAAGCTGTACCTCGATCTGCCTCTGTAGGGGAGCTGCTTCTCTGGAAACTTTCCTCCAACGCCTTCAGCTGCTCTGACGATTTGCCCTTCACTCTTTCCAGCAGGGGGAAATGACTGGGCACTGATTTCTTTACAGGAGCATCTTTGGGTGCTGGAGTCACTTCAGCTTTCACCAGCACTGGAGGAGGAGGGACGCCTGCAAACCACGTTACAAAAAGAGTCATTATCAGCGTTTGATTTGATGGATCTCTCGCTGTAGGATAGATTTTTTTGGTTTTCCGGTGTTAAGGTCCCAGAAAACCCTCCTCTAAGAACAAACGTCAGCTTGTTTACCCACCAAAGTGAGACTTTTGATTAATCACAGTCAGGGAGTTTTATCATTTGATCAGGATGGCGCTGATCACACCACATACCTTTGAGATTAAGGAGCCTCTGTTCACTGAACCACTTCTTTATCTCTCCCCTGGACAGCCCGGTGGTCTCTATCAGCCTGTAGATCTATCACATGACAAGATGCAACATGGCATGAAATAACGAGTTTGGTGTTTATCAGTGTTAGTAGAGAGTTTGGAAAAAATGAAAAAAGCCAGAAGCAGAAAACTGGAACGTGAAACAGGTAGCTTCAAGAAGAAGCGAGGCACGGCACTTGTAACGTCATTTCACTCACTTATTCTTACCTCATCTTCCTCAGGAAAAGGACACTGTGTGTAGCTGGACCTCAGCACTGAGAGCTGCTCCGATGTTTTATTGTGGTCCACCGTGAAACTCAGCACTTTAGGGGACGCCAGTTTGGATGCTGCCATCGGCGCTGAGATGGTCTGAATGATGGAGGGTCTTTTGCTCTCTGAGGTGATCACAGGGGAGGCCAGCGGACGTTTGAGTGACTGTGCAACCTGCGGTCAGAGGTGTTATAAATATAGATTTACTCCATCCAAAGAAAAGCAGGTATATCGGTACAAAAAAAAAAAAAATCTCAGGGGTTCGCGGAAGCATCGATTCAACCTCTTAAATGAAGATAAACTAAATTCACTAAAGATGAAAGAACAACAAAGAAAAGAAGTCTGATCTTCAAGGAAAGTTTGTTCTTGAGACTCACTTGTGCAGTTTCCAAGAAGACTCACTGAAGTCTTTTTATGTCAGAGTTGTTCTGAAGTCGAAACAGAGTCTACGGGCACCAAAGAGGAGACTTCTGACATACCACTAAAATCTATTGATTGTTGTGCTTTCCCTTAATATGTTCTTTAAAACTACATTTCAATGCATGATTCAAACATGCTCATCACTTTAATTCAGTCGTTTAGTTTTAACTGCAACACATTCACATCTGAACAGAAACTGAGCACTTATGTGAACAAGAGCACTTCAACACAAACAAGAGAGCTGTATCACAACCTTAACAATCACATGCTGTTTTACACAGAAGTACTCAGATGACACATCTTTCAAACTCAGGGACAACATCAAATAATATGACCTGCGAGTCAACGTTTGTGATCAAATCACTTAATCTCTCTCTGTGTTCGAACTTTTCCGATCACAGCCCTCTTTCAGAGACAATTTCAATATTTCTGTGGTATGATGCTGTATTTCAGTCATATGTTTGTGTTTTACATCCAGGAGCACCACCTCCATTTCAGAACAAAGATTTTAACATTTTTCTTCGACTTCATTCTGGGTGTTTCTGACCTCTCTCTTTTCAGTCTTGTGTGATTTCTGTGTGTGTGTGTGTGTGTGTGTGTGTGTGTGTACGTGGCGGCTCTGCAGTCTCATTTTTATTGCTAAAGCTAAATAGAAACAATGCAATTCAACATACGAGGAAAAGGCCCATGATGCTGGTTTAGACTGACTGAGGACTTTGATTACAAGCATACTTCAGAAAAAGTGGGTTGAACTGGTGAACAAGACCCACTGATTTCACTCCCATGTGTGAAGCAGCTGGATGAAGAATGTTAGCTGGTTTACCCCTGAACATGTTTTCTCTCTCCGTTGGCCTCTCTCATATTCTGAATCCTCAAAAAGAGGATACTGCTATGCGGGGCAGAGTTGTATGCTCGATTTTGAGTGTTTTCTTTTACGCATATTCTGAATAACCAAAAAGACACTTAACCAGGTCTCTTGAAGATACTGAAAATGCTCACACAAAGTTGCGTTTATAAAAAAATATATTCATTTATCTAAAGCATTTCTCCTTCAGCAAAATTATCTGTTACATACAAATATCTCTCCCTCTTCTTTCCTTCACCGGCAGACAGTGCATGTGGTGTTGCATCAGTGGCTTTAATTAGTATTAATACATGTTCCAGGGTTCGGCATGGAACTCCGCCCCTCAGAAGGTGTTTCCAAATTAACCGTTGAAAATATATAGTAAATACAATTGTCTGTGATGCGAAGATAAATTACACGCTACACAAACTCAAAACTATGGAAGCCTGTTCCCGGCAGTGAAAAAAAAAAAGCTGGCTTCCCCGGACATTTAAAGGATTTTATAAACTACCCCTGGACAGGCTGGACAAGCCCCCAAAAGACGACATGTCCAGGTAAAAGAGGACATATGATCACCCTAGTTAAATTACCCTTGTGTAAGTAAACCAGTCTCAAAGTTAGGAGTAAAAATGATCAATATTTATCCTCGAATGTATCAGAACAAAGTATCAAGCTTACAAAGCTTGTAAGAAGTATAGAAGCACAGGGAAGCATATACTTTAATAAAAATAGATACCTTTAAATTCTGCTCAAGAACAGTAACAAAGTGTGTCTGTGTGTGTGTGTGCATCTCTGCTTGTGTTAAAGCTGAAAGACCTCTGTTCAAGTGTGTCACCGTTTACAGACTCCATGCACTTATTGCCACATTTCTGCTGTACCTGGTTTGCCACAGTGAGCGCCAGCGGAGCACACGTAACTGTCGATCCATTGGCTACGGGCGTCAACACCAGGCTGGTCTGTCCCAGGAGCTGACAGGGGAGCGACTGCAGGACAGAGGCGGCGTGCTGTAAGTGTTTGGAGGCTGTGGAGGAGCCAGACAGGTTGGTGGATGAATGGGAGTTGAGCTGAGGAGCAACCACAGCGAAGGTCTGAGGCACTGAGGAGATTGTGCCGTTAAACATTTTCTTTCTGGCCTCTTCCACCTGGAACAGAGAGACAGCACTCCTTACAGATAATTACACACTGCTGCTGTAGTAATGACATTAATTCATGACCCTTGACTTTTATGATAACTTCTTTGATTTGATATTTCATCTTTAATTACATAAACATCCATTTTTAAGTTCTGCTTGTTGGTTGTTGCTTGGAGTCAATTGGATAAAATGGAGAAAATTGTGCTGAAACAAAAAAACAAAAAACAAAATCAAGCCTATCAGTGTTAATCAAAGTAGAAAATGAGCATCCTTGTGCTTTAGGCTGTAATTTGCTTACAAGTGGTACAATATGGACCAACTTGACGTGCAGCCCGGGCTCATTTTTCTCATTGTCCAAATCTGAATGCAAGTCAATCAAGAGCTTTCCAAACATGTAGGTGATACAAATACTGGTTTAATCACCTTTTATTCTTGATGTCTTGAGGAGTTAAGCTGATGCTTTTATTTGTTCCTCAGAGTTTAGAGAAGAAAATGCATTAAACCACACTTTGGGGATTTAAGACGCTGCTTAAAATGTTATTTGGACTTTAATTCTTACCTCCTCGGGGGACCAGCTAATGCCCTGTTTGAGCCTCTGTGTGGTGAACCAGACTTTGATTTGCTCCTCTGGATGTTTTGAGGCTGCGGTAAGCCAAGAGAGCTCAGCCTGTGTCGGGTAGGGGAACTTGTTAAAAGAGGAGATAAGCGTCAGGTTGTCGTCCAGCGAGGGGTTGTATTTGGTTGTGTTGAGGGGCACTGCGATCTTCGGCACCTGGAATTAAAGAGTGATCAAAAGAGTCTTTAATGGTCTTTTTTTCTCTGAAGAATATGGATTTCCACAAGTAATGAGTTCAGTTATTTTGTTTACAAAAGTATCTAAGTAGAACATTTTTAGCATCACAAGAGAGAAAAAACAGTTTGTTTTAAAGGCCATTTAAATCCCAAAGAAGCTGACACCCACATGTATGGCAAACAACATTTTAATTGATCAAATAGAAAAAGGGCTGATTAAAGCCACAGTCAGGAGTTTTCACAAGTTGTGAAACTCGACTAAAATGATACTTCTGCCCTGTTCTGACCTTTGAAAGCAAACACAATCATTATCAACGAGACCGACACTCTCTGCGCTGGAATGTTTAACGCCTAAAGCTGCTGCGAGGTGTTAAATCAGAGTAGTGCCTGCACACTAAACAAACAGGTTTCCTATAAATTTTCAACAGCAAATATTCACAACGAGTGACACATTTGACTCTTCAAAGAAGGCAGGATGAGATTTTGTTAGAAAATACTAAACAAAATCAGCAAGGCTGTGCGGTATAAAACTTTGCCAACAGGGGGCACTAAAATCAACAAAGTAAAAGTCCTCAAAGTTGTTGTAAAACCTAAAAAAGAAAATCCATAAATAAGAACTTTTTTAAAGTAAATTTGTGTCTTTTATTAGTAAACTCTGACTAGCAGACTCTTTACGTTGTACCAAAAACTGCTCTGAATCAAAACACCTGTACAGTGTCCTCTAATTCTTGTTCAGTCCCACCTGCAGGTGGGGGTGGATAACACCTCAGTTTGTGAGCTGTCAAGGTGCTAAAAATGTGTTTTTGTTGCGAACAGAATAAGAAACGTCCTTGATAGGTTTCCTGCTCATCATCAACCAAGCTCAGTATTTTTAGAAAAAAGATCAAACCAACGAAACAAATGTAAACCATGTTACTAAGCTGCTAAAATCTGTACTTTCTAATCTAGACTGATCACAAATTTTCTTTTTCCTCTGCTTTCAGATTTTAAACTAAATGTTGCTACACTGATGGCTGATCAGCCTTTGTTTGATATTTACTGTCCAGAGGAGTGGTGTCATACATCTCGTCTGAAACATGGTGTAATTCTTTAAATGTCAAACTATTTCCTGAATACAAAACAAAAAAAGGAAATGTTCTCTCTCTCTTTACTGCCCGTCTCACCTGGGTATAGTTTAGAGGCCGCTGTAGGGAAGGCATGATGTGAGAAAGGCCGTCTGCTTTGAGGAGAGTCGACTCTGGGATGATGACCGTCCCGTTTACATTGACAGCTGTGATCGGTTTCTTGGACAGATCTGGTGCCAGTTTGCCCAACTGAGACTCTGTCCGTTTACTATCAGGAGACATTATTTTTGGTTTTCCAATCTTGACTGTGGTGGGTTTGCTGAGAGGCGGAGAGCCGAGTTCGTCCCCTTTGCCAACATTGGAGGTGTTGTAAATGACTGCGTTGTTGCTGCAGCCCTCTATCGTCTGTTCCAAGATTGTCTGATTGTTCAGTTTGATCCTTTTGAATTTAAAGTTACTCTCCCCTGGGTGACACCTCTCGTTGTGTTCTGTTAGGGTGTCAAACTTTTTAGTATTAAAGTTACAAACTGCGCACAGGTACAGGGGGTTGAGGATGACGTTGGGGTGGTTGGCGTCAACATGCTCTTTGAAAGTGTTGAGGTTCTGGGTGGAGAACGGGCAATATTTACACTCATATCCTCCCTGTTGTCTCCGCTGAGGTCTGGAGGGGTCCGGCGGCTCAGCTGCTGCTTTGTCTGGAGCTGTTGGGGGGTCGGAGGCTTTGCATGATAAGTCTAATTCCATAGCAGGCTCTGCCTCTGAGGAAGTTTCCATGGGTCCCTCCTCAGTGTGGTTCTCTACAGTTGGCTGGACATTTTTCCAATAATAAAAAAAACTCAGTTTAAAAACAGTGAACTAAGAGGAAAAAAGCAGCTGCAAACCATGTTTAGAAACTGTTTCTATCTGACTCTGTAGATGTACAACTGGTTAGCTCGCACATTCAATCTTAAGCATCTCGTTCTATTTATCTATTTGGCTGATTTCAAAGCAATAGCAGTCATTATCACTGATTGATACTTAAAAAGGAAATTCTGGTGTAAAATTAAGTTATGGTCAAACACACCGTAACACCGAGTTAGACACCCCCTCAAGAGATGAATGTTGCTGACTGCTTGCTTCTCCAGTTATACCAACTTTAGTAACGACTGCACAATAGCAATACACAGCAGTCTGTCTCCACATGCACACACCTCAACCAAACCGCCACTCTATAGCCACAAATAATGCTCAGAACAGCACCTACCTTCATCAACAGTACATATAGAGTCCCAGCCATAGTACTAGCCATCAAACATCTTTTTAGCTTTGCCTGATTTCTTTAGCAAAGAGACTAAACACAACTCACCCACTCTCCTTCAGCAGCCGCTTGTTTGTGGGGGAGCCCTGACGAGTCGATCACCGTGTGCAGCGGAAAATTTATGATTATTACTTAACGGAAATGCAATCAGACCGAGACGCTAAGGCAGAAAAGTACTGCGTCTGCAGTGCACTTACAGGATACACAAGAACCATGAAGTAATAATCATTAATGTTCTTCCTTGAGCTGCGAAACTCCGCTGCACTCGGTGATCGACAGTAAAAGATGTTTGATGGCGACAGGAGACATAGACCGCTGTGTGTTGCTATCGTGCGGTCATTACTAAAGTTGGTATAACTAGAAAAGCAAGTGGTAGATGACGTTCATCTCTCCAGGGGGTGTCTAACTCTGTGTTACAGTGTGTTTGACCATGACTTAAAATTTATGCCGAAATATCCCTTTAAGTTTAAAGAAAAACAGATACTCTCCCCTGAAACACTGAAAGTATACCTGCATGTCATGTGATTCCTCTTCCTCATCATCCAGCTCCACCATGGTCTGGTCTGGTCGGATCATGCAGGGGGTTGAGGCCTTCCTTCGACTGGACATGTTGACTGTAGATCCTGGTTTTTGTCAGCTGCTCTTACGTGGTGCCTGTACTCGGCCAGCTGTGATACAAAGGAGGCAGGGGGCTGATGGTGCCCAGGATGCCTGTTGCTGTACAAACCCTCAGACCTGTGGGTGAATAGACACCTTGAGGTGCTGAGGAACAGCCAGGTAAACTGGCTTGTACTTGGATCCAGACACAGACCTTGGCCTCTTGGTTGTTTCAGCAGAGGCAGCGTTTCTGAGATGGGAGTGAGCAGCCAAGGAGTCTTAGGATCAGTCGTCCCCCGGGGTAAGATTAAAAACTGGAGCGGGTGGAGGGCAGTGGAAGGTGAAGGTTTGGTAGAAATTGGACTGCTGTAGCGTGATGTGGGCAGGGCTCGCTGACAGTGTCAGCTCCAGTGATGGACGACCTCCTGGAACTGCATGACATGAAGCTCCCTGAAAGGAAAAACAAAAGGAGACCCAAATTGAAAAAATAAAGTACTGTAAATGTTCCTCAGACATGCTGCTTATATTAAAGTCAAGGAAAACCACAAATTTTCAAGTTTTATTTGACCTTCTCTTCATGCACTAAATCTGTATAAAAGGTGAAGACTACATTCAGAATGAGGTGGTCGCTCAGTAAGAGTTACAGAAATAGAGAGTAGTTTGTGTTAGGGTTCAATGTTTGCCATAACTGTACCAAAATAGACATAAAAAGCATCAAAAATACACTGTGAGGGGTTCAAACTATGAGAGAGCTGAGACATTTAACTCCAAACTTAAAAAGGATGAGCCAAAAATGAAACGAAAGGATAACCCACTGATACCACTTTCATGTCTCATTTTCAAGGCCACTGAACAGGCTGGCTTAAGCGTGTCCAGAAATGCCAACACGCTGGGTTATTTCAACTCGGCAGGGTTTCATGTGGATCTGGAGTGAGCCACCACCCAAAAGAGGTAGAGTCAACAGTCAGTCGGTTGGCAAGAGGGGCTGAGGAAGGAAAAAAAAAAAAGGCTGCAGGAAGATGACAAACAAACAGAGCAGCAGAGCAGACGCCCACAGGGGGCGGACTGCCGGACAAGTGTACCACTTGTGCTCAGGAGAAAATAAAAGTGTTTTGTAGCAACAAGGCAATGCCCTGAAGAAGAACTCATGACTAATTGCAGTGAGCTGAGGAGCAAAATCACTGGACACTGGAGGTCTGAAATTGCACCGCACTGCTTAATGAGTGTTTGTTGTTTCGTGCTGATGGAGGGGAAGAAACCAGAGTGCATGCATCTTTTATTTTAACTATTAATAAGTGTCAACTCTGACTTGGAGGTTTTTAAAAGTCTCTAAGGTTATGTGGTTTTCTCAGCTGTGTAAGTTTCTGTTCATATAACTAGAAAAATACTATACGGTGTGCTTTCCATGTACTGAACATAACTAAAAAACAACATCTGTGTCTCCTACAGATCCTGCCTTCCCATCAAGAGTCTGGGTGCTTCTAAGACACATTTCCCTGTTTTCTTGGCATTTTTAATGACTCAATTATTTATTAAATTATCATGAAAATAAAAGTAAGGTTAATGGACAATAAAAGTAATCATTTGTTGTGAGAAAAGTTAACTGCACCTAAAATATTTGTACTTATTGCAAAGTGTAAGTATAGACAGTATATACTTTGGACAACTTGGCTCCGCCTTCTTTCTTTTTTACGAATTTGAAGCCAAATTGCTCTCGGTATTTCCGGGATTTTCTCCACTTCCTGGAACCACCACTTGTGCAGTAGCGTTGTACGCATTCGACGGAAGAGTCACTCGGCTCGAACAGCGTATCTCCCAGGTGAGCTATCTTAGTACGCTCATAGGCTGTATCAAGTGTCAATCATAGAAAACATATACCCCCTGATAACCTTTAAAAATGAGGCTGCAAAAAAAAAAAAAAAGAGAGAACTTGAGCACAAACCAGTCTAACAGTAACTACATGTCAACATCGCAACCAGGGGTAAGAAAAACGTATATTCTGTGTAATTAATTTCTGAAGTTTGTCCACAACTCCATAAGCTTTGCTGGCAGAGGCGGGATTTATTACCTATACTGCAGCCCATCACCAGAGGGTGCTGTTCTCACTGTGGCTTCACCCAGCGAGTGGGAAGACAGCGTCCATTCTATATACAGTCTATGAGTGTGAGTCAACTAAAGACTGTATGAAAAATACAGCCTGGTGACGTCACTCACAGCTAAATGGTGTCATCATAATGGAAATGCTGACTCAATCGGCACTAACTTTTGATCAACAACAGATACAGAGGTGGAGGCGACCCAGTCACATCATTCATTATGTAAATATACATGGAACTCTCAGCGCTGATATCCTCAGGATTAGTTATTTAAATAACCCTCCTCCCTGTGTGTACACAAAATAATAAGCCAGGCAGATCGATTTCCTCTACAACATGTTCAACTTTGCTTCAGAAAAGGAATTTTAACAAGGGTGTTAATGGAGATTCCTTGAATTTGATGGCTGGCCCCAAGATTACCCTTTAGAAATGCACATCTGCATCATCTTCATTTTTCACTTCTGGTGCCAGCTTGTTTGTGCATGCCTATTCATAAATTGTACTTAAAAACATTTTTTCACATCATGGGTTGAGGAGAAACTATTTTTGGAGGTATTTTCTAAATGAGTATGTTGCAGAAATGAACACAGGTAAATTTGGTCTGCTCAAAACTTTTCTCATGAGGATAAGCAGGTGAAAAGTCAGAGCAGCTTGATAAGTCAAGACCATTACGAGTATTTGAACTTTGCACTGGGCCAGCACACACACACACACACACACAAACACTGGTTACAATAACAACTGTTTGTTGGCTGTACTCAGGTGACGCCAAGAGCTCATGTGCCAGCTTTACCTTGTATGAAAACGCAAACGCCTTGTGATGAGTGTAATCAGTTCAACCAGTTTTGCAGAAGACTCTTCCTGGATTTATACATCCTTTAACTTTCATCATCTCAGTATGACGGCGGCAGTCTGATAATGTAGCTGTTATGCAAATATGGGCAGTCGACAGGTCCTCCTGGGTGACAGCGAGACAGGTTATCCTGTGAAATATTGACTAATGATAAATCAGATCATGTGGTGGAGTGTGAACAGAGTGAGAAACCAGAGGAAAAGCTGCTTCAGACAGATCTGAAAAAGCCAGGAGCAGCTTTATTTGGGTACTGTGGGAAATGACAAATCCATCAAGAAAAGCAGAAGTTATGAAAAAGCTGAAGAAGAAACAGAGGAAAACTTTCTGAGGGTGATATTATAATGAGAGAGGGAGAGACAGAGGGAGAGGCTTATCTGTTTGAAAAACTCAATTGATATTCTGGGGGCCTCACGTTGAAGCTTCATATTCACATGAGTAAAAATTAAATGAGTCGATGCTGCGGCGGCGCTTTTCTATCGGGACATAATGAGGCTCCGCAAAACCAAGTCAGCACCGAGGACTATGAAAGACCTCTGCCAAATTAAAATCTCATATCCAACCTCTGATGCTTCAAAGTAAATATTGACAGAAGGAATGGGGTTTGTTCAAACCAAACAAGGATCCTGTTCAACAGTGTGATCACATTTAAGCCTGGGTGGGGCAACCTCACTGGTACGTGATAAGTGAAACTTGAGGGTCTTTTCCTCACTTCAGAGTCTCATGTGTAGTCTGGGCTTCTCCCACAGCTCTGCATTAATCACATGGCACTGCATCCGTCAAGCCTCGAAGGCTGTCATTCGCCAGTCGACTCATTGTCCCGAGATATCTCAACTCCTCAAACAACCCACCGAGGCATCATTAGGATGCAGGCTCATTACCATGGCGTCGCTATGGCAACCGCGCATGTCGAGCTTTTATTCAAGTAGCAGCTACAACCGTGACGCTGGCAGAGACTGTATAAACAGGGAAGACCCGACTGCATGTGGGACTGTTTGGTGTCATTAGAGAAAGGAGGTGGTGGTGGTGTGGGGGTGTAGGAAACCTGCAGAAATAACTGTCAGGTGTGAATTTGTGTGTGTGTGCGTGTGTCTTAAAAGCCTGGAGGATCCCTCTCCTGCATGATGCACAGTTCTGTGGTGCATTCGAGGGTTTTCTTCAGCGTCACTTGCTGGAAGTTGGCAAGAAAGGTTGAGGAACAGTCACAGAGAAAACGTTAGACTAATCTTCCTGGAAGAAAGTAATCGGACTCAAAACACCTTTCAGGAAGCAGATGAGATGTCCCCATAGCATCTTTATCTTCATGAAGAGTCTGAATTTGGTCAATCCTTCAGTGCAGAGTATACGCTTCGAAAAATTAGCACTGCATACTGCTAACCCTGGTTGGAGTCAGAGGACAGTGATTTCTAATGTGAGTCAATTCTATTAAAAGACCCACTCTGATCAACATCATGTTTTTCTTGTCTACATGTTCATGACATTTTTCTGATGCTACAGGACATATCATGAGAAAACTAAGTGCAAAATTGCATTTCTGAGTATATTCTGTTGCAGGTTCAGATACAGTAAAATATTTCACCTCACAAATCCAAGCTCAGACTCAGAAAACTAGAGAGGACGACCGTGGAACAAGCGTGTGCAGTAGCGGATTACAATGCTGGTAAGAAAGCTAATTTTGATATTAACTTTCATCATGTCCCCAAAGACATTAGTGTCTGAGAGCTTCTACTTCTACTACACCAGCAATGTTAGGCTACAAGCTAGCGTAAAGAGGAGTGTGCAGAGCAGCGCTGTCTCCGCCCACGACTCAGAGGAGAATTGCTAATAAGCTACTGGAGCTCTGCAGAAGAAAAGCCCTTTTCGTCTTGGAACTCTGCCATGCATGTTTGCCCAGTGTCTTTCTTACGGCGGAGTCATGAACACTGACCCTAACTGAGGTAAGTCAGGCCTGCAGTTCTGTGGATGTTGTTGTGGGGTCTTGTGTGACCTCTTGGATGAGTCGTCACTGCGCTCTTGGGGTAATATTGGTTGGCCGGCCACTCCTGGGAAGGTTCACCATGTTTTCACAATTTGTGGAAAATGGCTCTCACTGCGGTTCGCTGGAGTCCCAAAGCTTTAGAAAAGGCTTTATAACCTTTTCCCGACTGATTGATTTTAATTTCTTATTTGTTCCTGAATTTCTTTAGAGCTCAGCATGATGTCTAGTTATTGAGGATCTATTGGTCTCCTTCATTTGGTCAGGCAGGTCCTGTTTAAATGATTTCTTGATTGAGAACAGGTGTGGCAGTAATCAGGGCGTGGCTAGAGAAATTGAACTCAGGTGTGATAAACCACGGTCAAGTGATGTTTTAATATGGGGGGCAATCACTTTTTCACACAGGGCCATGTAGGTTTGTATTCTTTTTTTCTCCCTAAATAATAAAAAACGTCTTTTACAAACTGCATTTTGTGTTCACTTGTGTCTTTGACTAAAATTTACATTTGTTTGATGATCTGAAACATTGAAGTGTGATAGACATGCAAAAAAATAAGAAACCAGGAAGGGGGAAAACACTTTTTCCACACCACTGTAAGCAAATTCTTTGTTTGTAGCAGCTCAGCACTCTGTCCTTTGTCTGCAGAAGAGTGTGGTAGACACAGACTTTTAACTCTGAATTCTTTAATCTGTGAAGCTCTGACCAATGGGACATTTTCTGCTGGCTCTGCTCTTCTAGTTGCATGATAATTGACCTAAAGTAAGTTCTTTGACACTCATTTAGCTGCCTTATAACAGCCGTGATGGCAGAGCAGCAAAACAGTGTGTCACTTACTGTTTTAGAGCAGCGACAAGTTGATTTGGGGTAATTTATCGACTGATCCAAATGAAAGACGGTGAATATTTGTGGCTCGTTAATTACAGGAGTGGAGTTTTGCACAGACTAGTGCACTTGCCTGATATCGGTCCTACATTTCTGTAAAATCTAACGTATTGGTTTTGAATGCTGTCTGATAAAGAGTTTTCCCAAAGCGCACACAGTGAAAGCTCTCTAGTGTAATCTTCAACTTGCTGTCTGCCTGCTCAAAAATCTTCCTTCAATATTGCAACATCTGGCAAAAGAGAGAGTTGTCAGACGCATCTTAGGAGTCACTTTACACTTTCTCCTCAGAAGTTGCGCTGCCTCGCTGCTGAAACACTGCTTGGATGAGCTGATGGGCGGCCATGGCTGGAAGGGGATCTGACTGTGAACAAAAGCGGGAACTGAGTTGGAGCTGGATGGTGTTACCTCCTACTGGTGTGTTGAACCCACACAAGAGGAGGGAGAGAGAACAAGCAGTTCCATTTATGCAACGTCCACATTAGTAATATCTGCACAGCTCAATAAAATCAGTGTCTTTGACTCGATGCTTATGAAAGCCGCCTGCGGCTCATGTCACAGAATGACATCAGATGCCGGTTTGCATATCGAATAAATGCCTCTCAAGTCATTAAAAGACTAAAGTTTTGGCAGCATGGCAGATATTGAGTGGAGGCTGACTCAGAAAAAAAGAGTATTATCTTACAGAGTATGAACACAAACAGCTCTGCAGTTTGAGATGTTGCGGGCGAGTTAAACTTGTGTGCTTTGACTGTCTCAAACAAAGAGAAAAGCCTGTGTAAAGAGTGCTGAACACTGAGGAAACACTGGCAGCAAAATCCTCTTCCTCAGTCCACTCCATCATTTCCAGGAGAGTCGGGGGGGCTCTCTCCTGCTGCCTTCGCTGGCTACTTGGGAGCACTGGAGCCATCATGGAAAGATAATTAGCACAGGGTGTGATTAATAGCCCCAGCAGTGCCACTGAAAGAGGAAATAATATGAACTTGTTTAATACCTGTATGATATATTCTCAGCATTATCCTCCAGTCTCATCAAGTACTTTCATTTGAGAACTTCATTGTCTGAAGTGAGCTGTTGGACTGTAAACATCTCGGCGTGTCTCAGCAAACCACCGCATCAGACAGCGAGTCAGCTGTCAGAGTTTTCCACACATTTATTTCGACTTTATTCCCAGCACAGAAACAAATTAACTCTCTATTTGTGGACTCAGTCTTGGCTGCTTAGTAACCCGAGTCAAACAGTCTCCCACCTTCTGTCAGTGTGTCTACCCGAGTCAGCCTGTTAGCTTGAGTGTGCAGAGTCAGAGTGAGCTCGGTGCAGGAGCCACAAACTCCCTGCTGTCTGGATGCTCATTAAACTTGTATGAATACTCAGCCTGGTAGTCCCTCGCCTGCCCGGCTGTCTGTCTGTACTGCCTGTTGTCTGGCTGTCTGTCTGATTGGTGCATTATATTAGTGGAGCCATCTTTCTGAAGGAGTTAGCTTTAATGCTGCCAGGCAGCAGATGCATTTATCAGCCCTGGCAGCAATCAGTTCAGGCCACACACTGGCATACATACTGGAGAGAACGCAGGGGAAATCAATACAAATGCTCTGTACCACCGAGCCTGTCTAATGTAAGAGGACAGACAGATGATCTAATACAGCAGAAATATAGCGCTGCCATAGGAAGGATATCTATCCAAACAGCAGTGGGAAGAGAGTGACACTGAACAGATGAGTCACAGCAGTACACTCGGCTCATATTTCCCTCTATCATTACAGTAATCTCAACCTGTAGTGTATGGCTCAGACTGTACTCTTAGGAAACAAGGTTCTCAAACAGCAACGAGACATTTTGTTGCAGATATATTCAAAAAAAAACTTCAATAGAAAAGGTATTTCTTGTCTGTTACTATTGTCAGTTCAGGAGGGGGAAAATGAGCAGATAAAATGAAGATTTTTTTTAAAATCCCAAACAAACACAAACCTTTTTCTGCATTGAACTTCTGCACCAGTTTGACTATACTATTGTATATGGTACTATATAGGAGGAAAATTTCCCAGCCAATACATTTATCATCATGTCACACTGGTATGCATTGTCAGCAAATTCAGTTGCGCATTAACATTGTGTGATAGTTATAAAAAAGCATTACATATCAGTGTTATTATAAAGAAACACAGGTGAGAGACATGTTATAGATGAATACAATGATATCCGTGCCGTATGTCTCTGCCGAGCTTGTCATGATAGACGTTTCACTTGACTTAAGTTTCCTATATCACTATGGTAACTGCTTAAGTGAAAGATAAAGATTTCAGACAGTTTACTGTACAATAAAGCATAGAGGATGTCAAAGGTTTCTCAGCAAGTTACAGAGAAATTTAAAGGCAACAACAGTGCTGATAGAAAACTCTGTGAATTAACTTTACACCATGCTGTCAGACTGATCAGGTGCTCAGGAGTCTACTGCAAGGCCATGCACTGACAGAAAACAGTTCACGCTGTGCCAAGATGGTTTCTACAGAATGGATCCAGCTGAGGGACTGGCAGTTTTTGGTGCAGCTCGTTTTTGTTGCTAAAAGAAAGAAGACTGCTAGAGAGATAAATGCAGGGACACAGCCAAGTGAGGGAAAGAGTTTTCAGGGATGCAGTCAGAAACGACACTAAGGCGCATGAACGGCAGCCTCTGCGGCTTGAAGCCACGCATGAAGTACAAACCAAACAGTTACATTAGAGCGACAAAGTACACACAGTAAAACAGAAAGAAAAACGGACTCTGCTGATACATTCATTTAAAGTTCTGAGCTACGCCACACCTTTCTTTTTTTTTCCATCACAAGTAACAAAACACATGGCACAGGAAAAGTGCAGACACCGCTTTGTTTGCAATGCTGTAAGGGATGTTTTCCCTCCTGACTGTTTGTTCCACAAGTCATCCACTGCAGTGAGGAGGACAATGAGTGTGTCTGAATTGTGTGGGTGAGGAGAAGCACCATCGCCATTAATACAACGTGTCCCAGCAGGGGTGGAAGAGGCAGAATTTCGGACCGTCGCAGAATTAATTTAAATCTCATCACGCGGCTCCTCTAGAGCAAAGCAGTGCTGCACTGTGTTCGAGTGCTCGGTATGTTCTGCATAGCAACAGAGGAGCACTACTTTCTCTGGACTGGGGTGACAGCGATAGGTGGGTGAATGATGAAACAGCATTATTGTCACTAGTCCTCCTAACCTGGACTTCTAAAGGTCAATAAAAGAAGTGATCGAGGAAAAGTTGGATGTTTTGAGAAACGCGAATTTACCCTGAAAAGAAAAAAAAAACGCTCTTTTTAGTATCGAAACCATCCGCTTACATAAGCATCGCATGGAATGAAGGTCAAATGAAGGGCGAATAGCCAGCCTGGCCCTCCTCCTAAGATCAAACTTTTTTAAAAAGGATTTTTATAAAGTTAAAAAAATAACAGTATCTCAGATACAGGTAATGCTTCAACAGCAATGTCTGAATTATTCCTATCAAATTAACCTTAACGTTGCATTTTCCTCTTTTAAAGTTAGTCCAAAGCTATTACTGTGTTGCAATATGTAGTCACTCAGTGTCTGTTTTCTTCAATTTAGCTGATGTCTCCTCCTCCTCCTCCTCCTTAGTTCTGACTACATTTTAGCATCTCTTTTTCTTGGCTCTTTGATGCTGTTGACTGGTCAGCCATTAACCACTAGTTTGAGGTTTTGTGCTTTCTGAATAAATCAAAAACATCCAAAAATCTTAAATGTTGTTCACTGATACCATTGTAAACTAACACTTTCCACAATCATACACTTTTAATGTGCTGGACTTCCTTTTGCATTTTGTATATCGCGCACAATTAGGTTGTTCTTCACACTGCTCCTGAGGGGTTTTGACCTATCCGAATCAAGCAACACTCTAACCGTCCCCACACACCAAGTGCCAGCAAAATAATTTGCGCGACTGAATTACATGTTAAGTCGATGCAAAGACGCGATTAGACACTCGTACTACGCTGGCGTCACGAATGAAAATGTCTCAACTTGAGTGGATATTCGCTTCGCAAAAACCGATTAGCACGAAGGTTGCAGAGTGAAAAATGAAAACGGACCGTCGTTCACTCGTATGTAAAATGGAGGACAAACTGATCGTGTCAGTGCCCCGAATTATGTGACACCTTTTCTTTCAATTGCCGAAACCGTAATAAAAAGGAGCTCACCTGAAGGCAAGTGAGTGAGGAGGTCGGATGACCTGGTAAATTGTAAAAAACTTTTGTCTATCACTTGATCCTGCCAGTTGAATTGGCAGGGATTACCGTTGAAATAACCGTTGACTTGCGAATGAAGCGGGTAGATAATATTCATTCACGCGTCTAGATTTGCGCGAATTAAGGGAGCAGATGGAGATGATTTTACTCGCGGTTGGTGTGAGCACCCCATAACCGTGATGAACATGACAGCCAGTTGAAAATAAATGTTTTTGAGTCTCAGTAATTTTGGGAATACACACTGAACTAAGTTATGCCAAGCAAAGCAAAGAGGCAACACACAAACAAACATACAAAATCACATTTCCAAAGATTTCAAATTACTCCTCAAAAACATTTTATCCCAAGGTCAATATGTGTAGTTTATTAGTAGGAATTTTCCATTTTACTGAACATTGAATTTACCTTCTATGATCCTTGAATGATAGAGTTTTGTCAGATTCTCTGGAGGACAAACCAGTGGCCAAATGGCCTTTTTTTACTCGAGCCTTTTTTAGAATTTTAATGTTTTCTTTCTCATGGGATGATACAGCCTTGACCAAAGTGTGCATCAGAGTGACAATAGACAGTTTATTATCTGCGTCCTTGACTGTATTTTATTCAATCAAAGTTTCAGGGACTTCTCACCTGATATCAAATATCTGATGCTTTTGTTATATATTGCCTCATGGAAGCCATAGAAAAGCTAGTGTGGCCATTATCACTGCAGTGACCTTATTCCTTCTACCATTATCTTAGGAGACACAGTGGCCTATATACAGTACAGTATGATAGAATTACTGTTCAGCAGGATACTCTGCATTTGCTGAAGGATCCTGTCCTTCCTTTATTCTTCATCACAGAACGATGACCTCGGACACATCTCTCACACAGCAAGACCTGTGTTCTCATTGCACACCGTCGCGCACACAAAGGCCAAGCTATAAAAATACCTTAGTGTCACCCACTCGGCAGCTGATGGTTGTGTTACTATAGCAACAATGTAACCAACAGATAAGCGTGCATGAGTGTGCGCTTGCATCCCGGAGTAGCAACCCAGCAGAGGTCAATCCGTCACGACAGCCAGGATATTTAAATTCCAGCTTAAAAAGACTTTTTCTGCATGATGATGATGATGAGTCTCAAATCGGTTCTCATTGACCTGTCTTCTCTTTAACAAATGTCTGAATGACAACTTTAGAGGTAGGAAACCTTGGGCAAACAAAATCAAACACATCCACTGTCATGGAGCGTTTATGCCGGTCTCAGTTCAGTTTGCTGCTGCACCACCATCTAAACTCACACAAAGTGACCTCGATAACAGTCCAACACGTCAGCAGGCATTCGCTCTGTCCACAGGCCCCAAGTGGAAATAAAAGCAGATAGATTGCAGGGCAGAGTTTGGTGACATGAGACAGGCAGGGGGATATAATGGTTAACTGTCCCTCTTGAACAGTTTTTGTGTAGTTTCCATGATAACAGCCACCTTTGGCGTGATTTTGCTGTCCTATTTGCCCTCCCTCTGTCCAGCTCAATGCTCCCCTCTCTCTATCTCCCTCATGGCCTTGGTGCGCAGACA